TGCTCATCCCATCTCTGATGAGAGCATGGATTTACATGAACTCTGGCTCGCTAATCCTAAAGGCCAGAGCCTCGATGTGATTGCCCGGCAGAAGGCCTAGTTGGTGATAGTCTGATAGATGTTTCATTAACGGGCGTGGTGTATATCTATACATACATGATTGAGAATCCTGCTGCTCGGCCTTCTTCGGCGGTGACAGGCTGGCTAGGCATAGTCAATTCAGGGCCGATCAAGGCCTAGTAATATTGAACTTTATGGGTTCATTCGATATTTATGACTAGTCGAGATACAAGACTTTGACCAAATACGAATGTGAGCTGAAGTCCTTGGTATTGACATTAATTGCCCTAAGATGTCCGGTAGACTTTCCTTCGTGAGCAAACATCCTCAGACTGCCATGTCGTTATGATGTATTGCTACGGCGTGACATTCATTTGGTGAGGGTCTTAGACTGGTGCAAGGGAAACGAAAGAACCACGCCTGCAAGAATGGAGGATGAATAGAAATCTGTCTCTCTACCACTATATCTCTTCTACATGATCGTCTACTAATAGCCACAATGTATGTATGACCATTTGTTTGGTTTTGATCTATGCTGCGATGCCTAATCTACAGGCAAACCCTTCTCTTCTTCGGGTGATACAGCCCCTCCTAGACGGTTCTTCTCCAAAGTGACAGCTGTGTGGCTTGTAAAATATGGTGAAACATCAGGCACCCAAAGGGCAATGACGCTAGCCAGAACGCCGAAGGGAATGGTTGCCAGCCATGTCACGCGGAAAGCATCACTATAGCCCCATTGAAGGCCTTTTTGCGCCGCGGTAACAACAGTGCTCGGGTATTTGCTGAGGACCGACGTGGCTCCGTTTGAAACAGCTGCAACCAATGGTGCAACGTCGCCCTGAGCAACTCCCAATGGCAGCACGGCCTTGGTGATGCGTCGGGTGATGTCTGGGCCGGCACGATTGCCTAGTATCGAAGCAAAGATCTGGTCGATGCGTAAGTAATCTGCACAGATGCACCTTTGGGACATACTTACTGTAGTACCAACTGCGGCGCCCAAGAATCGGAATGTCCCAATCAAGCCCAGAGCCAGGCCCAGATCACGCTGAGGTGCGTTGAGGCCGGCGATGATGTAACATGCTAGCGTGATCCATGCGAATGGCAAATTGGCGAAGAATTGGAGGACTATGGCAGCTGAGAGCCGGTCTGGCGTCAGGAGCGCAAAGAGAGCCACACAGATTGTCTGGAGTAGAACGCCAGTGAAAAGCTGCCACTGTACACGTTTCATCCGAGCGATGAGACCTCCTAGGATAACTCCACCTCCAGCACCCGCAAATCCGCCGGGAATGTTGTACAGACCAGCCTTGATCGGATCGCTGGTGTACATATAAGCAATCTGCTGTGGGATCAGGGCCGTCAAGCTGAAGTAGACCATGCCAACCACAAAGATAAAGACCAAGAGGGAGGTGTACTCTCTGTACTTCTTGAGAAGCCTTGCGGGAAACAACGGCCGTTTTGGTCTTCCGCTAAAGTCCCAGAAGAATGCTGAGACGAAAATGGCGAATCCTAGAACGAGGGGCACGAGCACTGCTGCACTGGCCCATGGATAGTCCAGACCACCCCAGTTCAAGCCGATCAAGAAGAGTGCGATGCCTGCAGAGTATAGAACGATTCCAAGGTAGTCAACTTCGGAGAGTAGCTGGCGTCTGCTAACCTCAATCAAAGGATGGGAAGGAGGATGATAGAAGATGGCTGTGCCGACAATGGAAATCACTCCAGTTATAACACCAAGTATATATACCCACCTCCAAGAAGCATTCACAGTGAGTGTGCGGGCGATGAGTGGCCCAAATGTGGCGAACGGAAGAAGATTCAGCTCAGTCCAAGCGAGGCCAATGGATCGATACTTGTTTGGGAGTAATTCAGATATACCGGGGTACAAGACAAATGTCGCGCCTGATGAGAAGATGAGAAGACAATCACAAATAGAAGATCAGAGAGCCTGACCTGTGCCAAACCCAATAAGCACCATCCCTGCGATGGCTTGGTTCAGACTGTATGCCGAAGCCGACACAGCATGACCAACGATCAGCATTGCCTGTCCGAACATCAAGATATATCGCCGGCCAAAGTAGTCGCTGAGTTGGCCAGCAATGGCGAAAGCGACACTCCCAGCGAGCGACCAACCGGATGTTATCCAGTTGGAATGGTCGGTGTTGCCCTGCAGAGCGAGAGACATGGGCACCTAAGCAAATGTCAGGAAAAGAAAGTGAGCGGTAGAGGGAGCAATCATGCCTGAAGTGGAAATGCGCAGTACATGGCAAAGCTGAGAGATGGTTGAAAAGTGAATCCCAAGAAAAAGACGGCTGCGAAAGTCGACTTGGTCACTATCGCGGTAGAATCGATGTCCTCAAGTGCAGCGCGATGAGGGTCGCCATGGTCATCTCGGATATGAGGATCGAGCTTGTCCTCGACTGGAATGTGTGAGATAGCGTTCTCGTCATGATGGACGCGGACGCCCGATGCAGCGGGTTGATGTTCTCCTTTCGCCATTTTCAGTTCTGGTGATTGATCAGGATCGTTCAAACCCCTTCCTTTGGGATATTATCATCATTATGTACATTTCGTATGTACTCTCCCTGCCCATGGGGAAGTCTATCTTCTCCGCCCCATAAACGCGGGTCACGAGAGACCATCCCGATCTGGGACCTTCAGTCTGGGCCGTGTCCACGAGGAAACTCGATTTGCTGGGAACGGAGCGGAGATATTTGCCAGGCTTGCATTGGTGGACCGCCCCGCGCGGAGATCGCGGGCATCATATCCTGCAGGCGAGGAGAACGTCACATGACCCCGGACTTGTTCTTGCTCGCCATGAACCTCCGGGATTAGCTTTCGCGGCGGATACCTGGAATTTCTCCTGAGAAATCGAGAAGAAGGAAATCAAAGGAAATTCTCCTCAACTTTGTATCTTGTACAAGCAAACCCATTCCCGGAAAAGAGAAAATGACTGTCACTTCAAAGGCCACCTCGGTGTTCCAGAGTGGAATTGCAAATGGCACTGCTCTCGCATCTCGCCAGAAAGGCTTCCGGTATGCAGCTTTCAAGGTCCGAGGCAGCAACACTCCACGTATAGGGTCTTTCGATTTCGACAGCGGGAAGCTGTCACCTTTGACATACGCGTCCGGCACCTCCATCCGCAGCCTATACGAGGTGATCGAGGCCCAGAAAGGAGATATTGTGAAGTCAGATGAATCTTTTTCTGTCGATGAGGTAGAACTTCTTCCGCCTATCTATGGGCGCGACATATTGGCTGTTGGTAAGAACTATGCGGTACGTTGTTGAGAACATAGATTACTAGCTATTTGTCAAAGTAACTAATTGAAATTCAAGGACCATGCAAAGGAATTTAACGCCTCTGGGTATGATAGTTCTGACAAGTTCGAGCAACCAACACACCCCGTAATCTTCACGAAAAGGGCGACCTCGATCATCGCTCATGGTACGGACATCTACTCTCACCCTAGCCTCACTCGAACTCTGGACTATGAGGGCGAAATCGGAGCTATCATTGGAAAACGGGCATTTCAGGTTTCTGAAGAAGATGCATCTGATTATTTATGGGGATACACGATCATTAACGACGTCACAGCGAGAGAGAAACAGCGCGACCATAAACAATTCTTTCTCGGTAAATCCGCCGACACTTTCTGCCCAATGGGTCCAGTAGCCATGGCAAAGGAAGACTTGCCGGATGTGCTTGAGCTTACAACACGAGTCAATGGTGAAGAGCGACAAAGGGCAACGACCAGGGACCTCATATTCAGCGTCCCCTATCTGATCTCGATCATCTCTCAGGGTCAGACCCTCCTCCCAGGAGATGTGATAGCCACCGGCACTCCAGCCGGCGTTGGCTTTGGCTTTGACCCGCCGAAATGGCTTCAACCTGGTGACGGAGTAGAGATATCAGTGACAGGTTTAGGAACACTGAGGAATCGAGTTGGAAGCAAAAACCCAACAAGTCAGCTACTACTCGATCAACCAGCTGCTGTGGGCTCTACCACAAAGAATGACAAAGCACTTGGCCAAGGTCTCACCAATTTGGGCGCAAAGAGCCTGTTTTACAAGACCGGCGGCACGGCATCCGGAAAGCCTACACTCTTCATCCATGGCCTCGGCGGGACACATGAGTATTTCAACAGTCTGGCCAAGAGTCTTCCAGGGAGATCCTTACATTTGTTTGACTTTGCAGGTCATGGTCTTTCTCCTATCCAGGCATCCCACATGCTATCCATCGAGTCGATTGCTGCAGATGCCAAAGAGATTGCGGTACACGCAGGGATCACTTCTGGTTTTACGGTGATTGCTCATTCCATGGGCTGTCTTTCTGCAATGAAGCTGGCAGTTCAAAACCCAGAAATGGTGGATGAATTGGTGCTCATGGGCCCTCCCCCTTCTCCTCTACCAGCAGGAGGTGCGACCGCAACCTATCAAAGAGCTGCAACAGTTCGGAGCCAAGGCATGAATGCGGTCGCGGAAGCCGTGGCTCGCGGAGGTACATCTGCCTATACACAGGAACACAACCCGCTTGCTTTCATTGGCGCAAAGTTGTCTCTCCTCTCTCAAGACCCCGAAGGGTACGCCAAAGCTTGTAATGCCCTTGCCGACTCGTCCAAAGGCGACGGGATCGACGTGTCCAAGATCAAATGCCGGACGCTCATCCTAACAGGTCCAGAGGACAAGGTCTCGCCTCCAGCACTCTGCAAGAAGTACGCTTCTCGGATTTCCTCGTGTGACTTGGTCGTCATTGACAATGTCGCACATTGGCATCTGTTCGAGGACCACGTCAAGACAATCAATGCTGTGAAATGTTTCTTATCCGAATCTTGAAGGCAAAGTTGTAGGCACCGGACAGACACCTAGAGAAATAGACATAGACAGGGAAGATGGTCGTCGTCATCAGGCATCATGATGCCAGTGGATCAGTGATTTGGGAGCACTTGGCAGGTAGCAAAGCATCACGTATATTTTATACAAGAACTAAATCATATGCAATGTCAACGTCAGATCGAAAAGAGTTGACCTTTGGCAAGATAAGTGACGAAACTATTCCTCCACCAGCTCCTGACAAATACTTGACATAACCATAATGTATTCTTCAACGCATATCTTGCCACCATTACAAAGGCTTCTAGCGAAGGCTCCCCAGAACGCATGATTCTTTTGGCATGTAGCTGTGCGGCGTATCTTTCCTCAGCCATCTGACCAGCCCCGCCCAGTGACAACCCAAGGGTTCCAACTTATAAATACAAGATTAGTGAAACCGATAAGAGCGACAATAGTGAAAATGTTCACAGTGGTTACTTTTCTTCCCTCTGGTACACGTTTCCATAAGTCGCTTTTAATCTGGCACTCAAATAGTCGCCTGAAGTTAGCGTCTTCATTCCATCAGCATTGACAACTCCACCACCATGTCCAATCACCTCTTTACGGAAGCTCTCAGCCCGATCAGCAACCAGTGGCGAAGGCATGGGCGTGAGCTTCGTGTCTTCGTGAGGCTGGACGAATATGGCAATCGAATAGCGATCTGTTCCAGCGCCGTTACTCCCGTGCCCGTTTGTGGTGGATCCATTGACGCCATTCGTCTCCTTAGTAGGTGATGACAAGACAACCCGATGAATGGTTGACTTCAACAGGCCATTGGTCCAGTAACTCAACAAGTCGCCAATATTGACGACGACTGGAGGAAACGTCGCAGAATGATAGTTGGGTGGAAATACAGGCACAGCTGCCCAATCTCCATTCGGCTTCAGCAGCTCAAGCCCAGGCTGACCGGGCCTTGTAAACAGAAGCGTGATGCTCCCGTAGTCGGAATGTGCACCGGCCCCAATATCGGCCTGCGGGTTGTAGTCAGAGTTGGGTGGGAGTGCAGGGTAGTACAGTAATCGGGAGGTGTTTGGTGCATTGTCATGCGTTCGCGCAATCCAGTCGGCGTCGGGAATTTCCAAGCCCATAGCTATGAGCCTGAGAAGCCGGGTCGCCATATTTCGACATCTGGTATGAAAGTCACGAAGCGCGGCATCTTCTTTCTGGAAGGTGTCCGGAATTGGTTGATTCCATTCGCCAGTCGCGAGATCTGGTCCCTGAAGGTTGAATGCTTGCTTGAAATCGCCTCGGGCATGCTTACTAGGATCGAGGTTCTCGACATGCATTCCGACATAGCCGCGATTGTGTTTGATGGCACACGCTTGCTTCTCTTCGGGGGGTGCTTCTTTGAAGAAGCGGCGGGAGACGTCGAAAAGGTGATCGACCGTCGGCTCGTCCAAGTCGTACGTTCTGGTCGTTGTCGTCGCGGTACCATCTTCTGGCTTTGGGGATCCTGCAATCCAAAGGAAGCCCCATTTTGCTGCCGCTTCTACGATGGCTTTACCAAGTTCCGGAGTTTCTTGGGAAATATCGAACAAGGGCAGATCCACAGTTTCATCTGAGGCGGCGGCGTTGCCGTTCGGCACGGACACTGCAGGCATTATGAATAATGGCCACGTTCTACAGCAGTCGTTATGGAGTAGCTAAGGTCGATACTGAGACTTGTAGAGGTCATGGACACGATCGAGGAGGCAAGTTGATATGGGGATGAGCTTATCGAAAAACACGGCCGGCTCCGCCCGCCAATCAAGCTTCTTATATCAATTGTCAGAAAGGAATAGTTGGGAGAAACAAAAGATAGTCTGGAGCGTTCGTTGCGGACATCTCCAGCATTTTATAATTGGTACTCAACGTCTGTACGGTAAGTAGTAATGGTAATTGAACTCACCCGAATCTGCGCCGACGAGAGTGCGATATTACTAAATGCAGTCTAGCTTTGATTTTGGCATTTCGCACCTGCGGTCATGACCACATGACATTCATTCATTCATTCATTCATTCCTCACTACCTTTTACACTTCAATGATCATGACTCCTTTGGCAATGGCTTGTCAAGGTGCAATCTTACCTCAACCCTGTTCACTCCTCTGGCTCCAGCCCTCGACAGCCACTTTCACTGCAGCTGCTGTGAACTCGTACGCGTACACGATTGCTCTGCGGCGTGATATGATTACCTATACCGAACGATCCTGCACCCTCCCTTTTCGAGACATGTTGCTTTTGCCAGGTGGTGAACGAGCTAGATCCTAGAATTCTCCGGTTTCTTTGAAGAGCTGGAACTACTTCGTACACCCACAATTTCGGATATCGCCTTCGTGCTCAAGATACAGTACATCTGCCTCAGTCATGCTTTTTGACTGGCGGTTCCTCGTCCAAATCAGTCTTCTTGACTGGAAAGATACACGGCTATCTGCATGCCCCATAGCCCTTTCTCTGCCACATCTTGACGCTCTTGATCTGCATTTCATTATTCTTTTGCCATGTTGGATACCATTCTGCAGAGCTTGTCAGTACTGGTGGTGATTTTAGGAGCTACCGGAAACTAACGTTCTTTCGCTTCCCAGACTTGGACAGATCTGTTAGCTTCGCTGGTGGAACAACTGGAATGTGAACTTACAGTCTTTCTTCGCCGTTGGTGATTGATCCACCCACGGCTTGCCGCCCTTGCCATCTTGGAACCATCCGTTGGTGCCGCCGACAGCCACATTCATTATCAAGAAGAATGCCTCGTCGAAAGGAGTGTCAGAACTCCCCGTCTGAGACCACGGATCGACGAAAGATGTGCCATTATTACCCGAAAGTGGAAAGTTGCCACGCTGCCAAAAAGGTTTCTTGAACTTGGTGTACAACACCTGCATCAGGCGAGTGTCAATGTATGTATACAAATGATCTGGTGTCCATTCAAGGCCATAGGTATCTGGAAATCCTGTCAACAACATTTCGGTCACTCTAGTTCATGTATTCTTACGAAACCCGTCAGAATAGGTAGTATGCAACGCATTCTGTCGAGAATTTGTTCTCCACCACGCATCATTGACAATATCAGGTCCCCAATGAAGGGTTGAACTGACGATATTGTTTCCTCCCATTGGGTAGGACCAGTTGTTCCCTCGAGACTCGGCAATATCGATCTGAGTCTGTGAGCATCTGTTCGGCCATCATAAAGTGCAGTACACACCTCTCCGCTCATTGGCCAAGGACCGTATGTATTCCTCACAGGCAACATCCATATAGCTGGCCAAAGCCAGTCACCTTCTGGCATCTTTGCCACCACCTCGACCCGACCATATTGGATTGACGCTCCTTTTCTCGTGTTGATGCGAGCGCTCTTTACAGGATTGACAATGGTTCCGTTGGTGGTGTTGGTGCTCACCACGCAACTTTTCCAGTCGTCACCAGTGCAGAGCCCATCCGCCGTCAGATTGATCACGTTGTTCGTCTCAATCAAGAGAGCATCTTGCAAGGTAGGTTTGATGGTCAGAATACCCTCTTTGACGAAGACATTCTCGTCGGTGCTTGTTGTTTCATCGAATTGACCATTACCAAAGCCGCCAACCTCCACCTCTTTGGTCCAAATTTTTTCGTCAAATCCATTAGCAAAATCGTCTTCATATACCGTGCAGTATACTGGTGTCTCGACGGATGCAAGGCCATCATATACGAGGTAGCCTGACAGCACGAATCCAATGACGAGGCCCATCAATGGAAAAATAGTCAACCATTTTTGTCGAGAGTCTTTCTTGTCGAGCCATGGCTTGTCGATTTCGCCCTTGGCCTTACGTCGTGACCGGAAGTACTTTGGAGCAGGGGAAGGATGAGGAGATGCAGCATCTGAACTATACAAAGATGGGCCATGACCCTTTTGGGGCGGACTTGCTGGTGTTGATCGCTCCAGATGTCCGATGGCCACATCTTTCTCCCACAATGAGGATGCCATATCAACAGGAAAGGCTCAGGATCGGTACGAATGATTACAGAAGATGAAGTTGGTTGTGAAGCTTCCAGACTAAACATGGCTTTCCTACTCCTTCGGACCCTTGTGAAGCTTCAGCTGAGACTCAAGATATAGTTCCGTCACGCTAACGCATGATTAGCAACTGTCGAGCCACTTTCAAACGGAAACGAATCTCTCCATCTTGACTACGCTTCAACACCTTGGCCTATCATACACGAGCATCTCACGGTTCGGGTAGCAACATCAAGCCCCTGGCACTGGATTTTTCTTTGTCCCAAAATTAGCAACTCTCCCCAGCATATGATGCCGAGGCCAGAAACCAGTGTTCTTAAAATATAAGACATGGCACTCTTCACAAGAGTTGACACTCGCCTACATTGGAGAAAACCTGACCAAGCTTCCCAGAATTTTGGTCGAAGGCACAAATCCTCGGCCTCCTGCCAAGCGAATATGCCATACCTGGTACAATGCTGCTTGTTCTTCACAATCTTGCCTCAAATCGTTCTCGCTCGATCAGCCCCGACTACGAACGAGGAATACCACATAATGTCTTTTGGGAAAACCGGTAGAGAAAAAAAAGACACCGGACAACTCTGGCGGCATCAATACCGTCGATTCGTGTGCCCGCGACGAAATATCTCTTCCATTCGCACTACTCTGCCTTGGGTTACCCAATGGGCCTTGTTCAATCGGCCAGGAAGAGCCATCTCGTCTGATACACACTTTCCAAATCTTGAATGTCTCAATTTATGATCCAAATAAGCTATCTAATCTTCCTCTTCCTACATATACCAGCCAAAATTTGGCTCAATATGCTGGAAACATGAGCCTATCAGATGATACCACGACTTTTTTTTGATCCAATGTCTAAGTTTCCGGATAATCAAGATTCCACAACTACGTTACGAATTTCTGCTTGTGGTGACTTATCTCGGTCGAGGCTCGGCCATGGAACAACGGTTTCGAGGCGACGTTGACTCCTTTCCCAACCATACTACTTATCGCACAGGAAGGAAAAAAGAGCATGGACCCAGATGGGCCGAAGGTTCCACTCCATGAGTCGAAGCTCAAAAGTGCAATGCTCTGAACAAACCCCTGAAGTGATCGGTAGAGTAGAGAGATTTCTTACACCGCGGCTCTGTGATTGCATAGCAGTGGTTCTCTCCTAGTTCCTTTCACCTCTGAATCCTCTCTATTGCTGCTAAACTCTATCGCTTGTTCCGTGGTTCACTCTATCATTTTCATCCTTGTGCGAAAAACCACCTCCGGTCCGCGAGTCTTTGGTGTAGCCAGTCAACCAACGAATTCCTTTCATCATGGAGATGGATCGGATACCACGAACTCCCACATCGGCATACTCTACGGACAGCTCGCAGTCTGCTTTGGAGCCACCTTGTTTCCCTCGATCGCCTTCACAGATGTCTGTGGCCTCCGAGGCTGACTCGATGGCACCGTTGGGCACTGCTGGCGCCTTCAAATGCGACATTATGGTCAAGTTTCTTCGTCAACGACAGATGGAAAAGCTCTGGTCAAACAGTGACTTCGAGGAAGGTGTGGTTCTGAAAAGAGCCAAAAATGACTTCATTTGTCAGCCAACCAAGTTGCTGTTCACTCAGCATGGCCTATTCGAGCAAATTGGTCGGCTGAATGTCAAGGTTTGTCCACTCGCTTCTTGGTGATATCTGATGCTAATTGCAATAGGTTGCCATGACCGTGAATACGGACGTCATTCAATCCTTCTTACAAACTTCGCAACTTCCCTATGTTCCGTACCTTGATAGCCTGCGGATCCAGGTGCTTCCTGACATCACTTACCTGTCGGACTGTAAGAAGCATCACTTTGCGGCATTCATTCGAGATCTGGGCCTTTTGGTCGTGTGGCATAACGATCCCGAGCAGATCATCAGCCGAGCAGAGCAGATCGAGCAACACCTTGTTTCCCTGCTCTGGAAAGACGAGAACATTGTTGTCAGAGGTGCACCGCCCAGCAAGACACCTTCTATCAACCTCGTAGAGAAAGTGGACACTGGCTCCGAGGAAGAGGGACGCCGGTATGACGACAAGCCCCGAAAAACACTGCTGTATCAATCGATCCTCATGTCCTTCGTGGCCATCTTGGTTGTTCTCACCATCGGTCTGGGTTGGCGGAAAGTGGCGATTGAGGTCAAAACCGACCATAGCTACCTTCGACTTATCCTGGCCATTGTCATCTTTCCCCAGATTTGGCTCGGCTGGTTCTTCTTCCAGACATTGGTCAATGGAATCTCACAAGTCGTTGGACCGGTCAATCAAATGGACTCCAACTCCCGCTCATTTTCTGGTGTCCGTTCAAGGAGACTTGAGACAGACACTCTGCCTCATGTAACCGTCCAATGTCCCGTATACAAAGAAGGGTGAGGTTTCCTCTCACATCTCCTCTACGAGCAAAAGTTAATTACCGAAACAGGCTCTGGGGCGTCATTGACCCGACAATGGTGTCGATTCGTGAAGCAATCTCCACGTATGAAATGCAAGGGGGAAGCGTCAACATCTTTGTCAATGACGACGGAATGCAACTTCTCTCCGTCGATCAGGTAAAGGAACGTCGAGAGTACTACGAGGAACACAACATTGGCTGGGTTGCTCGTCCCAAGCACAACCCAAGCCCAAATGTCCAAGACGGAGAAAAGGCTTTCATCAGACCTGGAAAGTTCAAAAAGGCGTCCAACATGAATTATGCCATGAACATCTCTGCTCGTATTGAGGACGGTCTAGCCAGAGTTTCTCGCCACGAAACATGGTCACAGCAAGATGAAGACAATGCCTACCGAGACATGCTCGGCCAGGTCTTGAAGGAGGATCAAGGTCGGACGTGGGCCGACGGCGACGTGCGCATTGGCGATTACATTCTGATCATCGACTCCGACACCCGGGTGCCAGCCGACTGCTTCCTCGACATGGTGAGCGAGATGGAAGCCTCTCCACAGGTGGCCATCGTTCAATATAGTTCGGGCGTCATGAACGTCACTTCCAGCTTCTTCGAAAACGGCATCACGTTCTTCACCAACCTAGTCTACACGGCGATTCAATTCGCGGTGGCCAACGGGGACATTGCTCCCTTTGTCGGCCACAATGCCATCTTGAGATGGTCGGCGCTGCAGGACATTGCCTATATGGACGACAACGACGACGAAGACAGCGCCAAAAACGGGTTGGCCGTCGAAAAATACTGGGCCGAGACTACCGTGTCGGAAGATTTCGACATGGCGCTCCGGTTGCAATCCAAGGGTTACGATTTACGTTTCAGCACTTACTTTGGACCCGAGGGATTCCAAGAAGGTGTCTCGTTGACGGTTTACGACGAGTTGGCAAGATGGGAAAAGTACGCGTACGGTACGTCATGAGCCATCTCCGTCTTTCATACCCACGGGAAGCAAAAAGGAAACAAACGCTGATGTCGATCTTTGATTTTGCAACCAGGCTGCTCTGAACTCATTTTCAATCCATTACGATATTGGGCCACAAAGGGACCCATCACACCACTGTTCCGCAGGTTCTTGTAAGTCCTTCTTTATTTCGAAAATCCCGTCTGGTACGATGCATCTACTGTTTGGGACGACCACCCACACCCAACACCTCTTCCCGAGATGATCATCATACTGACTTCTTCTTGGTGTATCGGGGCTTACAAGACTCTCAAACATGTCATTAATGGCAAAGATCACAATCATGTCTTATATTGGCACGTACTATGCCATTGCTTCTGCTTGGTAAGTTTTTTGGGGGGTTGTATCTCTACGGCACATGGCACTGTCCAGACTCCCATGTTCGGACAGATCAATACATGTTCCATTTTACTGCCTCGTAGAACGAGCGAGGCTGACAGTCGGCTCATTCCTCTCTTGCCCACAGGATCCTCACGGTCATGAATTACTTCCTCATCGGCTGGTTCAACGGCTACCTCGACCATTACTACGTCGACTCGTTCAAGATTTACTTTTCGATTGTCATTGTCTTTCAGGCTCTCGGTACTGTGTCCCTAGCAGTATTACGCTATGTGAGTCAATCTACTCGACCAATTCCTCCCTGACCTCTGGACTTTCCCTTGCGGGAGAAGAGAGAAATCCCTTTTTTTTGAAACGAAAAGTAAAATATCAATAAAGAAAGAAACTTCTGGCAAAGTTTTAACTAATCGTGATCTTATGCAGCGCGTCTCTGGTCGTTCCCTCCTCGGCTGCCTCTTTGAGAACCTCAAATGGTTACCCCTCCTGACCATCTTCCTCGGCGGCATCTCTCTGCACGTCTCCCAGGCCATCGCGTCGCACATGTTGTCGATCGACATGACGTGGGGCGCCACGGCCAAAGAGGCGACGCGCACTTCCTTCTTCGACGAGGTCCCCGTCATCCTCCGCCGGTTCAAATTCACCTTTTCCTTTTGCGTCGTCGCGGTCACCGCCATGGTCGTCCTCGCCGGCGTCGGCCCTCTCGGATATGTCGTCCCTCACGACTGGTTGATCACCGGCTTCACCGCCGTCTGGCCGCTGGCGCTGGTCGTGGCGTTTCATTTTCTCTTGCCGTTGGTGTTGAACCCGGGACTGATGCAGTTCACCTTTTGAGACGGCAGCGTCTTGGAGATTGGACCTTGTCTTGTTTTGTTGTTGCTGGGACTCGTATGTACGGGCGAGGAATGTCGAATGGTAGCTGTCTATCTTGAAACATCCCAGTCAGGGTCATCCTTCGTACTTTTCATCTTATATTTGATGTCGAGATTCAAACCGTCAGGGCTCGAAACAGGTTACGCTGCATGGACAGTCTGTCGGAACTCAAAACCGAGACTTGAGATTGAGCAACTTTTGATTGAGAAATTAATTTACCTACATGTACCTATTTTCAGTACCTTTTTGTGCGATACACTCTCGTGACACTCTTTTTCTTTGTACTGATATCACAAACAAATCCTAAGTCGACTGACCACCATGATCAAGTATGAGATCTGTTTTGCACACAATTCATTAGAAGCCAAGACCAGCTCAAAAGCTACCTGGAGGTACTCAGGAAAGAAGGTCAGAGAAGTGCCATACTGCCCAGATGCGCGCCCTGTTGCGGAAACGGCACAAACCGTAGTCTCGACGTCGGCCTGTGGCTGAGCGGCGACGAGCTCGCATGTCCAGTGTGGTGCCGTTCCAGGTCTTCGTCCGGTCGGAAAAAGGTGACGGCATGGGACAAGGTCATGCCGTCCTCGTTCTTGGCCAGGCCAAAGGGGACCTCACAGTCGTCTTCGGGGGCCAAGTCGATCTTCCACCCGTCCACAAAAAACTTGCAAATCAACATTGCCCGTACGGCGAAGGGGTGTGACAGGGCCAGTTCCCTCAGGTACCGGATGCTGGGTGTCCTGTAAACTTCGCGATCGCGACCCTCCACTGTTGTTCGTGTTTTGTGGTCCGCCATGCGTGCGAGTTCAGCAGACATGACAATGTACGGCATGAATGCGGGAGTTCGACGTAGAGAGTACAAACTCTGATAAGCCTTGAGGAGAGACAAAATGTTCTCGGTTGCTTCTATGCAAATCAGTCGTGTGGCCGGGACGGTGTCGAAGATGCCTGTATTGTAGAACGGTCTGAAGAGGAGTAAAACAGCGAAATGATAGAATATGCTAGATGAAGAACAGGTATTAGTTCCACGGTGTCACAGTTATTGTAGTCAACAAGAACATAGTATAGGCAGATACTCACTGTGCGAACAATACAGGTGGTGTCGAGTTTCTGCCGAGCCGGAGCGCGTCTGGAAGTGAACTGTAGAACTGGAGGTATTCAGTATAAAGGGCGCGCACCGAGGACGTAATGTCTCGCGTGTCTTCGGACTGCAAACACAAGTTCGTCTTGTGCACGAGCTGTGCAAGCTCCGCGAATATCTTGTACACGGACCTCATATTACTTGGTTGGTGAAGGGTAGGATCCGGGTCGACCCCTTGATCTGAATATGGTCTCCAGGGCTCGTGTTCGATCTCGTCGATCTTGATGGGCTTTTGAACCGCCACCTCTTCAGGAGTGACTTGAGATTGTCGTCCCACACAAAGTGACCATGCCCTGTGTAAAAGTTACAGATCAGCAAAGCGACGCGAGAGGAAGTTGTCTTCATACGTACTGTTCCAAAGTATAACATCCCCAGAATGTGGCGGCACTAACTTGACGTTCTGGATTGGAATACAACAACCGGTCCGCGCGTCGGTCCTGCGAGTCTGCCATGTGCAAACCGAGATCGAGGGCCGTTCTCATTGCGTACCGAGAGAGGTGCCACCCGCTCATGTCGTTCCCGCAGCTCGCCTGCCTCAGCGACATCAGGCCAAGTGCTTGGACTTTGGTGAGTGACGGGACATCTTCATAGCCCAACAGCCGTTGTGCCTCTTCGTAGAAGTGGTCGCCGGCCGAAGACGGGTTGTCTTCATATTTGCGCGCCTCTGGAAGATCACTATATCGAGCGCCCAGGGCAAGAATTGCGTTGACGAGTAAAGGAGAACAGAATCTCTGGTTGCCGGTGTGAAAATCGAGGAGGAAATGTTCTCGAGACAAGCTGGCAAAAACGGGGTATTCCCAGCAAAAGTAGAGGGCTATCAAGTGTTGTACAAGATTATCATTGTTGGTGGTTTGCGTCCATGCCGATGGCCGCTGGGAATGCGGAGACGATTCGTTGTCGGTCAAGATCAGTCGAGATAAGTGGGAGAGCCGCGATGGACCGACCAGGTTGAACTCCGAAGGTGACCGCCATCTCGAAGGTTCGTTATACTCTGGCTGGTCTGGAAAGTGTTCGGGATCTTTGTCGCCCATCGTGGGAGTATTTTGCCCGGTTGTATCTCGAGGCAAGCGTGCTGACCCCGGGTTTGACGTGACATTCTGCAGCATATCTTCATGCTCTAGGTCCTACAAAAAAGTCTGTCAATCTTCGCCATAAAGGAATAGAGACCAAATGATCGGGACTACGGTACCTCCATGAATTGTACAGCCTGTGTCCGGGCATCTGAATCGATGTTGGATTCGGCGATGAGGTCCGCCAACAAATTCGCAAGTCGGTCGTTCTTTGCTTGCAAGTCAAGCACGCTACTTTTGCTCTCAATGAGTTCTTTTCTGGCCTTTTCTCTTTTCCTGTCGCTGTACACGCATTCCACTCCATCCATCTCGCACTTGGTGCATCTCAATCCCCCCGAACATTTTGTCCGCATTCGACGGCACCTGTCACACGCGTGAGCAACTCGAGCTCGTGGGTCCATTTTTCGTGTCTGTCGTGGTTTTGTTGAATCCGAGACGTTCTTCTTGGACAGACACGGTGATGCAAAACCATCATGTAAAAAGGCTCGATTCGCCGTCGGCGAAAATCTTGGTGGCCTGTATCAAAATGTCCAGAACGATGTTGATCAATAGAATTGGAGATCGAGATATGAAGTCATGTTATGCCGAGAATTTGACATGAAGTTCTGGAACCGAGTGGAAGATCATTTCCACTGGGAAAGATTACAGGTGGTCAGGATCAGTTATCGCTGTCTTCCACCGCAGATAATATTCACAGGGCTTCATGATTCGACTCTGGCCAGATGTTTGTCTTACCACCTTCCACGTCATTCTGTAGCGCTTTCATACTCCGTATCTTCCGAACTAATACAAAGTACTCAAAGGTCACATGATCCCGTCCTCCTTTATCTTATCTACGATACGAATACGATGAAACTCAACAACAGCCTCCCAGAAATTCCCTGTTGCTGTATGTATTGCGGGCTTCTATTATTTCATCATCCATTACAGACCTGACTCCCTATCATCCACTTTCCTCATTGTCCCATCCAGCAATGATTGATATGGCTAGAGTAGGCCACGTCGAATGAACTGTCATCATCACATCATGCAATATCGACTTTATTGTTCCCAAGACTCCTACGATCCTCATCTGCTTGCAAGAGCGAGCTCAACCTTTGCGAAAATTCCAACGCTTAACCCAATCCTCCAGCTTTAATCTCTGCCGTGTATGTTGTATGCTGTCTTGTCGCAAAGTGGCAGTCGGAGAAGTAGGCGAAGGTAAAGAGATAGTCTCTTCTCCTGCTCCCTTGGCATCAATTTTGTCCTGATACACAGAACCGGAATTTTGTGAACTGCTTGCATCAAGCTTCATATATTGTTGTTGCGCGAGTGGCGAACTGAAGGAACCTGCGTCTGTTGACGTGGGTACAAGTGAATCATGCGACCACGTACCCAGGCCTGCTTCCGAGAAAGCAGCGCTTTCGATTTGAAGCAGGTGATGTCTGCGCCAGACCGATAGCCAGGGCACACCGGCTTTGCGTGCTCGTCTGCGGCGGAACCACTGGATCATCGGGTCCAAGGCTGTATTCAAGAGAACGAAGAATGCGCCGAGAACAAGTATCAGCAGGCCGCCGAGCATGTTGAAGGACGAATAGTCACTTCTTTGTACCATCTGAGCACCGCACATCCACTTGTCCTCCTCGCTTGGTGGTACTCGGTATTTATCCTGGTCCGCAACCCCATCTCCGACGGAATACTGTGCGGTGAATTGCTGCACACTGTTCCAGAACATGCTGTACCAATGGTCGACTTCCCGCATCCATTGATCGTTGGGCAACGACGAACCTGCCATGCCCCATCCGGAAGCCGTCGACGCAAGGAGAGCATCGTTCCCGAGCCCAACAGTCATGAGATTCATGTTTGCACCTTGGACGGTGTACTGAATTCGGTCGAACAGAGACTGTTGTCGGGCACTGTAATTGAGACTGCTAATGTCTTGATCTACTATTCCCGCCAATGGAGTGCAGTGATGTTCACCATTGCACCACTGCCACTGTTGCGCACAACCGAGGACGGTGAGTGGTTCTGAGGGTGTCCAGTACGTCATGTTTATGAGATCTCCATCACTCGTGATGACCTCTTCGACCACTGAGACATCCGCTTGGAAGATGGGATCGTCAACACGGGTCACGAAAGCCAGCTGATCTTGCATAATAAACCATAAAGCGACATCCGCATCTGTTCGATTGAGTTGCGGAATGGGATCAAATGTTCCGGGATTGATATCAGTGGCGTCGGCGAACTCAACGTCCATCATGTAGGATGGAGCTTGCAGGTTTCCAAGTGCAGCACCAAAGCTTGTGTTGTAGTATATAAAGGTATAGTTCGAACCTAGTGTCGTTTCTTCACCATATGAATACCCCAAATACCCCTGGACAGGGGCTGTTTCCGGTTCGTAGTACTCATTACTCAAGGTGGTTTCGTTCCAAGTCAACATGTCGGACTTGAACCCGTCGATGGTCACCGGGGTGCATCGCATGACCTGTGGAATTTGTCAGTCAAAACTCAAGCGATTTTGATACTTGACTAACATTGCGCATTTGTATCCGATCTTTTGCTGGCGCGTTGATGCCCAAATGCAAGTGGGAATCGATGAATGGTGTCTCGACTTGAACCGTAAGTCCATCTCGGCACATTTCGTTCGCGAAAGGGCATTCAAGACCAGCAGTCACATTCCACGGAACGAATTGGCGGCCCCAGGCCTTGCAGTCCTGGAAATATTGTTGCGGTCCGGTGGTGTTGTATGCATGACAACTGCTTGAAGAGATCTGGGCATTCTTCCAGGCACTCAATCGCCATGTAGAGACAAAAGCCTGCTTGATCATACCGCTCACGTTGAATACCTGGACGTCAGGGAGCTCTCCACACACCGGGCCACTGATGAGAACGGTGGACTGAACACTGGCGACATTTGAGGAGAAGATGCCCGCTGCGGAGAAGGAAAGGAAGTAAATGAGCGCCGTGGATAGAAAGGGTATTGTTCTTCGAATCGATCCTGGGACCTTGTTACGCCATGCATAGCCAGCAGCGGAGAACTGCCAAATAGCTCGATTGTCAGAGAGATTGTTGCGAAGGAGCGCCTGTTGTTGATGATAGAGTCCATCGCGTGGGCCTGTCGTCTGTCGCGCATGAAACCATGCGTAGCATAGTAAGTCCCATAAGTGACTCCCAGCTAGCCGGACGAAGATGGCAAGGAAGGCAATCAGGTATGCTCCTTGAGACGTTGTCACGGTGAGTGTCAACCCTTGGGCGCGCCCGTGAGTCCAGTCCGTCCATAGACCTGTGTGCACCTTCTCATAAGGCGAGATTTGAGAAGACATTTGGAAACATTCGACATGCAGGAGATCTGGCCTGGTCACAAGATTTGTGTAGGGATGGGCCTGGGAATTGGTGTTCAACATATATCATTAGAGAGATTAAATCCACGGAATGCGCCATGCCTGGAGCTGCACAAGTGGGTGTTTCGGTGGACGCCTTATTCGGACGCACTTGAGAACATAGTATCGTTGTACACGGTGTTCTAGAGATGCGATTTCTTTTCGGTTCGACCAGGGTTGAAACAACTGTGAGTGGTCCCCGTTCAGAGTGAGCTAGGAACCAACAAGAGTACAATTTGGGATGATGTAATTCGGCCCCCAGGAGGCTGCAGACTCTAGGAGGCATCATCAGGCGTGACAAGAAGGCTATCGAGCCGAACTAAACAATGGCAGTCAGTATGGAGTACGAGTAGAGAAACCAAGTATCGAGGTTATCTTCCCATGTGCAGAGGCTCCATCCGACCCATTGTGTTGTTCGGGTTGAGATATGATTGCACCCAATATTGGGTTCCGTCGCATCGGTGGCAACGCTTGTCAGAAGCTTAGCCAGAACATGATACTTAGAAGTCTCGGTAAATGCCCTATAACTCCACATAGCGAGCGTTGGTTAGCCTGAGGCAGATAAACAAGTCTGGGGGCCTGAAAGCATGAGCATGCGGGCTGGAGATCACCTGCTGTAAGTGCTTCTAGCTCACAGCCTAGCTGTTGTGGGAAGGAGTTGCTAAGTATAACAGTCGGCCATTCTCCGTTACTAAGATGATTTGCAGCAGATATCGTCCTAGCAAAAGAACAATCTTCACAATCAGATGGTCTCAAGTTGCGATAGTCTGGATGGCAATGGAGTAGTTTTCGACTCACGCTGAAAAGGCATGTCCAGTTGGACCGAGGTATGCCATTTGTCAGGGACAAATAGTCCCATCACCAAGGGCATCGTTGCACATTGGTTGGGTTTGGTAATGCATGCAGATCATACACGACGAAGCGAGGCAAAGGAGGCGGCTGGCACATGGGTTCTCGCTCATCTGCAACAGTGCTGACCCGAGAGAATGATACATCTCCTTCCGAAGCACCATCAATTTCACGTCAGTGTTGCGCAGTGCTAGAGCCACTCGAGAGCTGGCTGCTCAGCTCCAAACCGGCTTTAGCAACGTACCATAATGCTGTGCAAATGGAGCCCATAGTGAAATGGATCGAAAGAGCTCAAATATTGTCATATCACACGCGAGTCTTTCAAACGCTATGGGACTGGGATAGGTCGTGAGCGAATGACCACTTCTCAATTCAGAAACCAGAGGCAGAGGCAAAGTTGGTGCTCATTCGGGAAGCCATACACTGTACAGATACTGAGCCCCATGAGGAGACCTCCGTTGTCGGTACAGTAGAGTGCGTAGATCGAGATAATCAGTGATCAGCACGACAACACCTTCGCTTCAAATAGTTTGTCCGGGACGTAGATATAGACATTTGTAGTATTTCGTATTCTTGCCAAGCGGAATCAACAAGGATCATGACATTTTATCAATGTTCGAATATTGACGATCATATTTGACTGACGATGACTTCCTCGAGAAACGTGTTCGCATGTCATCTGGACCACTCAGGCAACCGAGACATCAACTTTGCTTTTATCTAGCACACCCCATCAGGATATTTATGAGCAGAGGAACATGACAGGAACTCACAAAAAGCGACATGATCTTTGATATTCTTCGCCTTGTCCTTGGGAGTTGGATAAAACCACGCAGCATCCTTCAACGTTTTGCCATTCACGGTCAGATCATAGTAGCTGGCGGTTCCCTTCCAGGGGCAGAAAGATTGAGTATCCGAGTTAGTGAAGAGCGACTTGTCAATGGCACTCGGTGGGAAGTAGACATTGCCCTCTACCGTCTCGTAAGTGTCGGCGGAGGCAATGACTTTGCCAGACACTTTGGCAGTTGCGGTAGGCATATCGAACCACGGAATTGTTGTGAGGAAATTAAGGTGTGAAATGTAAGTAAATACGGAGTATTGAACAATGAAATCAGATTCGGAGTACCAAGGTTGAAGTGTCAATAAGTACTCGCGCGGGACAAGAGGTAAAATTCAAATTGGTTGAAGAGTTATAGAGTCATCGTCATCATAGAAGGAGACCACGAAGTCGAATGACAAATCAACATGGCGTTCTCATTTTATGGGGATCTGATCTGGGGCCAATACTCCAGGCAACGCCTACAATATCTTAAATAGCTTGAGGTCATGATTGGTAAACACTTTAATCTATTTGGACCCGTTTTATAAGGTAGATTTGGGGGCCATGCATGATCGGTCAACACGCCAAAGCTTACTGACAATAGTTACTGAGCCTTGTCATGCCTCATCTCTCTTCTTTGTAAACATAAGCACGCTGTTTACAGGATATACTTTTCAAGAGATGTCGAAAATGCCTTGTTCTTTGTCCCAAGCCTCTTTTGGGTAGAGCAAATGCGGGTTAGATATCCCTTGCTTTCATGACTGAGGCATGCTGGCTGAGGTCTCGAAGGGTCTTGGATGAGCATCTCCGCGACTGGCTCACTGGCGCTGTCTGCTTTCCTTGGTGGCATTGCTGTATTTGATGTCGCAGACTCTCCGATCGAATAAATCGACGTTCCAGTCTGAGGGGCCCTTCCGGTGCAATAGTACTTCTCAAAGTCCCAAAGCACGAGCAGCTAGATCCCTCAGAGTGCCTCTTGTCATCGATCACACCAAAAGATGGCGTGTACCACATTCGGTCCAGGGCAAGATCAATGATTCAGTCTTTGATAAAATCCATCTCCGCAGTTCCTTGGGACACTCTGGAAACACTCGATTCCTCGATATCTCTCCACAGCTTCATCCCATCCGAGTCGTTCGTATATTCAAACCACAAGAAAAGCTTGAGCTTTTCCCTCATACTGTGCCAAGAATTGATATCTAGTTCTCTGCTCAATCGATCGAGCGTCGTCAGATACCACGGGCGATCGGGAGTACCAATACTAGCGATGGCTCCCATGACAGTAACCCACAGCATCAAATCTGCCGCTTCGTTCCAGCAATCCTGCACATCGGGCAAAGATAACTGTTTGATGATGTCTGAAGACAGCCGACCGAACGGAGCTGCAATGGCTGGCAACGGAAACACCACAAGGAAGCTATAGACAACAGTACCCAGACGCGTTAGACGACACATCGGATGTTCCTCACCCAGTGCGAGGGCATCAGGCATGAGCTGCATGAGATTATGTTGAACGAAATTTCTTTGGTCCATCAGTGCACGTTGGATTTGACTCTCAGGACGTTCTTGAACATGGTCGTCCACCGCAAAGGTGTATTGTATCATCCACTTCAGGACGACCAAAAGTTTGGAGACATCCTCATGTGCGTGCCCAAGCATTTCGGGCAGCACACGAAAGCCCTTTCCTAGGCCAACCAGGGGGTGAGTCTTTCGTGACGCTGAATTCAGAAGGCTAACCACATCGTCATGCATCATCACGTAAGGCAACATGGGAGGGGAAAGGGTCTGGCAAGCCAGTACGATATCTCCGCTATCAACAGTCAGAAAGCCACACGCGGAAAGGGATAGAGTTGACGGCACTCACAAGGAGATGGCTTGAGCCAAACCAGGTAACTTAATCTTGCTCAGTCCGCCGCGTAAAGTCAACATTTTAGCCAGACCTTGAAGGTGTACCTGGACCGTTTCCAGCCGCCCACCATAAACGTGAAGGAGTTGCAAAGTAGTGAGAGGACCTTGCGAGGGGGCAATCGCAGGTTGGTGGGGTCTGAGGTCGCCATGATATGTGAGAGAGTAGACTGATAGGATATTTTCATCTTCACAGCTCATTGAGTTGTCCTTGAATTTCTGGTGGACGCCCCGTATGGTTTCGGTGTAACACTGCATCGTCTCGCGTGACTCCAGAAAGACCGGGGACGGGTAGAAGATTCGATTCCGAGTTAGCTGGCAAAAGAGAGACGCATGGAATAGCCCTCGATCGCGGAAAGTCATCTGAAGCCATGTCGTGGCGAGAGGGTGGATGGTCTGACCGCCTCCTGGCGGAAACATCAGACCCAGGAAGTTTTTGACTAGAATGCATTAACAGCTGTTCAGTACACGGTATATAGGACTATTCACCCTGGTCAAGAACACGGCTGACGAACTCCGTCGGCAGATCAGAAGGATACGTTCCAAACGGATCATGATGTGTCGATGGCAGCAGCGTTGATAGTGCCGAGTCCGGAAGTATCACAACGTCGCTGTGAGCTGGTGAGTCTGTGAAAGCTTGCTCACTGCGCTCGTCCTCCGTCTTGGGCGGAGATGTGTCGCTTTCCGGCGAGGTAGAGTCATTCTTGTTGGGTGTTGCTGGTGCAAGCGCACGGCTTCTGCTCTTCGATATGCTGCTCGTCGAGCGCCGTCTGGTAGCAGCTGGTCGGCCGGGTGAGAGAGATTCAGATCTCTTGTCTTTCTTCACTCGGCGCCAGTGGAAGTTGGAGGCGTTGGAGCGGACGAGGATTTTGTTCTGGCTGCGCTCGGCTTCAGAAGAAGGAAGCGCGGTCACAAATTGAAAGGCTTTCGATGCAGGGCGCGACGCTGCACCGCCCGCACTCTCATCCGACCGACTCTTCACGGCTTTCGCCTCGTGCATATCCTTCTCGTTGTAGACATAATCCCCAGGGAGCAATGTGAAGTGTGTCGAGGAAGGAGGAGCAGCACTCGGGCGCCCGTCTATATGCGCGAGGAGGGAGAAGGGCGGCGGCGACTAATGATGCATGATGGCGGTGTGTGTTTACAGTGGCACTGGATACTGTAACATTCGAAAAAGAGCAAGGAAGAGGCTCGTGTTCGGTTAAAAATACGGAAAATCCTGGACAAGAGAGAGGGAGAGAGAGGGAGAGAGAGATCTTGCTCCCAAGCACCGTCAGTCACAAGGCCACAGCGGGACGAGAGACGGCATTATGACATGAGATCGCTCGGATATGGGAATGAATTTAACCAGGCTTTTGACTGGCTGAACCCATCCGGGCATATGATTTCTTGTGTTCAAACAATGGTGGATGATGTGCCCATTGCTGTGAAAGTGGGTTAAAGAATAGCAAGATTGAGGGGGATATCAATTCCCTCTCCACATGCGCCAATTCAGAAGTACCGGGGACCGGGCAGTGCGTTTGTTAACCTAGGTAGATTCCTCTCTGGATGTCCCCTAGAACTCCACAGAACTCGCCTGACTCGCTGGGGGCTCACACTCTCAATTCAGCCGAACATCTGCCCCGTTGAGTGTCCGAGAAAAAGGACTAGGCGAGAACACTGTCACAACGGAGCTAGCTGGGATTGTCGTAGAGTCAATTTGACAATAGGTTTTGAAAACTGCATCGGTGTGGTGTGTATGAACACGGGTTGTCCGTATATCTACGGAGTACTGCCTGGATGAGTTGATCCCTACGTGTTCTCCGAACTCCAGACGCTACGGACATCGCTGAACTCTTTGACAACTCCTGGAAATTGCTCCGTGCGAACATATTGACACATGCGCCGAAGATATCCATCCAAGGAGATATACTCCGGACTCGTATATGTACTTATCATGCATGTTCCAGAGCGCAGGAAAAAATTCTCAAGTTGCGACACGGCATGTGCTCATCCCAGACATACTTTGTTGAGATGGAGGGAACTCGCCACTCCGTCACAGAGATGGCTTTGCCTTTCCCTGATGCAGGTGTGGAAATACGTGGCGAAGATTGGGCTCTTCGTTGGACGAGCTCGACTCGGCCAGGCGGCCTTCGCCTTCGCTTGTTGACGGCGGCGGAGTTGTACTCGTATGGCTAGATAAGTTGCTCTTCTCCAGATCAGATCTCATTCTGTCGTTGGCCTCACCGGTCAATTTTAGCGATGCATCAATGTCCTTGGTCAGCTTCTCGATTTCATCGTCCAGTATCTCTTGACGGCTCTTTGGCTCCTGTGGCTCCTGTGGCACCTCTCGGCCTTTCGATGGGTTCGTCCTCTCCCACAGTTCCTCAAGCTCCTCCCGCCAGCCAAGAGCATCTGCGAATCTTCTGACCCCTGCATCGCAGTCGCCGAGGATCAGCACATCATCTGGTCGCGAGCCAAGGCCACCTACTTTCTCCAGATTGATGAGAACTCGAGGAGTGTTTTCACTGACAAACGCAGGTAGGCTGGCGAATGGCTGGACCGTCAGACTTGTGCCCATGATGATGGCCAGATCAGCCTTTGCTGGGAGACTGCGGCTGCGGAAAAAGGCCTCGGGCAGTTGCTCGCCAAAGAAAACGATGTCGGGCTTGACGAGACCACCACAGGACTTGTTGATACAGTGCGGAACCTCCTTCTTACCAATTATCTCTTTCATCAGGTCATCTGGGTATTCTGTGCGACAATCAATGCACCTTTGCGTGGCGAAGGAACCATGAGCCTCCACGATGAAGTCTCCTGGAACCCCAGCTTCCCGCTCCAGACAATCTATGTTTTGTGTGAATAGCTTGAGAAGTTTTCCCTTCTTGTGCAACAGGCTGATGAAGGAGTGTGTGATGGTCGGCCGGTATTTACCAGGGTACAGTTCATGCGCGAGAGTATAGAATGGGTATGGATTGGTGCGGAAGTAGGAGATGTCAAAGACAGCCTCAGCGTAGGGCAGATTTAGACGAGCGAGATTGGAGTAGAGGCCCGTATCAGGAGAACGGAAGTCAGGTATGCCTGCGCTCGTACTTATGCCGGCTCCGGTCATGACCACAATATTCTTGACGTTCCTCTCCTTGATATATCTGGCCACGGCTTCAATGTTTCGCGCATAGAGTGTGGTTGGACGTGTCGATTCGTCTACCGGAGTAGACGACTCATTACCCATTTTGAAGGGACGCTCATGGAGCGGCTTCCAGGTACGGTTTCGATTGCGGCGACCGATGATTGCAGAAAGAACGTAACGGAGGAGACGGGGAATTTCGAGAGAGGGTCTCGGTCTTGGGTGAGTGTCACTGTGAGGATGCCAGCAAGAAGATACACCAGCAGTATGTAAGGTAGACAGAACAGCAATTGAAGATGTGAAAAAGAACAAAAGCGACACTTCACGGCACATGAAATCGAACCCTCGTCATTTTCATCTTCGCTTGAATCAGGAATTTCCCCGCAGCGTGATTTGTCGAATCAGTAATATTTATTATTTTTCTTCGCCGTGTTAACAAGTGTCCGACACGTCTCCGGCCCCTGATGAAGATGACGACCCGGACTCGTATTAGGTTTAGCAACGTGTACCTCACATATCTCTCCTGACAACGCATGGGATCTGTGAGAAGAATTCTGGCTTGTGATAGGCATCAAGTGCGTCCACAGCCATGACCACAAATGGCCACGTAGCCGCTCATGAACCCGGGACGACAGAAACGACAGACATCTACAATGCAAAGTCAGTCTCGGAAATCAAGGAAGTTCTCGCCCACCTGCACAGCAAGGAAGCACGCGTGACAGTCCAGCTTGATGCGTTGGTCACTGCACAAAAAGACCTGCAGCGAGAACTTGGTCGGCTCGACTTGTTCCGTGCAAATGCCACGGCTCAAGCCTCCAAAGCCCGGGCAGTCAGCAATGGGATTCTTGCGGACGCGGCTTCAAATGCAAAGCGCATTTCGAACTCTGTCAAGCAGCTTGACCTAGAACAGGAGAGGGTCAAGGCTACCCTGACTGTTGTCGAACAGGTGGGAGAATTGAAAGCATGTGTGTTGGGTGTCTCGGGATCCATGGGCGCCGCACAGGATTGGGAGACGGCGGCTGGGTATCTGAGCAGAGCATCCAAGATTCCAAGCGACGTGCTCAATGGTCCTTTTGCTGCCAGGATTGTTCCCACCGCCGAGGTACCTGACGCTCCGGCTGTGACACTCGAGGCTGCTTCGGAATCTCTATGCATGCTGTTCTTGAAGGAATTCGAAAAGGCTGTCAAGGACAACGACGGTGCAAGAATCACTCGCTTCTTCAAACTTTTCCCCCTCATCAATCGATCAGATGTCGGTCTGGACGTTTACGGTCGTTATGTCTGCCAGGGTGTTGCCTCGCGGGCCCGAACCAACCTAAACGCGGGCACCGGAGGAAGTCAAAGCAAAGATGGTTACTTCTATGCAAACGCCCTCACACGGCTCTTCGAGCACATTGCACAGATTATCGATGGCCACGGCGGCCTAGTTGAGCGACACTACGGCCAGGGAAAGATGATGCGGGTCATTGAGCGACTCCAAGTCGAGGCTGACCTACAGGGCGGCATCATTTTGGACACATGGGCCGACGAAAGACGGATCGACCGTCAAATAACCGACATCAAATCGTATGCCTTCACGTTCCTGGTTCAAAGCTTCATGTCCACGCCCCGGGGCTCGACCGGCACGCCACGGGCAGGCTCTCCCGCACCCGGGCGTGGAAGCGAAGATGAGTCTGTCGACATGAAGCAGGTCGATGCCCTCCTCAACGAAATGACCCTGATGCTGGGTAAATGGTCTCTCTACACTAAATTCATTTCCGAGAAAAGCTCTGAGCTCGTCACGACGCCCGATGTTGCACAGATGCCAGCATTCCTCCTCAATTCCAGCTTGATGAAGAAGGTGCAGGACCGACTGATCTCCCCTTTCAATACGATGACGACGTTCTTCTTCCGCCGCTCTGTCGAGAAAGCCTTCCAACTCGACGAACAGCCGGCAGGTCTATCTCTGAACCCACACAAACCACTGAACTCGAACCCTCCACACGTCACTTCGGCCATCGAAGATATAATGTACATCGCCAACAAAGTGCTCCAGCAATCGTTGGCGACGTCTCAGAGAAGCGTCGTGTCCAATGTCATCCCCACTCTTGGCCGCGTTTTGGGATCCGACTTCATCGGCATGGAGCAGCGCAAGATGCGCGACGAGAGCTACCCCAAGGCCGCGGCGCAAGGACAATTGCCACCGGAAGCGACCATTGTCTCCTTTCTAGTCCTCATCAACAACCTGGACGTGGCAAAGGACTATGTGGAACAGATCGTCGGAGTCCGCGTCCACCCTACGGTCGACTCCCCCCATCGAGCCCTCGCGGACTTATTTCCCGAACCCGGCGACGCCGAGTCCGTGGCCGTTACCCTGTCGGCTCTGGCCACGAGCTTCTCGGAAAAGACCAACGAGTTGATCTCGGACGGCGTCAACGTCGTCTTCCACAACGTCATGAAACCTCGCCTCCGGCCCATCCTGCTGGACGCGTTCCGCGACACTGACTACCAGCTGACCAGGGAACTGCAAGAACTCGCGCAGGAAATGGACGCCGACGCCGGCGGCGGCGAGTCGGACGCCACATTCACGGACGAGGTCCGCATGCGCTTCCAACTTGGGTGGGACGCCCTGACGAGGCCCATCGGACGGATCATGACGGAACGCACGTTCGACCAGCTCCTCACCATCGTGGTGACGTACCTCAGCAAGATGATCGAGAAGAGGCTGTGGACGTACCACGGTCGCATCAACGAGTCCGGCGCCGCGAGGCTGGAACACGACGTCAACGAGATTGTCAAGGTCGTGGTCAAGGGTCAGAAGTACGGTTTCCGAGAGGCCTTCCTCCGCTGCAGTCAGATATGCATGATCATGAACATGGACGAGGAAGAGTGGGAGGAATCTATAGCTTCGGGAGGAGACTTCGCCGACAAGCTCAAGCCCACTGAAAGGATACGAGCTAGGAACATGGTCACGGATGCTACCACCTAAGAATATATACAAAAGCCTGACGCCCACCGAACGTTAAGGACTTATGTGTTGTACGGATTTCATATGACCAAAGGGCTCTCTACATTTAAGAGTTATGTGATTGAACATTGATCTGATCATTTCACGTGCCATCTTTCTAAGCATCAGAGCATAAGCATGCCAACAAAATTGACGCCGGCTCCGGCCCTTGTCGAATGATGCAAACGGCTTTAGTTACACAAAAGGTTGCAAAGATGGCACCTCAACGCAACCCTGAACTTTTGCCAGTTATCGTTTTGTCTTTTTGCCTTTTTTCATCTCGTCCTCGGAGTTTCCACGCCATAGCCAGCCCCCCATCCCCCATTCTTCAACACACCACCAGTGCTTAGGTCAACAAGACTCAACCCTCACCTTGCAAGTCGTCACCTAAATCTATGCGCGAGACATGACACCCCAAGCACGGATCTTGTTGTCGGTATATCCGGAGAACAAGGTCTGGCCGTCAGCGGACCACGCCAAGCTGACGCAGTATGGCTCTTGAGACTTCTTGCCCTTCTCGACGTAGTCGGGCTTGAGTTCGTCGACCTTGTTCTTCTTCTCAAGGTCGAAGATGGTGATGGAGGAGGTGGTGGCAGCACAGAGCCAGTATCGGTTGGGGGAGAAGACGAGAGCGTGGATCTCATCGCCGGCCTGGAGAGAATAGAGGTGCTTGGACTCGTTCAAGTCCCAGAGCATGGTGGTACCATCCTTGCCACCAGAAGCGCACAGGGATCCATCGGGGGAGATGGTGACGGTGTTGATGTAGCCGGTGTGGCCGATGTGGTCGGTCTGGATGCGGCAAGATGCGAGTTCCCAAACCTATAAGCCAAACTTGTTAGCTTCAAAGTGGCAATCACACGAAAATCCATAGCTTTGCGATTATTTGACAGCGTGTTTGCCTCAGTCCGCTGGTGATTAGTTTTCTCATAGCCAAATGGCTCTGAAGTAGCAAATATATTGATATGCGTAGCATCTTGGGCAAGGGCTGTAGAAGTGTGGGTTCGACTCTTACCTTGACGAGCTTGTCCCAACCAGCGCTCACGATGACGGGGTTTTGCGGGTTTGGCGAGAAGCGGACGCAGGAAACCCAGTCGGTGTGGCCCTTGTCGGTGATGGTGAATTTGCAATCGCCCAAAGTGTTCCAGAGCTTGATCGTTCGGTCTCGGGATCCAGACACGATCTGTCTGTTGTCGGCGGAGAAGGAGACTGAGAGAACGTCGTTGGTGTGGCCGACGAAGGTGCGGGTGGTGTTGCCAGTAGACAGCTCCCACAGTCGCAGAGTCTTATCCCATGAGGAGGAAAGAGCGTAGGCACCATCCGAGGAGATGACGCAGTCAGAGACGATGTGGGAGTGACCGTGGAGGGATCGCTTTGGGTAACCGTAGGCAGATTCGTCGCGGGTCAAGTTCCAGATGATGAGTGACTTGTCTCTCGAGGCAGACAGCAGCATGTTAGGGCTAGGATAGCGGTTAGCGAAAAGTGTTGCGCCAATTTCGACATCGCAGGAAATATACTGACTTCTCCAAGCTGGTTGCGAGGGAGGTGACCCAGCCGCTGTGGCCCTCAAGAGTACCACGTTGAATGAGTTGTTCAGCCATGGTGTCTTGAAGTTCTGAGTAGGTATCTGGCCGATGTTGTTGTCGATGTTCCTTGCGACTTGGTGCACCCAAATCGACATCAGGAATCAGTGTGGGAAAAACCGCTGTACGCCAAGATTCACTACGCTAGTCCGAGATAGGCTAGAGAGTATTTTCTGCGCCTAAGATACGGCACTTCAACGAGCGACTTTGGTTTCTTGAACTTTTGAGGGCTTCATTGGCATAAGAACGCGCCTTTGAACATGAAAACAGACGTACGAACCCAATATCTATATGGAACTGGCTGTGCGCTGATACAGGACGTCTTGATACCTCTATCTTCACTCTCCACTGACTTGTTAAAGCCATGAGCAGAGCTGCTATCTTCTATGCACGGAGCCAACTTCAGCTCAAGTTCTCATCATTCATGAGAGCAATGTTCCAGAGATGGGATCTAAGTTGTCTCTTCCAAGGAGTCCGAATTTGTTTGAATGGCAATGATTTTACTAGTCCATCTGAGCACCACAAGCTATCCCTGCGAGGCGGAGATTCTCCGTGCACACCGGCTAAATGCACGGGATGCCTCGAACCGTTTATATAGTGTCGGCAGCATCCTCCTTGCTCTCTGAATGCTGCAAGAATCCTGCGTCTCGTGGGTAATCGTTTTCTACCATCGCCTGTGACCTTTGCAAGCATCTTCCCTTGTCTTGATCCGAAATGTCTTCTGTCGAACAGCTGCCCAAGATGGAATATCGATTCCTGGGAAGATCAGGGCTACAAGTTTCAGCGATTTCTTTAGGAGGCTGGTATGCCATATGTTAAACCGTGCCCTCAGAATCAAGGCTGACAATTGACCATAGGGTGACTTACGGTGATGCTGTTGGTGATGGTACGTACTAGTGTCCAGCCAAGATCCGGTTGCTGACCTTGCAGACATTGCCTTTGATTGTATGAAAGCGGCTTACGACGCGGGGATCAATTTCTTCGACTGCGCTGAGGGGTATGCCGAAGGCAGGTCGGAGATCGTTATGGGCAAAGCCATCAAGAAGTTCGGGTGGAAGCGAAATGACCTTGTTATATCCACCAAGATCTACTGGGGCGGTGCTTTTGGAGACAATCCTGTGAACAATGGAGGACTCTCTCGAAAGCATATCATCGAAGGCACAGAAGCATCTCTCAAACGGCTGCAGTTGGATTACGTCGACCTGCTCTATTGCCATCGTCCTGACAGGAACACTCCCATTGAAGAGACCGTCCGAGCAATGAACTATCTCATCAACACCGGCAAAGTGTTCTACTGGGGCACCTCTGAATGGAACAGTGAGGAGATTGCCATGGCCTGGGCTTGTGCAGAGAAGTTGAACCTCATTGGGCCTGTCATGGAGCAGCCACAATACAATATGCTGGCACGAGACAAGGTGGAAAGGGAGTTTGCTCTGCTGTACGAAAACTACGGCTTGGGCTTGACCATATTCAGTCCCCTCAAGACTGGAATTCTGAGTGGCAAGTACAATGACGGCATCCCAGAAGACAGCAGAATTGCCAAAGCCTCTGATGGATACACGACCAGTCAAAGAGAAGGTTATGGAAATGAAGAATGGCAGAAGACTCTCACCCAGGTCAGACAGTTGAAGCCCATAGCTGACAAGCTTGGGGTTGATCAAGCAACTCTTGCATTAGCGTGGGTGCTCAAAAATCCTCGGGTCAGCTCAGCAATTACCGGCGCCTCGAAGGTCGAACAGGTTTATAAGTCAGTGAAAGCGTTGGGTGTGGTCTCTAAGCTAGATGACGAAGCCATGGCTGAGATTGATGCCGTTCTTGGGAACAAGCCGAGTCCTCTGTACAGAAGGTTGTAGATCAATTTGAGAGCGATGATTGACCCCTGAAAGAGACTGCATGTTGAGCTCGCCTCGCAATATTCCTGACTACCTATAGTACATACGATGACTTCGGAAGTGAGTGAAAGTACGAGTCCTTGAAAGGCCGTCGGCTGAATTGCTCCATGGGATTGAGCTAGTCCATATCTGGATAGTATTCGCCTGTGCTAAAAAAACGATCGAGCCAACAGGAAAATGCGCGATTCCAATGATGTCAATGATTCCAGCCGCAGTCTCGTCCACGAGGTGCCGCATCATATCCATAAAGCATTCTTCATTCCTCCTCTGGGGTGAACTAATATTTGACAATATACCTGTACACCATGCTTCAACCGACACTGATCTTTGCCAGACGAGTGGCCACTCGGGGCTTCACTCCGTTGGTATCTCAACGCTTCAAGACATACTCCGCGCCGAGCACCAAGGAGAGTGAGAGGTCATCTTCGACCGCCGACGAACATCGCAAATATCAGAAAGAGAAACCACTGAACCCTCACTTAACCAACACGAACTCCACCATCAACAACGACTTGCCATCTGTTGGTGCAGACAAATCACCCCCGGAGCTTATTAGCTCCGTCGATGCAAACACAGCTCCCAAGGACCATGTTCCTGAAAACACGGAGAGAATGACTGGTGGGACACAATCGGGTGGCCCAAGCAAAGTAAGCCCGACAGAATTTGGCGTGGGTGAAATGGAGGGGATTTCATTCAAAGTCGACCCCATCCGTCGAAGTGGTGAAGACGTGACGACCATGAGAGCAAGATTATTATGTTGGTGCAGTCCAGTGCACAGCTTTGCACGAGTTGGAGCCATGCCTTGTGAGAAAACCTAGCTAACAGCATTTATAGACCAAAGCAGGAAGCGAGGGACACTAGAGTCCGACCTCCTACTCTCCACGTTTGCGGCCGAAAACCTCTCCTCCATGGACAAGGCTCAACTGGAGCAATACGATCGTTTTCTGGACGAGAATGACTGGGACATATACTATTGGGCTACTCAGTCACCAGCAAATACACCTACATCCCTGGAGTATGCTGAAGGCGCCGTGAATGACAAGACTAACGACACACCGAAACAAACATCCCCCACGACTCAAGGACAGACGAAACAGCCCGGTACTTGGAGTCCGGGCTCCTCGACGAGTGGAGAGTGGGCACAGACAGTTGGACGTTTTAAACCTGCTTATAGACCAGTTCCACAACGATGGAAGGACAGTGAGATACTGAGCCTGCTACGGAAACATGTCAGAGAAAGGAGTGCGGGAGGCGTTCTCGAAGATGTCAATGCGCCTCCAAAAAGCAAAGGAAGTGGCAGTGGTCTTGGACGAATGCCTGATGTACAGACTTTCTAATTAAGCCTTTTCGTGCCCGTTGAATCTTTTCTATCTGTACCATCAAATTGTATAATCTCAATATGCACTGCGCTTCCTGAGGTATTGACAACTGCCCTTGCGTCCCTGAGCAATGGAAGTCAGTTCCAAAAACAGCCATAGTCATCAGAGTCGCTGGACTGCTCGAATGAGTGGACTAGTAAGTAGTAGGGCAGTACGAAGACAAGGAATAGATCAAAGTGAAGGGCCGTGGAAGCTGTACATACAGTACGAGTGCGAGTACCTGGTGGTATCGGATGATGAGCCGATAGCCGGTGCTAGTTCCGGTCTTGTCCGTGGCAATCCATGACACATTCGACATCGACTGGACATCATTAATACGGAGTATCATCTCCACTGGTTATCGGCTAAGAGAGGCGTGGGCATCTACCGTGGGCGGCTCGAAAAAAAAAGACGTTGATCGTAGAAATATGACTCACCAAATTAACCATCCTTCAGATTCCCAGATATCAAGACGAGGGCGATTCCACCACCAGACCGTATGGCGTTGCAACGATCTCTGGAGTGGTGATTATCCGTGTAACTGCCTGTGGGACTTGTTTAAAGGGGGCCGGTGGGCTCACAAGGTCCCTGAACGGCGCCGATGCGGAATGAAAAAGCCATGCTGAAAACAAATGATCTTGAACTCGGTGACCAGACACCTCGAGGGGAACTTGGAGAGAATGAGAAGCTATCAGTGCACCCTGACAGAAAACATTCCTCTGCGTTGACGCCTGTCGCCTCACGTCCAAGCCAAGATAGACCGTCTGTTCACCACACTATCTCGCGTACGTCCCATGTCGACGGCCATGGCTACTTCAGCGACGATGGACGCAACGACGGTCAGGAGGTCGAGCAACAGGTGAATATAGAGGACAAGGACGAGAACCCGTTCGAAGTCGGATGGGATGGCCCTGAGGACCCCATGAATCCCAAGAACATGAATGTATTGAGGAAGTGGATGATTGTGATAATCATTGCTTTTGGGGCGTTGTGCGTTACTTGCACATCCTCCTTGTACACGGTCACTTATGGTAAATACACCCCCCCCACGGCTTCATCCCCCGGTATGGGTACGTGTACGGAGTACTGACACAGGCAACAGATCAGATGGACGCCGAGTTTGGCAATTCTCGCATTGTTGCCACTTTGGGTTTGACATTGTTTGTCGGTGGTCTCGGGCTCTCGCCCATGATCCTAGGTCCATTGTCCGAATTCTACGGTCGTCGACCTATCTATATATACGCCTACGTCTTCTTCACCATCTGGCTCATTCCTTGCGCAGTTGCCAAGAACATCCAGACCATGTTGGTGTTTCGATTCCTGGATGGCTTCTCGGGCAGTGCTTTTCTATCGGTCGCAGGAGGCACCGTGGGTGACATGTTTAGCCGCGACAAGCTCCAAGCTCCCATGATGATATACACGGCGTCTCCCATGATAGGGCCTAGCCTGGGCCCCATCATTGGCGGTTTCATCAATTACAACACTTCGTGGAGATGGTCATTCTACGTTCTCCTCATGTGGTCGGGGGTGATGCTCATCGTGATCACAGCCTTGGTTCCCGAAACCTACATGCCAGTGCTGCTTCGCAAGAAGGCTCGCCAGAAACGCAAAGAGACCGGTGACGACCGATGGAAGGCACCGATTGAGATTTACGAAAAGTCTTTGGTCTGGACAGTGGCCAGATCATTGTACCGACCCTTCTTGCTCCTTTTCATGGAGCCCATGTGCTCCAACCTGTGTCTACTATCTTCTGTTCTGCTGGGCATCCTGTATCTCTTCTTTGGGGCGTTCCCGTTGGTCTTTGGTGACGTATACGGTTTCAATGCATGGCAAGTCGGTCTCTCGTTCTTAGGCCTTATGATCGGGATGATTCTCGCTATTTCTTCCGATCCGATATGGCAATGGAATTATCTTCGTCTACTGCGGAATGCAGAGGGGAGGACTGGGGAGCGCAAATCCGAGCCAGAATATCGCCTACCGCCATCCATTTTCGGTCCATGGATATGTACCGTCGGGCTTTTCTGGTTTGCTTGGTCCTGTTATGCTCGCGTTCACTGGATTGTTCCTATCATTGGCACTGGCTTCTTCGGATTCGGGACCATCTTGAGCTTTTCAGGCGTCTATACATTCCTGGTCGAGGCCTACCCACTGTACGCAGCAAGTGCCTTGTCCGCCAACTCCTTTGCACGAAGCTCCTTTGCAGCTGCTTTCCCCCTGTTTGGACGTCAGATGTACGATCGACTGAATTATCATTGGGCCACATCACTGTTGGGATTTCTATGCTTGGTCTTATCACCCTTCCCATACCTATTCTTCGTCTGGGGCAAGAGATTGCGGCAAAGGAGCAAATATGCCCACCTTTCTACTTGAGAAAGAAATCAATATGGGACTCTGGGTTCCATCGACATATCAAGCCACATTACGCATATAAAACCAATGCTTATCACAGATGTGCCTTAGGTCCCGTTTAGCCAAGCTATTCAGATCTAGTCTGCACATTGAGATTAACTTGCGTCGATACGAATTGAGTTGGCCACGGTCGAAAAGACTGCGCATCCGACGTTTGGGACTGGAGCTCCGTGACGACGACTTCCCATCACTCCTCAAGCCCTCTCCAGGGGTCACGGATGTTATTATGTCTTGAGTCAAACACAGGTCGAGTGGCGGAGATATGCAGTTCCTTTGGCAACATGCAGAATGATCGACGCTTACTCGTGGGTCAGTGAGATGTAGGCAGGACAGCTACAATAGCACGACACGTGCCCTCCCTAATCATAAGCCAAGGAAGACGAGATCGAGATCGTCTCCGCAAATAGGAGTGTGCTTTCAAGGGGTTTTGCGGACGCACGATGCGTGCCACAGGGACAATGCATGCATTCATCACTCGGGCACAACGATCAGGAGCCCAGTCCAGGGAAATGCGAGATCTTTTTGAGTACAAGTAGTTGTATCAGGGGGGTTGTGCGAGAAGGCATGTCCGAGTTCATTCCGGGAAGGATTGGCCGTCCTCCTTGTCGCTAAAAGCCAACCTCATTACTTGCGAGCGAGACGAAGGTTACAAGTACGTAATGTGTGATGCTTCTCATGCCTCCTGTCCTGGCAGTTCAGAACAGTTTCACAATACCACTCATCCTCGGCCTTCGGCTTCTTGTTGGTTCTTGGAGCCTGCTCCGCAAAGTTCCGAGCCTCGGGTTCTTGCGGGCAGCCTCGTGTCGGTGTACATAGTGGAGGGGGCAATGATTCCAGGGTCTGAACACCGATCTCGCTAGCGAAAAGCATGCCTGGCGCCTTCGATAATATCCCCATCTGTGCCATGCGAAACTCCGTACGTACAATAGCTGTCTGGTGCCCGAGTAACCATGGAAACATTCAATCCGAAACTCTTTCACGTCTGGGTTCTGAATAGAATTGCAGTATAATAGCCTGTCAGTGAATGCAGCAAGGTTCGAAAGTGAGTCACTAAAGACCTGGTAGTGAGAAGCCCCCAAGAAGGAGCTATCCGCGGCCCATTTAGTTAAGGGCTAGCTGGAGATGAATGTGTGGAGACACTTGCCGCGGTACAAGCTGATCGGCCTAGCAGCCTGGACTGCAGGTCACGGCCACCTTTCGGCGCAAACAGGCGAGGCCGAGAGAAGATTTTGTTATCACGGCGCAATCGTACGGTGATCAGGATCAAGAGAAGAAAGTATTCGGTAGGAGCACCAGCTATTGGCAGTCGATAGGCATCATGGCGAGTAGTCTGTGAACAGCATCGCAATACTCCTGGTGCAATAGCTGGGCTAGAGTCAGAATCGAGTACACGATTCTCCATCGCGGATATGTGGGCTCCAATCCAAGGCAGCGCAAAAGCCATGAAAAGATCCCTTGATTTCCTTTTGGCTGACCACGAGAGCTTTTCTTTTTGGGAGCGTGTGGGATGGTGCCTGTTGGTGGCTGATCCAGACTCTTGTTTGCCACGGGTACAGTTCTACAATATTCGACACTCGGCGACTTGAGTTGCTATGTTCAGTTTCAAGCAAGACGTAGAGCCGTGAACATTCCTCAGGTACCTATCATTCCGAACAGAGTCCATCAATAAATACTTCTTGGAGCTTGGAGGGAGCACGGGCACTGCGGCCTTCATAAGTACCTTATTGGCTCTACCTAAACCTGGACGGTGCATAGCTCATTGTCTCCAACTCCGCACCCGAGAGAGTGGAAGATTTTAGGCCCGGATACTCCATACCAGGGGCCACTAAGACTCAACTATTAGGTACCTGAGCAACTTGTCATAGGTATTTCTTATAGGCTCGAAGGGTAGGGGGGAACCTACTTTGACTGGTGATGCCCAATGCCCAGATCCTCCCAGGTGCCAGTTACCAGTAATAATCAGTCCGAATGCCCGCCTTGCCGAATAGCCAGTGGCTGTCATCATTACTCCGTATAAACTAATTAGCAAAACCCTGGTGGCCACCACGAAAGCCCTCCCGCCCGCATTTCATTCTCTACCTCCACCATCCCACGATTCTCGACACCCTCACTGCGCCATTCCTCCTCCTCCCACTCATCCGTATCCCTCTCTCACAAACAGCGTCCCGATATCCTCGAACTCTCTCCATTACCGTCACCGACTGTTGATTCCTTTCACCGCCGGTCGAGAACCCTGCTGTCTACTGTGCGACTCATTCCACATTCCCCTCCTAAGGACATTTCCCCGCGCACGCCCATCTGCGCTGTCTCCGGCGACTGAACTACCCGCCCAGTCGAAAAGAACGCGCACCTCTGTCCTACGACGGCGACGTCGCACAGCGTCCCTCTCTCCCTGCCAGTACGATATCTGGTCAGGAGCAATACACCTCCCTTTTTGTCCTACAGAAGCGCACGGCATTTTTTCACCACCCCCAGCACAGCTCCTGTGCTCACCCGCGCGCCCTACGTGAGAGCAAAAACCAGGCTCCTGGTCTCCCGCAGATTGCGACGGCGCCGGGTCGACACTACCTCTTGGTCTTTTCATTGGATTTCCTGCCGATCCTGAATCTCCGGGTCTACATGTCCATTGGATCCCTGGTCTCAAACCACCAAAGGCCCGTCAGTCCTGGTGTCGTGTGACGGGGGGCGAGTCTTTCGTGCGCGCCACCCGTGCAGCTTTGCACGCCCTTGGGTCCTCCTTGATGGTCTGCTTATAACATCATGGCGGCCTCTGATGTCGAAGATGGGCACTCTCGCTCAGACTCCCCCGAAGACAGCGGGACCGAGCACGCTCAAAATAACATGGCCGAACAACCGACCAAAGACGAAAAGCAGAAGCAAAACGGTTCGGCCTCCACTAACCCCAAGGATCCAAATCGCCCGAGACGTAAGAAGGCTCGCAGGGCATGTTACGCTTGTCAACGTGCCCATCTGACCTGCGGTAGGTTAATGTGGAAGACAAAAGATTGCAATGTTCATATGCTAATATCCACCGTGTAGGTGACGAGCGGCCCTGCCAGAGGTGTATCAAGAGGGGTTTGCAAGATGCTTGCCAAGACGGAGTCCGTAAGAAGGCGAAGTATCTCCATGATGCTCCGAATGAAGCTCTCATGCCCGTGGTCGGTGGGAATAACCTGTTCAACCGGCCTGCTGCAAAACAGCGAAGTTCGACCATCACAAGTGATACTTCGTCACAGCAACCCTACTTCCAGCAGCCACAGAACTTCAACAACTTCCAGAACGCACCTCAGCAGCAGATGCCTCCTCCGCTGGTGCATGAGCGAAGCATGAGTACTACGAGCTTTTCACAGCAATCTCCATTGAACACGAATTTCGCCGGCATGCCCTCGCAGGTTGCCCTGCAAAGTCCTGTCATCGGTGCGGATCAGTCGACTGCTAATGGCCTAGGCAGCGCTCCTTGGTCTGGAGCGTTGTTTGATGACCCTTCGGCGTTCAATTTTGATATTGCCAGCATGAATTTTGGAAATCATTACGGTGCTTTGGAGTTCGGTATGCTTGGGCACATGGCGACAAATGCTGGTGAGACGCCTCCAAGTGACACCACTACGCATCGAGGTTCCATTACACAACAGTACCGAATGCCACTCGGGAGCTTCAGTGAGAGTCCCACTGCTCGTCAACAAATGTACAACGAGGCCGCCATGTTGTCGGATTGGTCCAATAGCACGGATCCGTATAGTGCCCATAATCGCCATATGGCTCCAAATGCGTTCACGATAGAATCGAACGCAGCACATTGGACCTCACCAGACACCAGCGGTACTCCTGGAAATGGTGTAAAGTTCGAAGATTCACCACTCTTGACCAGCCAGGGGTTACAAGTGCCACCAACGGGCCTTGAGAATGGCAACATGACACAGCCAAATAATGCTCAGGACAATCGACTGAAACAGCCGCCTCCTATATCCACGCCACAACTCAAAGCGAAGTCTCAATTGCCCGTCAAGACGTTGAAACGACCTCGCGATCCATCGTCAATCTATACATCGGTCACGCAACCACATTCGTACACTGCTGGTTTTCACACCCTTGTCGCATATTGCCGGAAACGGTTCGCCACTCACCCTTCCAAGACGCTTGCTATCGCCAAGTCTCTTGCCTCTATCCGACCATCCTTCATTGCTACCACAAAGACATTAAACCGCGAGGATCTTATATTCATGGAAAAATGTTTTCAAAGGACCTTGTGGGAATACGAGGGCTTCATTGAAGGTGTGGGTACACCAACGATTGTTGCTCGAAGAACAGGTGAAATTGCCGCCGTTGGAAAGGAATTCCAGATTCTCACCGGGTGGACTAAAAGCGTCCTGCTGGGTCGAAGTCCCAATTTGAATGTGAATCGAGGACATTCCGGCTCTACTCCATCGGCTGGATCGGGCACAAATACTGCAACTCGAACTGCGGGTTTCAACACCCCCACTCAACGAAACTCTACCGAGGCAGAGAATGGCGAGAAACGAACCCAGCCAGTCCTTCTTGCAGAGCTGCTTGATGACGATTCTGTCGTTCAGTTCTATGAAGACTTCGCCAGACTAGCCTTTGGTGATAGCCGCGGCAGCGTATTGGGAAGAGGCAAACTTCTCAAGTACCGCACGAAAGACGATGAGATTTCTCACAATCTCAATGCCGAAGCCGAGGCACGAAACGAGGATGGCAAACCCAATGGCACGGATGGCCGACGCCAGGATAGCCATTCTCGGAGGAACGACATGAAGAAAGATGGCATTTCTGGTGAAAAGGGAATGCAGAAATTAGGGTCGGCTGATGGAAAGGTGGATTGTACCTATTGTTGGACGGTCAAACGGGACGTTTTTGACATTCCCATGCTTATCGTTATGAATGTGAGTTTGATCTTCGCCATGACATATCCAAGGACGTGCAGACAGCTAACGTTTTTACACAGTTTCTGCCTTGCATATGAGTATAGGCTTTTAAAAAAAGTCCACCCTTGCTGCTTTGTCAAGGGAGTTTTGATCATGATGACTCTGGTTTACGGCATCACATCGATGATATGAGTTGGAAGTTTTACTTTAGGTGGGATTTTGCGTGTTGTAGGGACGGCTTGTTGTTGTTTTGATTCGGTGCCTTGCTCTGCAGAGTCTTGAAGCAGTATATCGACCAGGAGTGACTATGAGAATACCCAATAGAGGTATCATTATCCGTTATTCATGGATAGAAAATTACCTGTCGCATTGAGGCGCGATGAATAAATGAATAATGCTTGCAAAAACCTGAGCTCTTTTTTTTCAATGCTCATTCATATCTACCAATCTATCGTTTTGCTGAGATGTATGGTTTTTTGACCGTCACATGCTCTCCGTAGAGTATGACTTTGTATAATTCGTATTTCGTTGGCAGTCCCTCGAAATTCCCAAAAAAAAGAAAGGAAAAAAAGTAAAGAAAGAAATCTATTGTTCTTCCCTCAGTCACGATTATTTGGTTTTTTCAATCCTTCTTTAGGACTTCCTTTTCCAATTTGTCAGCGTCCATCGCTTTGATCCATTCGAAGTCCATCAACCATGGTTCGTGCTTGTACTTTTGGTACGACTCTCTTTGTAAACTACGTCCTGTGATTCACGAGACAAGACACAAAAGTTTTTGAGGTTAGCATAGTCCCATTTTCCTTTTTATATTTATAGACAGAGAGGGGGGGGGTTTAAACCTTTGTTTTCAAAAGGGGAGGGTAGAAAAAAGAGACAAACTTACTAGCAACATCACAATCAGTCTTGATATCATCCACCAAGGCCTCGAGGCTCGTGTAGTCGTATTCGGGCCTGATGAAACCCAACATCAACAGATTCAGGGCTGCGCCGTAGAAGTCGTAGCTGAAGTCGTGCAGGACGTGAATCTCTACGCTCCTCATCGAGTTTTTATAAAACGGGTTGTAACCTATGCTGAGCACGGCCGGGTAGACGAGGGTCGAGGACGACGGGGTGTCCTTGGACGGAGCCAAAGACAGACCGACGAAACCGAAATAAACCCCGGATTCTAGGTCGGAATGAGTCGAAAGACCCGACGCGGGGATGTTGGCCGTCGGGATTCCGAGCTGAAAGACACAAAGAGTGAGAAGATGGTCTTGCCCAAAAGGGAATTGTATCCTGTCGGGCAAGTATGGAGATGGGAGAGAATTCACGAGGTCTGTTCATCAGCAAAGTACAGGTCAACGCACCTCTTTACTACCACGTCCAAACCCATGAATTACAGGACCTTGAAGTCTTATCGGAAACGGTTTTGCAGGGCCATCTTCCGGCCCTGCAAATAACTCTCTCGGACCCTTTGGTGGTGACATTGTGGTCCGGCCGGCCGCCCTGGAGATGAAGGAAAGGATGACGAGGCGAAAAAACGATAACTCGACACCTTGACTTTGTGTAGCGAACGCCGTGGAAATCGAACAAGTCGTTTTGAGATTCGTGACGACTTACGAGACGCGTTGTGTGCAGGGCAGGTATGAGGTGTAATGGGTCTATATGTATGAATGATGACCAAACAAAATATTTGGATTGGGAGGTCTTTTCTTCAAATTTATCCTTTCTCAATCAAATCAAAGCGACCGGTTCTTCTGGGAGTAATGCATGTGTGGGTGTGTGTGTGTGTGTGTGTGTAGAGATGGATGAATAAATTCGACAGTCTGGAACTCGATTGGCAATCCGACGGAAAACAAAACGAAAAGAAAGATAAACTCTATGTGATTCAACCTTGCACAGGTTCCGTGAGGTTCTTGTGGCACTTTGGACATTTACCGTAGACGGACAATGACTAATACTGTAAAATCATCTATGAGATTCCGTACCAATCGGAGCAGTGTTACAATACCTACCTAGAGAGTTGACCTGATATTTTTGAACAGATCTCCCTCTTCAGAGCCCTCTCAACGGGGAAACCTTGAGTGTAGCGGAACGAGAAGATCTTGATCTTGTGTTCTTCACACCCGACGTCACCTCCCATAGAGTACGATTTTAGGCTATATCTACTCTGTAGAAACTACCGCGTACAACCTCAGCTCAACCTCGACATATCATTGTCTTTGATAAATTTATACACTTGCCGAATAACCAACACTCGGCATCAGACCCGAAGCTCGTCTCTTTTCGGTCCATTTCCGTGCCTCGTCCACCCAGAAAACAGCACTTGTTATACACACCAACCATATGAGGTCCCACAACCCCAAGGACTCGGTTTGGAATACCCGCTGCAAGAACGGGAGATAAATGACGCAGAGCTGCCCGGCGAGACTACCTGCGACTGCATAGTTGAACATTTTATTTCCAAAGAGCTTGATTTCACCAAACAAGACCGACTTCGTCTCCGACCGACACGTGAGAGCGTTGAACATGTCGAAAAGCACAAACGTCGTAAATGTCATCGTGGTATCGCGCTTGGTCACCACCCGGTGGTGGAGTGGCGTACCAGTGCTGTCTGTCGTGTTTGGATCATCAATGTCGACCATCTCACGGATGTAGATGCTGATGGTACCAATCATGATAATAAGAGCTTGGGTCAGGACCCGGCGGATAAGGCGTTTGGTGAGAACGTTGGCGTTCCGTGCTCGAGGCGGCTGGTTCATTACACGAGGATCAACCGGTTCCACTCCAAGGGATTGAGCAGGAGGGCCATCCATCAAGATGTCTGTGATGCAGTTAGCAACCGAAAGGCTGTGACATAAACCTAACCAACTTACTGATCCAGAGAATCTGCATGGCGTTGAGTGGGTTCTTGAAGCCAAACATTGTGCTCAACAAGACCAAAGTCAACGCCGCAACACTCGTGCTCAATTGAAAAGTAATAAAGTTCTGGATGTTATAGAAAATGCCCTTGCCCTGTTCAATGGCGCGGAGGATGGTTGAAAAATCATCGTCAGTCAGGATCATATCAGCAGCTTCTTTCGCCACATCAGTTCCCAACATGCCCATTGCAATTCCAATGTCCGCCTTCTTCAAGGCGGGTGCGTCGTTGACTCCATCCCCAGTCATTGCAACCACGTCACCGCGCGCTTGAAGTGCTCGAATGATCTTCATCTTGTGGTCTGGGCTGGTCCGAGCAAAGATGGTGGTCTTGCCGATGGCCTCCGCAAGTTCCTGCTCCGTCATACGGTCAAGTTCATCGCCTCTCAGCACAGATGACAGAGCTGACGACGAAGGGTTGAGTGGCATTCCCAGTTTCTTCCCGATGGCGACAGCGGTAGTCTCCGCATCACCCGTGATCATAATGACTTTGACTCCGCCATTCATCAACCTTCGAATTGATCTGTGCACATCTTTCCGAGGCGGATCGTTCATGCCGACCAACCCAGCAAAACACAAGCCATTAAAGACATCCACCCCAGCCGGTTTCTTTTCAACTCCAGCAGGAGTCGAACTCCGGCTACTTTGCCGGGGTTTGCTTCTGATGGCACCACTCGCAAATGCAATGACGCGCAACCCTTCTTCTGCCATTGCGCGGGCTGCCTCGTTGGCCATACGTCGACGGTTCTCGTCAAGAATTACTTCTTGCCCATCCTTTGTCAGATAAGTGTCTGAGCGACTGAGAACTTGTTCGAGAGACCCTTTGATGAATGCCGTCTCGTTTCCGCCACCAACGCCATTGGTCAGGTCGTCGAGCGCACTAGCGATGGCAACGCCCATCCATTTGCGTTCCGAACTGAAGGGCGTTTCACTCGTTCTCTGACCTATCTGGTCACGAATGTCATCCTCACCATAGGTGTCCAACAGGTCAAGCATCGCAATGTCCGTGGGCTGACCGAGCCATCTGCTTTTGGTGTTTGTCGCAGAGAGATCCCTGGTAGAAGAGAGTACTGCAGCCGATGCAGCTGTTGCTGGAGTCCCCGAGGTGTTATGAGACAGACGTCCATGGTTGGCAATATTGCCTATGCGAAGGACCGCCCTGGTAGCTGCAGAGGGCTGCACCGACGTGTCCACCGTGAATGGTTGCGAAACATCGAAATGCCATAGCTTCGTGACTGTCATGTGATTCAGTGTCAATGTGCCAGTCTTGTCGCTGCAGACAACATTTACAGAGCCGAGGGTCTCAACACTCGGCAGCTTTCGAACAATGGCTCCCCTCTTAGCCATGCGCAACACTCCCAGGGCCAGTGTCACCGTGACAATAATTGGCAGACCTTCCGGGATGGCAGCTACAGCTAAAGAAACACCGATCGTGAACAGATCTAGTGGCTTCTTCCCCTGAAGCAGCCCAATGACCATGATAATTCCAATGACCACAAATGACATATAACTGAGCTGCTTGCCGAGAAGATCCATTGAATGTTGAAGAGGTGTTCTCGGAGCTTCAATCTCCTGGAGTGACAAGGAAATTGTTCCAAACTCTGTTGAGCCGCCTGTAGCAATGACAATGCCTTCGCCATATCCAGACCGGACCAATGTGCCCATGAACGCGATGTTGTGCTGTTCATTCAGTCGAACATCAGCCCCAACAGTACCAGCTGCATTGAATGGTTCAGGAGTACCATGATGCTGGGACACGGGAGCCAGTCTCTCAAGCGCAGCTGCGTGCTTCTCAACGGGCTCGTTTTCGCCGGTCAAATTGGCTTCATCGATGGTGAGATCTGAGGAGAAGGTGATCCTGATGTCGGCAGGTATTCGGTCGCCCGTATGGAATAGGACCAGATCCCCAACGACCAGCTGGGAAGCAGGTATTGTCTTTGTGGCCTTTGGTGTACCGTTCGCCAACGGTTCCAGTTCGATTTCCCCCTCTTCAGAACCATTTCTCAATGGCGCTCCAGAAGGCGTCGCAGCGCGCCGCACGTGAGCATAGTGCGGCACTAATCGATTCAAAGCCTCAAGGGATTTCTCTGAACGATACTCTTGCACAAACCCGACCGTAACAACAATGGTGACGGCGAGGGCAATGCTGACGGCGTCATCCTTGTTACCAATAAAGAGTGATATGGCAGCCGAACCGAGTAGGAGAAGGATCAAGGTCTCCTTGAATTGTTTCAAAAATCTCAGCCATAAAGGTTCCTCCTCTTCATGTGGCAGTTCATTGGGTCCATCTTTCCCGAGTCTCGCGTGCGCTTCACTTTGTAACAAGCCTTGGGTGAGCGAGGTCTGTAGGCGGTCCGCAGTGTCTTGAGGGCCAAGTAGAGAGTAGACGGATGTTATCGAGGAGGAGCCTGGAACTCGGGCTGGGCTGCGTTGTCGACTGATGGGCGCGGATTCTGTATTGTAGACAGGTAGCGCAGAAAGTGATGGTTTTGACATGATTTCATTGTGCTGCTATGATGAATGACATGCCAACTCCCCTCAAAGCATATTCTAGGGGCTAGGAGTGTTGACAAAGAGAAGTAAAACGTTAAGAGACACAGAATAGATTACTGAGCAGAGGGTTAAAGACTGCTTGTTCATACAGGAATTATGAAGAATTATTGACTGAGTGTCCCCTGGAACAATGCTGATTTCCCATTTCGAGGCCCGCCTAGGAGAGCCTAAGTTGCCTAGCCTAAATAGTGGCCATGCCCCCAATCTCTTAAACCGAACTATTTTACAGTACCCGTAGTGAGGCTACAGGGTGGCCCCGTACTCGTAGCCAGTCGTAGCCAGTGAAGCATTAGGCATTTCCAGAAATGCGGCAGGTAAAGCGAGAGGGACAATTAATTAGCTAATTAATTAAATAAGCAGTCATGTTGCGCCGCAAACACCACCAAAAGTCACGAGTTCCCGGATTATTAGCAACGGGCCTGCGCTCTGATCGCATTCCAGCCACTCACCACTTCTTCTTCACTTGCATCGGCAATCACCAACCACCTCTTTTGCATCTCAACACTCTTTGCGCTGTCCTTCCCATACACACTGCAGCCTTCTCTTTCATATCGCTGTACTGCGATTTCACCATCCCTTCAATTCTTGGATTTTACTCAGTTCTTTTGCGCCGCGATCGACATCAAAACATTGGCCCCTCAGACGCGTCGACTTGGCCCCCCCAGTGATATATTCCATCAACAAAACCTCCTTCTGCCACACCCATAAACCCATGACCGCGTAATCAACTAGAGCAAACATAGATTCGACTCTCCATGTTCTACGACCCGTCGTTGCTGGCTAAGACCGGGCCTTTGGCTCGCGTCTGGCTCGCGTCAAATGTCGAACGAAAGTTGTCCAAGTCACAGATTCTTCAATCAGACATTCCCGGCAGCGTGGGAGCAATAGTCGACCGCGGAGATGAGCCCATGGCCCTGCGACTCAGCGGCCAGCTTATGTTGGGAGTGGTGCGCATTTACGGAAGAAAGGCGAGATATTTACTCGACGATTGCAACGAAACACTGGTCAAGATCCGAATGGTACGCTCAAGAACGATCTGCCTTCGGCACTGGCTAACTATTTGCAGACCTTCAAATCAACAAACAATCATGATCTACCTGCTCATGCGACAGGCACAGTTGACTTGAATCTGCCAGAATTGTTAACCATCGACGACTTATTCTCCTCCATGGATTTCGCCTTTCCCATGACTCAACAACCCACACTAACGGCACCAGGCTCACAGGATCTCGATGAAGATTGGACTAGCAGCCTCAATCCGCAGCAGAGCAGCACACAGTCTATGCTGATACCAGGAGAAGAACCATTGTACAATGAGGATGATCTCAATTTGAACTTCGGCGATGGCGACGAGATGGACCTGAATGATACGACTGTGAGCATGAATATTGGCCGAGAAGCCCCAACGCCTAAAGCCGACCATGGCGACCTACTCACTGAGGAAGCCCTCATCCACGACGATGGGGATCTCAACTTGGATTTTGGGGAGGACACCGCAATGGCGGACGATGCTGATTCCCCTCGGCCAGCGGACGAGCCGCTTACAGACGTCATCCCTGATGCGCCACTTGACTTTGGCGACGACGAGACTATGAAGCTGCGAGAAGCTGCCGAAGCTGAAACCCGCCCGAGAGATATAGAATCTCTTTCAGAAGCTGGGTCCGATGTGTTACGCAACCTGGATCAGACATTCCAAAACCTGAACACTGAAGAAGATGTGGAGGAAGTCGCCGTCCAACAGCGCCAACGAAGTCGAAAGCAGAAACCCCTTGCCCCAGATGTCGAAACAGTCCTGCACAACAAGCAGATCAAGGCTCAAGCAGAGGATCGATCGAAAATCTTGCGTGCTCCATCCTTTCTCCCCCGTGATCCTATCCTCCTCACTCTCATGAACATGCAGAAGAACGGCGATTTTGTGGCTAATGCTATGAATGACGGTCGATCGAGGAACTGGGCGCCCGAACTACAGGGTTTGTTGTCCTTCGAAATGGTCACTGGATCTGGTGAACGCAAGCGCAAGCGAGACAGTGGCATTGGCGGGCTCAGTGAGGACGAGCACAGCGAGAAATCACCCAGGTTGGAAGGTCCTGATGATCTTATGGAAGATGAAGGCGTGCAAATCGAGGATTTTGAAGCTCAAATCCCGGAGATCCCGGTCGATGATGGACTTCGACCACTTACTGGAGACGGCGCGCCAGGATTAGAGGACGTTGTTCCCGGAGAGGACGATGCAGGTATTTTCGATGGAGACGACACATTTGACGAGACGACAATTCCTCTTCTTCACCCTTCAGAGAGTGGCCCTGTATCTCTCGGCACCAAGCATGCTGTTCACTTATTGCGTGATCATTTGGGTGGCGCAGATGGGTCCCAGACCTCCTCACCTGCGAAGAAGTCGGTACTCCTCACTGAGCTTGTGCCTGAGGGCCGAACCAGCAAGGAAGATGCCACCAAGATGTTTTTCGAAGTACTTGTGCTGGCAACGAAAGACGCCATCAAGGTTGAGCAGCCGGTAGACAAAGCCAACAAGGAAATGGGTCTGCCTCTGAGAATTCGAGCAAAGAGAGGACTCTGGGGCAGCTGGGCTGAGACGAGCCCGGGCGATGATCCTACTGCCACATCACAGCAAGTTGAGGCCACGGCATAAGTCGGCCGGATCTTGATGCTGGTGTTTTATGAGCAGTACGAATTTGTTCTTGGATTCAATTGAATTTTGGGCGGGGCTTGCAACTGTTGTATACTTACTGGGCTTGGAGTTGAATTTTGAACGGCACGAAAAGGGTCTTGGGGATGAACAGGATTGAGTATCAGAATCAGCGAAGGCGCCTTTTGGATTAGATAGGTGGTGGGCGATGGGATGATGTTGGCGGGCCCATACAAGTTTTGATGTGCTTCCGCCAACTCATATCAGTCTTCTATAGCAATTGGAATGAACTTGGGTCCGCGGACGCAGACGCTCTCTTTAACCATTCATATATCTGGCTCTGCGCATCTACGAAAAGACTTTTGATTATGCATTAATGTCCTTCTTTATTCTATACATCCTTTACCCAGCTGCCATCGTCCATCCTGCCCTCTCGTTTGGGGCCCTCCCTCAGCCACGTCTCGGCCACGCCAGACTTGGGATCCTCGTCCGGTAGGCCACGGGACCGTCTCACGTCGAGCACTGCATTCCGTACCCGCCTTGTGCACTCCTTGCGCAATTCGACGGCCTCTGGGTGAGTCTTCAGTGTCTCTGGCACGACGCCCAGCATGAGTTCATCCCAGTGACTGTGGCCGCTCGCTCGGGCGTCCTTATCGACCAGTTCGCGCCACCTCTTGCGCAGGTCTCCAAACATCTCTTCCACGTCGAGCTCCTTGCCGAACGTGACGGTTATATTCTTGCCTATCCTCGGCAGAAAGCGAGGGAACGTCCGACTTTCGTGCATGACCTGGTCGGTCCCTTCGATGAACATGGGCACCACGTCCGGGGCTTCGAGGGGTTCGAGGATCAGCCTTGCCACCCCCCATTTGAAGTATCTCATCGTCTGATCTTCGGCTTGATGGATCATGCCCTCGGGGAAGATGTGGACCCAGCTGTACGCGTTGCTGGCGTAGCGGGAGGGGGCGTGATACCACCGCACGTCATTGGGTTGCGAAAGGTAGGCGGGCGAGGGCGCAACGTCGGAGAAGGGGTCGACGCAGTCCCTTGGCCAGCTGGGTTCAGGGTGCGTATGTTGTCGCGAACGTTGTGGACTGCTGAACGGGCACAGGGCAGCGTTTTCGGACGAGATCTGTGAGAAGAGACGCACCCCCTCGGTCATGGTGGCCTGGAAGAGTCCGCCGTAGGGGGAATGGGCACTGCGGTGGGTGGGTAGAACCTGTCCCATGGTGAAGAAGTGCGACAAGGGGGCATTCTGGAAGCAGATGTCGTGACTGCCAAAGGACCACCGGTGGTTCATGTAACCATGGACCGCGGCGAACGACAAGGGGATGACGCCCCATATCAGAGGGTCGTCCATGACCGAGATGTGGTTGGAAACGGTCAACAGACCTTTGCGGCGCGTCTTGTAGTCCGAGCGAGACTTGAGGAGGTCGAGGAACCGAGGGAGGCCGTGGACTTCGGTCTTGTTCAGGCCGTAGAGGAAGGCGCGCGTCAGGGCCGAGACGGCGAGGAGGGTCTGGTGAGTCGCCGCACGCCAAAACAGGCTGGGTTGCTCTGCATTGGGGTAGTAGAGGTAGTCATCGTAGTCGCGGGAGACCATTGAAGCTGCAGGAGAAGGAGAAGGAGGAGGAGGAGGAGGAGGAGGTTTACTGACGGGATCCGTCATCCATCGAGCCCGCGACGACAATACAGTACGCAAGGCGCTGCGCACAGCAGGGAGCATCAAACAACGAAAAGAATTTCTGATCGCAAGACCCAGACAAGAGTAACTCCGTATTGTTCCCCGAAAAAAAGTGACCAAGGAGGCTCAAGTCTGTACGGGAGTGAAAGCTGGAGCGCACCGCATTGGCTGCCACTCCGAAGCTCCGTCTCCAATTTTCTCTAATTTCGTATCCGTACAGTACAATCGAACAACTTCATCCTGCGAACCTGCGCATTCCAGATTCCGTAGGGAGTATCCCACAACTCGCGTCTAAGACAGAGCTCACATCTGTGAAGCATCATGTTCAAACCTACATCCCCCTTATCGGGAGGTCTTCTATGGTATGATCGTCTCCTTTCCCGTCCTCAAATTCGATGGATGGCATTGCTGACCGCGACGGCTGCAGGAAAATCCCATGGCGACTATCCTCGATGCAAAAAGCACGACAACGAAAACGACTGAAGCTGGTCGACAAGGTCGTCGATACGGTCAGCATGGCTCTGCAAAACAATGGCGGTATGACGGCAAAGGCCGTGGACAGATGGTATCAAGAGATGCCCCGAGAAGAGGAGATGCTTCCCAAGGACAAGTACACAATCTTTGATCGAAAAGAGAAGAGATATCGAAAGGGAATTCACAGTACGCTACTCACTCCAGGAATTTGCCTGCTAGCTCGTTAATATTTTTCTTTTTTCAGAACTTCCAAAGTGGACAAGAGTCAGTCAGCGACTCAACCCACCTGGCTTCTAGGTCGAGACTCAGGCGGCCGGATTATATACATATGGACGGACTCTTCCTGCCTGGCTTCTGGATCCTCCAGGTTCCTCTGGATGACGCCAAAGGAGATTCTCAGTCTCGCAGTGGCACCGCCGTGGCCATCCCATTTTCGCATTCACTTTGTACAAAATTGTAGGATCGCGAATTTAGCATTCAGCGGAGTACGATAAAATCATCAGCGAGCCATAAGTCACTTGTGTGAGCAGGAGATCAAAGCAACCTAAGTATCCCGGGTATGGAACGAAAACATCATCAATCCGCGAGCAAGTCAACTTGATACCCCAGGTTGCACTCTCATGATGGGAAGTTTGCGTCAGAAGTTTGGGCTATCTGTACGAATATGGCCGGCAAGTTGGCCAACGAGCAGCAATGGAGCGAAGGAAATTGGCAAAGCTGCGCCCAAATCGCGGTGGGAGGAAACGTTTATGTCGTGTTTTATGAGCACCTTTTCATCGGAATGTCTTCAGACTTCTGGAACTAGAGGACGATAACTCTGTACAAAAGCAGCGTCGGCCTCTGTGCATTTTAGGCATGATTGGGTTGATGACATCAAGGCATCTCTGCCTGCAGTCATCTACACATTCAACACACTTCCAAAATAACTTGTATACACTTCTTATCGACCCGTGGTTATACTTCTCTTCTCCTTCATTTCTCTTCTCTTGGACCTATATTCTTCTACGTGATAGATGCCCAAAAAGCATCAACAAAAGGCGCTTCTAACCAAACCGCAATCGAGCACGCCACATACTCTGTCGTCGTCTTCCAAGGCCTCCCACGCCCACAATGAACCTGCACAACGAAGTGTCAACGATCTGATCCGCGAGTCCAGGCTTCTCCAGAGGAGAAATGAACCTCGACCTCCGGCCGCGCCGGCCAATACCGCTGCTTCTATTCCTCCTGCTCTGAGAAGTGTGCTCGATCTGCCTCCTCCTCCTGCACCTGTCCTCCCCCAGGTCCGTTCCAACAATGGTCCTAGCCGTCTGCGGCGCATACCTGGGCCACCGCCACCTCGCAGCTGGCTGACCGACAGCATCCATGCCCCGGCTTTGGTGAGGGCTGCTAGTACTACGGCCGGTTATCATACCGAAGGAGGAGGCGGGCAACGAATCCAAGTCCGGACGAGCAAGTTGCCCGGCTGCTCATTCCCTCCCGCCAGATCGCTGCAGCATTTGACGCTGAAGAAGATCGCCAGCAACTGGTCCTGGCACGTTGAAAATGATCAACTTTATTTCCCAGCTGTGCCCGCGAATTTGAAGGAGACGCTTCTAAGTTATATTGCTGTCTACAACGAGGCCCCGATCAATCCCCTTCGGCCACTATTTCTCAATGATTATAATAATGACCCGGAAGATCGCATCGAGGTGCACCGACTCGATTTGAGTAATGGTCTTGGTTTGTGGACTACATTCAAGCAACTCGAGCGTGACTTGGTAACGAAGCAGGTACCGGCAACAAAGTCCGACGCCGCTTCTACACAATCTGCCTGGTCGTCCGAGGCATTGGATAGTTGGGACGCAGAGTCTGACATCGGCGATGCATCAAATTCGCTGCCTCTTACAGGCCCAAAAGCCACAGTAAATTTTGTCAATCTGAAGCACCTATCACTTGCTGTCTCACCGGCAAACATAAAGGTAGCATCATGGTCTTCAATGCTTTCGCTGGCCGCGGAACTTCGCACACTGACATCGCTATCGCTGGCTTACTGGCCCCAGCCAACGCTCACACCCAATGCCGCATCGACCAGAGCTGTTTTACACGTCCCTGGCTCTCCCTCGGTGGTTTATGGTGGCTCTGACATGTACACAGCCTACGACGACAACTGGAGAGAGGCTGCAGGAATCCTTCGTACCCTGAGTAGGTCTTTATACTGCCTGGAATGGCTTGACCTCACGGGCTGTGGTGATTGGTATGCTGCTTTGAAGTGGCGGCCCGAATCCTCCGAATCGTCTTCTCCTCAAAGGTATGGGCCTGAGTGGAACTCTGGTTGGAGGGGGCTTGAAAAGCTCATCCTGGATGTTGGCTGGAAACCTCTGGTCCCGGCGGTCCAGGATAGTCAGTTGATACCGGACCAGCCACCTTGGGACATTGAGCATGAGCGCAGAACATATCGATACAATAAAGAGAGGCAACGGCATGGTGAGATACGCAATATGGCACAATCAGTGTCCAAGTACTTGCGCGCAATCCGGAAGGAATGCGGAGGAAGGTGGATCGATGTTGAAATTGGCGAAGAACTCCCTCAATTGGACTTTGTATAGTGAGCACATAGGTCCAAGAATCGGCCGAAGCCATTCTGGCGCAGAGTCAAACATTACTTGCTGAAGAAATTGGTTATTCGCTGTGTCCCTGTCTCGGTCTTCTTCGCCGGACTGCTTTTGAGGGTCATTTCTTTGTTGCTAGTGGCACTTCTTGGCTTTTTGGCCACGGATTTCACTGGTGATGTAGATTTGATAGGTAGGGGTGCCACTTTTGCATGCTTCTTAGTAGGAGATTCACCATCGTCTTCCTCGGAACGATGCCGCTTCTCGCCAGGACTGGGTTGGAGAGAATCCGAAGGAATAGGCAACGGCGCTTTTGTCTCGCTCCCATCATGATCTACCGTGACGAGGCGTGACTCGTCGGGTTCCTCCTCCAGCTTGGGGTTTTTCGTTTTTTGTTTGTTTGCGTTGCCAAAGAAGTTGGCAATGTTCTTCTTGTTATCCTTGCTATCCACAGGGACGATGAAATTGGGGGAATTGTTGCCGACCTTTCCCACCGCACTATCGACGGGGTAACATAACAACTCACCGTCGTAGGGTTTAAGGATGGCCTGCAATTCCTGGGACCACTTGTTCTTGGTAGGGTCCAACCAGATTTTCATGGCGTCAGTCCCGGGGTCCAGTATGACGGGCATCCGGTCGTGGAGGAAGTTGAGTTGTTTGTTGGAGTCGGTGGTGATGATGGTGTACGTGTAGAGTTTGTCCTCCGAGTCTTCGTACTTGACACAGTCCCAGAGACCGGCGAAACACATCAGGTTGCCGTCCTTGCGCTTCACAAAGTGAGGGACTTTTTCTTTACCCCCGGGACCTTTCTTCAGCCACTCATAGAAGCCCTGTGCGATGACCAGGCACCTCTTCCTTTGTTTCATCGTGTTCCACATGCCTCGACTCTCCACGAGTGAATCGTCCCTGCAGTTGATGGTCCGTAAGATGGAGCCATATTCGGGAGACCGTTTGGTCCAGAATGGGATCAAGCCCCATTTCATCACCTTGAGTTCATACTTGTAAGGAGATGACGATTGGCTTGATGGAGGTTGGTCCTGGTCCTGGGCATGGTCCTGATTATGGTCTGCTCCACCAGGTGTGGTGGTGGTGGCGGCGGTTGTATTGTCGGTGTTGGCTTCGACCTCGGCGTCCCCAACGCCATGGTCAGGTACTTCTGCACGATAAACTAAGCCATAAGAGCCGGGTGGGAAATTGTAAGTCTCACGGGCTTCGTCGTCCGCAGGGGCATCATCTACGGGAAGACCTTGCTGTTGTAAGTGATATCGAACGAACGCTGCACGGATTCCCAAGGCATATCGCCCGCACATGGTTGGTTGGTAGACCGGATCGTTGTTAGCGACGATGGTTTGGCTTGGTTCACTGGGATTCTCCAGGCATATGCGTCATGAAACATTTCTTCACAGGTTCGTGCTGCAAATACTGTAGGAAGGATGTTGTTGAATCGGCGTTGACGATCTGATGTTTTACCTAATGAGGTACGGAATAGGCATGGGAGCCTAGATGACGAGACGAAGAAAGTCAGCAGTCTGACTAAACAATGGTTGAGCGTACCGGTACTCACACGCTCATACTCTGTAGGAGCGAAGGGACCAGTCAGACAAGTTCAAATTCTTTGCAGCGCGACCGAAACCCAATAACTCGCAGCGGGTCAAACGGCAATCAAAAGTCTGGCGCCACATTATTGACTGGGGAAGTTTCCCTTCTTCGACCGTTTTTCTCGACGGGCATTCCATGCAGGTGTCTTCACCTAATAAACTACGACGTGCATAGGGTGACATGTATACCGTATCGTTGCCCAGTGGGTGCTTGTAGCCCAGAGCCTATTACTGTACTCCGTACAGTACAATAATTCCATACTCCGTACTCGTACGGAGTACTCGGTGGCTGATTACAAGACAGACTTCCAAGAAGCTACTCGGGTAGCCACTCGTGCAATTCCACACCCCCTGTCGACATCCCTGTCCCTATAGAATTGAATCCACCCGCAGATTGAACCATCTTGAAACCTGTGATGGAATACCAATTATTCAGGCTCTCCTCTCCTCGTACTCCATAGTAGGCAACATCAAAGTTGTCAGTGGTCTGGTAGAAGAACCACTCCCAGCTTGGAGAATTATCTAGACAGAGTCCATGGGCAGCTTCAAAACTGTCAAGAAAAAGACATGAAAAAAAAAGCCCATCTTACCCTCCCGAAGCCCCAATTAAGTCCCATGGCAAAATACGGCGGCCCCTTTTATTGATTCGCTCGTTACGAGTAGTCCGCAATGTTCCTGAATCTAGGGGAATCCGTCCGTGGCCTCTGACTCGCTGCCTTGGACAACTGAGTCCCCAGTTCAATTCAATTCAACTCCCTCTCTGTACTGTACGGAGTACCTTCGTACCTCACAGGCTCTCACAACTTTTTGTTACTCTCTTTCCAACTGCTTCCTTTCCTTCTCTTCTCCTTCCTGTCATTCTTTCCTTTTACCTCGCTGTCGTCGTCTTGGTCCCGCCATCTTTCTTCTCTTCCAACATTCGCTTTACTTATTTGCATCTTTTATTCGCTCGTTATCTTCACCACACTCGCTATCCCTTGTTTCAAGGGCTCACTCGTTGATTTTAACCAGCACTTCATATTCAGACTCATCCCTTTCTTTTTTCGTACAGATCCGATCCGAAACACACAAGTCCATCGACTCAGCCTTGGCCGATCCTTCTCCTCATCGTCCAACTTGCCTGTCCCGCCCTTGAAAGTGTTGTCCTTGGACCTGGTTCTGAGGGCACGACAAACTGGAGCCCCTTATGCTCACAATGCAGAGTCAAGACGTGTTTGCAGGGGGATTTGGCAATCGATTTGCTTCAAAATTGGGGACGGACAATACTGGCTTCAGCCATGGCGCGTATAACTCGAACCAGACTCCCTATCGCGGTGGATTTGGCGACCGAAATCAACGCAAAAACACCATGCCTCCCCTGGCAACTTCGGCGAAGGAGCAGTCACAATACAATCCAAATGAACACACACCTGGTGGGGGCGCTGCTTTCGACATGAACTTCACTCCTCTGTTGCCATCTCAACTTTTGCTCGGGAGTCCCTTTCAGCCAGGTTCTCCAGGTGCATTTTCATCACCGCAGTTTCCCAGCTTTAATCGCTTTCCCCAAGGCACAAATGCTCTGCACCAACAGACCCAGCAATACCAACAGAATCAGCAAGCTCATCTCGGCAGCCCAACTCAGATGAATGCTCAGCCTCTGTCACCCCAGGCATTCCAGCCCGTCATGTCCCCAGATACTTACGCCGGCGGATCCCCCACAGGCTTCTCAGGCCTAGGTGGTGCTGCCTTTGGACATTACCAGCCCATGCTAAGCATGGGCCAGACATGGATGTCAAGCACCAGCCGCACCGTTTATCTAGGAAACATTCCGGCTGATACTGCTGCTGAAGAAATTTTGAGTCATGTTCGAAGTGGACAGATTGAGTCGGTTCGTTTGTTGCCAGAGAAGAACTGTGCCTTCATTTCCTTTCTTGACAGCAGCTCGGCCACCCACTTTCATTCGGATGCCATCCTGAAGAAATTGTCCATCAAGGGCCATGACATTAAAATTGGTTGGGGAAAACCTTCTTCAGTGCCTACCTCAGTTGCTCTTGCAGTCCAGCAATCGGGAGCGTCAAGAAATGTCTATCTTGGCAATCTTCCTGAGGACATCACTGAGCTAGAGATTCGAGAGGATCTGAGCAAATTTGGACCCATCGACACTATCAAGATGGTGCGTGAGAAGAACATTGGTTTTGTTCACTTTCTGTCCATTGGCAACGCCATCAAGGCTGTAGCACAGCTTCCTCAGGATCCCAAGTGGGGACCTCCCCGTCGTGTCTACTACGGCAAAGACCGATGTGCATATGTCTCGAAGACCCAACAACAAAACGCTGCTCAATACCTTGGAATTGCTCCTGGCTATGCGCATGTCCTGAATGGGGCTGACCGGGACTTGATCTCGAATGCGCTAGCACAACAGTCTGTTGCCGCCGCCGCTGTTGCCACCACCGCGGGTGGAGTGAACAATCTCGGAAATCGAACAGTGTACCTAGGAAACATTCACCCTGAGACGACCATCGAAGAGATTTGTAATGTCGTCCGAGGAGGTCTCCTTCACCACATCCGCTACATTCCTGATAAGCATATTTGTTTCGTAACGTTCATTGATCCAACGTCGGCCGCGTCTTTCTATGCGTTAAGCAACCTTCAGGGCCTCATGATCCACAACCGACGGCTCAAGGTGGGCTGGGGTAAGCACTCGGGTGCATTACCACCTGCCATCGCCTTGGCGGTCAGTGGAGGAGCGTCACGAAATGTGTACATTGGCAATTTAGACGAGAGCTGGAGCGAGGAACGACTGAGACAAGATTTTTCCGAGTACGGCGAGATTGAACTCGTCAACACACTTCGAGAAAAGAGCTGCGCCTTTGTCAACTTCACCAACATCGCCAACGCGATCAAAGCTATTGAAGCTGTGCGAGGACGAGATGAGTACAAAAGGTTCAAGATCAATTTTGGCAAGGACCGTTGCGGCAACCCGCCCCGCCAGAATATCTCCCATGTCAATGGCAACCAATCTCGGTATCAGGGCAATACAGATGGCAATATCTCTCCAGGAGCGATGAACGGCTTTGAGGGTGCAGTCTCGCAATCGGGGTCGAGCCCAACGAGGTCGACGATCCCTGTTGGACCAAAACCCATGAATGCACAATCTCAGCCCCAGCGACAACAGACACTTCCCAGTACCACGCCTTCTTCGATATTGAATGCCGGCAACAACAACCCTCTCACGATGTACTTGACGCATGTTTCTCAGCAGCAGGCTCAAGCTGAGCAGGATATGCGCGAGGACGGTTTGACATTCGCTTCTTTGCAGCAGCAGCAAAATCAGGCTTTGGCTACACAGCAAGCGGCACTGTATGGCGAGATGCCTAATGGTCACAGTGGTCTGGACATTGCACCACCTCCGTCCCATGCTCCCCGCCAGAATAGTATCAGCGGTGGCTTCAGCACTAATTCGGTCAACAACAATGGCACTTCGACTACAATCGGAGGCCTGCTCGCCCCTACAAACACTGGACTCGGGGCGAGCAGAAGCTCGCATTCTCGGGCTGTGTCACTTCCAGCCTTTTCGCAGGAGATCTTCAGCAATCAACAGTCTACACAACAAGGTCCATCATCGTCCCGCGGGTTCGGTGGACATGCGCCTCAGGGTAGCTTTGGCGGATTTGGGTCTGCTTTCGGCACTGGCTTTGGCACCAGTGGATTCAACGGGCTCGGCCTGACGAGCGACACTCGTTCTGGTCTCTCAGGCTGGGCAGAGGAGGAGATTGGAGCAAAATAAATGATACCTAATCAGCCTTTCTTTTATCTGTTGGTTGGGTATGGTCGGGATATGTGCTTTGATTTTTACATGATGTTTTTTGGGTTGTTTGGAAGATATCTTTGTTTTAATACTCTTGGGTTGGATGTGTATCCGAAATCAGATGGTGATGGTATTCCGGCCTGCTGGCTGCTGCAGGTTGGATCTGCATCATGTCTTAGTACTCGTACGAGGGCCTTGATCACAGGCTCATAGGTCCAGGTCATATTGGAATGTGTATATACATGCGGTCTCGGGACAGGAAGTGGCAGAAGGCAAGGATGAGCATGACTTGATTGGGGGGCAAATGATTTCTGGGTATGGGTAATATATCTCTCTATCCCTAGGTATCTTACACTTGGGCAATCGTAGAAAGATGGCATTGCTGTTTCATCAGTAAAATGCAAGTACGTGAGTCCTAGATCACAAACGCTGTACGTTGGTATTGAACAAGAGTTGTACGGCACCCCTTTGTTAAGTATGTTAAGCGCTTGTCTCGGGTGGGCCTCGAATCGATGCTGGGTAAGTAGCCTAAATAGTAGGGCCCGGATGTAGGCAAGATAGCCCCAAGTGAAGGGACACAAAGCCAATTCACAAGCCTTGGGCCCCGGTCCAAAGTTGAGAAGAGATAAGGCGCGGAACTCAGAAGCCTACTGTAGCTGTACTCCATTAGGTACTCCGTACACGAGCTTAATAAAACACGAAGGTGGTTGCGTCGATTTCGCGATGGGAGACGCGCTTCACACACGTTTCAGCAGGAGCACACACACTCTTTTTCCATTCTCCGTCGATCCTTGCAGTGGGATTACGAGCACAGAGTATAAATTACTTAGGTAAGGTCAGCTAGAGTGTGTATTGTACCGTAGGTGTGTTCAGGCTCTGTCCTCCACAGGAGTTCGTAGTGAGATACGGATACAACAGATATAAGAGGAGTTTAACCGGTATTTGCCGTCACTCGAACCATATACATACCGTACCTTCTGTAAAGGTTTGTGGTCCAAAACAACGCGAGAAATAATGTTACGCGCACGAGCCAATGCCAGATTGATATTGTAAAAGGTAGAAGACTGCACGAGTACGCCCCGCCCCCTTCGTCCACATTCTAATTGTATGTATGTACGATAACTCCGTACAGAGTACCTTATCGTAGCCTATTGTACCCGTATCTAGTGTAGGTACGATGTGCCCGGAAGAAGGGCCGAAACGAATAGAAGGGCGTCTACAATACTAGGACTTTTCATCTTACTCCGTAATCTTCAGTAACTAATAAAAACACTCCGTAGAGCTTGACTTGTTTGGTACAAGACCACGCCTAGACTCACCAGGGCAGGTGAAGAAGGTGAGCAGAGAGGACCGAAGGCAAGGGGCCATATCAGCATCATTCACTACCTAAGAGACCTAATAAGAATAACACGGGTCGTGTAATATACATTAAAAGTAAAAGGCGCTGGACCGAGTGGTCGGGGAAGAAGTTGTTTGGGAAAGACAGGAAGGTCCTGCTGAAGATTCGAACCATTGGAAGGATAGACTTGTTGATGAGCAAAGTATCCGTTAATCCCTACCTACAACTTCCTTCGACTCCGTACTCTGGGACCCTCTATTTCTCCCTCTCTCTCTCCCTCCCACACTCTCCCAGCGCCCAGCAATTCTTCAGGGCTGCCACTGCCACTGCCACTTGCCAGTGTCAACGTCCAAAGTTCCTCATTCAGCCGTATTTTACCGGTACAAGACCCAGAACAAGTGTCTGTTGTTCAACAACAACAAGTCTACTGTCAACTACTCACACCATTCCACCACGTCTCCTGCGGGAACAAGTCTGATGTGCTGCTACTACCGACCCTAGTCAACAATCATCGACGTTTACGGAGTACTGACTATTCGTACGGAGTACAACACAAACACTTCGACCGCGGCCCCCAAACCATTGGGAGGGAGCCCCAAGTTCGCATTTCACCAATACTCGTCGTATCCATCATCTCATCTTGCATTCTTCTTCCTCATCCCTCTTTTCTACCTTCGGACCTCACTCTTGTCACTCTCAACAAAATCATTTCCGGCAAATGCTTCTGCTCTTCTTGACGAATCGAATACATCTTCTAGCTTGAACATATTATCTCTCTCTCTCTCTTGCTGGCCAATTCCTTCATTCCTGGGACCCGTTGACCGCCCTGTCCCACTCTTCCTGCGCCCTTGACTTACCACCATGTGAGTCTTTGATTCTTACTTTTTCCCTCTTATGTGGAAAAAGGAGGAGATGAAAAATGGAAAATATTGTCTAGTCGAAATTACAAAAAAAGAGACGGGAATTTGTGTGAATGTGAAGATGGAGGCTAATGTACACAATCCTGTCTAGTCGCATTGTTTCTTTCCGCCTGCCTGCGATTATCTGCACAATCGACAATAGAAGTCCTTGTCCTTCCCTACCGTACCTGGCTGACCGCCCTCTTCCTCCCGAGGTGAGGCGGTAATTGAGAGCGTGTCGGACCTCCATCTACGAGAAGCTCTGCACGCAAGACTTTGAATCTTTTTCACTCTTTCACTTTTCTGGTAAGCCCACAAAAATGTCGAAATCAATGGCCATGAAACAAAAGGCGCTTGACTTGAAACAAAAACTAAGGCATCCCTTTGCAGATCCTCCTCGTGCTCACAAGCCGATTCGGGTTCTCCAGGAATCTGAGATACGATTCGCGCGTGTTAACGACCGCTTCTACAACACATACAACGGGATGGTTGTAGCAACGATCAAGTGAGTGGCGGCGCTTTTTAGGCCGGTCGCCTCAACAGAACCCAGACACTAACAACAGACTAGATGTGTGGTTGTCGGTGACGGTGCGGTGGGAAAGACATGCTTGCTCATCTCCTACACGACAAACAAATTCCCCTCGGAATATGTCCCTACGGTGTTTGACAATTATGCCGTCACTGTTATGTGAGTTGCAATTCGATCCTGAGGATTGGGAGAGATGTATGCTGATATCGACAACCAGGATCGGTGATGAGCCATACACGCTGGGGCTGTTTGACACTGCCGGACAAGAAGATTACGACCGTCTTCGACCTCTGTCCTATCCCCAAACCGACGTCTTTCTGGTTTGCTTTTCCGTCACTTCTCCAGCGTCCTTCGAAAACGTCCGCGAGAAATGGTTTCCCGAAGTCCACCACCATTGCCCCGGGGTCCCCTGCTTGATCGTTGGAACTCAAACAGATCTAAGAGATGATCCGTCGGTCCGCGAGAAGCTAGCCAAGCAGAAGATGCAGCCGGTCCGCAAGGAGGATGGTGAGAGGATGGCCAAGGAATTGGGAGCAGTCAAATACGTCGAGTGCAGTGCCCTGACGCAGTACAAGTTGAAGGATGTCTTTGACGAGGCCATTGTGGCTGCTCTAGAACCACCGCCAAAGAAGAGTAGTAAAAAGTGCGTCATCCTATGACGGACTTGTCTTTGCTTCACTTGGCCATCTGTCCGTCAGTGGGGTTGTCTTTTCGCCAGCTTGATGATACAGCTCCGGTGTCAGGTTGTCCACACTAATTCCTCCTTGGAATGCAGCGACCAGGCAGTGTCGTCGCCGTGGCACTTTTCTCTTTTATCCCATTGTCCGCTTCCGACAGATATTTGATGTTGGAAAGACTTGGATGTCTTCTTGGACAACGAGCTACAATGATCATTCGGCCCCTTCTCTTTTTTGTTCCCTTCTACGAGTACAATTGCACACACTTGACACGTTTTTGTTCTACTGAGAGATCAACCTTCACCCTCGACCTGAAGAATTCGGCGTCGGGGGCAGTGCGTGGATCACACACAAGGGGGAGACGGCCATTCGGGGGAGCGAATTTTTCTTTTCCCCCCCTTTTCTTCTTCATGCGCGGGCTGGAGTCGAAGGCGTTTCAGGTCACTTTGCAGAGCAAGAAGATTTATGTCTGTCCCCTTTCTCCATTTCACATGCGGAGGAGTACTTAGGTTGGGTTTGCCATACTCTCGCTCGCTCGCTCGCACGCCTCGCAGGGATGGGGCTCATCAAATACATACACACACAATCAATCAATCAACAAAGTTGTGTCCCGGGGGTGGAACCTCGCGTGCTGCCTGTCTAGAGTTCTTCATTGCGAGTTCAGCATGGCCTGCTGAGGGAGGTATCCTAGAAGGCGTGTACATGTCGTCTCTCTCTCTCTCTCTCTCTCTCTCTCTCCTTCCTCAGGATGAATGATTATGCAGGCGAAGCTGAAGGAACGTCAATCGAAGCCGGGCTTCTTCGTTGTTGAGCCTTTTTTTTTCTCGAGAACTTCCGTTTTTTCCATCACTCCCATCCTCTGTATTGTCGTGCTTTATGACCAACCGTAAAATTCGCATTGAATTTACCCGCCCCTTCCTGGAGGGAGGGTACTGACTGACCCGAGGGACTTTGTGTACTCGACCTTCGAAACGAAACCGGTTCGTACTCGAAATCGTGATTCTCGGTCTGTGTATCGCGTCGACACGGACGTGTCTATTACGATACACGGAGTATACACATGTACCCTCGGCAAGGGCACGCGGTTTGAATGGAAAAGAAACGTACAATACAGTTCTACGGTGGTTGTTGGTCCAGTAACCATGCCATTTTGGTGTGTGTTTTCTTTTCCCTTTTTTCCTTTTTCCATCCCTCAAGGTCTCACATTCTCGAGTGTCAATCTCGCTCTTGACTCACTCGCCGACCCTAATATGGTCATCTTCCCTTTTCCATTTCCACACACAAACACCGGTCAAAGATACCGAGACTGACTGACTGAGGCGCAAGAATGACGGCCGTGTCGGAGGACACGAGACGTAAACCAGAAAGAAAGAGAAAGAAAAAAAAAAAGGGAAAAATCACCTGTTGTCACAATGAATTTCAAATATACAAAGTCTCCCTCCAGCTCCGAGCCCTTGTGAAGACCTCGTGAAGATCCCGAAGCCACCCTGAGACTCTCACTCCACACTCTCACGGCTGCTTCTTCTTCTTTTTCTTCTTCTTCTACTTGAGCTTGAGCCTTGACAAGACCTAGGCGCCGTAGGCTTATGATACCCATTACCCTCAAAGTGCCTCAATGTCTAGCTGGACTCATACCCTCTCCCAAAAGCACACAAATGTGGAAATCACAAGATTTTGCAAAGGTCAACTCCCCGCAATACTTGTGCGAGCACAAGTATTGCCCATCCATGGTTTTTTTCCCTCTGAGGCCCTCCTTTCAGAGTCGGTCACTAACCAGGCATGCTCAACCGCCCAGTAATCCACCCATCAATCGATCGATATTGTGTAAACCTCTCGGAATGAAAACATGAGAAAGCAAGAGAGGGCGCTCTGGTCCGTCGACGGTTCTTCAACAACAAAGGCTTCATCGAAGATGACTCTCAGCAAGGTAGGTGCAACAACAGCTTCCGATGCAAAAGGTGTTGCAAGTGTGGCACAATCCTTGACATGGTGATTGCTTTATTCAACTTGGAGCACATGTTGTCCTATCCCTTTGCACTGAACGAACGTTTGGAGAAATTAAATGACTAGCGTTGTTTGAGCAAAGACCTCAGGGCGACATCTCCATTTCGTTGTCGGCATCATCTTCCTCTCGATTAGCAGTGCCATCGGTAGGCCCATGAGGGTATTCCTGAGGCGTATCTCCATTGATCAATTTCGTTCCCAACATCTTCGACGTTGCGTTGTACGTAGAATCTGTTCCGTTGGGCACTGGGGATTCTGCTGTGGCAGGAGATGCAGAGGTGCGGCCTCCCAAAACAGCAAGTCTTTTGTTGATGAGATCTTGTAGACGAAGTAGTTGATTGAGCTCGTTACGCTCAACAGACTCAATCACCTCCTGGGGTGCTTCGCTGATGAGTCGATTCGTCAACTCTGCCAACGGGTTTCCAGAATAGCCATCGATACCCTTGCCAGACAAGTCGGCAAGCGATAAGACGGTCTGTTGTTCCTGAATGGAACGGTTTCGAAGAGCAGCGTTAGCCTTTGCGGTTTCTGTGATTGCTAGTGCACTCGCGCCAGTCCAGAAGTCGGGTTCTTTCATCGTGATCACTGTCTCTTGTGGAGGATGGTGCAAGACGGCACCATTCAGACGGTATTTCTTGTCGCGAATCTTCATCGGAGCATCCAAGATTCGGGGGAATTGATGATCCTCATACCAACTCTTCTTGACGCGATCAATAAAATCGAGTCGAATCGCTTTTTCGGGAACACGATATATTTTGCCCTCCATGTTGAATTCTTTCGTTCTATCAAGGCTTTCATCCTTCATGAGCTCAACTTCGATGATGCCATTGTTTCTGAATCCACGAGCGACGGGAACGTCCAATGGTATAGCGTTCTTCGGCTTGCGCAGACGTGGCAGACGTCCCATATCGCCCGGAGCGGCTTCAGCTTGGCGACCAAGAGCTGCCAGATCATGCTCGATGTGCAATGGGCATCGCCAGGACGAGCTCGGCTTCCAGTCAGCTCGACGTCGTGGAGGGATAGCAAGTGGCGGATCGACACAGTCCAGATGCCATTTAGCGGGACAAAAGTCGCAGGGGATAATGTCGCGCCCATTGGAGGTGTGACCACAATGATAGCAGATGATGAGGTTTCCTTTGCCGTCGCGAGTTTCTTTGTAATTGGGCTCTTCGATGAAACCAGCCCGATTCATCTTGACGGCATTGTTCTGGGTCCGCGGCAGTGCAACGTCTTCGTATTCACCCTCTTCGCCAGTCTTGACGCCTTCGAAATATTCCCGGACATCATGTGGGAGTGCAAAAGCCTTTGGTATGGTGTCATCGACTCGGCTAATGAGGGTTCCGAGAAGTCCCGTCGGCTTGGTTGTTGTTGATCTGGATCGCTTTGCAACACATTGAGGACAGAACCATTCGCCTTCGACCTCATCATCGGCATTCAAAGGCGGCTCCAAACAGGCATGATGGAACGAGTTTGTACAACCATCGCAGCAAAGAAGTTTTCCTTCGCCACCACACGATGCACAATATTCGTCGTTGTCCTGCCAATGAAAGTCAGTGACTGAGAGAAAGGGCATCAAACATCTGGCGCGAGGATGGCCTGCACAGGTGAGAGAATACAGATGATTTCAGGTGAAATATTCCTGGGCCGGCATTGTGGAACAGGGAAGAAGCAAATATCAGGGCAGAGAAAGTGATCAGAATGGGTCGAAGGTCGACAGGAAGGGGGAACAGCGAGCCAATCGTGGCAGCTGCAAAGGGGCCCGAAGAAAAGAGAAAATTGAATTTCTGGCTTACCACTTCAGCTCCCGAATCCGCGCCGTTGCCGATCGCAACATCTCGAGAAGGCCCCGCACGTGAAACCCCTGCGGTAATACCACCATTTTTAGGCTTGTTGGGTCTAGAGGAAGAGCATGTCAGTATTGTATTTCAGCCTAGGAAGGACGCTTGTAATGTGCACGGTGAGGTGACCGCGAGGACAGGATCGGCTGTGGTGCCCCCATCCTCGGCGGAGAAGAATGCATCCGAACACCCAATGCTGGACCATCATGGGAAGAAAACAGGAGAAAGTTCATCTTGCAGAGTAGTATACTTACGAAACCATCACACGCGCAGACTTTCGAGTGCCCTTTTGAAGTGGTGGAAATCTGGCAGCTCTTGGAGTTGCACCTCTAGACATCGCATTGGCCACTCCCGGTGGCGGAGGTGGTACAAAGGCTGGTCCGGGTGATGATGATATCGAGGTTGCAGTGTCGATATCGTCTGTATCGGGATCATTGTAGGCTTTGTATCTTCTGCGACTGTTTCCATTGACCAAGATGGTATCAGGCGGCACTGTCACCGGAGAAGAAAGCACAGCGCTGGAAGTTGCTAAGCCATTAGGATGGACCACGGGCGGTGGAGGTCTCTCATCCGGGTCAGGGACATCAGGGTGGCCGTGAACCAGTTCGCGTTCGTCACTTTCAGGTCGAGGAATTTGATTGTAATCATGAAAGCTTTCTTTGAGGAAATCCCGTTTACGCTGGCTGAGCTCGTCAATATCAAATTCCACTTCGTCTCGAGTTTTCTGTGATTTCCTAGAGGTGCCTCTGGGCACAGGAGTTGGATCGAGAAGCGATTGACTGCCGCTAGCTTCACGGTATGTCGCACTCGCAGCTGAACGAAGTCGGCTGCCCGTCACAGCCCGGTTTGCGGCTTGGCGATGGCTGACCGACCTGGAGCGCCGGCCATCATCACCACCAGGCACACGGGCCATAGGAGGAGCGTAATCATCAGGAAATGACTTGGCTGATGAGAGTGATGAATCACTTGATACGCTGCGTCCGCGCTTCCGCTTGTTAGGCGATGGAGTGGGCAGAAGAGATTGAGTTCGCAATGACGGATCGAGCGAGTTCAGATTGCGAGAGCTCGGTGAGGCAACAACAATCGTATCATCAGCCTGCGCAGCCGCTGAGGCCCGATTCATATTAAAATAGAGTGAGATTCGGGGGTTGGACGGTTGTGAAGGAGTCTTTGAGCCGAGATCAGGTTGAGTATGTTTTGATGAGCGGGGAGAAGTGATGGCGCTGCGTCGACGAGAAGAGGACTGATAAGGACTGACTGATATCTGACTTGATCGTCGGTGCTTTCTGACACCAGATTTAATGTATCGTTTGAAGACTTTGAATTGAGCAGGGCTGGGTGATTGCTGAACAACCGCCTCCACGACATTCCACAATTCAGGCATCACTTGAGCATCCTCACGGAGCTTTTGCAATCCGGGAACCAGATCTGAGGAGTCCTTGTCCTGAGCTTCCTGCAATGCGCGCTCGAGATGATTTTGAAGCCGATCTCGCCGCAAATGTTCTTGTATCGACGGAGGTTTGGGTTGTGTGTAGCCGGCTTGGGCGTTGTGCAATTTTGCCGGCGAAGGTGAGGAAGTCATAACTTGCGACATCTCTGCCACTTCTTTCCGAGGCGGTCGGCCACGCGGAGGACTCGAAAACACCACCGTATCTGACTGTTGAGGCAATTCCGGCGTATTATCTGACATGATTTCGGGTTCCAGGGGTGAAGCAACATCCATCTTTTCAGGGTCCGCCGACGTCGACGAAACCTCCTCTGCCTGCACAGGTGTCGGTCTGGGCGACGGCCGCACATAGTTGGTCACTTTCAGCTTTTGTAGCATGCGCTGGGTAGGAGGCACACCGAGCGGCTGCATGTTTTCCAGTACGCCGACTCGTTCCAGCCCTTTGGTGTCTTCGAAACTCGGGACCGCAGTCCGCACAGTAGGCTCGATCCAGGTGTCGAGATTCGTCTGTTGGCCATTTCTTGTCACCGAAGCCTCGACGGGCTTGGGCGTAACATCCTTCTCGCCGAACGTGGCGGGACTCGAGTAGCGGCTCGATCTGTGCCGCAGCGATCTCGTGGACATGCTTCTTCTTCTCCGCGCCACACGCGCCGACTGCAGGATGTTCAGTTCAGGGACACGTAAGGAGGAGGACACATGGGACTTACAGTAGCCCGTGAGAAGGCTCCGCGGCTTGGATGCGCTCAAGGGCAGATGTGAGAAGAAGGCGAAAAGATGTGTGATGGACGCAGATACAACCGTAACTAGCGAGGTGCGCGAGAGTTCAGCAAGTAGCAAGGGGCGCCGGGCCTATAGTGGGATTAGATTCGGAGCCTCCAAGGCTGAGATCTCCCTCCCCTTTTGCTTTTGTTTTTTTCCCTCCAGGCGCCACCACGGCCCTCAATGAACAATAGTGTGCGCTTCACTTCACTTCAAACTCGGCTGGACAGTAGAGAAAATTTTGAATAACGATAGTACCAGCCTCAAAATTTGTTTTATTCACTATCCATGTCACGCGAAGCCATCAACAATAGCCCACAGACCCCGTGACGTGGCAAGCGATCTACGGGGCTCCGACGAAGAATTCTACTCTACAAATTCTTATTAATCAAGTAGACTTTGCAATTGAACTCGATGCTTTTTATTTTCCTTGGATATCATGTATCTTCTCTAGCCCGTCTCATGCAATTCATGGGTCTATATCCATACATGGACCTCACAGGATCAAGTGCGAATGTTTCCAGCGGATACCTAGGTACTGACTTGAAACACGCTCCATCGACGTGACCCAAGGCCGCGGCCTGCAACCCAGCCTCGCTACCAGCGAAGGCCCGTCACAATTCGTTCATCAACCGGAGGAACAAGAATCGCGTCATGAAGGCGCATTTTGAACGGACGGCAGAATGATTGCTCATTCATCATCGCTGGAATCATCCGAGTCAGAGTCTGCTTCAGCCGCGGCGGCTTTCTTAACGGGCTTCTTCTTCTTTTTCTTGTTCTTGCTCTTTGAGCCAGTAGATTTGTTGGTTGGTCGCTCTAGGATCTTCAGAATCTCTTCGTCCTCAATCTTCTTATCGGATTTGATTGAGTCCAAGTCCAAAGCAGGAGGGGCTGCCAGACGAGTGAGCCCGTTCTTAGTTATAGCTGCGTGATGGTCAGTTAATCTCCCGTCAAAGTCTGCAGTCGTTCTTAAAACTCACCGATGGTAGTGAAAAGCCTCGAGACAGGGGAACCGTCAGCTTCAGCCGAGGGCTTGTACTCTCTGAGCACACCAGCCCGGACTGACTCGATCACGCCCACCTTTGCAGCTTTCTCATCCTCTAACTGACGGAGACTGAAGGGGAAGGTGCCGAATTTCTTGACAATTTCGGACAAGGTCTGCCGAGAACTAGGTCTCTTGAGTCCGTACGTTGTGTTGGTGCGTCTTAACAGAGTCGAGCGCTTGTCCAAGTCCTTCACTTTGCCAGATCCCAAGCTCATACCAACCTCAACACCCCAGACTTCGCCAACTTCTGGTGTGCCGTCACCTTTGGTTCCATCGTGGGGCGATAGGATGATCTTCTTCTTTCCCTCGATGTCATTGCGCTCAAACATCCAAGATGTGGTGTGCTGAACCACGTTCACATCATACGATTTGGCAATCTTTTCAACCAGAGCGGTGATTTTACTGTGGGTGGGTGGTTTCTCGGCGGCAGCTTTCGCCTTTTCTTCGTCTGAGCCTGTAGCCAGAAGTCCAGGAGGGATCATGAGTCTTAACAGCAGCTCGTTTGCATAGTGTGTGGCCAACAGCAGGTCGGCATCTCTGCCCGTGATCTCAGCCTTCTTCCCTTTCTCTTGCGGCACGACAACGGTGTCTCCCACAATGGCACCGAAGCCGCCAATCTGCGCACCCAGCTGGATCTTGACCAGCTCGCCGGCCTTGATAGTCATGGCGGCATCTTCGGCGTCGGATTTCAGAGGAGTGAAAGGCGTGATATGGCTGCTCGGGCTGATTGTGACAGGGGTGTTTGTGCTTTTCAAAACATTCTTTCCCTTGTAGACTGTAAAATTCTCTCCAGTCAGTCTCGTACCAGTTCAAGGAGGAAGGTGACTCGGCAAACCAAGCGTTGCACCTACCAGTGCTGAGCTTCTTCTCAACCAACTCATCTCCTCGCTCACACAGGTCAACAATCTTTTCGCCGTCGGCGAGCCATCCTAGAGAACTGTCAGTGTGTGCTGGCTCACGTGGGGGTCCCTCGCGGCTCCATTTACCAGTCACTTCCTTGAGGACCTCTGAAGCCACGCCAGCTGCGGTACGGAGCCGAGTCAAGTTGTCCGGGCTGAGCATAGTATCATCGACAGTGTCGGCCATCTTGACGGTGCGCACAGGTCGTGGGTTGAGGGAGGGTTGTTGTGTGCTATTTCAATGCGATGTTACCTCTACCAACCTGAATGTGCAGCGAACAACTCCAATGATGCACTGCGGGGTCTAGCCTCGAGTCTTGGCACTATCGAGCCCTACCAGGGACGAGTTACCGCAATACAAAGGCACCTAATGGTACAATAGGATTCAGCCTTGTCATCTGGGTTTGAACGTTACTGATCCATGTCTTACAGAAAGACATAGGGGCTGGTCTCAGAGAGAAACAAGCATCGTGGTAATATAGGACATCTCAATATTTTCCACCTTTGCCATGGCTCATCGTGGCGTGGGCCACTCCGCTACTCTACGGGCCACCACACAGTTGATTTACATCGGCACATGGCCAACTTCATAGACGCGGATGTAAAGCTTTGGTGGAATGTGTATTGTCGTACTTCTTGCATGACTGCATAAATGGAATATGGAGTATAACCAACAATAAGCACCTGCCAAAATTGTACATTTGCAAACATCTTCTTTTAACACAGTAATCAGAGTCTTAAGCAGCTCTTGCAACCCGTGCCTCCACCTGGGCTTTGTGCTGACGAGTAAGCACATGAGACTCGAAGTTTTCTGCTGTCATTCCTGGGCCAGCCATGTAAGTCTTTGCAGGGCAGTCGTGGCAACGGATACGCGGCACATATTTGTGTGCAAATGACCTATTCGCCTCGTTCGGGGCGACGAGCTTTTGTGTCCTGGGATCAACCGCCACGTGCTTCATCAGTGGCTCATAGATGTCATTGGGACGGTCCTGCTTAAGCCTTTCCAGGTCCTGAACGAGCCATGTTGGCGGAGCCGGCTACCTCAATGTCAGCATAGTTACAGAGTGGAGAGAAGTGTATGTACTTACTGCTGGATGGCTTGGGCTCGGAGGATGCCAGGTTGCATCCACAGCGCCCGGGACTTCCGCAGGAGCTGGAACAGGTGAAGGGGGAGGCGGCATGGCAGCAAGGTTCAAGGGCGTAGCCGATACGGATCGTGAATGTGTCCCGACTCGAGGACTGCCTTGATTAGATGCGGTGGAAATGCCCGCGCGATCCCTCAGTCGCTGCGAACGTGCCCATTCCCGTAATTTGGCTCTGCCGACTTTCAATATAACGACTAGCTTGTCTGCATTTGACTCTTCGTCATCGCTTTCTTCTTTATATTCTCGTTTTCGGGCCGAGGCTCTGCTTTCATGATGTGAAGGTGCAATCGATTCTGGCGTAGCTGAACGCACTGATGTGATACCAGAGAGATTGGAGCGGATGCCAGCAGTTGCCGAGAGCGCAGCGTTTCGTGCGCTTCTTATTCGAGTTCCCTGCTGCAAGAGGTGTGTAGGAATAGCAGGAGAATCTGGTCCCGACTCTTCGCTATCAGATTCGTCGGATTCTTCAAACCCGTCCCGCTGACCTGCTCCTCGAGCAGATCGCCGTGTAGCTTTGGGCACCCTGAAGATCCTACTTTCCTCCATACCTAATGCTCCTCCTGGAATAACGGAAGAAACGACAAGCGACCTTATCGTACGTTGTCTATCTTTGAGATCCGGTAGAGCAGGGCCGCCACGACGGTTCGTCGAACGTTTCTGTCTCCGCTGCTCCCTGGAAATAGAGAGTTCAGTCCGCTCCAGATCGGCCTCGTTGAGCTCATAAAGATATGGTGAATAATCTTTGGCAGATTGGTATGGGCGAAACGTGACAGGAATAGGAGATTGAAGGAAATTCTCTCTGAGGTCGGGATCTTCAATTGGCCGGCCGTCAAATGGATATCCGGTAATATGTAGAGACTTCGAAAATAGTTGACTTTGTTCGCGAATTGAATGAGCAATAGCAGTTGTGAATTCTCCTGCCAATGCCAAATCATTGGTCATCTGTCTCGCAAATTCCTCTGGTGAATTGTAGGGGTTATTGATCTCCCACTCGAATTGATCGATCAAGGTGTTTTGGCCGATCGTTATGTTGAGCTTAATAAGGATGCGCATTTCATCGTTTTTATAAGCCGAGTAGGGCAGCGATGGCTCCGAGGGCTCTTCATCGCCATATATTTGGGGACAGTAATCGCTGATTTGTTCCCGTATGCTATGTGCGACAGATTGGATTAGCGGACGGCATTGGTGAATCTCGAGGCCAAAGTCTTCAACTAGTTTCTCAGCGAAGTAGTCGATTGATGTCAACCGATCATTGATATTCCAAGTGAAGGTGTCACGCAGTTTTATTTTGCCCCAGTCAATATCAAGCCGGATGGGGACGAGCTCTTCGCTTTGCTCGGCCTGGTTGAGCTGTTCTTTCCTAGATATCCGTGGAAGCAATGTCGTTCGCTTACCAGGCCTTCGCTGACGAGGGTATACGATGGGGTCGCGCAGGGTTCTGTCGTCGGTTCTCGGGTTGCCAAAACCTGCATAGCCGTATCCAAAGATAGACCCTGGATCATGGTCACGTTGAGGGCGCAAGGTTTGGTATAGTGCCAGCTCTTGTTTCTTCTCTTGCGCCAGCAGCGGGTGATTGAGCTGCTCTGCTAGGAGGCCTTTATAATGGTATTCGTGTTGAACATATTCATCAGCCTGTATACGCTCGACGGGAGTGTCGCGTTTGCGTTTTAAATTGCGATCCGGACTGGGACTATCGCGACGGCCATTGGACTCTGTAGGAGTGGCATCCTTCGCGATCTCGATGCCTGAAGCAGCTAACACCTCCTTGGCCTTTTCCTTCCCTTGCGCTATAGTATCGGCAGTGTTGGAGGTCGCATTGGATGAAATTTCTACGGGCGCGGCCACCGCAGTCGCACCATCGGGGGAGTTGCTCATGGCGACGACATATCACTTGGGAGGTATTGTATATGCTGTATGATGGTAAATGGGCGCGTTGACGCGTTGCTGATGATAGAAGTCAGTCATTGCGAGCAAAGTCAGGATGAAACTGTGGAAAAGGAGGCTGGGGACTGGACGTGGTGGTGAGAACCCATCACCATCACGGGCAGACATCACCGAGTACTCGAAAACGACATGAAAAGCATCGGAACAGATGAATACATACCAAAACTGGGCGCGATCTAATAGTACGATGGGCAGAAACGTGTCTGGGATGTGATCACTTCTCGTCAATCCGCAAACTGCGCCGCAGGTTTCGCCCTCGGAACAAATCCACCCCAATCAGGTTTAGCTCGGGAAATCTCAGGATCCAGCCTCCTCTTTCATCTAACGAGTAGTGCTCTGATCCCGGGCCTACTCCATTCGTAAGGAACTACAGCAAATACGAGGCAACTTACGGAATATCTGTAGCCAGGTCCCTTACAGTCCCCTAGGCATCGGGTCTACGTTTCAGCATGAAATTGACTCACTACGCGGCTCTAGGCCAGGGTTTCGTTTTTCTGACTCTGTCAGCCATGTCATTTGAAATCCACCGACTTTGGCCTCAATCGAAAGACCGGTTTTGTAGGCTTTGCGGTTCTATCGGAATCAGTGCTAGAGTCCAATGTGAGTTCTGGGAATACTTAAATTCAGCCCTGTCTGTCTGTACTACATACGGAAGCTGTGGTCCAAAACAAGAGCAAATACGATTGATATGTTTGTGGGCTCGGATATTTCTGGAATCTGGGGAAATAGATATATATATATTTTTGACTCTGTGTCATCTCCTTCTCCTCAACTGAAGATCTCTGTTACCTTTCATTTCTTTTAGTCTAAGTCATTTTGTAAACCATCTCAGCATGGGCGACGCATCAACATCTGAAAACATCAACGGACAGAATAGGCTTGATCACAATGGTCTTCCCCTGCGCATCCTCACCCACAATATTCGCTATGCAAACGAGAACCCTGACAGACATGAACGGAAATGGCCAGAGCGCTTCTCCCATCTATCGAGCCACTTCAAATATCACACGCGCCAACACTTCTCACCGCCATCGACGATAGTTTGCATGCAGGAAGTCCTGCATGTACAACTTCAAGACCTGATGCGGCACACTTTCAACTCCTCACATCCCGCTGATTGGGCCTCGGTCGGCGTGGGTCGTGATGACGGTGCAACGAAAGGCGAATACAGTCCTATCATCTTCAGGCAGAGTGCGTGGCAGTGCATTCATTCCGAAACAGTATGGCTAAACGAGACGGGCGAAGTTGGCAAAAAAGGTTGGGATGCATCAAGCATTCGGATTCTGACCTGTGCTACCCTCAAATCCCGAGTCGATCCATCAGCCCCAACTGGTTCGCCAGCCAACAAGACGATCCTCGCCATGAACACACATCTGGATGACCAGGGAGAAGTCTCCCGTCGTGAATCTGCAAAACTGATCTTGAGACACACTGAGCGATGGCAAGCTCAGTACTCGCCAGATTTCACCTTCTTGACAGGGGATCTCAATAGCAGACCGAGTGGGGACGCATACCATATTCTCAATGCTCCGGGGTCTGGGCTTGTAGATACACGAAAGCTAATCCCTGATGACAACAACAATGGCACAATCTACGCGTATGGCAACGAAAGGACGTTCACAGGGTTCAAAGGCGATCCAGGAGCCGGTGGAAAGCACCGAATTGATTTCGTTCATTTGGGTATCTCAAAACAGGTGGACGAGAAAGCGGTCGATTTGGAGAAGGTGAGGGAAATGATCCAAGCATATGGAGTTTTGCCCAATCGCTTCGATGATCAGGTCTGGATGAGTGATCATCGGGCCGTCGTTGTCGACCTATTAGTCTGATTTCGGGTTCTTTGAACTCTGTAGAGGAATGGGCTGGATGTACTGCGTTATCCGAGGATACAATTTCAAAGGCTAGAGCATGAGAATGACCAGCGCGGCTCAATAATGACTTGCAAGATGACCTGACAATGCCGTTGGTGTAGCACTGCGAGATACTCTAGCACTCTACCGCAGGGAACGTTGGGGTGCCAGAAAAGGGCACGTCGAGTCAATACTCCACAGATTATTGGTTTGCATGACTCGTGTCAATATTTACCGGCTCCCTGCGCAGTCGCTTTGTCTTGCGCAGAACGAGCTCCAAGACATCGCCAGAGACACCTACCACAATCTACTGTTTTATATGTGACCTCCTTCGTCTACGGTTGTCTGCCGATAGCACCTGGCTATTTTCATTATTCCACACTACGATCGAATGTCGTGTATGGAGGGGGCCTCTACGTCAATGCACTGAAACATTGTAATTCTTCCCGATTATAGGCGAGGCAGCCAATATCACAGGGTGTCAAGAGCTTGTTCGGCGCCTTGAAGAGCCAAGTCGAAAGCCACAATACGCCTACATCGATGGAACAAAGAGTTCTCCGGGAGAGATGGATTCGACCGTGAAACGAGACACGGGCTCGGAGGCAGTGCCATCTGCAAAGTTCTTACAAGGTACGTCTTCGGCTGAAGCACAGCCCGTGGTTCTGGCGTCGTCTGCGACGACTGCGCCGAAGTTTTTGAGACACTACGAGCTAACAAGTCGTAGCAAGAATCACGGCTCTTTCCACCACGTTGATCAAGCGATTGGAAAACATCTTTGCAGTGGCTCTGGATGAGACGGGCTCAGGTTCTACTTTTCCTCCCGGGGGTAATGATGCCCCAGCACCTGCATCCTTGACAGAAACCTCGATCCAGCAGTTTCAGCTGGACGTCGAATCCACAGCGGTCATCCGAGCCGCGGAAGAGATCATGATGTTGACGCGCACATTGAAGGAGATCTGGCTGTTTGGTGGGCTGGACACACTAGAAGAGGATCGTCATAATGAAAGAGATGAAGCGATGCGAAAAAGGATGGACGAGGACATCAAAGTAGTTGAGGATGGATTCAGACGATTCTTGGAAAAGTACGAGACTGCCATCGAGGTAGACACGAATAGTACGCGTAAGGCAGTTGAGGCATAATCATCGAGCATCAAGCACTCGTGCTCGGTTTTGGATGCACACGGGCGCGTAACTAAAGACAGCCAAGGAAACCTCGAAGTGTCCCATTTAATGCAAGATGCGCATAAGGCGAAATAGCTGGAGAAATGAGAGGACGCGTACGAGTATCGAAAGAAGTGCTCCATACGTCAAGTACCTCAAACAGCTCCTACTCGTAATCCTTGGAAGGACCTCAAGGTAAGTCGTCCCTCCGTAGGTGGCTTGGTAGGTTCTCTAGGTCGGTACCTTTACTGCGTACTCGCTGTAGATATGCAAACTACGAGTGCTACTACGTATGGTCATCGAGCCCCGATGCACTCGGATGGATTTCTCAGTCGATCTCGAAAGAAAAAGATACACCTCCCACCCAATCATCATTCGGTTTTCCCTGACCTCGACTGAGAATTAAGCGAAAATCTCGATCTCCATGACCCTTTATTACTCCGTATGGACTGTGATTTACTCCAAAGGAGCGATCAATGGTTTCACATTGGTTTCCGGATGAACTTTAGTCGAAATAGATGCAAGTGGAAGATTTGATACTCCACCTCCCAACGCCTGGCCATCTTTTGGTCCCAGAGATAATAACTCCGCAGCCCAAAAAAACATAAAATGGGGGGTGGTCAGTGGCCTGACCCCCCCTCGCATACAGTGGCCGGTCTAGAACCTCCATCGCTTTTTCTCTTGACAACGCACATCTCCCTCTCTCTCATCGAGCCCCAAATGGGCAACATACCTAGGGGATCTGTGACAAGATCTAGACGGTCATAATACTACTGCCCTGCAGACTTCTAGCCTTGGAGGGTTTTTGTCTCTCTACCGATCGCTTCAAAACCACCCGACACGCAACATTGTGTTTCTGTGTACCAATACTCCGTACATGTTTATTATCGACATACGTGTATAATACAAACCAAAGGGTGGCAGTATACGACCAGCCACAACCCGAACAACGCGCTTTTTGGATACCTCGCTGCTTGTACTCTGTACGGATACGACCCAACAAAAAAAGAAGCATTACTACTACCGTGACTTGTTGACCTCGAATCACACTACGAAAAGAACGAAGAAAGGATGACCACTATACCGACTCCTCCATCGACAACTTTGTCCGGGCCACCGTCGCCGACTGAAAGGCACATTACCGTGTCATTCGTCGATCCCTTTGACGGAACCGTCCCCGACGACGAGGACGACGACATGTCTGCTGCCACGAAACGAATCATCAAGACAACCACAACCACCATCACTCCCATACGAATACATCCCAAACCCATATACTTGATAGTCGCGACGAGTCTCAATCCACCCATGGGGATTGGGAACAATGGAGACCTTCCCTGGCCCCCCATCAAAGCCGACATGGCCTTTTTTCGAAAAGTCACTTCTCACGTTTCTCCTCCGACCGAGCAGGCGTCATCATCACGCATGTTCAACGCCGTGGTCATGGGCCGAAAGACCTGGGAGAGTATTCCGCCGAAATTTCGACCGCTCTCCGGTCGACTGAACGTCATCATCACGCGCGGCAAATCAAGCGACCTGGGTTCACGGATCATCGAAGACTTGAAGTCGTCCAACGATGGGGCAGCATGGTCTCTGCATGAATTCGCGACGAGGTCGAAACCGTCCAAATCGAAGACAAGCAGCAAAAACTCGACGAGTGCCATACTGACGCCTCCCCCGTCAGCTCCGTCCCAGGCGGCGCCGATCCTGATCTCGCCATCTTTACAATCCATACTCACTTTACTGTCGAACCCGTCGGCGGTAGCGGACCCAACCTCAACCTCGAAACCCGCGACCTCGGGTCCTCCACCGTCCCTGACCGTCAACAAGATCTTTTGCATCGGTGGCGCCGAGATATACCGTCAGATCCTTTCCATGTCTTCCGCCTACACGGATCGCTACCCTCTCCAGAAAAGATCGACGAACCAGATCGACTCCGAGACGGACACCGACACGGACGGCGAAGGCGACAGCACCGACTTTGACGTGCGCATCCTGCAGACCCAAGTCCGCAAGGTGGTACCTCCTCCTCCGCCACCCGACTCATCGTCACCGTCATCTCCCGCGACACTTTCCAGACAACACACCTCGTCGGAACCGGATTTCGAGTGCGACACCTTCTTCCCCGACCTGTTGCCGGCAGACCCGGGCATCAAGTCGGCCAAGTGGAAACCTCTGCCCGCCGAGTGGTTGGACGAATGGGTCGACGGGATCGAGTTGCCGCAGGCACGACAGACCTCGACCCGAGCGGACTCGAACGCTGGTGGAGGCTGGTACAGGGACGAGAAGACCGACATCGAGATCCGCGTGGTCGGTTGGGAGAGGAGAGGAGCCAGGAGTGATTCGGTCATCAGCCTCCCCAGGGATTTCAGGCCTTGAAGAGAGATTCGGAAGGAATGGTGTTTGGTGGACCAAAAAGGGCCGGCCAGGATGTCATCATCTAAAATTTGTCAATCAGCTATTCACAGGTTAAAACTTGGACATGGCAGATGGAAAACAAAAGTAACGAGGATTCTTGGAAAGACAGGACAAGTATTCGACCACTGCCATCTGATTGTTTGCAAAATCACGGGCAAATGCACTTGATTACAGGTACTCAGGTAGCAGACATTTGGCAAGCTTGGATAGTCATAATGCATACATTGCTCCGACTAACCTGACTACCTCTTTACAGACATTTACCTATGATAAGGTCCTGATGATATTCTCCAGTCCTGGTCATTCGTCTCATGTGTGAGGGTGGACAAACTGCCCAATTACTCAGCAGTCAACCTCAATAGTCATTGCTGTTGTCGCCATATCCTCCGGCATCTCCTCGCTTCTCAGCACCTTTCTGCCTCAACTTGTCATTGTTGAACAAATCGCCAGCCTTCTGCATGAGCTTTCCTGCTGTGCTATCGTTGTTACCACCACCCTGCGAACCACTATCGTCTCCATACCCTCCAGAGCTGGCGCCATATCCACCGGACTGTTGACCGCCGGTGCGGCCTGAGCCCGTCCCGTACTGATCATCCCGGCCCGTGGTCGCGCCACCAGTCGCACCTGCGCTTCCATAGGTGTCGTCTTGACCTGTAAAGAGGCAACGTTAGCTTTGGGGTCAGAGTACTCGGCGTCTTCCTGTAGGACACGTACCCAGGCCACCACCAGACTGACCAGATGAGCCGTACGAGTCATCACCCCCACCATATCCGCCACCACCACCGCCAGTACGGCCAGAGGAACCATACGAATCAGTGTTGCCGCCACCGTATCCACCGGTAGTGCCAGAAGAGCCATACGAGTCGTCGCCGCCACGTCCAGAGCCTGTTCCGTACTGGTCTCTGCCGGATGTTGCACCTCCAGTCGCGCCCGAGCTACCATAGGTATCATCTGAACCTTTTTGACACTATCAGTCCCCCTTCTCACAGTACACACGCAGTTGTGGACAACCACCGACAAACAACTTACCTAAACCACCGCCGGTGCGACCAGAGGAGCCGTAAGAGTCATTGCCGCCGCCGTAGCCTCCTCCTGAACCACCGAGGGACTGGTCTCCGCCGCGGCCGGAGCCCATGCCATATTGATCACCTCCAGAAGTGGCACCACCGGTTTGGCCACTGCTGCCGTATGTATCGTCGGAGCCTGGAGTAGCTTCTTGTCAGACTGGGATTGCTTCTGGGGTGATGAGGATGGAGAGGTAGTAAGGAGGGAAACTGACCTAAGCCGCCTCCGGTCCGGCCAGAGGAGCCATAGCTGTCGTCGCCGCCAAAGCCACCTTGACGTCCGCTCGATCCCTGACGAGGTCAGTCATGGAATGTTCCGGGGGGAAGGAGTAGAGGATATTCACGTACATAGCTGTCATCACCACCGTAGCCACCACCTCCACGTTGCTGCAAAATGTGTTAGTTGACAAGACACACGGCACGATTGGAACGTTTGCCATAGATATAGGGTTGGGGTTATGGGTATGGGTATGGGCAGATAGTTTCATGAGTGGCTGGTTAGCTGGCATACATTGTCGTCGTTGTAAGACATGATGGTTATCTTGATCTTGCTTTTGTGAGGTTTCTTTGCTTGAGTATCACTCTTGAGAAGAAAAAAAGAATCCAAAGATCAGATTTGGGTGTGTCTCTCTGGCAAAACAAAGCGGTGGCTTCCCGGAGCAATATATACCTACCGCACCCACCTTCTGAGAGCAAGAGACCCAGTGTCACCTTCCCTCCCTACACCCCCCCTCCATCAGCCCTGCTCCTCCCTCAACATACCATCACGTCAGTGCCCCAAAGATGGCACGGAAAAAGCCTCGACCAGCCCACCAGGCCACGCCTACGTAAGTCCACGCGGCATCAGCCAATGACCCGATAAAACGCGGGGTCGTGGAACAGGGCACTGGTGTAGCAAACAGCTGAGCATGTATGCGAGAGAAACTTCGGGAGCATATCGTCATGTTTTGGGCCAGCAATTGGTCCAGCTCGCCTCTACCATGACATGTGAGCTGCATCAAGTGTCACTTTGCGACCGGTTTTCTACCTATCCGGCCATTATGGAGTGTAAACTTTGTTCAAAGGAGCGAGTTGACGTGAAGGTGGCCGGAATTGCATCTCACTTCCTGTCCCCGCATTGGTACGTACTCTCATCCTACAATAGGTCCTCCTCGTACTCGGATGGGTCCCCATCTGAGGCCTCCCTTTCCCTCTACGAGCAAGATAGCCTAGTGAGCCCTTCGTCAAATGTCCTGCAAACGCGTATGACGTGCATTTCTATGTCACCAGGTCCAAAATCTTGGATATCCTTTATGCTGTGCAGCCCTGACCCCTGCTTCGCCTTGCTGTATTGAACCGTGTGGCGTTCGGCTCGAACTTGATCGTGTGTAGAGCTAGCGAGCAACATGTCCAAGTTTCTGCTCCATCTCGAACCCAATCGCTAGTAGTGACTAAACTGATGCCGGGTGGTTCTCCTTGCTTTGCTCATATCTGTTGACACGGATACGCAAATCGCGGATCTGGGGAGATCGGGAGATTCCCCTGCCGAGAAATGCTTGATTTGGGCGGTGAGAGGAAGTTTAGTACTCCCGTCTTCAGCGCCACAAAGTTATCGGCCCTTGAGGGCATCTTAGAATCTCCCACCGTTGGGAGTCAGAGGAAATGGACTGCAGCCTCCCATCCTCTTCCTTTTCCCGTATGAGTTTCAAACAAAGTTTCCCGACGCAGCATTAGATCACCATTGCGGCATCTCCTGTCTCTCGAAAAGACCGGTGTGACCAGCTTTGCTTATCGGACATACTTCGACTACAGTCTGAATTAGTACCTTTCACATTGCTGCATATCAGCAGACTTACCATAAACTTCTTGTGAAAATCTGATCGTAATAAATCCTATGGCATCGTAAGTATCGGCATAGGACAAGGACAAGGACATGAAATGCACCTACATTGACAAATTCCTTGTTGCCCTTTTGTTCAGTGCCTCGAGCCTGATTCTTGAACACCACGTCGTCATCCCATCTTCGTTTGACATTGAACGCCTTCGGGTTCAGTAGAGGATTCCCGAGTGCAATATTCTCTTCGCGCTCCTCTTGCGCTTGTTTGGCTTGTTCGGCTTCTTCCCGGGCTTTTTGCTCTGCCCGTTCTCGCTTGATTTTTTCCAATTCACGCATCAATTCTGCTGTCTCGTCTTCTTCGTCACTATCCTCCTCGCTGCTGCTATCGCTGTCACCTGCGTCCGAATCTGCGTCTATGTCTCGGGTTTCCTCAAGAATTCGTCTTCGTTTCGCCTCTGGATCTTCGTCGCCATCCCGTTCGTCTTCCCCAGCATCTGGAGCAGTTTCGAGCTCGCGCTTCAAAGGATTCGGAGCATCACCGGAAGGTTGTGTGCTCTTCCCTTTCTTTGCAAAGTGCGCTGCCTCTGCAGCCAGTAGTTCGGCTCGTAGATCTCGCTGTTCTGGATCAGCCGCTCCACCTTGACCTGGTTGCCTGTTGACTGTCAGAGAAAGAGACTTCTGGTTGATATTATGACCTACCGGACTTTCAAAAGAGTATGCGCTGGAAGTAACCTCTGGTGATAGGCAGGACCACGTTGAGCTTCTTTTCCTCTGGCGGGGTCAAACGTGGGTCGATGAGCTGTAGAGATGTCAGTCTGGATATTTCGCGGAGAAGAGACAAGCACATACCGGTGGTCATCTTGAATAGCGAAGAGAAGAGAAAATTGTGCAAGATCACAGTCGGCGGTGACAATTGAATTGTAGAAAATTCGCCTCAAAGGTGCAGGCGCAGGCTGAATCGTTAAGGTCCGCTAATGCGAAATTTGTCGCTGTCTGACACAATAATCCGGGGAATAGTAAGGACAGCTAGGGACTTGTAGAATGACACTAGGTCCGTCTGACGGTAAATTTTCTAGTACTTATTGACAAAGATGCGGATATCAGACTATTGAGCGAGAAGGCCAACACTAGGTGAATGGATTTACTCTTGACGGTGTTATCACCCCAAAATCCAATCTAGCCGGTTTCTATATTGGAAAGCATGCCGAACTGAAGATGCTGTCTTTACGGCGAGGCAAGAGACACAGCTAGGACCGAGCTGTGCGCTATGTACGGATAATTCATTTGTCATACTTTGTTGGCCAGCGTCAGCAGAGAAAAATGGTCAACTATGGATCATCACGAGCCTGCGAAACTTGCAGAAGAAGACGCAAGAAAGTAAGTACGCCTGAAGATGTCGACGAGATTGTTCTGTTCATATCTTGAAATAGTGTGACGAAGCTCGCCCGGTGAGTTATGACCCCAACTGGCAACTACCACGACTGACTATATGTCATAAGTCGTGTAATAGATGCCTCAAGGCAGGGTTTAACTGCTCAGGCTATCGTGAACGACAAGGTGGTACATTTCGACAATCTTTTGCCGGTTATCCACCTTATCTCAGCAACCAGGTCAAACCTTTTGAGATAATTGAACTTCCAAAACGCTTGCCTCAGGCCTTTCCCGATGCGCATGTAGAGGCATGTGGTTTGACTGCCTTCTTCCAACACTTCACAGATGTTTCTCGGGACACCACTGTCTCTCGTGGTTATCTTGATGGACTCGAGGATTTAGTTCGGCGTGCGGAACCCGATGCCCTGGTTCTTCAAGCATGCAAGGTTATGGCCCTCGCATGCCTTGGAAGCAGACTCAAGATGTTGGATTTACTCGATCAAGCAAGATCACTTCACATTCAACTGCTGCATTCTTTCTCAAAATCTTTACTGGAGCTATCAGCCCACGATGTCATGGAATCCCTGGTTACCGCGGTGCTACTTGGACTCTACGAGGTTGGTGCAGGTTTCAGCGATTTTGAGATTGTGAGGTAACGATAATCGTCAGCTAGTTACAGCTGGATCTACGAATCCCAGCGATCACGATGCTCATTCGAGGGGTGTGACGGCAATTCTATGTGCAACTCAATCTCCGCTTGAGCTCGTCAGAGGCAAAGGTCTATTTCAATTAGCACACTCGCTTTGGAGAAAGGGTCCAAATCACATCGTCGAACTCAGTCTGCTCCCATCGGTACAGACAACCAAAGATACTAATCGACCAATGCTGCGGGAAGATGAAGTACAGCTTCCTGATGCCTTCCAAGAGAGCTCTGGAGCCGGGTCCGAATTCAATCATACCGGGCTATACCTACTCTTGAAGAAAGCGGAGATCTTACTGCTCAGTCAACATGCCCTTTCAGAAGACATAAATGACCTCCTCTGCGAAGCATATTCATGGGACAGAGACTTGGCTCGCTGGCCAGCAACTCGATCATATGAGCCTGCGGAAGTATCGAAAACCGAAAGTCAAACACAAAGTCGACGTCCACCATGGTGGCCACCGAAAGCAGACACTTATTTTGATTGTATGGATACGTTATCCGCTTCATGTTACAGCCCACTAACGATGATGTTGGCAGTGTATGTGGCTGCGGCCTGGAACACGTATCGCAAGAATCGGCTATTGCTGCTCAATGTGATAGTTCAGTGCTTAGAAAGGCTCCAAGAGAAGGACGCACATGGGCGCAAGCAGGCAGAAGCTGCAGGGCTTGCTAAAGATGTTCTGGCTTCGATTCCCTTCCACCTGACATACGCCTCCGGTAGTCTTCGTCAGGTTTCAAGTCTTAACGTTGGCGGGATTGCGGTAGGTAAAACTATCGGTGGCATGTTGCTGATGCATCCTCTTTACGTCGCATCAAACTTGCCGATTGTCCCAGCGCAATTGCGAGCCCATATGCGGGAATGCCTTGCATGGATTGGTGGGCACATGGGCATCGGCCAGGCCAGTGTCTTTTCAAAAGTAAGTCCTCTTCAAAGTGTTCATGGACTCACATTGACTATGCCGCCAGACATCCATTACATTTCCCGCCGAATCTATCATCCATGGATATGTTCTACTTTGGGCGGGCATGCTTGTACGCCCAGAGAATCAGCAAACGCCGTGATGGATACCTAGGGGGTCACTGCTGAGGGTTCTTCATCGTGCTGTAACAGAAATTCAATGATTATGCCTTGCCATCATCATGAGACTACCGGAATTGGTATCGGAAGAGCCATAATGAGATGACGCTGAGGCAATTGCAGGTTAATAATCTGAGCAATCAGAATCCGCGCCTCTCAATTGGAACAACCTTGAAGCAGTACAAATCCCGAGATGTATTGCTGGGCAACATTTCACAATGTGCAACACGGTGGAGTCCTCGTCGAAGATTTGGGCTAGTTTTGCGCGGTTGTTCTGCAAACAGCTAGCGTCACTTTCACTTGCTGCGATGGTTGCTCAACCTCCGGTTCAAACTCTCCACGAAGCCGACCATCTCTAAGGGATCATCATTGTTACGAAGATGCTTCTCGGAGTCGGACTTCAAGTGACAGCTATCTCCGAAAGCCAGCGCATCCGAAATGAGAGAAGCGAGAGAGCATGAAGTGCTATAAAATGCGACGTAGGTCCTTGCCGTCGGTCTACTCTCGCTCCCTCGCAATTCTACTAAGCCAGCTATCATTCTAGGCAACGCAACTATTGGCAAGCATGGCAACCCAGACAGCGTTGGCACTCACAAAAATTGGGCAACCGCTGACCAAAGTCCTGTTGCCCATACCCGACCATGCTGATGGCAAAGATCTTTTGATCAAAATTGCTGCTGTTGGCCGTAAGTGGAACGAGCTTCGCATTCGCGCGATATATTGGTGAGGGAGATTACTTTACTAATATGTTGCAGTCGCACCATTGGATGCCAAACTTCGCGACAGTGGCTACATGAACATCGGCAATCGACTTCCAGCCGTGTTAGGAGGCGACCTAGTCGGCACCATTCTCAAAGCAGGGCCCGAAGTCTCCAACGACTTCCCTCTTGGTTCGACTGTTTTTGCCCAATCCAACTTCAAGGACCCCAGAGCTGGTGGCCTTCAAGAAGTTACCACTATCAGCGGCGAATATGCAGCAATAGTACCACGAAACTTATCTGCAACCGACGCAGCTTTGTATCCCATCAATGCGATGACCTCTGCCAACGCAATATTTACACCAGCTGGATTCAATTTCCCGTTCCCAGGCACACCTGACTCTGAGACCTTCGACTACAAGTCTCAGAAGATCGTCGTTGTCGGCGGAGGCTCAAACACTGGGAAGCTGGCAATTCAGCTCGCCCATATCGCGGGAATCGGTACAATCATTGCCATTGCATCCCGGTTAAACGAGGCTCTTCTCAGGAGCTATGGCGCGACACATGTAATTGATCGCCATGACTCGGACGTCGAGAGCCAGGTTCGTGCGGCCGTTGGCGATGACCTTGTGCATGTCCTCGATACAGTCAATACTACTGATCGAGGTCTTGCGATGTCACTGTTGTCGAACACTAAACCAGGACTTCTGATCACTCTGACTCCTGGACGCAGCAGTGAAGACTTGCATGCAAAAAAGAAAGTCGGTGTTGAGGAGAGACAAATCCTTGGCTTCTCTCATGCCAATCCTGAATTCGGCCGATTGTTTTGGAAGACGTTTCCTCAATGGCTAGGGTCTGGCAAGATCAAACCCATCAATTATAACGTCATTGAAGGCCTAGATGAGGATTTGGTCAATGCCGCTTTAGATCAATATACGAATGGCAATGGCGGAGATCGGTATCATGTTAGCATCTCGGCTACATAGGTCTCCTTCGATCACCCATATAGAGAACCTCGAGGGCTGTAGAAAAGCTGCTGAGTACTGCTGAGTAATGCTTCGCTTCAGGATCCTACCCGTGACTGTAAATTTTTGACCGATGAATTAAGCAGTATCATGATGTAGGAGGAAAAAAATCGTAGACTTGTGAGCCTTGCGGAGCCTTGAATGACTTTAGCTATACTGTTCTTGGCGGAAACAATGTCGGTCATTTGAATTTATTGATTGAACCCATTTCTTCCAATACCGGGGTACAAAGGACCACCATCGCGCATAGTCAAGTTCATCAGGCTACACATTGAATTCCAATTGATCAACCAAGCTTGAAGATGACTATTACCGAGCAGCACTACCTTCTATGAGGTTGTAAAGCCGTCGACGTGAAACAGGAGCTTGGGAGTGCCGACCAACCATGCCTCGCGAAGTGGAAATCTCCAACATCGAGCGAAATTTTATTCTAGAGGCCCTTGAACAAAGCGTCCGACTCGATGGACGATCTCTAGATCAAGGCAGGAACATTGATTTGGAATTCGGAGATGAATACGGAACCGTCACACTGAGACTCGGCAAGACCAGGTCAGTTCGCCTTGTATCATCAAAGTGTCGGCACCCTACTAAAGGAAACCTCATACAGGGTCTTCGTACAGGTGTCTGCAGAAGTCACTAAGCCACAGGAAGAGCGAAAATTCGACGGAATCTTCACCATCACTACGGAACTGAGCCCAATTGCATCTCCGGCATACGAGAATGGCAGGTAAGACCACGAAATTCTTTCACACGAGTGGTGACTTTTATGATAGTTAAGTCTGACAACATAATGGGAACAGGCAATCTGAGCAAGAAGTGATCCTCTCGCGTATGCTGGAGAAGGCAATCCGAAGGTCCAGAGCGATCGATACGGAGTCCTTGTGCATCATCGCCGGGGCCAAATGCTGGTCGATCAGGGCGGATGTGCACGTACTCGACGCAGATGGAGGACTGGTCGATGCCTCGTGCATCGCAATCGTGGCGGCGTTGCGGCACTTCAAGAGACCCGACGTGTCTGTCGATGGCGAAAATGTCACGATATACACCATGGCAGAGCGAGTGCCGGTCCCGTTGAGCATCATGCATCACCCTGTCTGTATCACGTACAGCTTCTATCACGACGGCGAAGTCATGCTACTCGACGCGACTCGTAGCGAGGAGGCATGTCGGGAGGCGGAAGTGATTCTCACGGTCAACGACTTTGAGCTATGCCAGGTGGCGAAGTTGGGAGGGAGGCCGGTTGATGCGCTCGTCCTTCTCAAATGTATCAACACGGCACTGACGAAGGGGCGCGAGATCAACAGCATTGTAGGAAAGAAGCTCGCCGAGGATGCAACCAAGAGAGATGTGGGAGGGCTGATAGCAGAACTGAGGGCCGAGAATGAGAGATGATGAATTAAATCCTTTGATGGCGTACGGAAATTTCTGTTGGATTAAATCCGGGAAATGGACGGTGGGATTGTTCATTATCTACTCTGCAAGGAGTCTTGAATATCGAGTACAGCCCTTGATCCCAAATGAAGAGATGTACACTTTTTCTACTTCGTGGTTGTTCCTTGGGGGCCAACAACCCAGACGATGTTACAAAGGTGGCAGTGTAGAGATCGTCTCAGGAGATCTTATTTTTATCCTGCGAGATGACGAATCATCCTCGTTGAGATGGCCAGGCTGATTTGCCCCGGATGATCATAGGCACAGTGGCTTGTCTGCCCAGCGACACTTAGTGGAGAGTTTCGGCTTGTCTTGAGGAATAAATTTGTACGGAGCAGGCAGCAGAGATTCGAAGGAAGATGCATGGATGGCGTTACGACATCTCATGTTTTCTCGTGTTTCTGTAACGTTAGTGTCTCGGGTGAAGGTCAGCGCCACGGGTTGCGCAGGGGAGTGAGGATCCTCTCGTACTCGTACTGCATGCATCATTACTCAGTGCCGACTGTCAAGGTAAGTCTGATGAGCCACTTATAGCGGCCACTCTCACTTAAAAGCTAGGCCTAACCTTCCGTGGCCAAGCCCCCAGCCTGCGCCTAGTAATACTGTACGCCTACAATACAGCGACCCAAGTTCAATGGGCACTACGGAGCAACTAAACTGCCTCTCCATCAATCCGTTACAGCGCCAGTGATTCTCCAAGAATGCACGTTCATTCACGCTGACATCCCTCTTTCGTGCACCAGTACCCTTGACGACGTTATGTTTTGATGAGCATACCGCACACCACGTACACTCCAAACGAACGACACTCCTCCACGCCGGTCTTGATGGCACTTTGATGCCGCACAACTCAACTCCATAAGCATTGTGGCGCTTTTGAAGAAGGATGGCCGGGCGGCCGTATGCGCCTGAAGCTTCGGACAGACAAAACTCCTTGCTGGATATAGAGTCTTCACAATCTTATTACAGCACAGGCCAGAGGCCACCGGTCGATGACTCTCAGCTGTTGAGAGCCTTTAACATTGACGACTCTGACGAACTCCAGCCGAGACCTTCTACGAGTTACGATGAATTTGTTGGCGGCGGCAGGAATCCCCATGGGGCGCCGGGTAACGCGCAGCAAGCAGCAGCAGGATCCTCTGATCGTCCTTTCAGGGCACCTTATATGAGTGAACAAACAACGAATTACTCACAAACCTCGGACTTGCACAATTACTCCAAGTACGGAGACGATTTTGGCGAAGACGACTCTGGATACAAATACTACGATGGCGGAGGTCATGCGTCCGACGAAAACATACCAGGCGGTGGGGTAAAAGTAGTTGGAAGACATCATGCGCACAACCGGAGCAGTCTCATGTCGATGGGCGGTCTCATGGATAGGGCCCGGGGTATGGTTGGTCTTCGAGATAGCAACTACTCTGATATGGCCCTACCTTTGACGGAACAAGGCATGCAGAACTCTAGGGTCGATACTGCTGGAACGGAAGAAGATCGTTCGACCAAAGAAAAAAGGAGCTTACCAACACTGGATGATATCAGGGCGATTTTTGGCCGGAAAAAGGTCGACCCTGCTACTCTTGGACCACGAATTATCCACCTCAACAATACCCCGGCGAATGCAGCAAACGGCTGGGGGGACAACCACATCTCGACTGCCAAATACAACATTGTAACCTTCTTGCCGAAATTCCTATTCGAACAATTCTCAAAATACGCCAACTTGTTCTTCTTGTTCACCGCTATCCTCCAACAGATACCCAATGTGTCGCCTTTGAGCAGGTATACCACAATTGTGCCATTGGGAATTGTCCTCGCTGTATCGGCCATCAAGGAGCTTGTTGAGGACCACAAGAGGAAGGTTGCCGACAAATCACTCAATGACTCCAGAGCACGAGTGCTTCGGGGTTCGGATTTTGTCGACACGAAATGGATCAATGTAGCCATCGGTGACATTGTCCGAGTCGAATCTGAAGAGCCCTTCCCCGCCGATTTGGTACTGCTGGCAAGTTCCGAACCAGAGGGATTGTGCTATATTGAGACTGCCAATTTGGATGGTGAAACGAACCTCAAGATCAAACAGGCCATTCCTGAGACGGCTCACTTGATCAGTCCTAGTGAACTAGGAAGATTGACTGGACGGTTGAAGTCAGAACAGCCGAACAGCAGTCTATACACATATGAAGCCACTGTCACCATGAGCGGCACTGGGGGAGAAAAAGAGTTACCTCTTGCTCCTGATCAACTACTGCTTCGTGGAGCTACACTTAGAAACACTCCTTGGGTGCACGCGGTAGTAGTTTTCACGGGCCATGAGACAAAGCTGATGCGAAATGCCACCGCCACACCTATCAAGCGCACAGACGTGGAGCGCATGCTTAACAAGCAAATTCTTATGCTTGTAGCTCTTCTCCTGATTTTGAGCGCAATCAGTACGATCGGAGATATCATTGTGAGAACAACCGCCGGACAGAAGCTGACCTACCTGTACTATGGGAGTTTCAATGCGGCGTCGCAGTTCTTCCTGGACATATTCACCTACTGGGTCTTATATTCTAATCTGGTCCCATTGTCGCTTTTCGTCACCATTGAACTTGTCAAATACTACCAAGCCTTTTTGATCAACACTGATCTGGACATTTACTACAGCGATACCGATACTCCTGCCGTTTGCCGGACATCGTCGCTTGTCGAAGAGCTTGGACAAATCGAGTATGTGTTCTCAGACAAGACCGGTACCCTGACTTGCAACATGATGGAGTTCAGACAGTGCACAATAGGCGGTCTTCGATACGCTGGGGTGGTCCCGGAGGATCTCCGAGCAGAGAGTCCAGATGATACCGATGGTGTCCATGACTTCAATCGCCTCCGCGAAAACCTGAGATCACACCCATCCAGTGGAACAATCCATCACTTTCTATCGCTTCTTGCGGTCTGTCATACCGTCATCCCAGAACGCAAGGACGAGAAGTCAGAGATCAAATATCAAGCAGCGTCTCCAGACGAGGGCGCTTTGGTCGAAGGAGCAGTCACTCTAGGCTACAAATTTGTCGACCGAAAGCCGCGATCTGTATTTGTTGAAGTCGAAGGACAGGAAGTGGAGTATGAGCTGCTCGCTGTGTGCGAGTTCAATTCGACTCGCAAACGTATGTCGACTATCTTCCGATGCCCGGACGGGAAGATCAGGGTGTACTGCAAAGGAGCAGACACGGTGATTTTAGAAAGACTGCACAAGGAGAATCCCATCGTCGATGTCACTTTGCAGCATTTGGAAGACTACGCGACAGAAGGTCTGCGGACTCTCTGTCTTGCTATGCGTGAGGTTCCGGAACAGGAATACTTAGAATGGCGCCAGATTTTTGACAAGGCCGCCACCACTGTTGGTGGAAACCGTGCTGAGGAGCTTGACAAGGCCGCTGAGATCATCGAGCACGACTTCTTTCTTTTGGGTGCAACAGCAATTGAGGATCGTCTCCAAGATGGTGTACCTGATACTATCCATACTCTGCAGCAAGCAGGCATCAAAGTATGGGTGCTTACAGGCGACAGACAAGAGACCGCTATCAATATTGGAATGAGTTGTAAATTGATCAGCGAGGATATGACTCTGTTGATTGTCAACGAAGACAATCCTGCAAGCACCCGGGACAATCTACAGAAGAAGTTTGATGCTATCCGGAACCAAGCTGCAGCTGGTGAATACGACACACTTGCCCTAGTTATCGATGGGAAGTCCTTGACATATGCTCTCGAGAAAGATATGGAGAAGTTATTCCTAGACCTGGCGGTCATGTGCAAGGCGGTCATATGCTGCAGAGTATCGCCATTACAAAAGGCTCTGGTGGTCAAGCTGGTGAAGCGCCACCTAAAGGCCCTGCTTCTTGCCATTGGTGACGGAGCCAACGACGTTTCCATGATCCAGGCAGCACATGTCGGTGTTGGCATCAGCGGCGTCGAAGGCCTCCAAGCAGCACGGAGTGCTGATGTGGCCATTGGACAATTTCGATACCTTAAAAAGTTGCTCTTGGTTCATGGAGCATGGAGTTACCAACGTATCAGCAAGGTCATCTTGTACTCGTTCTACAAGAACATTGCAATGTTCATGACACAATTTTGGGTAAGTCAAAACTTCGACTACTGCTTTTCCGACTCTACTGACCAACCCTCGTAGTACTCCTTCCAAAATGCCTTCTCGGGACAAACCATCTACGAGTCTTGGACACTGTCATTCTACAACGTCCTGTTTACTGTTTTGCCACCTTTCGCAATGGGTGTCTTTGACCAATTCATCTCGGCGCGTATGCTGGACCGCTACCCTCAGCTTTACCAACTCACACAAAAGGGCACCTTCTACCGTATGCACTCGTTTTGGTCGTGGATAGCCAATGGTTTCTACCACTCCATCCTGGCCTACATCTTTTCCTCTTACTTCTTCAAGGACGACCTGGTCCTTTCCAACGGCAAGATCGGTGGCCATTGGCTTTGGGGAACATCGACCTACACCGCCATCTTGTTGGTGGTGCTCGGCAAAGCGGCGCTGATCACGAACGTCTGGACAAAGTACACCGTCATCGCCATCCCCGGATCGTTCATCATCTGGCTCGCCTTCATCCCCGCCTACTCTTATGCGGCGCCGAACATTGGGTCGGGGTTCTCGACCGAACTCAGGGGCATCATCCCGGTCATGTTCAGCTCACCGACCTTTTACGCGCTGTGCCTGATACTCCCACCGGCGTGCTTGCTCCGAGATTTCGCCTGGAAGTACGCGAAACGGATGTACCTACCCCAGGCGTACCACCACATCCAAGAAATCCAAAAGTACAACGTACAGGATTACCGACCGCGCATGGAGCAGTTCCAGAAGGCCGTCCGCAAGGTCCGACAGGTCCAACGCATGAGGAAACAGAGAGGTTACGCTTTTTCGGCCGGGGACGAAGGTGGACAACAGATGAGGGTCCTCAACGCGTACGACACGACGAGACAGAGGGGCCAATACGGTGAACTCATCAGTGGGAGAGGTTCAGGCGGATAAACCAGCTCGTCGTTGTGCCTGATCTCTCACTACTGCCCTACCGCCAGAAAGGGGGGAAGGGAAGGGTGATCCAGAAAGCCTGGGGGAGCCTTTTGTGCATGGTAGCGGGGGATGTTTATTTTCTTGGGCTTTGTTCTTTTTTTGCCTAGATACCCTCCTTACCTCCCTACCTACTTGCCCTTGAGGTACATACCGATGAGAGAATGACGATTGCCTTGTGAAAATTGTGAAGTGTGTCTCAGGGCTAGGGCATGGTGAAAGATGTGACTACAGTACTCGTACCTGAATGGCGGCGTCTGCAAACGCCACGGGTAGTTGTACAGTACTCGTCAAGTCGAAGGTTTGATTCCATCTCAAATCCACAAGGGTATCATTGATCGACAAAGGACAACTCTCGCAAGAAGTAATCCGACCGCCGTCCGCAATCTCAAACTCTGTCACTGTCACTACTCCATCATATATGAGAAGGAGTACGGAAAACAAAAAAAAAGGACAAAAGAAAACGGGAAACAAAGTCTGCAAGTCCACAACTTCAAAGTAACCTCCCACTTGATGTCGTACGTGATGCCTCCTCTCCCCGACGGAAACCCCAAACGAATCACGTCTCAATACCTTTGCCCTCGCCCTGCGTAGCCGGCGACCAGCCAAGGATGGCCCATGGCTCTCACACCGAAGACGAACCGCGGGAATACCTCGCGCTCGGTCCAGTCTAGACTCGGTATGCAATTGTTGCGTATGTCGAAAAGTGCCTGCCCTCACTTCTTCTTCTTCTCCTCCTCCTCCTCCTCCTCCTCCTCCTCTTTTCGGGGTGTTGCGAACAACGCACCGAGCCCATCACCACCGTTGGCACGAGGTGTACCGCCGCCTGACATGACGACAATCTTCTTGCCCCAAAAGTCCTCGTAACCACCAGAGTTGTGATTATTGTTGTTGTTGTCGTCGTAGCTGCCGCTGGGTACAGAGGTCGAAGCGGCCACTACCTTTACGGTTGGAGGAGGACGGGGAGGGATGTGAGGAGTGACCAGGTCGATACCCTTGACGTAACTGGTGCTGGCCGAGTAGTAATACATTGGGTTCCGACGTGGCGGGAGAGGTCGCGTGCTGAAAGCGAAGCCGTACTCGTTGTTCGTGTTGTTACCGTCGTAGCGACCGTCGAAACTCGTGCTCGTGCTGCTCGTGCTTGCCATCGTCGTGGGTGTGTTACCTAGACTCGGAGTCGTGGTGGCCGTGGTCGGTAGTGTACTCAGACTGGCCGTACTTTTGTGACGCAGACCACGGTTCTCACTGCGCAGCGGGTCGGAGTCTTCACCGCCGTCCCCCGCAGTCATGACCTCGTGGAAACGACTGAGGTACGTGAACGCCTCGGACGAACCAGAAGCTCGGTATGGTAATTTTGGTTTCCATTCGGTCGGGTCGAGATCCGATCTGAAGTGGTGAATGTCTGTAGGTATCCGGGACGACCCGACAGGGTAATCCGGAGGAGACGAGGAGGATGGCTTGACGGCCACGGCACCGCGAAGCGTGGGTGTCGACGATGGCGGCGGCGACGTCGGAGGAGATGAGACCATGGGCGACATGGCCGAGGCAGAGGCGGAAAGAGGTTTGGCCGAATCTTTACGTCGGCATCTGTGTATCGTATCGTGTGTCAGCACGTTTGGACTCATTACTCCGTCGTAACCCGTTCAACGACCAGAGCAAAGAAGAGACGGAGAGAGATTGTGAGGTTTGGGTTGCTATGCTGTGCTGTGCTGTGCTGTGCCGTGTTTTGTGTGTTTTGACTCACGCCTCGCTGCAGTATAGAATGGTGTTGGAAGGATGCGAAATCTGACGTTCGCACATGGCGCTGTAACAAAATATAACAAGAACGTCAGAAGAGTTTTTGGTTCCAAGGACGGCGTCCCAAGGCGAGTAGAGGGTAAATAGCTACCAGTACTGCAAAAAACTGGCCGACATGTCTTTGTCCTTGTCCTTCAAGTCCTTGCTGGGGCCTCCTCCAGCAACGAAAACGCGAGAGGAAGAAGAAACAGAAGAAGTCGAGTAGTCACCAACGCCCAAACTCCTTCGCTTTAAAGATTTCGGACGAGGAACTTTGCGAGAAGGAGATTTTCCATGTGATGCGCCGGGGTTTTGATGGCCCACGGTTCTGGTGGTGCGAGAGTCATCTTCGCCCATCGGGAAAGCGGTGAAGAAGGAAAAAGAACCAAGAAAAAAAGGGGCCAGGAAAAGATACGTGTGTGTGTGGTGGTGGTGGTGGTGGTGGTGTTGGGCACGACCAAAACAAAGAAACCCAGACTACATATCCAAAAGTACTTTGTACTCTGTACACCGCCTGCATGCGCTCACTTCTCATGCGTACAGAGTACATACATAAGAGTCACACGAGTATTAGAGATAAGGTATTGTACTGTATGTACACAATGAGGGGTCCATCACAAAGATCCTTATCTTTGCCTTTACTTATCAGAGGTACAATACTGTAGTTAAAAGATCCACAGACTACGGTACCAACGATCCGGCCCAGGCACCAAAAAATGACCCGCATTCTTCGCTTCTCGGCGATGCACTTTTTTTATTGGCACAACAATATCCTACTCAGCCTCATATACTATTACTCGTAATGTCACCATCGCGCAGAGTACAGCCCGTTCTTCTTTTCGATGCAATTGTTCCATGATATACATAAGCTAAATATACAGAGTATTGTCATCATCATCATCATCATCAAGTCGCCATCCTTGGACAATTTTACATGGACCATCTGATACGCATAAAGGACGCTATTGAGACACTCTGACCGCATGCGCAGTATGGTTTCCGACTTTCCCATTACAGTACCTGGGTTGGTATCAAGTCTTGTCCACGAACCCTTCAGGCACTCCACGGGCCACTTGTCCTCCCTCGCGACCGACGTAGCATCCAAGCATACTGCTCCAGATATAGCGATGTTGTTTCAGATCCTGAAGTTTCTTGTAACTGATGACATTAGCAAACCCAATGCTGGTTTCCGGGTCGCGGTATTTGACGGGCAAGGTGGTGATGGGACAAAGTTCTTGAACATGTTTCACCCGTTTCTCCATCTTCCTCACACTCTTGTTGAAGAACAAGGAGTAATCACGCCGAGCATCGTCAGAGAGCTCGTCAAATGATTCCAAAATCACAATATTCCGCGTCGAATATTCCACCGTCGGTTCTTCAGGAGGAGGAGGTGGTGGTGGTGGTGGTGGCTCAGCCGTGGCGGGAGGCGCTTCTGTGCTACCTTCTTCCACCTTGACCACACTTGTTTGGGGATCGACTTGTGGGTGTGCTTGTGTTGGATCGGACTGTATCTGGGTGCTGACAGGGGCGCCGCCGCTCGCCGGAATATTTGGCGTAGGATGCAACACCGAAGCATCCCGAGCTCCTGGTGTCGGTCTTGCTTCTGTTTCTAGACTTGGGGCCTGGGACAACATTTTGATCTCCGTAGACGGTGTATCAGCCGAGGAGGCAGTCTCCCCGGGGACTTGCTTTTCTCGCTGTGGCCGACTTTGTTCTGTGTCGTCGTCTCCCGGACCTGGAACCTGTGCTGCCGTCTTCTCATGCTCCTCCAATATTTTCGGAGTAGGACTTTCTCGACGACTCTCCGAAGCATTGTTTTCTGTATGCATATCGGCATACTCTTGAATACCATTCAAAAACGAGGTTTCTTGATCTGGTGGTGGCTGCTCGCTAGTTTGTTTTGGTGGCACATCTTCGCGAGGGGTTTCGATGTCATTATTAGGCGGCGGCGATGTTTTCGAGTGGTCAGCCAAAGGTAATGTAGGTGTGTCAGTCGATGGTTCTGTAGGTAGAGTTGTGTCAGGCTCTGCGCTCTGGTCAGGTTTCGCAGGATCTTCGCGTGACTGCTTGGGATCATCCAGCTCCATCGGCATAGACGCGTCTGCTTTGGCCGGCGTGTTCGATGGTCCCTCTACTGGTGCCGTTTCTGGCACATCTGGCTTCGCCTGTGGCGTGGCGGATGGCTCTGATGCTGTTGCCGTCGATGGAGGTACCGCAGATTGTGCTGCTTTTTCGGCAGCCTGCTGTTCGAGGAATGCTTTGGATTTCCTGCCGCGCTTCTTTGGCTCAGTGCCTACCTCGAAGATCTCGCCGGCATCTTTCGTCCCAATCTTGCTCAGCTTGGGTCCAACCCAGGTTCCTTTTGCGCTCCACCAACTCACGACAGGTCCTTCTAGTCTTCTGTTCTTGAGCGCGGCCAGTTTCGCGGCCTGTTCCTCTTGTCTCTTCTTCTCCAAGGCTTCCCATCTGTTCAAGCTCTTCGCGTTTTGTCTCTCGACCCTCGCAGCTTCTGCCAGGCGATCGGCTTGTGTCAACTCTTTTGGAGCATCCTTTGCCCGTTCTCTATCCCTCTGCTCTTTCAGCGCTTTCATCTTCTTGCTTTGTGCCTCACTCTTCTTCAGTCGTGCGATCGTTTCCGCTCGATGAGCAATCGTCTGCTTCCGTAGAGAACTTCGACCAGAATCAGGGTCGTGCACCCACGTTACCCTCTCTTTTTTCTTGGAAGGCTTTGCAGGCGCCGCAGTGACAGCCGCCGGTCTGGTAGGATCGGTCTTGAGCTTTTTTCGTAGACCGGCGACGCTCGTCAAAGCCAGGTCGGCCTTGCGCTTTCTTGCTCGTTCAACCTTCGCCTGCTTCTGTAACTCCTTTTCGCCCTCCATGTCGTCGGCCGCGGCATTGGGTCCTTGATCATCGTCATCACTCGACGACATGTCCGCATCTTCGTCGTCGTCGCCACTTTTGAACTCGTCGTCATCCTCTTGCTCGTTGTCTGCAAAGAGCAGTGCGACTTCGTCCGGGTCCTCTCCGTCACCCGCCCCTTCTAACACCATGTCCCTGTCATATCGATTGCCTGCAGTCCTCCGCCGCTCTCTGCCCGCAATGAGGGTTTCGATCTGGTCTTGCGTGGAGTCATCATCGTCGCTCGAGTCAGTGGCCGAGAGTTGTGACGTTTCATCAACTATATCATCCTCGGCGGCCATCTTCGTTGGTCCTTAGTAGAAGTAAAAAGAGTTGAGCATTGAACGGGTGAGAATAGTTGCATGCGCGTGAATTGGAATTAATTCCTAGCCGAAGATCTCCCATGTGCTGCTCGAAGTCCAGGGAAGAGATTGATATTCAAATGACAATCGTGATTTTCCCAATAGTGGCAATTTCGATCACAGAATCCCCCAACAAAATGATCAAATGACCGTCACGAAGCCTGCCTTGGTTGGACGTGTCCTGGTATCTCAGTACCTCAGACCCATAAAGCGTGTCTTGGGACAGTATATCTGAGCTTCCTCTACGGTGCCGTGCCCCTTAGGCGTTTGTCATGAACTATGATATACTTTATCTTTTGAAAAATAAATGCATTGACAATTGAATATAAAACAAAAGTATAAAGTACCACATTGATTGAGACGTAACACTACGACGTTATATCGAGAATTACTCACTACTACAGAAAGATTGGGAACGCTCATCGGAGTGTTTATGACTAGTAGCAAGAACCCGGAACATGACTGTTCCCTGCGCTGCTGAGGGCGACCCTTTCAATTGACGTACCATGGAAAATGCCTTAAAGGTGACCGGCGGGCGCCCATGGATAAGTACAAGGTGGACAAGGTGGTTCTTCTTGTTTATCGAGGCCACCCCTGTCTCAGTTCCAGACAGCCTGGTACGGGCACTCTTGTTCCTAAGAAGGCCCTCAAACACAATGCACGTCGCAGATAACCATTACAGCGGGCGCCACATACTTAATCATGAGGGCCATCAACGCTGCAAGTATTGGCACATTGGCAGACACCATCAGCATATAGCACCTTCAGTTCAGTCTAGGAAAAGACGGCATCTCTTCGGCTGCCTCAAGCTGTGTATCCTTGATTTCTTAGCTTTGCACCAATGTTGCTGACCAAGGAGCAAGCACAGAAGCACAGCGGGGTTGACAATACGTGCCGGCGTCTCCGAGGCCCCAAGCTGTACTGATATCTTTTTGGGTCTTCGCGGCAAATTCGGTGACATGAGACTTGAAACTGAACAATGGCTTCAAAAGCAGAATGCACCACATTCAAAAGCTTTGCAAGAGGTTTCACGCAAATGAGGATACTCAGTCCATGGAAGATCGTACTTTCAATCAGGACCAATGTAGTCATATACGAGCTGATAGTTCAGCTACCATATAGGGTCCCATCTCCACCGTTGTAGCCATATGTGGCGTTGTTGTAGCCCGTTGGTGCGATTGCCATCATCAGCCAGGTTCCCATTTAACGACAGCTCAAGATTTCGGCTTGGAAGAGTACGTCGATAGTCAGAACGTCTGGCTTGAAATTGAGATGGTAATTGAACATCTTCCGGACTGCGCGATCTTCTTGATCGATGTCGCGCCCACCCTAGCATTGCCACATGGTTATTCGCGCCACCTACTGATCAGTTGCTGGAGCGAGAATTGCGACGCCCAGATCAGTTGCACATTCTGCGCAATTGATGTAATCGGAACACCGTGATGCTTTGGAAGGGTTGCTGAGGTGGTTAATCTCGTCCATGGCGAGATTAGGAAGAGCGAAAGTTGTATGGGTATAGCCAATGTACCCTAGCTGAGCGACTTGGGCGGCTAAAGATTGCCGCAAGGACACTCGCAAACTGCAGGACGTGCGAAGTAATAGCTTCCCATTGACAACCCGTACCGCCGTCTCCCTAGATACATCACGAGTCCAGGACCAGCATACCTGTTTATCATCGCACTTATGGTGAAGTTCTTGAAGGTGTGGGCCGTAGTCAGGGCCGCGCTCGTATCCCCTCAAAAAGGCAGCGACGGTCCCGAGGCGTAGCAGATAAGGAGGATGCCATCGGCAGTACAATTGGGGAAATGCGTGGATGCGAAACAGGGACATCCCACGAAACCGTCGAGGATACCCGTACCCTAGCCCAGACGCCGCCTTCCATTGATAGAGTGTATCACAGCAGTGACAGTCGATGTACTCTGGGAGATCCACCACGAGTAGCCGAAGGAAGAGCTTTTAAGCAGCCACATCACTGAGACCGGGGAAAGCATGATGGTTTAAAGCTGCGCAGTAACATTTCGATATCAGGGCGACCACACCTGCTGACCCGGCGTTAGATACTGAATGATCTGCAGAAGAAGTTCCAGCGGCAGCCAGACTAGACCTGGAAGATCTAGCACTTCTGCATCGACAGCGGCTGAGGGATCTTCGGAAGGTGGTCTGTAGGGTGGTTCAGATGGCAGTGAATAACCCCGTCTAAGAATATGTTCCAGGCGAGCAAAGAATTCCAACATGGCTTCTTGCGTCGTACTGAAATACCCACTGAGGTCGATCTGGCTTTGAGCACGTCCGGGTTCTCGTGCTGTGAAGTCGTGGTCGCCTTCCCAGTAGCGGGAGATGCGTATTGATAATAGCGAGTGTTTGGGATGGTATCGAAAGAGAACGTTTCTTCCAAGTGGTGATATCAACGGTAAGAGCAGGGCAGAATAGTAAGAACGAGGTGAGAAAGCTCAGAAAGCAAAGAGTGCGATCGTCAGGAGGGTTTGGACGGCCAAAGCTGCCTTGGCGTAATCCAGGCATCACCGTACCTATTAAGCATTTCATTTAAGCATATCTTACCTATCTATTACTATTCGAGTCATTTAGATAGTTTTTGAGGTGCGGTAGATTCATGAGTCCTAAGGATAACAACAAAACTACTTTCCATGATGGACCAGGGAGATCGGAACTTGTAAGATGCACAAAGCTCCGCTCCACTCTATGCAACCAACTAAGCTTAGCTAATTAGTGCGTTTTGCCATCAAGTGCCATCAGAGGGTTGTTAACCTACTAGAAATGATTGACTTAGATATAAACATTACATGGCCGCAGGATTCGGAGCAGCCACGAGCGATCACGGTCCAAGGCCATCTTCTCTCCTGGATATAGAGCACATAGCCAGGAGGCAACATCATGTTCAATCTTCACGATTTGACCTTACACGATCGGGCACATGACTCTACGCAGACTGCAACCCCCAGACTCTCAGTGGCGACCAAGTTTATGCCGACAATCACCGGTTGCTGAAACGAGCCTACCAAGGATAGATGCCATCACTGCTCACAAGCTTCCCTGCGTCATCGTCTCTTTCGCCCTTCAGTATTCTCAATAGCGTCTCTCCAGCGACAACTGGATCGCCCGCCAATCCCCATCCCGTGCGTAACTCCTCGCTCGTCCCTCGCAGGTTGCTGATCACGAAGCCGGGCGTCATGGCGAACACCTTGATCTCGTCGCGATACTTGATGTGTTCCTTGAGCGCAAGCATGTTGAGAGCCGCCTTGGAAACGTGGTAGGCGCTTGTATCGCCGGGAGGCTCAGGGCCACGCTGGCGCGTCGTGTCGGCTGTGCGCGAAAAGGAACCTGCGCCAGAAGATACAAAGATGCTGTACGGCTTTGTCTGTGCCCGCAGAAGCAAGGAACGAAATGCATCCTCGACAACAGCGGGGCCGGTGACATTCGTTTGCATGCACGTCGTGAAACGGGTATATGTATCGTCGTCCACGGATGTTGCGCCTATGGCGGCATTATTAACTAGAGCGTCAAGGTGGCCCCATTTTCTGGCAACGGCATCAGCCGCGGTGCGGATGGATGATGGATCAGTAACATCGAGATGCAATGTCGAGAGGCGGGACGATACGTCTGGTATTTTGGCCGAGTTGATGATGTCCATCCTGGAGGCTTCAACTTTGTCGATAGAGCGACCAGTCATAATGACGTGGAAGTCGTACTCGGGCGTTGTTGCGAGGACTTGAGAGGCTGCGAAGCCCACGCCGCTGTTGGTGCCTGTGATCAAGACAATACGAGGGGCCATGAGATCAGTGTTACTACTACCTAGATTTTGTGGAAAGTACCCCGTATACTACTCCGTACTCGGTGCCTCGCTTAATGTTGTATCGATCTGCCAGAAGTAGATGTAGCTTGCACCAGGCAGTCAGTCCACCGCCAAAATGAGATCAAATTAGTACCGTGTGTTGTCCACCTTTATAGCCTGTGCTCTTGTTCTATTTTGTATCACCTCATGCAGGTCTGCCCTTTTCTGCTGGTTAACTCCGCATGATATGTCCGATTTCTCGGGGATACCGCATGAGTTCGACGATGGCTCAGAGCAGTATCTTTCTGGATTTGGTCCGCTGAGGCACAGTACATACTTTTACAGTATGTGACGTAGGGATGCTTCATCTATCCTTGGTAGGGACGATGTCGAGTTGACAACCAGGGTAAATCCTGCGACGCCGCTTTCACACACTACTACGCCGTGATTGGACAGCTCTAGAGGCCTAGTCGCAGGTGCGCGGTCCTAGCGCGTAGCCCAATCGACGAGGAGGCGAGGATCTTATTACTCGCCTATCTATGCCCACGGTCAACATCAGTGCACAATGCCTCGGGCTCGAAAGGCTGGAGTAGCCTCTGCTGACCAGTTCTCTGCAAACCTCCAAAGCGAGAGCAGGAAAAGAAAACGAGTGGAAACTGAGGATGCAGACGCGCAAGGCCAAAGAAGTGACAAGCGCACGAAGGAGACCAACGGAGTCACACATCAGGCCGGACTCTCTTCCAAAAGCTCTCTGGGAAAGCGCAAAGTAGATGTTGTAGCCGCAGACCATCTTGAAGTCGACCAAGAAGTGGACGGACCCATACCGAGTCTCAAAGAGGAGGAGGCTTTCAGACAACGACGAAGTCCCAAGAACAAGAACAAGGTACAAAAAGACCAAGACGCGCCAGAACCCTCCACAACTGCCCGTCGGACACCGAGCAAGACTGGCCGCAGGCCATCGGGTCGCGGCCGTAAAGTCAAGGCCGAGGAGGAAGAGGAAGAGGAAGACGTTCTAGACGATTCTGAGTCTATTGAAGACGTGGGAAAGTCTAAGCCAAACTCAAGACGTCCACGCAAGAACAGGACTACACAAGCCGGAAACAAGAACGAAGAGTCAGACGATCCCGACACTGGCCCAACACCAAAGCGCAAACGCAAAACAGCAGCTGAGCGCGAAGCAGATCGTCTCGCAGCGATGGTTCCACTAGCAGCTCGCGCGACGAATTTAAGAATGTTCGTTGGCGCGCACACCTCCATAGCCAAGGGCGTCGAGAATGCCGTGACAAACTGTGTTCATATCGGGGGTAATGCATTCGCTTGCTTTCTTAAATCTCAGCGAAAATGGGACAACCCACCACTTGCTGACACGAATCGTGACGCCTTCAAGTCGGCACTTCTCGAACACAAATATGATGGCACGCAACACATTGTTCCTCATGGGAGTTATCTCGTCAACCTCGCCACCGAAGACGAGGCGAAGTCGGCGCAAAGCTACGCTACATTCATTGACGATCTTCGTCGCTGCGAAGCTCTCGGTATACGTTATTACAACTTCCATCCCGGCGGTGCGGGACAGTCACCTTTCAACGAAGCTGTTGCTAGGCTTGCGGGAAACCTCAACCGTGCCTTGGCCGAGACAAAGACCGTTGTTCCACTGCTCGAAAACATGGCAGGGCACGGGACTTTGATCGGTGGCCGGTTCGGTGACCTGCGCGACGTGATCGACCTGATCAAGCCAGAATTCCGTGCCAGGATCGGAGTGTGTATTGACACGTGCCACTCTTTTGCCGCCGGGTACGATCTGCGCTCCCCCGAGGCGTTTGCGGCCACCATGAAAGAGTTTGATGAGACTGTCGGGCTGAAATATCTCAAAGCGTTGCACCTGAACGACAGCAAGGCACCTTTGGGAAGCCATAGGGATCTCCACCAGAACATCGGCCTGGGTTTCCTCGGACTGAGAGCCTTCCACAACGTGATGAATTTCCCGGCGTTCGAAGGGTTGCCGCTCATCCTCGAGACGCCGTGTGAACGACCTGATCCGAGCGATCCGAAGGGGAAGAAGACTATTGACGACAAGAACGTGTGGGCCACAGAGATCAAGCTTCTGGAGAGTCTGATCGGAATGGACGTGCAGAGTGAGACATTCAAAAGTCTAGAAAAGGATTTGGCGGACAAAGGGAGAAAAGAGCGGGAAGCAATGCAGAAGCAGTTCGACAAGAAAGTGGAGGAGCAGAAGAAAAAAGCGGCCAAGCTTGAAAAAGGACAGACATCTCTGCGAGACATGTTTGGAAAGAAGGCCGTAAAGGCGGGGGCGACCAACGTGAAGAAGAAGGGAAACAAAAAGAAAGTCAAGGGCGAGGAGAGCGAGGTTGAGGACGAAAGTAGCGAGTTGAGTGATGTCAGCAGCTAGACAAGTAGGAGGACGAGTCGACTCTTCGTATGCTGGTGTACCAGGAATGTCTGAACACGACATGATTCCGTAGCACCGGACACGACGTATGTTACATACGTTCGAGTATACCATGACATTGAGAGTACCTAGGTCAGTGAATGAGGTTTAAGCAGGTGTTGTGTCTTATATGCTGTTGAGTAGAATGTAACATATATGCGCGTACAGCTGTCAAGGAGTACTTTTCGTCCTTGTACCAAAAAAACAATTCTCATGATCTCATTACTCGTTATCCCTCAATTGATTTCTCTGTCGCATTGCAAAATTGCCAATGATATAAAAGTAACAAGATCTCTTTTACCAAAAGTCTCTTCTTCCGATGAAAACTGTCTCGTCCCGTGACCTAAACTGAATGATGATCATGGCCGTTGTTTCCGGCCTCGGTTTGAGTGAGTTGAGGGGAGGTCGGTTTCAACTCCCCCAACCGACATTCTTGACCACCACCCTCATGCCGTTTTTGGGCCTGGCGGTGATGCCACCTTTGATGAGGACCTCCTCGTCCGGGTCGACCATCTGAAACTCGTAGGTGCCCACGAACGCGGCGAGCAGGCAGGCAAACTCGGCGACGGCGAACTTCATGCCTATGCAACTCCGGGGGCCGTGCAGGAAGGTCAAAAACGCGTAGTTGCTCGTGGCCCCGCCGGCGTTGTTGGCTTGCTGGCCGTCGGCCGCCATCCACCGGTCCGGGTCGAAATTGTCGGCGTCCTGACCCCAGAGGGCCACGCTGTGGTTGACCGCCCAGGGGGCGACGATGATGGTGGTCCCCCTGGGCACGTACTGGCCCAGGATGCTGGTGTTGACGGCCGTGGTTCGGATCGTGAGCGGCACGGGGGCCCACAGCCGTAGTGTTTCCTGACACACGGCGTGAAGGTAGGGCATGTTGTCGATGACGTCGTGGGTGATTTTGTCGTTGCCCAGAGAGTCGATGTGGGAGTGGATCTCGTCGCGCAACCGCTTTTGTACGTCCTGGTTTTGTGATAGACTGTAAACTGCCCAGGTGAAAGCCGAGGCGGTGGTTTCGTGACCGGCAGCGAGAAAAGTCATCATGTTGTCGACAAGTTTCTCGTCGGTGAACCCACCAGACTCCAAAGCGACCGAGATGATGTCGGGGTCCATGGGTTCCTTGTTGGCCATGCGGCGCTTCTTTTGTTCCACCAGCCGGCGGCACGTGTTGCGAGCCACGGCGCTCGCAGCCTGGACGCTCCTGTTCCGGGCGAGAGGTAGGTTCTGGATGATGATGCGGGGTATGAAGAACTGTAGCAACCCCAGAATGCGCGCCGTCCGGTCGGGCTGGAAGACGGACCGGTAGACTCGGTTCAGCTCGTTGTCCGGGTCCTGCAGGGCGCGGAAATCTTGGCCCATGCCCGCCAGGCCGATGATGTCGAGCGTGGCTCGGCTGGACCATTCGCTCACCTCGACGACGTCGTGCGGTTTGTGGTCGGAATCGGAGTCTTTTGTGGACGATTTTTCGTCATCGAGCTCGGCTTGTATGCACTGCACCATCTCTCGCGACTTGGACCAGAAGATCGGGTAGAGTTCTTTGATGTGCCGGAAATGGAAGGCTGGCATCAGACTCTTCCGTTGCGCCTTGTGGTCGTCACCCTCGGCGAGGAGGATGCCGATTCCCAAGATCTGTCCTATCCCCGCGAAAAGGAGTTTCGGCTTGACGAAGTCGTAACTCTTGGTGGTCAACACCTCGCCGAGGGCCTGGGGGCTGGTGAGCAACAAACGTTCACGGTTGAAGAGGTGGAGGTAGCGAAGGAGTCCATCGTTGGGGATTTCGTTGTTCCATCGTCTAGGTGGGATCCCGGACGGTTCTTTCACCAAGACCCTCCATTGACCATTCAACAATGAGCCACCGGGTACGCTGGGGACGTGTCGAAGAGGACTGACGAAGTGAGGATATACGAGGGTGCCGTATATGTACCAGACGAATGCGTGGAGGAAAAACGCACAAACAAATGTCCAGAGATAGGATTGAGATATTGACAAGGTAGGATAAAATCTGACGAGGGAAATCGAAATTACAGAGGAAGATAACGCCCAGAAGCGATACGTGCTCATGAATTCCGGGAATTGAAGCATTTTTCCGTGGTCGAACGACAACTGCCCAGTCACTGTATATGTGTGTGTCGATAGTATGTCCAAAAAGTTCAATGATTTACTGGCATACAGAATTCGTATATACAGCAAAGACAGTATATTCAAGGAAACGACAGACTGTCTAGAAGAAGGTGGCGGACGAGTAAAAGAAAAGGTTTTTGAGAAAGTCTGCCCGTGCCCGTTCGGAGCGTTTGAGTGCTCCGTGTCCCGAAGCGAAGCGACAGTGTGAAACAGGAGACGGCGGCAGATCTCGAGCAAAAGAAAGTCTCTCACGGGTACAAGTAGCCAGGCAGCAACAATATTGCCATTGCGTTGTTATTATACGAGTACGAAGCGAAACAGAGATTGATGAATGAGGTCAATGATCTAATTAACGTCATGATCCATTCATGGCGAACAAGCAAAAAAGGCCTATGGACCACGAGGGGGAAAGAAGGACTGGGGGCCACTAAAGTCATGGATCGTAGGGACCAGATTGGCCTCGGCTATTCGTAATCCATGCCTAACTCGGCGTGTGTCGCGAGGAGGGGACACGGTTTGTACAATAGTAGTATTACATGGGAGTACGTAGTACGGAGTAGGAGTAGCTGTACTCCGTACTCCGTAACCGAGTAGAGAGATATACGGAGTACGAAGTACGACATACGCGTCACATTTGTTGTGAAAATAGTTTGAATCCCTTTTGTTCTCTCTGCGCAAAATGTCATCGATCGATACTCGCAAATAGGTGCCTGTCTTGACGGCATCAACACAGCTGGTCGCCAGAAAACAACAGTCCATGTAAACACTTCTTTCAAAATGATATTCCGTTCAAGCGGCTCTTTATGCTAACACTCTGTCCTGGTCGTGGATTGTCCTCCCCACGCCATCGACTAGACCTGCACTCGGTACAGTCACACGTTTCTCTCTCATTCTGGTCAATGGATGATTCTGAATCAGTGCGAGCATAGTCTTGTCGCTGTGGTTGGACCTTGCGGTCTGCATCAACAGTTGCTTCCTTCTCGCTCCGCACCACTTTCCCGGAATTCTGCTGGGTCAACCGGAGGGGGCTCTTTCTGCTGACCGGACTCGCCGGAGTGAAGTCATCTTCTTTCAAGTCGATACCAGAGTCACTGTTCATGCCATCTATCCGTTCCCCCGTCGAGTCCGCCGATGTATCAAGCTTGAGAAATCCCTCCAAAGACTGATCTTCTTGCTTTGAAACTTCACCCAACAGATATGTATCGTCCAATTCTTCCCACGCCCAAGTCGACGGCTCTTTTGATCGTATTCCGGGATCTGACATTGACCATGCCCAATGGTGTTCTGTTACATAGCCCTCTGGGAGCTTCATTTTGGATCTGTTGTCGGGAGCGTGGCACAAGCGTGTAAGGCAATGGCTATAACACACAACCGCGGATGTGAGGCCACATTTGTGCCGTATGAAAGCGTAGGGTGAGGTCTATCCTCACTAAGAATGCTTTTTCAGTATTCTAGACATAGAATAAGAATTTCGCGGTAGACTTGCTTTGTCCGCAGTCACAATTATGAATTGAGAACAGCTCGATAGTCAAGGGAAAGGCATTCCCTGAAATGTGGAATCAACGAGAGTGCTAAAACAACAGCCGGCTTGATTAGGCAGCCATTCCCTACCTTGTCTGGGTTATTGTTCTACCAAGTTTGTTACTCACAGGATTGCTAAGGATGATATGACCGTCTAGCCAACCAATCTAATCACCATATTTTGCAGAGCAAAAGCTCCCGGGCAAAAGGCGTTGTTTGCGAAGTACTCCTGTGCCGTTCTTGTTTGCAGATAGACAACCTGAAGCACCATGCGGTTTTCCTTTCATTAAACAATTCACATAGGCCTACATCAAGAACTTTTGGAAGGGAAAGACTTCGTTGACATGCCATTGTCATACACTATCGTACATGAATGACTGCGAAGCGCTGACTGAGCAGTGGATGATTTGGTAAAGAACATTAGATGCTGAACAGATGCTGAGTAATTTCTTCAGGACTTTGTCATTTGAATAAACCCACCGTGTTTTTCGTACTCGGGTAACCTGCCTACGCAACCTTCACGTCATTTGAATCTCAAGTCTTGTACTCCATCCTCCTTCTCCTTACCACCTGTGCACTTAATACGAGCAATGAGAGTGGAACAAATCACCATCTCGGACTTCTTGACTCTCAAGAGTCCTGTCGGATAGAAAAATCCATGGCCTGAGGTAATTATTGTGAGCTAAACTGTGTCGCAGCCATGCCGTTAGTACCTGATCAAGCAAAGGAGTCGCCCTTGAAAACCCTTTGCTCAACCGTCGAAGTCGTACAGCTGTGTCCAGTGTCACTGGTGATCAGACCAGTATTTCTTGATTCGAGGAACAAGTCTAAAGTACATGGCCCCCCGTCTCGCGCTCTTATCCCGAAAGGATCTCAGTAAAGCTTTGTGAAGGACCGTCTCGAGGCGCAACGTGGCGAAAGACCTTCCGCATTGGGAAGCAGTTTCGACAGGGTCCATTATAGACGCTACAGCTTAATTGCGACGGCCACCAAGATCCAACCACCACACTGAAGATCAAAATTAGATACGGGTCTGGATTTTGAAAGTTTGACAGATGCCGCAGGATTGTGGAGAGCAGCAACATCCCTGAGCAAGATGTATTTGTATGTGTATATATGGTCTCCCAGACGGTTATGGCCATATGGTACGTTTTCAATCAATCCCATCTTCACACGATCCGAATACTTTCCACTGTTCTTCCAAGGCATACATTATCGCACCTGGTCACTACCCCTTATATCTTTTGTTCGGGAACAAGATCACACATACAACTATGGCGGTAGATGCTGTTTCTACCGCGAAGTTGGTCGTCTACATCATCTTCGCACCGATTGCTCTCTTTTGCTTTCTCAAGCACCGCAAACTCGGTCCTCTCGGATGGTGGTACGTCAATGTGTTCTGTGTGCTCCGACTAGTCACAGGCGCTATCGGCATACATGGGAACAAAAATGGCGAAGCCTATACCATCCTCAATAGTATCGGTATTTCGCCTCTAATGTTGGCAGTATCTGGTCTTATTGATGAAGCGTAAGTTGACATGACCATGCGGTTCTCCGACCTTGCCCTGTCAAAAGCTAAATTGTGACAACTAGGAAGCGTGCCACAAATCCACGATCGCAGTCCAAATCTAACATCTTATTCGAGCTTGTTTTCCATGGCATAGTTATAGCCGGGATGGCTTTGGTTATCGTCGCCATCGTTCATTTTGAAGAAAATCAGGATATTTCTTCAAGTAAGACGGAACTGGATGTCGGTTCGGCCATTTCTTGTATAGCTTATGGTCTCCTGGTTTTCTGGGCTGTGCTGAGCTTCTTTCAATCGCGCCTGCACTCCGAGAATGTCAAACCAACTGTCGTCCGATGTGGAAAAACAGTGAGTCGTCGCACGCTAAGATACTTCCAAAGAAGAAGAAAAAAACTGCTAACGTTCTACGCCAACAGATACTCCTTGCTTGCCTTGCTAGCCTGCCTCTCATTGCGATCCGCATTGGTTGGGGTGTGGCCTACCTCGAGCTCAAGATCCATCACCCGAACTCTGGCTTCCTCACATCCTTGGCCGTCATGGTTTGCCTGAATGTTGTCCCAGAAATGGTCATTATAGCGGTGCTTCTCGCAGCTGGTGTCGCCACTCACAGGTTACAAGACGCCATGACAGCCGGGACCAGGTCGCGCAGTGGCAGGAGATGAACATGAACAAGGTGTGGAGGAAGTTGTGACTAACGGCAGGGAGAAATCGAGATGCAGACTGGGTTCTTCGGGCATCCTGGGAAATAAAAATTGAAGCGTATCACGTTCACATCCCAGAGGAAGCGCTAGACGCTGACGAAATCGTGAATTGTCTTATTAAGGAGTTCGATACGGTATCATTAGAATTTTTTTGGATATGGGATAGTTTATGAAACAAATTCTTGTATGATGGCCTGGACTGTGAAAGACTAAGGTGTTTTTGACCAAGTAATTGAAGTACTCAGCCCTGTCTGCGCCACTCAAAGAGAATCGATCGGGCGTTCCGTGCCTTTAGGGACGAAGCCTTGCGATCGGCAGGGCTGCCGGCAAATCTCCACCGAGTCACTTATCAATGAAAAAGTCGGTGCCTGGGGCTGAGAATGTAGGATCCTCTCCACCAACTTACATAAGGATTCGAGACGTACGTCTTCGTGGTATAATCCAGAAATCTCGAAGGCACAGTGCTTCTCTTCGTATCAAAGTCTTCACGCCATTCCGATATTGGTCACCTTTTCGACAGGACACCTCTTTTCAAACCCTGACGAGATCGACTTGTCTAGTTCAGCCACATACATCCTGGCGAAGCAGGGGCCACTTCGTTCGCCGTACTTCTGATGGTGTACACTGGGAAGTTATCCAAGGCTTGTCAACCTTGTCGTGACAAGCGACGGAAGGTGAGTGCCCGCGCTATACTCTTTTTTTCCTGGTATTGAAGATGGGATTCATTGGCTTCAGTCCAGCATAAACTATGAAGACAACTACGGAATCAAGATGCCCATGACCCGTGGCTCGACATCTCCGCTGAACAACATGTCTGAGTCAACTAACCTTCATTTTGGCAGTGTGATTTAAAAACACCACAATGCTCACAGTGTGTACGGCTCAAAACCTCCTGTTATGGATATCGCGACACTCAGGAATTGGCCTTTCGCGATGAAACCACTCATGTAGTGCAAAGGGTACGAGGCAATAGAAGGTCAAGGTCGAAGTCCCGGGCGCAAGACGTGCAGCCTTCCACTGCAGACCGTGTGTTGATCCCCAACCCGCAGTCGCCAGGCGAGGAAAATGAGTCAGAAAGAGAAGGAGGTGGTAGTGAAGGCGATGGCGAACGAAGACGATCGAGACAGCCGATGCTCTTAACCCTTTGGGCACCCCCCGAGGACATCGCTCTAGGATACTTCCTCTTTGTCTTCTCCCAAAACGGCCCTTTCAACTTTTTACCTGGGTTTTTGCCCGCCCTGATAGAGGACGAGGAGATCATGCAAGCCATCTACGCACCAGCTCTGGCCGCTCTAGCCCTATACTATAGTTCCCCGAGATTGCTACGCGAGGCTCGCTCCTACTACGCCACGACGTTGGGTCAAACGAACAAAGCCCTCAGCGACCCCCGCTTGGCTGTCCTCGACAAAACGCTCCTCAGTGTCCTCCTTCTCACTTCCTTCGAGGCCCTGACCTTCAGCGGCCGGAGTTCGCCTCGCAACTGGAACTCGCACGTCAAGGGTTCAACCAATCTCCTCGTCTTGAGAGAAGCGGCGCATATCGATACCGAGCTGGGCCGCCACCTTATGTACCATGCCAGCGTCGCCATACTGGCCAACTGCACCACATACCGCCTCCATGTACCGGCGGCCTTCCGGCACCTGCAAGGACACGCTGTCTGGCCTCAAAGAGGGGCGACAGAATCGCTGGGCATTGACCACACAAGGCGCCACCTCATCGGCCTCATGATGCGCTTTGCCACGATGTCGGCTAGCATGAACGGCATGTTGGCGACAGAGCTCGTGACAAAGTGCGTCGAGATCGACGCCGAGGCAGCGGCCTTGTTGGATGTGCTACGAGAATACATGCCCTACCAAATCATCGACGTCACCACTGACAGTGAGGAACTACAAAAACTCACAAAGGGCACCGAGGTCTGCGCCTACAATGGCATAATTCACAATTATCAGACGCGGCAGGAGTTACGCCTCTTCAACAGCATACGGATGATACGACTCGTCCTCAACGAATGGATCTTCTGTGCCTTTGACCATAGTCTCCGTGGCGTCATTCTCGATGAGCCGCAGCCGGGAACACTCTTGTCTGAGAAATGGAACGAGTTGCCACAAGAGGCCTCTCTGCGTGCCGCCGAGCACATCAATGACATAATCGCCAGTGTCCCGTACTCTGTCGAGTTGTTGCCGTCCGCGTTCCGGATGACGGCAAGGTCATTGATTTGGCCTCTAGCTGCGACAGCTGGTTCCGAAGTGTGCCCGTTGGATGCTAAACTGTACATTATCGGAAGGCTGAAGGAGCTTGCACGTTTGCATGATTTCCCTCAAGCCAAGGAAGCAGCTACTATGTTGGAGGAAGGTGTAGATTTGGAAGACTGGTAAGTCTACCTAGCCTAACAACTCTGATCTCAAAAGTTTAGCTTGGTCGATTGTGATTGGTCTTGAAACTAACAAGTCTTTGCGCCTGTAGGGTCCATATACTTCACTTCTCTTGACAGCCTTATCAGACTACTATGGAATATAATTGGACCTTGTACAGTGCAGTGCTACGTACAGTGATCCCTACCAAGATGACGTTTGTAGGTGATTGCTTGGGTCTAGACGACATGGCTGAGTAGATACCCGGGACGCTAGTTTTTGAATGGGGGATTGCAGGGTCATAAAAAGCCAGCTACCCCTTGATGATATTAGTCGGTGTACTCGGCGGAGTAGTAAGGTACGGATACGAGGAATCCCCTCAGAGATGTCTGTGTGTGTGTGTTATATCAAATTGACGTGGGTACCTACCTAGACAGAACTTTTCCCCCTTTGATAGGTCGAGAGTCACGCAGGAAGGATGCCCCTCTTATGGTTTGTCGAAAAGGTAGCCGGATTTGGTGAAACGCACGAGGGCAGCGTCCTCAACTCTAACATCAGAGATTGGTCGTTGTATCAAAGCGCGCACACACACTCACTCAAGCCACGAGGTAGCTTGTCTATTAGAATGGCGCAGCCGTTGCCACTGTCTACCTATGCGAGGTATATAAATCGACATCTCCCACTACCAGGTCTGAGCATCATCAATATATATTCAGGACCGATTCAACCTTTGTTCCAGCGTCATCAGATTCCGAAAATTAAAAAGAAAAACACTCTTCGGGTCCCGATTTTCTTTCCCTCTCCTCGCCTTGCTCCTTTACGGTCCTTTTCCCTGTCATCAATAGCAACAAACCAAATCAGCGACGCCGAGTCAGTCAATTTGAATCAAACAATGTGTCTTGCTGGACTTGGTTATATGCTTTTCAAAAAGCAAGGAGACGGACATGACTATGAAGATCGGGAGGACGAATTGTAGGTTTGTTGCTTGCGCGTTTTTCCCCCTTTTTTCATCTTCAGTGTCCCTCGGATGGTTGCACCGGCTCTCTCTTCCATGAAACCGAATCATACAGACTCCATGACTGACGACGACACGTATCAATCATCATTAGAGATAATTACCGCAATGACAGTCGCAACGCGAGAAGAAACGGACACGGAAACAATCAAAAGTCAACCCCAACAGGAGGACCATCACCAGGACGGGAACCTGCCCCGGTTTATGCCGGAGATATGATGAACTCTGGCCACAATCGCAACGGGCGATAAGAAGAAAAAATTACCTAGATAATTAGCAGAGAGAGACGGAAAGAAGATGGCAATGATTGGCTCGTGCTCATGGTGCAACCATGGTGTGTCTGTCATATGTTGGGGAGGAGAGGCTGAGAGCGTACAAGAGAGGGTCACTGTATGACACAGTGTGAGGGAGGTGTTTTCCATACACACACACACACACACACACACACACACACACAACAAAATTTAGTTTCTCTAGACCAACCAGTAAATCACTCCCCATGTCATTTCACCGTGATTGAATGATCCAGGAGTTCTTTTGGATTCAGGTAGAAGAAGTAGCGGGTTCTGTATCGGTGGTCAATTGATGACAAAATTTCTCCTTTCTCTTCCCATCAATCAATCCACTGACATCGACGGAAGAATATACACGTGCAGTTGTGGTTGTTGATCATTTCCCAACTGTCCTCGTGAGATATGCCTAATCGAGTTTAACACGTTTCCAAAACGTACCTTTCCGTTGTTCATTTCCTCTGTGTACGAAGTAACCAGACCCATTTGTTGAGGACGCAAATGAACAAATGGATGCCGAATGCCGATCGAAGGGGGGGAGAAACTGTCGGGCCTGAGATGAGTCGTCATCAAGCTTTTGACCAAGCCTTTTTTTTGTTTTTGCTTGTCCTTGTTGGAAAGGTTGGAACCATGCCGATCTTTCTCGGGAGGGCGGACAAAACGGTTCGTCGCCTGTACTGTACTTTTGGGGGCCGGTGAGTTTTGTTGTACGGAGTACGTCCGATGAGCCACGAGGGACAAAGAGTGTCATTTCAGGCCCCCCTATTATGTATCGAGTACCTCCATTGCACGGGCCGGTGCATTTCTCTTGCAACTAACATCCCGGGTCATGATTGGTCCTGCATCATGAATACCTAGGTAGGGTTGGCGTGTCATTTGCCTTACAGCAATAACCTTACCTGGTTGGGTATGCACTTCGAGCCGAGGTGCTGCTGTAGATCACTTTCGCAAGATATACTTGTTGGATCTCAACAGTAACAAGCCTATGGAGTAACTCGTACTGGGGGTTCGTTGGTCTTACAAGTTCTTTTCGAGTGAGGCAGTACCTTCGTGACAAGTAATGTTCACGACGTCGTCATCATAATCTGACCGTCCCTTTCCCTGCAGGGTACTTACCTTCCTCGGCGTGGTGTGTGTGTGTGTGTGTGTGTGTGTGTGTGTGTGTGTGTGTGTGTGTGTGTGGCTTTGGTGGCCTTGCGGGAGGGACCGCTGGCCTTTCAGGGTCACACATCATAGCAACGCAACACGCCTCCCCTCGTATGGCTGGCTGTGTGCATTGGGTAGGTCACTGTACACGGAGTGCCCGTACGAGAACGACATATAATAAACAATGAGAAGCCATGAGAGAGAATATCCCTCCTGTGTCAATCCCTTTTCACAAGCAACTTTACACAACTCCATAGCTTCACCTATACCTGATAACTACTTTTCGAGCCTTCAAGGTCATCATACCTTTCAATCATGGGGTTGATCAGGAACGCCATTGGTTCTGCACTTGCACCACCAGATATGAACAATGGAATGAATGGACGAAAGATGCAACTTTTGGGACCCAACACCTCCTCCTCCTCGTCTTCATCCTCCTACAACAGCAGACAGCCTCGAGGTGGGGTGTACGAACAAGATTACAGGAGTGATTACCGGAGTTCATCGTACGACTCTAGAGACAATCGCCGCCAGTACCAGCAGCGTGGTCGCTACAGGAACGAAGATGAAGGATATCACTCAGACCGCCGGCCATATTCACCTCCAGAGAGACGTACTTCTCCCAAAGAGACCTATCAACAATATTCCCCCAAACGCAAACCGAAGTATGAATACCGAGAAGAGGAAGAGGTAGACGCACCTCCATCATACAGTCTTCACCCAGATCCGTCACCCGCGCGCTCAGCAGGATATTATAACGAAGATGGAGGCCGTCGCGATTTGACAGACAACGATTCCGCGTATCAGGATGCGTATCGTCAAGAATATTCTTACCTCCAGTCAAGGTCCATGGATCAGGTCTCCTCCCGCTCCGGACCCGGGCGTGATATGGATCAGAACTTTCGTCCCCTCGCTCTCCCGCAAATCGACTACCAGGATGGATCGCCCTTTCTGCGAGGGTACAGCGACGAGCTGCGATACTATGGGGTTACGGAGCGAGTATATTTCGAGGCTCTGGATGCGATCAATGTGGCTCGCATCCCAAATCCCGAAAATCAAATCTTCCAAAAGGGAGCCGGTATTGCCGGATTCTTCGTGTAAGTTTTTCATCCGCCGCTTGACAGAAAGATGACTGACCCTTGCCTCACAGACCTGGGGCCGCTGCCATTGGTTTAATGGCTGGCCAAGTAGGCGTTGGACTGGCAAGCCACTTTGGCCATGCGTCATTGGTAAACAGAGTCCTCTCAAAAGTCAACCTGGAAATATTTGTGCCAAACGGCCTGGAAATATGGTAAGCACAGGTCTTTGTGCCCCTGGTGTATGAGGAGGTTCGCAGGCTCACGGACGTTGTCAACAGTATCTGCAACGCAAAAGATGTCGACGGGGAGCTTGGTCTCTCTCAGTACGACGCACAGAGAAGGTTCATCCCCGGCCCTTATCCGCAAGACAGAGTCGCGGCGTATGGTGGCCTTCTTGCTCCCTTGACCAAAGTCCTACCACCTGTCGAGAATGCCGGTCGGCACGACCCACTTGCTGGTATAGGGAATTTCCTCAACAATCGAGCAACGCAAAAGAAGGTGAGAAAGGCACAGAAACGCGAGGCCAAGGGGAAGGATAAGAAAATGAACCGGCTTGAAGGTTCGGTCCAGTGGGTAAGTTGCCGAGATTCTTTCCCTCCTCTTCCTCAAAGTTACCCAGGCAGGCTAACTAGATGTGCACAGATCATGGTGAGACAAGCGTCACCCGGTGCTGTGGAACACTGGCAGAAGACTTTAAAACAAAGCGATCGCGAGTTGGAACAAGACCAAGCACAAGAAACGGCATCCCGGAGGCGAGGCCATAGCTTCTGAGGCTATGTACCAACATGAGTATTGAGCGTTGTCGTTTTGATGAATATATGTAGGGCCGCTTGATGATCTTGATAAAAGGTAGAAAGCGTTGGTTCCCTCAGGCTCCATTGTCGTTTCAGTTGCAAGTACGAAGTAATTCCTGGTGAAATGTGATGACGTTGTCGCCTCGGAAAAGTTGCCAAGGATGAAAGACGCTCATTCTGGCCCCCGCGGCTGAAGTGCTTTTGATAGATTCAATCTCCCTCTTTTCCGCCTCTTCAAAGATTTGCCAGTATCGAGAATTACCTTGCAACATTCTATTGTTTCATTCGAGTAGGAGTCATTGCGAATAACCCTTTCCCTTTTGCTTGCTGAATACGTCACCATTTTCCCAGGGAGATGATGGGATGGGAGACAACAATACAGTGGCCGCTGATTACGAAGATGTCCAAGTGACTGTAGTCATTGAGCCCGGCTTTGAAACGCTCGTGCTCGATGAGTCTTGTCGATTCGGTGGCTTTGTAAGATTTATCATTTCAGTTGTCAGGGGTTTGCCCTGCGCTGGTTTGGGCGTCCATTTTCCGTCAAAGACTCTTCGCCCAAAAATGGCTTAGTGGTGGGGGAGCAATTAGGATCGTCCGGAAAACACATGGGGGTTCATACCCATCTACCCCGGACTCGGCTGGATGTCCTGCAAGCCCTTTGCGTCACCAACACTCCGGAGGGGAGGTCGATGCAAAAGCAAGTATCGATCCAGCCATCGGTTAATCAGCCTTTAGAAATACATGCGGAATGGACACTGATAGAAGGTATGTCGAGAGGTATAAGTCTCTTCGGGTTTCTCCCCCAAAGGAGTGCATCGCAGTTCAAAGACACACCACATTTGCCTTACTGACAGAGAGCTTGACTATTGTTGAACACTTAAACCACGCAGACTCGACTACCTTTTTACCTTTGATACTCGGCCTCAAGGACATGTCGACAATGCAGACCTCTGCAGATCTCACTTCTGATTTTTATCAAAGCAATCTGATGACCCAGTATTCCGATTGGTCGTTTCTTCCCTCGACGTATCCAGACAACGACTCCAACCGTGTTGTGGACTTCTTTCTAGATTTGCTTCAAGACCAAAGTGCCCAAGCAGAACACATTCGTCGAGCATCAAGCATTATCGAAAGCGATTCTTCCGACGTTATTTCCTCGAGCCACCAATTGTCGGACGCATACATCATGCCGGAAGAAATGCCCAGCCCTGCACCAAGCACAACTTATACTCTGCACAGTTCACATTCCGCTGAAAATACCCCACTTCAAGGAGTGCTTGTCCCAGGCATGCTATCCGAAAAAGACCGGAGGCACCGTCGAAGGGAGCAGAACCGTAAAGCGCAACATGCTTTCAGAGAGAAGCGAAAAGTTGAAGCCCGCAAAGTGGAAAATGAACTTGCCGAGTTAAAGTCGCAACTCGCTAGACTCCGACACAACGCTGCGACTTCGGGATGGACAATCTGTGTGAAATGTCGAAACTTCTACCCTCCCGGCGTAAATGCGAGTATGGATGCAGATGCTGAGCCTAGAACTCCACCCTACCTTGAGAGCCTTGTTCCTGGGTTCATCAATGAAAAGTGGTGACAATCCCCGTTGGACGACGAAGACATCAGCCAGCCTTTTTGCTCACCTGTGCGTCTGCAAAGCTGGAAAACATACTGATAAGACACGATACTTGTCGTAACGCCGACTGTCAAAAGAAAGGCGACTGCTGCGCAAAAGTTCAAAGATCTTCCCACCATGAATCTTCACGAGCCACGGACGACGCTGGCTCCAAGCCGAATTCTCCGCGCCGTGTTCAGGAACTGGACAAATTGCCGGAATAGCGCTTCGATTGATACGAGTATGAAGCAGACAGGGGAAGACCACTCGGCTCGAAGACCATATAGGAGCCGAGAGGAATCGGATTCGATCAATCATGGTAATATTAGGGGCGATGAAAGTGAACAGAAGTAATTTTACACCAATTTCTGTACGAAGGTTTCTCTATCAATGGTGAGAAACACAGATCCGTATGAAAAGAAATGCAGATATTTTTTGATCTTTATTTTCGGCTGTGATACATCGAAAATTGGGGAAAAAAAGTAAAATACAAAAAGAAAACTCTAAGGGCTGAACTGGGCTAATCGATTTGTTAGTTAACTGTTGTAGTTGTGCGGAGGAGAAAAATCCATACAATCGAACCCAGGACCTCTTGCAATCAAGTTCAATCAAGTACCCAAAGCAAGAATCATACTACTAGACCATTCAGCCGTAGTTTGAAAACCAAGCCTGTGCGGCTGGATTGTACGATATTTAGCCGTTGATAAAATATAACCAGACAAAAGTATTGGATGGGTGGCAAGTGGACCGCAACGGCTAAACATCGGATGCCAATAGTTGCGAAAGTCTGAACCTCGAAAAATAATTTTGGAGAGTAGAGACATGTTCACCATTTGAAGTACTTTTTGCAGTACGGTACTCCAAGTCAAGATGGTGAGCCTCAAGGAGCGAGCAAGAGAATTGGAATTGACCAGGAGAAAAGGTTTGTTCTAAATCAGTTTGGCTCTGTTACATCGGCTAACATACAACCAGACTTTGACCCAGAAGACGATTCTTTTCGCCGCGCAGACGACGATGATGATGACTCCGAAGCCGAAGAGCCAGTAGATGGCGAGAATGGTCGAGAACATTATGAAACTGTGGGAAAGAGCACACTCCGAGAACCGGAACAGGTCCGCCTGGGAGCAAAATATGGCGGCGTCGCAGTCAGTCGCAAAGACTTGGAAAATGAAGACGAAGATGAAGACGATCCATTTGCGCCCGAGGATGAGGACGATAAAGAAGAAGATCCTTTTGCGAAACCAAAGGACAACCTGAGCGACGATGACGCATCAGACATACTCGCCGATGGGAATATGGGTTCAGACGTCGACGAAGACTCTGAAATCGATAGCGATGAAGCATTGGGTGAAAGTGATGTTGAGAGATTTAAGAACTTTACGTTTCGAGGCAGCAAGAGGAACCGCCTGGCTCCGACGGCAGAGGGCGAGTCAGGCGACGACAATGACGAAGACGAAGACTCGGAACTGTCAAAAGACTTGCCAGAAGAAGACTCGGACCTCGACATGGACCAGAGCGACGAAGTAGAGGATGATGACGATGACGATGACGATGACGACGACGACGACGACAGGGATGATTCGTCTTCAATATCATCCGAAGATACACCACAAAATGCTGCCCGGAAAGCTCTACGGCACGTCCTCTCTTCTTCCACCGCGGGTCTTGCATCGACCCTCTCCGCGGGCGCCAACGCGGACGTGAAAAAGGGCCACGCGGTCAAGAAACAACGACAGACATTCGACCGCCTCCTCGACGCCCGCATCAAACTGCAAAGGGGGGTCACGGCGACCAACGACCTCGACGGTGCTGCTCTTTCCGATGATCAAGTCAAGGCCGCGGCTCAAAAGGCCGAAGAAGCAGCTTTGTCGCTCTGGTCGACGATCGACTCGATCCGCTGTACCATCCTATCTGCGCAAGATGGTGGGTCTACAAAATCACGCAAGAGACCACTCGACGCGACCCGGTCCACGTCTCTAGCGGAACTCTGGAACCACACCCGGGATCTCGAAACCGCAGTCCATCCTCTGCGTCGAAGCACGTTGGACAAATGGCACGCCAAAACCCAACCGGCCATCGACACTGCTCCACGGTCGAAATTACTCGGCAAGCAGCAACGGCCGTCGCAATCGCGCTTCACGAGCGTCCTCGACACTTACCTCACGTCCGAAGCGTCGAAGCTGGTCGCCTCGTCCGCGCCGGCACCGGGCACGTTCGACGACGGTACCTTTTACCAAGCCCTCCTTCGCGACCTGATCACTTCACGAAACGCGAATGCGAACGCGGACGCGACCGGCACTGCCGCAGGAGAGCCGTTGCTGTTGCCCGCGAAACTCAAATCGGACAAGAACAAGAACAAGGTGGTCGAGACAAAGGCCTCCAAGGGCCGAAAGGTGCGGTACACGGTCCATGAGAAGCTGGAGAATTTCATGGCCCCAGAGGACCGAAGCACGTGGGAAGACGCGGCGAGGACCGAGTTTTTCGCCAGCCTGTTCGGCAACAGGGGGGCCCTGGACGAGGCCGCCGCCGATCGTGGAGATGGGCAGAGTGATGACGACGAGGACGGTTCCGCCGAGGTTGAAGCACTCAGGTTGTTTAGGAGTTGAGACTACAAAATGTCAGTTACCTAGGTGGGTCAATGGTGACCGTACCACAGCAATACTCCGAGGTGTATATAGTCAGAAAACAAAAATGCCAACGTCGGAGGCGATGGGTATTCACGCAGACCCATCTCCTGCATCACGCACGAGGCTTCTTTCCAAACTTGTCGCCAAAGTAATCCTCCGAACCTGTCGTGCCATTCCCGAGTATCGATACCTCGGTGGGTAGGTAACCGACAAATACAACTCTTGGGTACCTCGTCAAGAGATATTTTCTTTTTTCAAGAAGGGAACGGTGAGGATGACGAGCACCCAGACTCCATCAAGGACAGTAATAACGACCAAAAATACTAGGCAGTTACTCACAGCCGTGTGCGTTTTGCAATGGAGGGTACCTCTGCGTTTATGTCGATTGCTCAACATTTAAATCAAATGAAAAATAATACTTTTCAAGGGGAAAAAATCTTCATTGATGGGTCATTCAATGGCTCATTGATGTCATTTACAGCTGTGGAACTTATTCTCTATTGTTTCCTTTCCAGGTGCATCTCTACGACAAGTTTCCTTTCAAAGGTACCTCTTCTCCCTTCCCCAGAGTGAATTCTTACATCATCAGGCACTACTGGACTACTCCCTCCTCGTGTACCCTGGAACTTGGTAGGGTTGAGGAACATACCACTTCGGAATGTTGCCGGCCTCACGTTGTCGGTGAATGTAAGCCGCGGTAACATGACCATTCTGTGTAAAGTTTGATTGCGTGTCGTTGTTAAAGCCCACAATCGGGGAGTATTTCCGCTGCAATGGAATTGGGCTCGGTGACGACGGAATGGAGATGGCCTGTGAAGACCGAATTGGGGTTGTGTCTGCCACGCCAAGGTCTTGCTTTTGTGATACGTTCTGTGAGCCGGTATGGTTATTGTAATTATCTTCTTCAAGTGTGTCGATCCTCCCTTGTCGAGGCACCGACCCTTGATCGCCAGTCGCAGTCTTCTTGGGTGGAGATGGCAGCGAGGACGGGTCCAAATCAAGATCTTCCTCATCCTCGGAATCAAAGACTTCATTGATACCTGACCCTGTATGGTACTGTGATTGACTCTTCCCCACGTGCTGAGGCAGTTGACTGAGTGGAACCCGAAAGGAGCTCGAATCCTTGATGGTAAATTGATCCGGTCTCTGTGTTATGTCTGTTTCATGCCGTTGCGGATATGAGAACATGTTTGGAGAGGCTTGTGTGGCTTCTTGGGTTGACATCTGAGAAGGATGCGGAATCGATGCAGGGTGGATCGACTTCTGCGTAATGGCTCGTGCAGACCAAAGAGGTGAAGAGGAAGAGTGCTGTAACGTATCATTTAGTGGTACCTTTGTAGTTGAGACAACAGTACTTGAATGGTGCATGAGAGCTGGCGTCGGCAAATTGACTTCCTTATTGCCTTCTTCGTGATTGCCTTGTACTTCTGGAGTCCTTTTGTATGGCGACTCCACTAATGTGGGATAGGGAAGTGGTGTTTGAGGTGGCAACTCGTCGTCTTGGGATTGAATTTTCGTGGAATGAATGCTTGAGCGGCCACGGGGTGTAGGCGAAGAATTCGACAGTGTCATCCCTCTCGTTTCTGCGAATCCTACAGGCGTCCGTGACTGTCGAGAGGGAGAACAGATACGGTCCTCCAGGTTAATGTTGAATTGCGTATCATTGGCAATCGGAGAACCAAAAACCACTTCGTCTGCATGTAGATCTCCTCCCGATGCATCAGCTCCTTCGTTCAATGTCCCGTCATTTTGAATGTCTGAATCTATAGCACTCTTCAACTTGGAGGTTTCTCGACCTGTGCGTGTCGGAGCAATCGCGAAATCTCGGACTAATGTGGGTGATTCTTCGCTAATTTTGGCTGCCTGTAAGGGAGATATTGTTTGTGCTTCGTCCCTAATTGGGCCCCTTCTGCCCACTATGTCGGCAAGATCTGGAAGACTGTCCTGAGTGAGTGCATCGGGGGGGCTCGACAGTATCGCGTGGGCTTGACTTGTGGCAGGAATTTCTGGCTCTATATTTCGATTCTCAACCTCTGATAAAGAGGGCGTAGTGGATTGCTCTTCTTGTGGGTCATCGACCTGCGGCTGTCGTAGTTGGGGCGACGAAGATGGAATGGACCATAAGCCAGCCTCGGAGTCATCAATCCGCGCGCTTGATTGAGCTGGCTTGCGCTTGGGCAGCTTAAGAACCACGACTTTTCTTTTGCCTGGGGAGTGTTTGGCGGTATCAAGTAACTTTCCAGTCAAGCCTCTCGATGGAGACAGCAGAGAGTTCAATGAGCGCTCTGCCAGCGGTGTTCGCAACGACTGCCTACCGATGATGGAAGAGGTGTTTGTTGTACTTCTTCGCGTACTTGGTGGTAGGCTCTCTGGCGACTGGCTTGATAGAATGACGGTTCTAGACTTCTTCGGCGTCCGTAAAGCCTGAGTTTGACCAGTTTTGGTGTCGTTGGTGATAACTTCTCCTTCGTCGACTGATTCTTTTATCTCAAGTGAACATGGTGTTGTCCGGATAATTGGATCCTTACGGGAGTCTTCTGGGACACCCAGAGCCCGTTGAAAGTACTCTAGGTTTTCAGCCGCATCTGATGGCAGTCCCTGCTTGGAGGCAATCCTGCTCGAAACTCGTCTCGGTGTCACAGATTGTCCATTTTCCACTCCAGGCTGGTTTCCCCTCTTCCTACTCGGTATGTACTCTTGACTATGTAATGTAGGTGCGGTGCTCTTCCGTTTCGCTGACCGTGTAGTAGTGGGTTGGTGTGGCTTGCGTTTCCTCGGACGTCTCGGGCTTTCGTAAGGACCGTCGAATTGCGGGAGAGTGAGTTCGTGTTGCTGATTCGGGAGCATCATTTCATCGTCAAAATCATCATGGTCGGGAGGTGGGAAGCTGAAAAAGTCCATCTGCGTCAATGTGGAATTGCGTTTCTTGGGCTTCCTTGCACGTGCAGTGCGTGCTAGTGGCATCTCTTGAAGTGAATCATCTTGCTCGAAACTAGTTGAGACCGGAGTCACCCACTGCACTTGGGTAAGTGTCTGCTGGCTAGTTGTATTCCTGATGCCTATTGTCTCAATGTCATGGCATCGCGGGCGCTTTCGTGGTGCAGGAGTGACTGACTTGGCTTTCCGCTTCGTGCTCGTAATGACCCAAGATTCTTCGGACATAGCTCATAGTGAAAATTATATGAGTCTCTGACCTTTTCTGTAGACAAGGGCCGGATGCTATCTAGATTCAGTACTGATGGATTGACTATTTAAGGCGAGTACTGAAGGCGACGCGTGCCGAGTAAATGCGCGCCCGTAATGATGAAACGCGTCGCGGGGTCACCTGATTCGCAGAATGACAATTGATGATGGTCGCTCGAGGATCTTAACAAGTATCAGCACGACCACCACGCAGGACTTCTCTATAAGTGAGCCTCACACCAGGACGAGATGTCAGCGTGGCTGTGATGGATACTGCAGCATAGATCACTTCGGGCACGTCTATAAGAGCTCCCAGGCTCGAGTAGCATATCAATTGTCCGAGCCCAGCAGACCGACGACTGCCCTCTGCAAATGACGGAGGCCTTCATTCGCCTCTTGACCACGTTGGTCTCACTGATTTCAGTCGCGGTCTTGACCACAGTCTTGAAGCAACTCCTAGACCGAAACCGTCACAGACCACCGGTAGTCTGGCACTGGCTTCCATGGCTTGGTAGTACAGTTGACTACGGCAAAGACCCGTACAATTTCTTCTTCAAGTGCCGAGAAAAGGTCGCCATGTACGCTTTAAGTGATGGAAATATGTACTGACACTCGCGGCAGTATGGCGACTGTTTCACCTTTGGGCTTCTTGGAATGAGAGTCACCGTTTTCTTGGGAGCCAAAGGCAACAACTTCATTCTCAATGGCAAACTCAAAGACCTCAATGCTGAGGTTCGTACTGTCAGGAGTTACAAGTTGACATGGCCAAGGTTTCTGACTCCCATCAGGAAGTCTATGGTCCCTTGACTGTACCTGTATTTGGCCGTGGCGTTGTCTACGACGTAGATAATGCTCGATTCATGGATCAGAAGAGAGTATGTTGGCCACTTCTGTCAGTGTACTGGTAGTAATGACCTTCAACCTATAGCTTCTGAAAGAAGGCTTCTCAAGTGGGAATCTACGCGCATATGTCCCTGAATTTGTCAACGAGGTCAACAATTTCATCAAGACCAATGCCGTCTTTAACAGCAAGCAAGGGGGCGTTTGTGATATTTCTTCGGTATTCTCAGAGATATCCCTCTACACTGCTGCTGGCTCCCTGCAAGGCAAAGAAGTCAGAGACTCTTTCGATGCACAGTTTGCGACGTACTATCGGCATTTGGACGACGGTTTCGCACCGATCAATTTCATGCTTCCGTGGCTGCCGATCCCTATCAATCGGCGACGAGATCATGCCCAGAAAGTCATGGCCGGGCTATACATGGACATCATCAAGAAACGAAGATTAGAAGGCAACAAAACCGGCAGCCATGATATGCTTTGGGCGCTGCTGGGCGCTCGGTACAAGGACGGCACCTTGATCTCGGACGAAGAGATGGCAAATCTCATGATAGCCCTCTTGATGGGGGGACAACACAATACCGCGGTAAGGCATGCCATAACGTTATGCGGGCGATGGCCTTGCAGTTAAAATTAGCCCTTGCTGATACTTCTTCGGATTGCTGTCGAATTGCTTAGGCTTCAGGGACCTGGGTCATGTTGCATCTGGCACATCGCCCCCATCTGATCGAAGGGCTCTATCAAGAGCAACGTGTCGTATTGGGCGATGGAGGAGAACTGACCTACGATACATTGCAACAGCTCACCCTTCACAACAACGTCATCAAAGAAACGCTCCGCCTACACAGTCCCATCCACTCGATCATGCGAAAGGTACAGCAGCCAATGCAGATTCCGGACACAGACGTTGTCGTTCCGGCAGGTCATATCCTCCTTGCTGCACCAGGAGTTCCCTCACGATGCGACGAATTCTTCCCCAACGCCATGGACTGGAATCCGCATCGATGGGACAGGCCTGCGGGAGGCGATCAACAAGACGATCAAGACTCGAATGACACGGTTGATTACGGCTACGGCGCCGTCTCTTCCAAAGCCGCACATAGCCCTTACCTCCCGTTCGGTGCCGGTCGACATCGTTGCGTGGGGGAAACCTTTGCATACGCCCAGTTAGGGGCCATCCTTGCGACGCTGGTGCGATTGTTGCAGTGGGAACAAGTTGACCCGAAAGCACCTGTCCCAGAGACCGACTACTCTGTAAGTCATTCCTCGCCTTTTTTCCGGTTCTTGCTCGTATTATGTGTGGCGCTAGTGTACCAGCAGTGACTTGGAAATCTCCTGGTGGTTTGTTGCTCGCCATGTCCATCTTTGCTGACTTGTATGTTGAAAAAGTCCATGTTCTCGCGACCTATGCATCCTGCCACAATACGCTGGCGACTTCGTCGATAATCTCGACCAGTTTTTCCTCGCCGCGAGTCATTCTGATTATATATTGGAAAATGGCCCAACGTTGTAGTGTTGGCCGGAACTAGTGAAGATAAAACATGGATGATGGTTGATAGATGGTTACCTGTTTAACTGAAATCTGATATTGTTGTTTCATGTTCATGTTCGTACTCGTTCTCATTTTCTTCTTCCTCTTTCCTACCCATGACCCATAAACCGTAAAGTCCTGAGACCGTACACACTCCCCTAAGTACTCGGTACTGATACAATGAAATCAAGAAAAAAATTATACGCTCACATAAGACAAAAAAATCTGGCAGGATGCTGCGTGCCGCCCAATAAACATCCCCTTTGCGGAAAAGCCCCCCAAACCCGCACAACAAATAAATATGGTAAGAGATCAAAGATGGCCATGTCGATGTCTGAATCCGTCACCTATTCTCCGTCTAAAGTTGGACGGTAACAGACCAGGCCCCGAGGATTCAGAGAGGCTGTTGCCGCGGCGAACCACGTCAAAGACGGCCCTCCTCTTCCTCCTCAGACCTGACTGCCACGACGCGGGAATCCCAAGAGGATTCGACCGTTGCCAGTCACTCAAACTGTCGCACTCGCTCTGGAACTGGTCGGACGCGGCGTAAGGTTTGATCTCGGCCGGTCTCTCGATCCACTGCAGGGCCAAACCTCCGTCGACGTGCCACACGATGTGACAGTGCATGAGCCATGCTCCCGGATTGTCGGTCTCAAACCCAATGACGGTGTAACCCGAAGCCTTATTGGGTCCTTCAGACCCGATCAGCATGGCTGTGTCTCGACGAGGAGGGTTTTCAAAGTTCAAAGTCGAGACCAAATCCGACGTCCAGGTTGTCGAACCCTGGCCCAAGATCGAAAAGTCGTGGCCGTGCAAGTGCATCGGGTGGGCTGCAAAAAATTGGTTTTGGATGACAAAGTAAACCCATTGGTTTTGGGCCGTCAGAGTGATGGAATTGGAGATCAACTGGGATGGGTCGACCGCTGTTGAGGTCCCATTCGTCGTCGTCGTGCCGTTGGTGGTGTCGGTGCCATTGGCGATGGGGGCACTACCGTTGTTGCCGCTGCCAATACCATACTCATATAGCGTCTCGAGCGTGGGTTGTGTGTAATTCACGTTGATGGCGTTGCTGTTAATGTACCATCTGAAAACGTTGCCTCCTTGACTCGAAGCGATCCGTGCTACGTTACCGGCCGGCAAGGTCGACACGGTGGCCGCAAAGGCGCTGGAGGACCCCGCCGATTTCTTGACAAATGGAACCAAAGACGCAATGGGCTCGTCGAGACAGGTGGCAAAGTCTGCGCCCGTCTTGTCGCCGTACGTGGACGTGGGTAAGATAGGGTCGACGTCGTCGTACAAGATGATACCATTGGCGGCTCCGAGCCCGGTATTGACGGAACTACTGGGGCATCCTGTCTGAGTGACGGCGCGGAAAAAGTAGCCCGCCGCGGGTTGATTCATTTCCACCACGACATCATACCGTTGGCCGATACCGATGTTGAGCCACTCGGTCTCGTAGGGGACGATGGGGACGTAGTCGATGGCCATGACGGTCATTTTGTGATCGTCCAAGTGTACCGACCACATGTTTTGCGCGGCCGAGTTGATGAGTCGGAAGAGATGCTTCTTGCCGGATTGGACTTTCCAGAGCGCGTGTTGGCCGGCAGATAGGTCAGGCATGGTGTTTTTACCGTTGAGGAGGTAATTTTGCGTTCTAAGAAACTATTAGACACGGTACAACAAAACATGACTATTGGAAAACGAAACATACCCGGACGGTCCGACGTGACTGATCAGTTCGTTTTGTTGAGCTGCGGTGTCCAGGAACGTATCGTCAATCATGACGGTACCCATGTCAATGTCATAGTTGGACGTTGCAGGGCCGTGGATGACCATGGGACCTCGAACACCGTCAGCGTATTGAGTCATTGTGTGAGCGTGGTACCAGCTGCAAAAGTATAAGTTAGTAAGGTCTGAGAAGCCCGAAATTACACATAGAAGACTGGCTGATTCAACTTACCCGGTGCCATATTGCCTGAGTTGCATGGTGTACGTTCGCGAAGTGCCAGGAGCCATGCCACACTCGGTGATGCCCGGAACACCATCTTGGTCATTGGTGCCGCGTTGCCAGAGACCGTGCCAGTGTATAGACGTCGAGTTGGCGGTGAGTTGATTGTGAACTGTCACCACGAGGAGGTCGCCCCAGTTACATTCGATCAGAGGACCGGGAACTTGACCGTTGATCGCGAATGCCATTTTTGGTCCACTGCCGTCAAAGTCCATGGTGGTATTTGTGATGGTGAATTCATAAGAGCACGTATTGCCGGTTGAAACGTCCTTGGTTGAGGTGTCGTCGTTGATGCTCAAACCGTTGCACCATATGCTTCGGTCGGCCGCGGAGTTGCACTGAGAACCCCCCGTTATGGGACCGTTGGGCGCGGAAACATTGGAAGCTGGCGAGCCAGGTTCTGGGAAGGAGCCGTTGGGAAAGTTTGTATAGGTCGGTGCTGGCTTCGTAGCGGTAGATGACGGCGCTTCTCCCGTCCAGGTGAAGACATCGCCATCAGTTCCAATAGTGCTCTCGACGATGCTTGTGTGTGTACGCGTAATTGGGCCCAGAGAATCCCCATTGGTGTTCGCAGGATCGACAACGATAGAGGACGCTTGAGGCGCATCCGTCACCGTGCCTATAGGGTCAACGGCATATGATCCTGTCGGCGAAGCTGCCGTCTGTGTCGGAGCAAAAACAATAGGAGGGAATGGTCGGCCGGAGCCATCGACCGTTACTGTGGTTGTGGCGCAGAAGCCAGGGCCAACGAAGACGGTCGAATGGTATACGGTCTTGGTCGTCTCCTTCCACACAGTTGTGGTTTCTGTTTGTGTGACTGTAGCCGTCGCAGGAGAGATCCTTTCGACGTGAAAAGTCTCAGTGGCTCGTCGATTGATAGGATTAACGGCGGCGGGTTCGTTCCAGTTCTCTGCGGAAACATTTGCGCTCAATCCCAGAGCCAGTATTAGGCCCGACACCCTCGAGATCCGCATCTTGGACTGACTCTCACTTGACTCGAAAAGTACTAAAAATGTAAGAATGCTTTGAAAGAGAAAGGAATGGTCAGGTTGCTTTTTTAAGAGATGTCTGCCCAAGACACCGTAAATGAGAGACGAGGAATTTTTGTAAAAGAGTGGCAGAGGAAAAGATTTTCCTCAAGGGCCGTACTACTACTGTACCTGCGTAGACTTGGAGGAGGTTGGTGGTCGCGACGACGCGGGCAGTTTTGAATGTCTTTGACCATCGCATGACTTGGTCTACAAATCCCCAGACTGACCGTCACAGACAGGCCCCTTTGACCAAACGAGAAAAGCGTCATCCCCAACAGCGCGTTCGCGTGGTGGGTGAACGCCAGTATGACAGCTCGGCACCCATGTCAATGCTGGTGTCGACACAAAGGTGAGACTGGACTATTAGCAACGATGGGATGCATTCCCGCCCTCAGCGCGACAAATCATCGTGTCTCGTGAGCGCATCCGAACTGGAAACTGCGATATCTGCGTCAAATCATCATCTCTTTACGTTGCTGGGTAGCAGCATTATCGATAACAATTTCTCTCATGGAGAGGTGGCGCAAAGACCGAGGAGAATCAGTGACGGCCAGTCAGGATAACCCTATTCCTTCGGAAGTGGTCTGAGCAGCGTGCAACGGGTGGTTTTTTCTTGCAGTCAGTGAAATTGGGCTGGTCGGTGCTGTGCCGTCATAGCTCTGGAACTTCTGGGTTTTCGGCCTCACCAGCCTTTGCAGTATCCATGCAGGATTCACCGTGGAACGGATAGCAAGGTTGTTTTTCTGCTCCTATAACAGGTCAAGAAGATGACTGAACCCACCACTGCTGTTTTGGGACCCCTAGCAAACCCCAAGATCAGCTGCGAGGTGCCAGAAATCCAGGTCTTCTCGTAGGCACTGATGGGTTGTGTAGAGAATCGGTGGATTTTCAGGGGTTCGGCCCGCTTTCTAAACCGCTTTGGGCCTCTGACATCGACGGGCCAGAACGCGCGTTATACACTACGGTCGGTGTTGACAAAAATAACAATAGTGCTGGACTTGAGACTTGACTGAGGTGAACTAATCAGGCGTTATCGATTACGAGAAGGACATATGCAAGATATCTACGTGAATCTGATCCTCATTGCTCGGCCTTGACAATAATGATCTACAAACCCCGGTCGACTGCCATACTGTTTCCAATGCTGATAGTGTGCTGCTTTGACGGATTCTACACGCTCTCACGCTCGTTAGACGCGTATAGTGCCCTCAGTCCACCTTGCCTTTACAATTGAAAAGCAACCCGGGTACGAAGAGGGTCGCGAACCGTATTGGAAACGATAGGGACCAGCCGAAGTAAGAGAGCTGAGAGCTCGATGTAAGTCTGATGTGCAACACAGGGGCATTGCGCTCATAGTCGTGATGATCATTGCGTCCCCTGAAGCCGAGAGTTCTTACAAAAAAGCAAATGCGGGTGCTGAGCGCGCGTTATCGTCCAGGAGCACCAGAGTTCTTTACCAAGGGTGTCTGTCATTATTCGCAATGTATGTAGCTATCTCGTTGGCACTTGCAGCCACGTTATGCATAATGCTCTGCCCTGCAGACTTTTTTCAAGGCATCTCGCCGTCCGCTGACCCTGAGGAGCCACCAGCTACATACAACATCACACCCTCGAAGGATATTACTTCATAGCAAAGTCGAATTCCTCAAAGTCTTCTCGCAAACCTTGCGCATCATCCTCTTCTGCTGCTTGCTCACTGCCATCCTTCCGTAGCAGGGCATCCATCCAGTTCACCCTATTCTCGAGTTTCAAGAGTCCAGCCATCACCTCCCTGCCAAACCAGATGTTAAACTTCTGGTCGGATGGTAGAGAGAAATACATCGACTTGGAGACACCGACCACTTTGTCGCTGTTGCCATTGGTGTGATCAGCCATCTCTACTGGGTCAGTCACCCAAGTCCAGACCCGGAAATAATCAGCTCGAACCGGAAGCTGACTGTCGGGCTCACACGTTTGGAATGTAGGATATTCGTGCTTTTCAGCCGAGACTTTGAACGCCGCGTCCACCAAGCCTTTCTTGATCGGCTCGGCCTGGCAAGCCAGGAGTTGCCAGTGGTGGTGACGGATTCCGGTACGGTTGACTTCCCAACAGACGGCACCAAGTTGTCCCTGACTCTTCGATCCAATCATCTCCGACAGAGCTTTCCGGAATTTGTTCATCTCGGCAAACTCGCCTGACAACTCTTCTGGTGCCCTTTTGCCCTGTGCCATTTCATCGGCGGCGTGGTAATACGGAACGATCATGACATGGCCAGAGAATGAGAGTTGTGGGAATGTCGATGGCAAAGGAAGAGGTCCCCGTGAGGCCGTTACCATGCTCTCATCAGCCAAGGAGACTACCAGATGAGTCTTTGCGCCGGTCTTGTTGAGACACATGAAACAATCGTTTGGGTCCTTTGCTCGATCTCGGCGAGAACGTTTCGATCGTCGACCGTCGTATCCGTCTGCAGAGTATCGATTGTATGACTCGGAGTCGTCCATATTCTGGCGTTTTCTTGGGGGTGATGCCCGCATGAAGGGCGACTCGAGGGGAGGTTCCACTGTTGGTGGTGGGCGCGAAGTGTCTAGCGAGAACGCCGTCATCCATTCTTTGGTTGGCGCAGACACGCTGGGAAGGCTCTTGAATCTCGTGACTGGTGCATCCTCGAAAGAGCTGTAGTCTATTATGTGTTTGAAGGGTTCTCGCTCGTAGACGGCCTCTGGACTGCTCGAGAAGTGATACCATGGCTTCAGGGATTGACAGAGATTTGAGATCGATCTTGAGCCTGACTCTCTGTCAAGCATTGCAGGGCATTCAATTCTCGAACCGTTCGTAATGGTGGCCGGCCATTGATTCGTGACCAGAATGTGAGCTGAATGCGCACCATGAAGGCCTCGTGCATCGGTATCGAGATACAGTGCATCACACTTTCCGAGCTTCTGGTTAGCTGCTGAATCATTGTGCACGAGTCGGCCTCCTAAGGCGACAATCTTGATTCCTTCAGCCGTCGTCATGGTGCCTTTGCGCCCAAGGTAAAACAGATTTGAGCACAGATCCTCGTCGGCTTCTAGCTTTTCTTTGACTGCCTCTGGAAAAGCCGAATCGCCCACGGTGAAATATGTTGGTAAAGGCACATTGATTTGACCAGAGAATAATGCTTGCAAATCGTCGACAACAGCTTCGCCATCGCTGCCCGAAAACACATCACCGACGATTATTGCGAGATTGAAATTCTGCTTGGTTTGCAGCTTCGAGATCTTTTCGAACGCCTTTTTCAGCTGTCCACCGACGCTGCCGACCACGAGACTAGTAGATCTGGTTAGAAGATTGAATACCAGGAAAGAGGCTTAGAACTTACATCTTTGCTGAACCCATGGTGAGAGACTTTTCTGACTTTTTTTTCAAATTGAGGGAGACATGAGGCTCGGTAACTGAATATTAAATATTGAAGGGAGATCAGTTTGATATCAAAAATATTCACATTGACTTTAGCGTAGGCGAGCCGAGTCTAAGTGTGGCCGAAAGATCCGTTATGTCCAGGTGAGGCGGCAAAACATGTAGGCCCCTACTAATGTTGATCCTGTCTAAGGAAGATACTCTTGAATATATTTCGTGAAATGAATGTACCGTATGATGAGGTATTTCTGGCTTTGCGATCGAGTCTGCAAATTTCATTTCTACGAAAATGCTCCGCAGTAATACAAGTACGGCACACCATTTGAATACCTTCGTGCAAAAGTCATGTGCGGGGAAATTTCCATCTCGAAGTTGCCTCCAACATAATTTTCTCGACATTGAATCTGCGGACGTTTTCATATGCATTCCGCATAGACGGCCTGATACACACTGGCTGTGCGAATACATGATGACAAAGTTATGTTGTCGGTGACACATACTAATATGGCGCCCATATCACCTGGGCAGGGTGCCCGTCAGTCTCGAAAACCGAAGAAAACTACCGACTTGACAAACCTACACCGATACGAACCTTTCACGAGGCGCATCTCGAGACTGAAGATTGATCCGGTTCATAAGGTGGAAAGAAGAAAGCCTACAAATGATGAGACGGACTTGACCCAGAGTTACTTCCGATCTGCGCTGGAAGAATGGGCTGAATTGAATCTGTCGCAAACGTTCACGGGTTTCCTCAATAAAACGAGCCCTCTTTGCGAAAATCTCCCTCAGTTGTTACACCATGCAGATGCCGTCTTCGAGTTGCTCCTCCAACATGTTGAGAAGAAGGATGCCTTGGCGCTGGAGCCCCTTCTGAGTCTCGCTGCACATCTTGCACATGATCTCGGGCAGAGATTTGAACATTATTTCTCAAGAATGGTCACATTGGTCGCCCAGGTCGCTGCTTCTCACGACAGTGCTGATGTGATCGAGTGGTGCTTTACTTGCTTGGCCTGGATGTTCAAGTATCTTTCGAGGTTACTGGTCCAGGACCTTCGGCCTCTGCTCGACATCATGATCCCATATCTGTCATCCAAGAAAGAATATATTGTCCGCTTCAGCGCCGAATCTCTCGCGTTCCTCCTGAGGAAGGCAGCTGTCATGTACCCAAAGAAGAAATCACCCCTGACCTTGGCTCTACAGCATCTATTCGCAAGAAGCAACGTTGGACCTGTGGCTTCCGTATCTTATCAAGTTGGTGTCATGAGCCTTTGTGCTGAAAGCGCGAAAGGAATCGATGGGGCTTTACACTCTAGCGCCGACTCGCTTCTGCAATGCTTGTTGGCAGTGTCCAGGCCTATGTGTGAGCAGCAAGAAACCCGCTCGATCGTTGAAGGCGTCCTTGTTGCTCTTATCCACGATACCGACAGCGCTGGCTTTTATCCGGTCGTTGGTGTCACCCTTGACATGGTTCGACAATGCACAATCTCCTCAGAGTCGGCACAAATACTGTTTGGATTGAGGCTGCTCACAGTTATCTTGGGCACCCGGAAAGGCTCTAGGATCTCTTCTTCCTGGAAGGACGCAATACAAGCATACTCTGGCATCGCTCAGGCGGCAATGAAGTTCCTTGACGAATCCAATATTTCTGAAGAAGAACCTGATCTTCGACTTCAGGTGGCTCAGACAATACTTGCGGTTTCCGCTGAAATTCTCACGTTCGCACCCATGGATCAATTACTCCCTCAGTCTCAGAAGATTTTGGCGCTTCTAGAACATCGTCTAGTACCTGCGCAATTCTTTACGTTTTGTACAGTTTGCGCAGAACTAGGGACTGACAGATTCCCAGATCTGGTACTCCCACGACTTCAGCAGTACCTTATCGATCATTGGTCTGCCGATCAGATGAGTACACACTATCTATTGCAGCACCTAAATCATGGTGGAATGACTCTCAATCGCAAACCAGGCTCGCTAGCTATCGACTGTCCTCGTGGACTGGTTGATGCGCTCATCGGGTCACTCAGCGCCGACAAGACTGAAGGAAGCGATACGGGTGCGCAGCAATTGGTGGGACAGATCTACTCCTTAAGCAACACCCGACCTCCTCGAGAGCCACGACAAGTTGAAGCGTTAGTTGATGGTTTTGAGAAAGCTGTTGTCCATGCGTTGCAGGAGCACAGTGGTCTACTTGACCTTCGCCGCCGTGTTGTTCTTGGTTCTGGCCTGAATAGTTATCTCGACCTCGTACCGAACGATAATATACGGAGAACCGACCTTCTCTCACTCGTTCAGACGACATCTCCGGAACTTTTTCGCCTTTCTGCGTTTGTGGCTGCCACACGCCGACTTTTCGAAAGCGTCCATATGGGAAATAATCTTCCAGAGACACATTTCGACAGCATCCGTTATGTGCTACTTGAGAACCTGTTAAGCCCTTCTAAAAAGCTCAAGGTTGGAAGTCTGTCTTTACTCTCGCACATGAAGACTTCAGGAAGCGATGAATGGCTCTCAGAAACGGTGGACTTGATGCAAGACATACTTCGAACTCCCTATTTGCCCTCCGAAGCGCGCAAGATAGCAATGTTCCTCCGACGACTTCCTCAACGTCAAAAGAAGATTGCATCAAATTCGTCATTGGAAAACCTGATACCGTACTTCTGCCTTGGTCTCGTAGCAAGTTATCACGACCAGACCAGGCAGGAAGTCTGCAATGTGCTGGCACAAATTGTCGAGGTCAGTCCAGTCGAAGAAGCCGTGGTCAACATCACCATCCAGTGGCTACAGGCACCGACGCATCTATCACTTGTCCAGCGCCATGTTCAGCCACAGCCAAAAACAACATATTCTGCTTTTGAGTCTGCAGACCTCTCGACCTTGGAGGGACTATGTCAGAAAACACTTCAAGATTTCTCCTCTTCAAAAGACCGATTTTTCGAGCTGGTTGAAGCAGAGCACAGCATCGGCCATACGAGTAGTCCGGAAAATGGACGAACTTTGGCGCTCCAGATCCTGTCATCAATTCCTGCGTCGGCGGAACGCCGATCGCGTTTACTTGTCCCGGTGTTCCTCTCTGCTCCAATGACCCGTGAGCAAGCTCAACAAAAGTCGGGCTCCGATACGTCGACCTCATCAAACACACTTGGTCCAGAGGTGGACGATAACGAATGGTCTTTGTCTGATCGTAAAGCTCTGTTGACGCTTTTCAGCAAGTTCATGAACCCCAAAGTATTATTCAGATCATCGGAAGTCTACGAAAAGTTGCTCGAACTCCTCGGCAATGGCAATCTCGACGTAAGGAAGCTGGCTCTTCAAGCGGTTTTAACGTGGAAACAGCCTTCCTTGACCCGGTATGAGACCTTGTTATATCAAATCGCCGAAGATAAGTCAACTACCACCGAGTTGGGCACCATGTTAGATGCCTCCGAAGGCGAAGGTGCTATCAGGTCTGAGGATCGTGCTGTGGTTCTTCCAGTCTTTCTGCGGCTGATTTTCGGCATCATTGTTGGGAGGGCTGGCACTGTGGGCTCACAAGAAGCGAGAAGGAAAGCTATCATCCGCGTACTATTTCGTATGCAAGAGTCTGAAGTCACGAGGTTTCTGGACGTCGCCCTGGGCAAGTTAAGGGATGTGAAGATACTGCCCGACCGACCCGATAGTCTCTACGAAGACATCCTGCTTCCGGAAGACCAACAATACGGTTTTCTTCGCCTACTACTGTCAATGTTGGAAACTTTGCAAACCAGATTTGCTCCTTACGGCCGACAGGTAGTGGACGCAGTTGTGTTCTGCGTTATTAGGGCCTCGACTCTGGCCAAAGCTACGACTTCATCTTCCGCTCTGTCGAGAAATATAAGGCGGGTAGGGTTTCAATCTCTGGTATTGCTTTCTCGCGACTGTTCCGACATTCCTTGGTCTCAATATCTACCAACCCTGTTCGCACATGCAATCACCCCTCGTCTCGAAGTTTTTGCCTCAGAGACAAGTCAGGGAATTTCTGGTTTATTACGATTGTTTGCTGTATGGTCCCAGGTTCCGAACATGATTAGCTTCCTCCGACAATACGATAACACTGTTCCAAGCGTTCTGTGGAAGGCTCTCTCTTCTTCTGCCACACAAAATGAGGTGAAAGTTTTCATCCTCGAAAATATCGTTCTACCATGGGCAAACATCCTTGAGGATAAATCTACATTGTCGGATCAAGCTTCTGAAATCCTCGAAGTGGAAGCGGACGGACTTTTGACTGCGCTGGTGTCTCTCTTGGAGAACACGCCGCCCAAGGAGATCCTTGTCGCCATAACTTCGGTCCTTCCTAAAATCGCCCGGTTTGCTAGATCCCCAGAGTCGAAGCAAGCCACGCTTAGCCTGCTGGCAGCTTTATTGAGAGATTCTGCACGTCGACTACCACCGAACGTCAAAAGCCAACTTCTGAAGTCAATTCAATCTTTCCTTGAGACAGTAGATGCCTTCCAAGACGAACAATTCGGTTCGAGTGTCCTTGACCTGGTGTCTTCCCTTTTCAATTATTTCAAGGACGAAGCAAACCGCCAAATTCTATGTCAAGTCATGGACAGGCTATCCACACTTGATTCAGACCTCGTGCTTTCAGCACAGCTATGCCGGGACATGAATGCGGTGGCAACTGACCGTCTCGAAGATATTGATTTCGATAAGCGACTCGAGGCTTTCCAAGCAGTTAATCAACTCGAGCCCGAGAAGAATAGCGCAAAGTGCTGGCTTCCGATCATACACAACCTCCTATTCTTTGTCAGAACAGTCGACGAGTTTTCAATTCGGTCTAATGCTTTGAGTTGTCTAAAGCAGCTGATAATCAAAGCTTGCGGAAGCCAAAGAACAGAAATGACAAAGCTGGCCACACATGTTGTCCTTCCATCAGTCAAAAAGGGAGTCAGATCTGAATCCGAGCTCGTTAGAGCCGACTGCGTTTCGCTGTATGGGTTGATGGTTCAATACGCACAAGGAGATCCAGATCTGGAGAATTTGAGGCCTCTTCTCGTTGGGAATGATGAAGAAGCGTCATTTTTCTCCAATATTCTTCACATTCAACAGCATCGCCGATTACGAGCTATTCGACGTCTTCTTTCTGAGGTGGAGAAAGGAGCTATAAGTCCGCGCAATGTCGCTGAAGTTTTCATTCCATTATTAGAGATGTTTGTATATGACTCTGGAAGCGACGAATCGGCTCAAAGCACTAAAGGTCAGAGTATAGCTGCAATGGGTACACTACTCCAGTGGATTGATTGGAAGCACTTCAAGGTCTTATTGCACAAATACAAAAACGACATCACTGCAGGTGAGAGCAACGAAAAAGTTGCCAGCCGACTTCTCAGTCATGCGGCAGAGGCGCTATCAGCAGCAAGAAGTCACCAATCGGACGATCAGACGGATCCTACTCCGTACCTCTCCACATCACTCCCTTCAAGCCAGACAATCGAGAACGAACTACGAAAACATTTCATTCCTAAATTTGCAGAACTGGTGCATTACAAAGATGAGGCCGAAATCAGTTTCCGTATTCCAGTCGCAGTCACTACCATTAAGTTGATTATGATGCTGCCAGAAGAAGAAATCCAACTCCTGGCTGCACCCATCATTCTGGATATCGCACATATTTTGAGAAGTCGTACACAAGAATCACGAGACACTGCACGAAATACTTTGTGCCAGACTGTCATGCTCCTGGGCCCGTCAAGTTTACAATTTGTCTTGAAGGAGCTTCGCAACGCGCTGACTCGAGGATACCAGCTTCATGTTTTGTCGTTTACTCTCCATGCTATTCTCGTGACACTTACGCCAAACATTCAGCTCGGAGATCTCGACTATTGTGTCCAGGATCTGGTGGCGGTGATAATGGACGACACATTTGGTACAGTCGGACAGGAGAAGGACAATCAAGACTATGTGAGCAGTATGAAGGAGGTCAAAAGCAACAAAAGCTATGATTCTATGGAATTATTGTCCAAATCCATCAGTGTTCAATCGTTGTCAAATTTGGTATCACCAATTCAGACCCTTCTACTAGGATCTCTAACAACGAAGCAAGTGAGGCAAGTCGACGAACTTTTGCGAAGGGTTGGAGCGGGCGTCTCACAAAACCCCGGGGCCAGCAAGCGGGATTTGTTGGTATTCGCATATCAGCTGATTCAAGCCATATACAAAGAGAAGGAGACCGTTAAGGTTCGACAACCAACTGTGGAAGAGCAGAGTCGACAGAGATATCTCATTAAGATGACTTCGGCGCACAAAACGGTCAACAGCCAAACTTCCCCGTTATTGTACAAGATGGCCCGCTTTGCTCTAGACCTCGTTCGGTCCGTTCTCCAGAAGCATGACGAAGTGCTTACTGTCGAAAACGTCCACGGGTTCCTTCCTGTGATTGGTGATGCTCTGATCGAAGCCCAGGAAGATGTCAAGATCTCTGCCATGCGGCTGCTGTCCGCTATCATCAAATTACCGATGCCGGAACTTGATCAGAATGGCCCGTTGTACGTGATGGAGGCCGTCAAAGTCGTCAAGAACTCCACGGACACTAACGAAGAGGCCGCTCAAGCTGCCCTAAAGCTTGTAGCTACGGTGCTTCGCGAACGAAAGCAGGTCAAAGTCCGAGATATTGACATTGCCGAGCTCCTTCATCGAATCACTCCCGATATCGAAGAGCCAGACCGACAAGGTGTAACATTCAACTTTATAAGAGCGGTAATGGCCCGGAAAGTTCAAATCCCCGAGATATATGAGGTGGTCGATAAGATTGGTATCATGATGGTCACCAATCAAGGCAAAGGGGCACGAGATACAGCAAGGGGTGTCTACGTCCACTTTTTGATTGAGTACCCACAGAGCTCCTCACGATGGTCGAAGCAGCAGAAGTTTATGATGAAGAACTTGGAATATGAATATCCTGAGGGTAGGCAATCTGTTCTGGAAGCCATCAACACTCTCATCGCAAAGACAAAGGGAGAAGCTGCGCAAGACCTGAATTCCACATTCTTCGTCCCCGTACTCCTTCGAATGGCCAATGATGAGAATAAAGGTTGTCGGGATCTGGCAGGGGCTTTGCTTGGACAAATGTTTCGTTCAGCTGATAATGCTCATCTGCGGGAATTTCTCGGACCTCTACGGGCGTGGATCGAACAAAATGAGAATATGGCCTTGCAAAAGGTCAGTATGCAGGCCTATAACATTCTTTTAGGCTCGGGAGTTGGGCTCGATGATGGGGAGATTACTGGTCTACGTGATAATCTTGCTGGACTGCTGCAGCAGTCTGCAACGGATAACGACGGTGATGAATGGGAGTCATTGTTCCAGGCTCTACTCTTGTGGTCGAAGCTTGTCGAATCACGTCCAGACGTGGTACTCAACCAAAAACAGACAAAACTGTGGGTGCCTGTATGGAAGTCGCTAAGTCATCCACATGCCTGGGTTCAAAGCACTTCTGCTGGGTTGGTCTGTGATTTCTTCCGACATTGTCTTGAAGCAGACCATTCAAAGCTACCACTGACCTGTGATCACGGTCTACGCCTTGACCGCGAAACCTTCCTCGAGGTTCTAAAGGCCAGTGTCAGAATCCTCCGACGTTCTGAGGGGAACGAAGACCTCAGTTCTCAAGCAGTGCAGATACTCTTGTTTCTCGGGCAATGCATGAATGTCAATGGTTTGACCATGGAGGTTGCCGACAAATCTGTCGATGATGAAGATGAAGCAATGCAGGACGGTGTCGAATCCGAGGATGAACGACCGACTCGGACGAAGAAGATTCCGGGGTTTCAATACCTTTTGGATCAAGTGACACGTATCTTGAGGATCGAGGCGACTTCTCTGACTTCGGCGGCGTTCCTACCAAAGAAATTGTCTTTGGTTCTTCTCTCCACTCTGATCCCGGCCTTGTCGAGCGCCAATCTGAGTTCACAAGCACACAATATTCTGGTGCCTCTTCAGCACTTGACCGATCCCAACACGATTCAACCACGGTCCGCCGACCCGTCATTTTCGTCCACCTATCAACAACTAATTGAGCTATCTCACGAGGTGATGGACAAAGTACAGAATAAACTTGGAGATGGTGAATATGTCAAGACATTGACCGAGGTCAGTCGAACGATGCGCAAGAGAAGAGAAGAACGAAGGACAAAGAGAAGGATCGAGCGGGTAGCTGAGCCCGAGAGGGCTGCGCAGTATAAGAAGCGAAAGAGTGATAGGAAGAAGGAACGTAAGAAGGAAATCGGTAGGGCTCATCAATCTAGACGACGAGAGACTGGAACGTGATGTGATGATGTCTTGTCGGTTGTGTAATGAGATATTGTTGCAAATAAGATTGGCAAAAGCTTTTTTGTTTGTTTTCTTGAAAAGAAGATTGTATAGCGTCGGCGCAAGTTTCGATTTCATTATCCTGACCTAATGCTCGTGAACGAATATGCCTTCCTGTCCCTATTCCTGCTCATGCTCATGCCCGGACTCAAATGGATTCTTCCGAGATATCTCCTTTTCCGCCATTGACTTTGGGTCTGCTGATCAGTTCATTTCCCGCAAAGACTCCCGGAGTACTCGTGTAGGAGATGCTCGTGGTGAACTGTGATTCAGAATCACCCATTGACACTGGCCGTCGCCGGGAGGTCCGTCCCCACGGCACAAGTGGCACCGGCGTCGACGGGTAGGATGACGCCCGTCATCCATCTTGATTCGGGACTGGCGAGGAACCTGACAGCCATGCCGACGTCCCAGCCGTTCCCTTCTGTCTTCAAGAGGCTTCTGTTTTTCCTCGCCGCCCGGGCCTCTTCCGTCATTCCTCCGGCGTACATCATCGGAGTGTAGACCATTCCCGGACAGACGCAGTTGACCCGGATGCCTTGGGGGGCGTGGTGTACCGCCATCGCTCTGGTCATGTTGACCACGGCACCTTTGCTCGTCGGGTAGAGCAAGTGGGGGGTACCACCCTTGATACCCGCCACGCTCGCCATGTTGACGATGCTGCCCCGGTAGCCCTGCCGACCGGGGTCGTTCTTCGCCATGGCGGGAACCGAATATTTCGCCATCATCACCATACTGGACACGTTGACCTCCATGGATTTCGTCCAAGACGTCATGTCCGCGGTCTCTGCGGTCCCCGGTGTGCCGCCGATCCCCACACCGTTGAGTAAAATGTCGAGCCTACCGTATGCCTTGACGGTCTCATCGACTATACGTTTACAGTCGGACTCGACGGAAACGTCGGCGCTCAAGGCCATGGCTCTCCCGGCCCCTTCAGCTTCAATCATCTCAACCGTGCGTCGGGCCAAACCCAAATCGCGGTCGACACAGACCACGGCACAACCGTCGTCGGCCATCAAGATCGCGGCGGCTCGACCGTTGCCGACCCCGTCGTCACCTGCGGCCCCCGCGCCGGTGACGATCGCAACTTTGTCCTTGAGCCCTCGCGGGGGTTTGGGGAAATAATATTCCATGGTGGTCGATCAAGGCAGCGAAAGCGCGACGTTCTCACTTCTCAAGAAAATACCGGATTCCCTTTGGAGAGTGTGATGTGCGTTTGTTGGGGTGTATCGGTGGGAGTCGGTAGGTACAAGTACGTGGGTAGATTCAGGTACCAGGGGAACGTGAGGTTGATCTTGCTCGTGAGGATGAAATTGTACTTGCAGCCTGGACCGCGGAGTAAACTTTCTTCAGTAGGGAGTAACCACCTATATATATATATATATATGGTAAAACTCTTACGGAGTAGTAGGATTGTCATTGTTTCTCCTCACCGCGGATCATGTCCAACGATGTTTCGGATAGGGGACTACGGAGTAACGTCCGTATAAGGTATTTCGTGAGTAGTTTTTAAACCTCGGCTATTGCGATCATCCAATATAGGAAGTAAGTAATGATTGATGGATAGCCTCGTCCCCTCCAACATCAGGACTGTTGGAGGAAGATTTGTTCCAGTTTGGTCTCGCGTCTCGCTTGGAGTCAAAATGATCATCTTTCACACTGGTCACACTTGATGACCACGGACGGAAACACTTACTCTTTACTATCAACATGAACATGAACATCAATATCAATATCAATATCAATATCAATATCAATATATAGTACAAAACAAAATGTGAGCTAAAAGTAGCCTCACTCCCAAGTATTCCTGACCCTGGAATACAATAGACACTATCGCCCTTGATTGAATCGTGCCATACTTCTCATCTCCTTTCCCCCTTCCTTTCCTTCTTCATACTCAAAGATCCGTCATACTCTGTACTCGTACCCGATATACCAAAACATGATATACATATATATATTCCGTACACTTACGCATCCCAGTTTTCGTCCTCGTTCATATTCTTTCATCCTTATCATCATCGTCGTCGTCGTCATCACTTTCACCTTCTCATCCTCGTTCGTTTCATTTCGTACCGGCGGCCTAGGCCTCTTTTTACAACCCCAAAGGGTTCTCCGCGTTTTGTTCATTCCCACCCAGGCCCTTTTTGAGGTTTTCCTGTTCCGCCTCTTGCTGTTTCGCCGGGCCACCACCTTCGTTCCCGAACCCGACGCCCATCTGGTCCCCCCAACCTTTGCCGGACCGCATGACGCCGCCGACGATGGGGTCGACGATGCCACCGACAGGACCGCCGGCCTTTTCCAACACGGGACCGGCGTGTTTGCCGACGGGTGACAAGGCACTTTCAATCTTGTCGCCCGCGGAATTACCTAGGGATTCCGGCTTCGAGTACCATGCTTCTAAGACGACAAGATCTCAGTGAGAGTTTTGTATTTACTTGAACTCAACAGCCAAAAAGGAAAAAGGAAAATAAGGGGAAATGAAACATCGTGCGCAGGAGTGAGGAATACACAAAAAACACAAACCTTTTTCTTGTTGTTGACCTTCGTTTTGTTCTTGTTCTTGTCGTTGTTCTTGTTGAGGAGGAGAAGTGTTTTCAGAATTATCAGTCATTTTGATCTTGTTTTCTGAATTATCAGTCATCTGCTTGAAACAATTCCACAAAAAAAAGTTCAGGTATGAACCAGAACAGTCATTCAGTGAAGCCCGGGGTTGTGTGTGCGTGTGTCACTTGTACTTGTTATGGTCAACTGATGTCGGTCAATCTTTTTCAAGTATTAATAACCTAGGTAGTGAAACATCAAGGACCAAAAAAAAAGACATCATCTTTTCGCCATGCCGTCACAGCTTACAGGGATGAGTTCGAGTAATGAAAACCTGGCAAGACCAAGAAACAAGAAACAATGAGATAATTGGGTGTGGACGGAGCGAGATGTCCTCGTACTCGTATCCTTGCCAGGGTTTTTGTTGGAGAATGACGTCGTTTGTGTTACTTCAAAGTGTGGCGCTGGCTTGAGGGACGATTCATCAAGGGTCCAAAGTCCCCAACATGAACCATCAAAGACCACCACATAATCCATCAGACAACTACATGATAGGTGCTCCATAAGATACTCTGAAAGACGGGAATCAGGTATACTCGAATCAATGCTTCTTATGTTTTTCATGTTTTCATGTTTTCATGTTTCAATTGCTTCATTCAATGCTTGGTTTTCTGTACATGTGTCGAGTATGAGCATCTTCTACTCATCCTCTATTCGTACAAAATAAATCTCTACTCGCTCCGTCTCTCAAAGCACATCCATTATGTTCAAGTATCGACTGAAAGAGGATTCTCCTTGACGATGACGGCCTACGCCGCTGATTTACCTCGAGCCAAACACACAACCACTGGATTCAGATGGCTCAACGTGCATACCTATCAGTATACACCCCAACTGGTCTCGTGACAAACCGATTACTTCTTCGTCTGTTTTCATCGGGTGTCGCGGAACCATTGTCACTTTCACTCCCTCGTGCAGCACTTTCAGTGCCCATACCTCTCGAAGCAGCTCGCATCTTGGCCTCTAGAAGTGCAACCACATGATCTCCCGCAGCCCTGGCATCTTCAGCCTCTTTAAGGAGTCCTCTCCTGGTAATCTCCCTTTCCTCATCCGGCAGGACGAAACGGTGAATGGTTCGATGATCCATCACTCTTTCTTCTTCATCTCCACCGCCTTCGACCCAAGTCCCTTTGCCGCAACGTCCTTTACGTCTGTATGCACTATATTCGACCGCATCTTTCTTGCTGCGTCCGGTTCTTTCTAGGAGTTTGCGAGGATCGGGATCGGTCTTGGGCCATGGAAAGCCATACAACATGCTGTGTCTTTCACACCGAGGACACTCGCGTCGGGTTTGATACCCATTCGGCTGGATGAAGAAACCAAAACACAAGTTATTGTGGCATTGCACCCACCGATCATGTGGCTGTGCGAGTAATTTTCGCGTCAAAATATAATCACCGGCGATACGGATGGTGCCGGTGACAGGATGGACGGTCAATGTGGCCACAGTGTTGGAATTGCTCACTGGCTCTATCGAAGGCAACACACTGGCTTCTGGATTCCTATTGCTGACCTCGTCTAGTACGTGTACATCTTTGGTAACGGTCGTGGTAGTGAGGGTCGAAACGACATGAGGTGTCGGCTCAGGAAGTGTAGTTGCCTCATTTTGCCGAGCATCTGCATCCTTGGATTGCTCGCTTGATCCGGCCGAGGTCGGTTGGCGGTTGGTGACGATAATCGTATCTTCGTCAGCTTCAATTTTGGTGGCTTCCACACTTTCAACTTTGATTGTAACTGGAGCATCCGTGTATGACACAGCAGGGACTGCGTGGGTTGAGGCTGTGGGATCAGAAGCCGAACCATGACTTGAAGGGGATGTTGGGGCTGGTGATATCGGTGCACGAGCTGACAATTTGCCCAGGAGCCTTGCCGTCATTTTGCTTTCACGAGGTCCTTTCTTGGCCATCGACCTTGGTGACGGAAGCTGTGGCCCAGGTTTCTGTGCAAGTATTTCAGGTCCTGTCTCGTGTTCGAGCATATCGAGATCTGCTAGCTGAGATGGGCTGGGAGGCGGCGAGAGCGTCGACTGTTTTGGTGGACTTGGGCTTGCCTGCTGCCCAGCAGTATCTGCAATCTCCCTCACACCTGTCTCCAATCCTGAATCGGAAACAGCGCTCCCGGGAGGCGTCCAAGAATGTTGCAATTTGGAAGGAGATGACGTGACTTTCAGGTATTTTGATGGAGGTGGTGCCGAGGACGAATAAGAGGACAATTCCGATCCTCGCTTCCTCTTCAGAGGGTGAGGCTGAGGTTGAGGGCTTGGTTGTGAATCGGGACCAGGCGTTGAGGTTTGGCTGTCGGGGCCGAGGAAGGCTGTTTTCGAAGTCCAACCATTCCGTTCAAGCTCTTCACAGCTATGGCAAAGACAATCGATATTGCCAGGGCCAAAATAGTCATCTCCATATGACACGGTGATTTCATCTCCGACATCAATATTCTTCACGGCCACCACTTCCATCCCATCATCTCCTCTTGTAACAAGACGGCCGTTGGCATTACAATCATGGTTGGCAAATCGGGCAGGACCAAGGAAGATGGAAGAGTTCTTCTTGCGAGCCGATACCACAATACTGAAATTACGATTAGTCATGTCCAAATCAGCAGATTCTTCCGTGGTCAGAGGCACGAGTGTGCCGCTCAAATATTTGACAGTGTCACCCTGTCGAATACGTCGTCGAGCAGTCACAGCCGCCTCGTAGGTCGTGATGGTGTATCGGTTCGTGGTAGAAACTTCCCAAGGACAGTCGGTCTGGTACATGGCAATGTACTTTCGAAGATGGCTGAGGAAGTGTTCTTGTTCCGACTTTGTGCGTAAGCTTCTTTTGTACCTTTTAAGCCCAGGGAGTGCTAGCAACGCTTTTTCAGCGGCCACCATGTCTTTTTCGACGATGACTTTGTGCAGGAGAATCCTAGGGACTTCATCCTCCTTGATACCACGGATGGGAAAATGCTTGGTCCGGTTCTTCCGTATTCTTGCTTTATAGTAGGCCTGCAAGGGTGTTCAGGTCAGCTTCACACCCCCTCCTCAAGATCCGAGGAAGTCACCCACATTATCTATTAACGCGTCGGAACAAACGTCGTCATGGGCTGCCAACTCGGTCAAAGACAGCCTCTGAGTCTTTTCAGACCCGTGAGGCACACGTCGACCCATGGTCGCGTGTTTTCGAGCGCGTAGGAGGGTGGTAAAAAACAACGGTCGGTCGAGCTGGCTGAAAATCGTAGACGAGGACGCGAAGATCTGTTGAGAGGGACAGTGAGAACTGTGCAATCCTGGAGGTGGGTTAAATGCTGGGGGTGCAAGGGTAGGGCGTCAGTAATGAGCGAAGTGGCTGATCGAGGGTCGCAGATTAAACGCGGTCCGATTCAGGCCAGCCTGAGGATGGTGTGAGCAAAGGACAAGTGAATGAAATGCGACATAATGGTCGCGTAGGCCGAGTCTGCGAGATCTCAATTTGTCGGCTCGATAGGAGAAGAGAATCAGTCTTCTTCACTCATATTTTCAGAGGAAGAAAAGGGAGGACGGGGAGGGGATGGGCGAGACAACCAGCGACGGCTTGAATGGCATAAATGGCAGCGGGTTGGGGTGTTGTCGCTACTAACGAATTCAGACCAAGTGCGCATTCGAGGCTTCGGCGAATCGCGGCGCGCAAAACGTTCCACTTTCTGCATGCCATTGCAGGCATTTCTTTTCCACTGCTACCAGCGAAGTTCAAGTTGCCCATCTTCAATTAGCCTCCACGATAGCCACATTATGCTGCTACGATGATACAACTCAAGGTTTATCCTTCTTGAACTGTATGGGACTTCATTGCTGACCCTGCGCAGACGCTCCTCAATTGCATCGACAACTCCGGAGCCGCCGTCGTGGAATGTGTCCAGGTCATGAGGAAAAAGACCCAGCACGCACGGATAGGTACGCCAATACTCATTTACTGCCACGGTTTCTCAACTGATTTTGCCCTCTTCTGCAGGTGACCGAATCATCGTTGTCGTGCAAAAACAGAGATCCTTTGGCGCCGACAACCCGGGCGGATCGAGTCTGGGAATTGCGAACAAGGTCCGAAGAGGCGACATCCGGCATGCCGTCGTAGTGCGAGCAAAGAAGGAGATACAACGAAAAGATGGCAGCTTGATCAGATTTGATGACAACGCATGTGTCCTTATCAACAGAAACGGAGACCCCATCGGTACTCGCCTGTCGAGCATGGTGGGCGCTGAGCTGCGAGACAAGAAATGGTCCAAAATTCTTTCACTGGCGCCTTTGCATATCTAAGGAAACGCAGCATCGCTCGAGCGGTAGCATGTACAAAGATTGAGGAAGTTGGTGTTCAAGATACCCTTGTGTAGTCAAAAAGCAAAATGTAGGAATATGGAAGTCGTATGCGAAATAAAACAGTCAATTCTGCGACAGTACAATGCTATCCTGAACTCCCTGAACACTAGGGGTGTGCATGCTGGGTATCCCTCGTAATTTCGTTCTGATGATTTACCGCAAACCAAACGCCTTGGAAATATGCATGCCTAGGTAGGATATCATGCTTCAATGTCCTCCAACACCGTGCTCAAACGCTTGTGTAGACATGATTGCAGGCAACGCATACGTAGTAGAGTTTCTGTCCATTCCAGTCAGCTAGCTTCTATGATTTCTTGGTGTCCTTTGTATTGAACTCACCATTCCCGTTTCAGCGCCTCGTTGCTGAGATTGGAAATAGACTGCATCTGTTTCCCGACACCTTGGGCATCTGGTGTTTGCCCTAGGAAGCTATGTTCGAAGCGACCTGTCAGCCTGGGTGTCTGGAAAAACAACATAAACTCAGAGCGATGGTGGACTCGGAGAGCTTTCTAGAGATCCAGAAAGGTCCGGATCATCCATAGCTTTATCTTCGCATTTGCTGCATCTCACACGCTCTCCACAAAAGGTACAGAAACATAGAGGGATTTCGAGAGAATCAGAACCCACAGTTGGATCATTTGAAACATCTGTAGTCACTCCAGCTGTTTCCTGCACTGTGGCACCCAGTTGTTGTCGGTAGGTGCATGCCGAGTCATGTGTGGTGGTAGCATGGCAGGCTTTGCAAATGTAGAGCAGAGTCGATGTGTTTCGGTCTTCTTTTGGATAGAGGAGGTTGGAACTGATAATGAATTAGTTAGGGGCGTATCTTATACAAGTATGGGTGGTAAAGGCAGGACACACCATTCTTGACAGAATCTATAAGACACTTCCCCTCTCTTGGATTCACCTTCTGACGGTGCAGGAGACGCTGCTGCAGACATAGTCGCGAGTGTGAAAAGAAAGAGCCTGTGACGCGAGAAAGATCCGAGAGTAGTGCAGTGAGTGCGATTTTGTCAGACGTTGTTGTTGTCGCGATGTACAAGTCTATCGACGGAGAGAAGACTGGCGGCGAAATCTCAACAGATAACAAGGATCGGGGTGGAATTTCAATTGGTCATAGAAGACGCGCTGAGTGTGAGAATGAATTCTCGATTTGAACCGTTAGTTTGAATAAAGATCGAGTAATGGGTCAACAAGAGGATGATGAACGTGTAGACATTGGATTTTGGCCCTAGGAGCGGCAATCAGGACGAAAATTTGCCCCGCGTTGATCATGGGCGGGAGTCAGGCCTTGCGCAGGTCGATTGTTACCTGCAGCAAGGTACCGAGTAAAGCAAGTCCAGGTGGGCTCACTAATTCAGTAGGCGAGCCGAGTGCCTGGGCAGCAACACCGCATAGTACGTAAACACAAGCCTGGTGAATGTCTGTGCCTGGCATCCCAAGGCCTCGGACACCCAGACCACCATTAGCAAGCACCTGACTCTCCCATCATCTACTCAACCAGAGTCTACCACACCCTCAACTCTGGTGCTCGATCGCCCATCCATTTTATATCCACACAGTGTCAAGTGACCGACCTCCTCTACCATACTCCTTCTTTTCCACTCCCACCTTAATCTGTTGGTGGTGAAAGACGTTGGCAAACAACGACAACAAAGAAGACGAGTCTTAAATACGTACTCACCCCCACCCGATTGCGCCTCTTCCACCTGCGGATATCAGTTCAACATCAGGCGCAGGCTCACTACAACCAGTGTACGAGCCAGCCTATCGTAGTCACCAGGATTCGTATCGTTAGCCTTTCGCGAACATGGTAATCTTGTCGATCTGCAACACCGAGTACTCTACTGACCCTGACAAATAGACCGACACTGGCCTACCCCCCGACTGGGAAGTCCGCCATTCCAATTCCAAGAACCTCCCGTACTACTTCAACCAGAAGACACACGAATCGAGATGGGAACCTCCAGAGGATGCCGATACTGAAAAGCTCAAGGTCTACATGGCGCAACATCACAGTTCTGCAAACACCCGCATTGACGGTGCTGCGGCTGAGGGTAAAATCCGGGCGGCACACCTTCTCGTGAAACACAAAGACAGTCGTCGACCGTCCTCCTGGAGAGAAACTAATATCACTCGTTCCAAAGAGGAGGCCATTGAAATGCTGAAGGGCTACGAAGAGGAGATCCGGTCAGGCCAAAAATCCCTCGGAGATCTCGCCGTCTCAGAGTCCGATTGCAGCAGTGCCCGCAAACGAGGCGACCTGGGTTTCTTCGGCAAGGGTCAGATGCAAAAGGAATTCGAAGATGCTGCGTTTGCTCTGGCACCTGGAGAAATGAGTGGCGTCGTAGAGACTGCGTCCGGAGTACACCTCATTCAACGGTAGGTCAAACACCTTCACCATGGTGTCATGCCTTTGGACTAATGTGAGTTGCAGAATTCAGTAGGGGCGTGCGTGGCTGATAACAAGGCGGCGGTGATCTACAATTGCCCAGGCTGCGACAGCGTCCGTCCGGTGTGGGAGCAAGAGGCATTCTGCTGCAATATTTTTCCTCGTTACACATGGGCAAATGGGTGGTTAGAAGTGCAAGCCTTACACCAAGGCAAGATTGAGTTTGTACAAATAACATGGAACGTGCCTCTGCTAAAAACAGGTTCTTCCCAAAGTGCCAACAATAATGACTGGCGTCACTGGGTTCTGTGTCTCTGCTGGCGATCGGGCGATTCCAGATGAATTTCGCCGGTGTCTTACACTTTGCTGCGAGTATCTCGAGCCTTGTTGCAAGTCCCTACCTGGGTAGATACTCGTACTACACGGCGCATGTGGTAAGATACGAGTACGGGATACTCCATCATCAGCTTTGAAGTGGCCCATGCCACCGAGAGTTGCTGCAGGTGATGTGATTCGATCACGGCTTCAGCTTGGGGCACTGAGTAATGCCAATGCTCAGCCAATGCTCACAAGCCCGTGACCGTTGCCATTACTGTACTTCCCCTGTGAAGTGTTGCCTACTCGTACCTATTGCGGCTCTCAAAGGAACCTCCGTTGTCTTGTAATGATACGAGATTCTGGTACCGTACGCGTCTTCATACGTCACAATACGACAGCGTCATTCCCGGCCAATCTGTGACTCTATTCATGATTTTGGCGTGATGCTCATTCATTGCCATGCAAAAACCCACCCACCCATTTCCAGGTGCCTGCATGGACGCCCGGGCCAATCAGAAATACATTGGGTTGTACCTACTCAACCCTTCAGGATCTTCTTCGATATAAACACCCCCTTCACTCCTCATGGAAGCCTGTGCTCATGTCACTCCCAATACTGACAAGCTAGCGTTGAATACTTCCTTCTTCACACATCTTTACTCTGCTCTCTCTGCATTCCTACCTACTTCCATTCGTCCTTGTGTTAATACTTCAAAAGCCAGACCCTGTGTCTATTCCCAATATGTATACCTCCTCAAGCATGTCGACTGTCTCAACCATGTCTTCAGAACGAGCACCTCTACGGAGATTGAGCTCGCCGGATGCCTTTTTCCTGGCACCACCTCACTCTCACGACCCCACGGATGTGTCTCATGTGGCGGCGTTGCCCACCTCGATGCTCCTACAATTACCCGAGGCTGTGCAGGAGAGTCTATGGACCCTGCAGGAATCGACCTCGATCGTCTACGCATCCTATCTCAGGCTCCAGGAGCTCATTGATGAGCGTTTCGAACGTCTAGTGGAGTTGCCATTGGGACGGAAAACAGGCACGGTCAATTGTAAGTATTTTTGATCGCCTCTTTTCCAAGCTCATTCGGTTGACCTGGACTCAGATTCCGAAGGAGCATTTTTCAACTATGTCAACCACGTTGCTGCCGAACGTCGTTACCTGCTCGAGGATGCTCACACGGACTGGAGACACAAAGCATCACGAGCGGGGTTGCAGCAATACGCACATCTGTTACTGACATTCCGGGGCAAGGAGATGACAGTCAGCGAGTGGTTCACTCAGCTTCAAGCCGCCGAGACCTTTTGGATCCAGGCAGCCAAGGAAACGGAACTGCCCGACTTTGAATCGACTATTCTAGAGTTTCAGTCTCAGACCACAACCCCAAGCAGCGAAAACGAAGTTGAAGATGTGGGCGGGGCGACGGTTCCAGCCGGAATAGCCACGCTTGACACAAGCCGACTTGGGTTTGGAATCTCCAAAGCATTGGCAGAGCTATAATGATCAAGTGGTCTGACGTATCAGACTCCAAGACGTGGCTTCACATGTCTAGATCCTGGTGACACAGGGCATCAGGTGTGGGTGTGTGGGTGCCGGATATATTGTATTCGCAAAGGGACGACAGGTCCAGTAACGCACATCATGACAAGATATGCTTTGGCAGGAGTTTGATTGCCATTTTTAATGTAAGATGAGAGCGAGCCATACGAATTTACGACTTGGAAAAAGTGACAGATCGACGTGGCATTCCCGGGGCGTTACTTTTTGCTTTGCTTCCTGTGTGTTCGATAGACACAAATGACCCGGTCAGCTCACCGGCGTCGCTGCTGTGCAACACGTGGGTTGCATTGTTGGTGATGGAAGGATCAAAGGATGTGGTGTAACAATACGACGGCTGAATGAAAGGACTCGAATGTACTGGCAACACAAGGGTGAATTCTGAGCGATTTTCACAATATTTCCTTTGAAGACCAGGGTCAATACCGAGATAATCACGAATCTTCGCTTAGGTGGGGAAATCATCGGCTGACTGTGTGAATGTGAGTATGTACGAGGAGGTGAGGTTGGTCCTCGTATTCTTCGTAGAGGGGTCTGTAGCAATGGCCACATCCAGGGCTTCGACCATCATGATCCTCAGCTTTCCCAAACCCGACGAATCCATCAGGAACAAGGGCCAAATCTATCTAGGTGCATCATTTCCACGTTGATATTCATAGTGCCTTGCTGGGCTGCTATTTAGCGCCGGCATAAGCTGAGCTTGAGCCAAGATGTGTATCAAACGTTCCCGCTGCAATCCTCCGCACATCCAAACGCAGGACAACCTCCACCAGCATCAGCACAGTACAGTACTGCACAGCACACCGGGTAAATAGACTGGGCCAACTACTGTTCATGCACAAAACTGAACACCTAGAGCAAGCGAAGGCGTCGGAATATGCTGCTGCCCGACCACCCTTGTCATCGAAAAATTCTCGGGACGTACCTACATCCTGCAGCAGCCCATGCCCATCCGGGACCGGTTCTTGCAGCCACCACATCATTGCCATCCCCCGGGTCTAGATGAGTCGAATACGAAGTGACCCTTGTTCAGTGTGCCGATCACATACCATACCACTCCTTCGTTTCGAGCCCCCAGCGGAAACCCAAGCAAGGTTCGGCAGATGCCCCAAATCCCAGTTGCTGATGCTGGGTGGTGGCTAGTCACCTAGCACAATCAAGAACAAGACGTGATGGCGCCCTTTCGTAACAGGGTCATACAGATCGTCCATCGAAACGACCCCTCAATGGACCGCCATACCAGCATGTCATGCTCGTACAATTGCAGCTTAAGTCACCAAGAAGCTCGGTGCCGTCAATGGTCATGTTGCTGACCGTTGAACCTTCTCTGCCCCTCCTTCCAACCCCGGATAACAAGGCAACTCCTCGTACTCGATGGCGCGCATGGATTTCGCTCGCCTTGTCTCGCTTGCGTACGCATCCTAACGGTCCATATCCTTGCAGTGTATCTGGCACAAAGTCTTCCCGCGATGAGGCCAGAAGTTGGCAGTAACTTGGCTGGAAGAGGGCACGACGGGTCTACAAGTGTCAATATTCCCCAGATATCCACCTGTCCACTTTGCGCATTGACCGTGAACGTCACAAATAATGCCTTGGGCCTTGCTGGGCCACATTGCGATCCTACGGCAAAGACTTGAATTGTCAGAATGTGCTTCACCTCGCGTTCTCGGAGAGGATCCGCCAGATTTCGGTGATCCTCTCCGGTGCTTGGATACTTTCATGTCCACTCTGGCAATGCTTACGAAACTTATTCCACAGGGCTATGTGGCAGAAAGTTTTCCTTTTCTGTCCCCCGAAAGGAGATATACCTGGTAGAGGATCTTCTCTGACCTCAGAATCGGTCGTGTCATCGGCGGAGGTACTCGTACTGCCTTCATCTCACCGCGATTCTCGCAAAAGCTCCAGTCAGATCATGTCCAAAACCATCTCCCTGAAAATCCCAACCTTCCAAGGTTGACTCTGTTCGAATATGACACGAGCCCACCATTTCACGATGCCAGGGAGGGCGATTGAGAGCTGAATGCTTGTCGAGTAAATCGGAACATGCTCCAGTAGGTGGTCGTTTCTCATCGGCCATACTCCTCGAGCGATATTCGGCGAAGTCTACCTACAAGTCAAAAGTGATACTTCCTTTCTTGTTGCTATCATCCAAAAAGGCCCTGAATGCACTTGGTCCCCACACAAAGTCTCCCAGGGTTAATCATGCTGTGTGACCACACCGTGATTTTCTCCGAATGGCATATGGACATTTTGCACGACCAGTCCTCGTGACCATCTATACATTGTGGGTTGAGCCTGCCAATCATCTACTCCAAGGCATTGTATTCGAGCTAGTACAATGAAGGTGTTGTGGCAGCTGTGCCCTCAACCGGAGCTCCGGGGCGAGATTCGGTCGCAAGTTTAGATTGACTTCTTTGGTCAATTCACTACAGACCATTATTGACTAGAATTTGTTGATAGTGCCCGAGACTCGACAGACCATGGTAAAGGGGCTGGTTGTTGGTTGCTCCGAACAAGAACGTTGTCTCTTCGTTAACGAGCTCGGCAGATTGGGTCGAGACTCTCATCGACAGTCTGAAGCTACCAAAAATCACCGCCAGGCAGGTTTTGACTTTGGTCACAGCTTCTGTAACCGCCTCTACGCGAAGAATTGCTGCCGAAGTTGTGGACCAGGGCATTGTTAACGTTGACAATTCCTTGTAAGGACACTCGAGGCGCGGCAAACCACGCGGCACTGCTGGCACACTCCAGTAGACGGCATTGCCCTTCTCGGTACGCCGCTCTTCCCTTCGTGTACCAGACTACGCTTCGTACCAGAGATCGCCAATGGCACCGACATCCCAGCCACTCATGCAGTCATCTCACAACTCGAAACGGACCTTTGAAGCTCAGACTGATCTATTCATGACTAACTGCCTCATCTGTGCAATGAATTCTGGAACAAGAAGCCTTCAGACGATCTGGACCTTTCAGGCGGCCACGCCCTGCCTTGATAGGTGTCTCATTGTCACGCTCCATAAGCTTTCCCTGTATGTCCTAGCCTGACGCTGAATAGTTCATCACTTTTGACTGCGGTCTCGTTTTGCAAAGGCACGAGCCGTGGGAGTAAGTTGGATGTAGCGTTGCAGTCGACGTTAACGATGTTGTACAGCATGGACCGATGTATTTTACTGCCTAAGGGTGGAATACCTGACCCCATGCCGTGAGAATCAGCTCTCCTGCTGGATCCAGACTGTAATTCGGCCGTTCAACGCCTCACTTTATACAAACTGGCCGAAGATACTACTCCTACCATCAAGCCGAGAGTCACTGTGAACACTCAAGATGAAGAGTCTGGACCATCGCTAGCTGACAAAACCAACCTATGGTGTAGTAACCTGAAATTTTGATACGGTAAGGTACGTTGGTAATTTTTCGTAAAGACGATAGAAGATGTTTGTCTCCTGGAGCCAAGAGTTTGTAAATACAGCCGACAGAATCATTCGTGGTTCTCTGGTTGCTCGCTCAACTTGAAACCAAGTCAAAGTGCACCCTCGGTGTGATGCACGGGCCAGGCCGAACCCGTCCTCTACCACGAGGACTACCTAGGTAAGGACAATGCTATTTCCAGCAGAATATTTCATCATAGGCCCAAGGGATCATACCACTCTTGTTTTGGTTCTTCGATCCGGCTTGTCACGGGATGTGAGAAGACAGTCGTGAGTCGAACATCACCTGATCGTCCTAGCCGTTGTTATATTGATTGGGAAGTAATGAAAAAGGAACATACTGTTTTACCGTACATATCACCGATGTATGTTGTTTTATGAGTAGAGAGGGTTAGAAAGGAGAGTACGTACGCACAAAGATAAAAAGTCCAAAGTACGGAATATCCGTCATGGAACTCAAAACCATTCGAATCAACAACCCATCAAACCTCAATTTTATTCTGGGCCACTCCCATTTCATCAAGACGGTCGAGGACCTCCACGAGGCCATATTCAACAGTGTCCCGGGGGCCAAATTCGGTCTCGCCTTTAGTGAGGCTTCGGACGTCTGTCTGATCAGGGGGTCGGGCACCGATTCCGAACTCGAGGCTCTGGCCAAGGAGAATGCCATGTCCATAGGTGCCGGTCACACCTTTATCATCTTCATGAGGGACATGTACCCGGTCAACATCCTGGGGAGCGTACGTGCCGTGCCCGAGGTGTGCCGCGTCTACTGTGCGACTGCGAACCCGGTCGAAGTTATCGTGGCACAGACGGAGCAAGGTAGAGCCATCTTGGGAGTCGTGGACGGTTTCGGTCCGAAAGGTTTCGAGGACGAAGGAGACATTGCCAAACGCAAATCTTTCCTCCGGGACGTGGGATATAAGACGAAGTAGGTAGGGGTGTATAGGTACGGAGTGATAGTATTTTTGGATACCGAGAAAGTACAAATCGGGTTGTACAGTGGGATGGAGAAACACAGAGAGAGATATAGGGGGAACTTAGTCACCCGAATCACACCTAGATCGAAACCGCACGAGGACATGATGAGGCGGACTGAGGTGCACGATACTTTTTCAAAGTGAGGGCGATGCAAAGTAATTTGGTTAGGCCGTTGGACATGGGAACGAGGCTGGGCGTTCAAGGACTCACTTTGTGAGCCTTACCAAATACATTGATCGAGGCTGTGGGGGACTTTCTTATCAGTACTCGGCAAGGCTGGCCTTAATCCTATCGTCCCTCTTCCACTTTTCTACAGTGCGCGGAGAAACAACATCGACTGTTCTTTTTCTCCCTCACTAATGTTTCCCATTCGATGCTCGTAAAATCTACAAGTCCATTGATTTGACCATGATTCGCCAGATAAGGATTCTGAGGTATTTGCACCAGCACGCCCTCAGAGTCGCGTCGAAATACTCGCACTCGACAATCATGTCCTTCTGTCGACCCTCCATGGAGAAACACTACAAGTTCATCCTGTGTGCTTGACTAACATTCCCAGCCCAACCTAGCAGGTATTACAAGTCGTTCCTGCTGATTGTCGTGATTTGATATTTAGCCAACAACCGTCCAATACTAACTGAGTCTCCATTTTCTCGCTGGTCGTGTCCAACCTGTTGAGGATGCAAGAAGAATCCGATCACTTCTCTCCCTACAGGGCAGATGGGAAGTTATATGGCTTTGTGTGCGTGGTTACAGGCGCAAATATGCCAGTGGGATCAGCCATTGTAACAGAATTAGCAGGTATGCCTACACTCTGCAGTTTCCTAGCTTGGATTGCATACATGTGTACTCACTCGAACACCAGCACACGGCGCAGCCTGTATCTACGCATGTACAACAGCGACCAATGACCACGAGCCTTCAAGCCCGCAGAGCTCCCTGCTGACGAACCTGTATCCAAACACTAAAGTCATCGACTATCCCTACTCGATATCTTCGGAACAAGATACCCTGACCCTGATCGACGAGGCTCTCAACACGTGGGGTCGAATAGACGTCTGGGTGTGTTCGTCCGGGTTACTGGGTCCTCCGTCGATCGACCTGACCACACCCGCCGATCTACAAAAATGTTTCGAGACGAACAGCCTCGCTCCGTTCTTTGCGCTCAAGTACGCACCTCACGCGATGCAAAAGACCTCTCCGAAAGGAGGGTACGCGAACGCAGCACCGAAAGATCAAGGATATGGCAGTATCATAGTGGTCACGAGCACGGCCAGTACATACGGCGGATGCTGGGGCCCTTGCTACACGATGAGTTCACATGCCGCGTTGGGTGTCGTGAGGGCGGGTGTGACGGTGCTCAAGGGCTCAGGCGTGCGTATCAATGCTATCAGTCCAGGCCAGATCGACGTTGGGGTCAGTCTGGGAGGCGGATCGGATACTGCTGACATGACTGGTGTGATGATGAACAGCAATGTACAACTACCGCCTGCCGCTTTGCAAACTCCGGCTGCGCAGAAACAGAATATCGGATTGGAGAGGGCTGGACGGCCTGCTGAGGTTGCAAGAGTGGCAGGGTTCCTCGCGTCTGGTTTCAGTAGTTATATCACGGGAAGTAACATGGTCGTTGATGGAGGGGCAAGTGTCATGTGTCCTTTGATGGTTCCGATATAGAAGTACTTCGTACAGAGGTACAAGTGGAAGATATACAGTCGGTACATATGTAGCATCTAGGCCATAATAACGATTGGACTCATGAATGCTCCGTACATATTCTGTCTTTCTGACGGAAGCTCACCATAGAAGAGAAATACTGCCAGACGGATAACGTTTGAGACATTTGTACGGTGTATAGTTGTAGGGAATTACTATCTAACAGTATCGTCATGAAAGATGATATTGATCCTGCTAGCGAAAAAGATCCCCCTTACTTCGTAGAAGTTTCTTCTGTGCACCATATGATGATCAAAGAGCCATGGAATAAACAAGCATTTGATGATAAGGAGAGGTGCATGACATGTGTCGACTGCCGTGATATCACATGACTTTGCGTAAATCAGTGGATTTGAACCATGCAAAATTCATTCATCAAGAATCTTCAGGTCAATTTCATCGCTCACATTGCGATGGGACATGAGATGGCAATCTGTTGACATATACATGATTCGATATAGGAGAAAAGAAAAGTGTGCCAATACTCCGCATAAATAAAACATTAAACTCGGCAAACTTTCCCTCCACGTCTAGACTGAAATTGGCCGATTCCATGTCTCGTGCTAAAGATTTTGGAATCCGAAGCATCAATCACGGCACCAGAAACAAGACTGCGCACTTCTCTCTGGTTCAATTGTACCATCCATCGCCATGTCTCCTCGGTCAAGAGGTGTGAAGCGCATCGCTGATGTTTTGGGTAAGTCTTCAATTGCGCACAAACACTCCTACGAAAGACACTGCTCACACCATTTCAGGGTTTTCCTCTTCCAACAACCATGTCTGCCGATCGTGTCGACAAGCTCTTTCTCAACAAAGACATGCGTCGACGGCGACGGTAAAAGCCACTACGGTTGAAGCTCCCCCTGTCACACAGCTCTCTCCGGATGGCCCTGAAGCCTCTCCCGCCTCCCAACCCGTCTACACGATCAAGGCCGGAGTCGTCGTGTCGCGACCTCCGCTCATCACTCCCGACCCCCATCCCTTCGAGACAGCATACTATCTGTACCAAAGACGGCTGAACGAGCGCCTGGTTTTGCCCTTCACGCAGTACTTTTATTACAAGCGAGGAACCCCGGCGTTCGAGAACTGGCGCAACCATCGCAGACAACGCGGCGGAGCCGCCACGAGAGATATCGGCGAGTACAATGCGTACACGCCGGAGTCGTGGAACGACGAAGCTCTGATCGGCGACGATTCCGGATCTCAGTCGAAGTTGGTCCAGGATCTCATCGCCGAAGAAGGGCGAGCAGAAGACTTTACCGGCGCGGGAGATCCCAAATTTGCCGGTCTGAAGCGAAGGATGCCCGCAGACGAGACCAACGACCAGCGAAGTTTGGAACGGAGCTTACAGCGCACGCTTTACCTGTTGGTCAAGAATAAGAAGGCCGGAATGGCAGCTCAAGAGGAGAGCGAGCTGTGGAAGTTTCCAAGCGGAACTCTCATAGGTTTTGAGGGATTGAAAGAGGTAAGTTCACGACACATCCCATATACCCCTTGCGGTTCTCTACTGCGTGATAGGGCGACTGGGGGGAAAATGACTGACAGGAGGAAAAATTATAGGCCGCACAACGAATCTTGTTCAGCTCTCTAGGTCACAACATGAACACCTTCTTCGTCGGCAACCACCCAGTCGGCCACTACGTCCACAAATTCGCATCACCCATCCCGAATCCTACGTTATCCTCATCCGCAGCAGCTACCGAGACGTCGAAAGCAGCTCCGACCAAAGCGCCGCTCAAACAGTACAAGGCCGCCGAGGGCGACATGATCGACGGGGAAAAGACTTTTTACATGAAGGCGCGTATCATGGCTGGACAAGCCGATTTGGCCGCCGCCAAGAAGAATGGTGTCGAGATTGAGGATTATAAATGGTTGAGTAAGGAGGAGGTCGAGAAACAGGTTCATCCGGATTATTGGGTGAGGATCAAGAACATGCTTGTGTCGCAGTAGAATGTACGGTATGTGCTGCTTGCAGGTTATTGGCTACAATAGCTTGAGTCAACAGCTTGAGTCCACCTGTATAATTGTATGACAAGAAGCGCGCGAGAGAGAAAAAGGTATTTGTGGGTGAGAAGATGTTTCTCGCCGGTTTTCCAATTCCAACTAGGTCAACATGCTTGCAAGAGTTGCTGGTAACTTACTGTGCTGTACTGTATTGTATGCACTTGACTCAGATGTCTTGGGATGAGGTACTCTACACCAAAGGCAGGGTAAATATTCTTTCTGTATAATATACAATGGCCATGGGCGGTTCACATTATATGAGATTACATCACAGCAGACTATGCTTCAGGCACTCACTGTAAAGATGGTGGTATAAAGATGATTTGCGCCATCGACATTCATTCACATTCATTAATGACAACCTCTCTCTCTCTCACATCCACCACAGTCCGTACTCGTTTGAGAAGCAATCGAGACTTTTCCAGACGGTTTTCAATCTGTCGGTCCAGCTTTTTGTCTTTTTGTTGTCGGCTTCGGTGGTCGTACTCTTACCAGTATCTGTACTCGTACCCTTGTCCGTGATGACACCGGCAGTCTTGGGGATTTTTTCGTGCCCGTCCTTGTGCTTGTCCTTGATACCCATACTCGTACTGACAGTCTTGGAACACTCCCTCTTGTCCCCAGTGTCGACCTCGTGATACAGAGTAGACGCTCGAGTATGATTAGAATCCGACCCACACTATGACGATTCCTCACCATCACCAAACACCCACCCACTAAACTCATCGGCGAATCTGACCGCCCCTTTTAGCCAGTAATTGTTGTTGCTGTTTTCATCCTTCGTCTCCTTCTCCTTCTCCTTCTCTTCCGTGGTGGTGACGTCTCGTTTCCCCCACGTCCTTTCAGCCTCGAGCATTGCCCGGCAAGCCTTGACGAAATGAGCGTCGTACCTGTGGTCGCCCTCGAGGGCTTTGTGGGTGACAAACCCCCAGTCTCTCCCCTTGAGGTCGTACGACGTCACGTTTTCCTTCTTGATTGGCGGCCTGTTTTGGGTGATGTAGATTGAGAGTGCGATCAAGAACCACTCCCTCACCAAGGGAAGGTGGTGTTCCGCCTCGAAGAAGGGGATCAGGATCCTCACGGCGTGTGACGTCGTCAGGAGGTGGACGAGCAGAAAATCGTACCCGTGGCCGCCGACGCTGGAGGCCACGGACGTGTGTAGGGCCACGGCGAGCGCTTGGCTCTGGGCAAAGTCTCGGGTCGGGTCGGTGATGTTCCAACCTGACCAGTGCTCGAGCAGGATAGAAACCAGCTCGGGGTCGGTCCAGAGGTGGTCGAGTTTGTCGTCCCCGTGTCCGTCAAAGGCGTGGTCGAGACGTTTGTCGGCGTGGACCCGCTCAAAGATTTCAAAGATGTCGTTTGTGCTGTGGGTTCGCCCGCTGGCGGGTTTCGTTTCGAGGAGTTTGGCCAAGACAGGATTATAGCACGTCGCCGCGAGACCGAGGGCCTCCATCGCAATCTCGCGCGAGTTGAGTTCGTAAGCGTACCCCAGGTGGATGAGAGGGTGCCCTAGCCCGGAGGTCAAGCAGTTGAACATCGGGTAAGCGTTGGGGCTGGACTTGGGACCGCGGTCGAATAGGTATTTCTCGACCACGGACTTCCAGTCGTAGCCTTGTAGGACGAGTTGGTCTTCAAAGAAATCCACAAAGGCACGCTGGTAATTGCGCTGTCCCAGGTAATCCCGGTAGTCGTGGGCGGCGATCTCGGATGGCGAGTCTTCCCAGTGTTCGAGGTTGTCGTGGGTAGACACATCTTCGTACACGTTGTTCAAGTGGTCGGCCGATCCGTCAAAGAGATAAGCTGAGCCGAGAATCTAAAGCGAAGGGAAATATCAAAACCCCATGTTAGGAGCACGGTAAAAGAGAAAGACGAAGGGAGAGAGAGAGAGCAAAAACAAGGGACCAGAGGAAGAGAGAAGGGGTTTGCTTCGCATATATTTACATGAGGTGTGTGATTGTGGAAACGTAAACTATGGTACAGGATCGAGTAGGTGGCATGGTTGAGTTTGACGAGGTGCTTGAGCCGTCGTCCTCTTTTGTCGCTTGATACTTCAATGTCGTGGACCTCGACTGATGGGATGGTGATGGCTTGAGCTATCTTGGACCGGCCGAAGCCGAAGTGAGGAAAGGAGGATGGGATGAATGATGAAAACATTGTTGTTATTGGTAGTGATGATGAGGAGGAGGAGGATGAGGATACCGCACGAGATGATTACTTGGTCATGGTGATGATTGTATTTCAAGAGAATGAATTCCTTCGTTTTGTACGAAGTACTGTACTTGGTATTGTATGAGCATTAAAAAGTGAGGAGTAACAAGAACACATGACTGACGTCTTTCGACTCCGCCTTTTACGTTTGGAGTGTTCTGTTAATCACCGTACAATATCTCTAGGTTGAAGTGTTTATACAATCGTGCTCTTCTCCCACGTACGCGACTTGCCTTGGCCCACGCAATAATTCATCCACCAGCCTTCGGGGAATGTTGTAACCATATATAACAAAATGAGGTCGGCGATGTCTCCAACGATTGTGGATCGACGGTGTTTGGAGGTGTTTGACCAGGTGTTTGAAGAAGATACTGTCAGTCATACCGACGTCGAAAATGCTGAATGGTAAGTTACCTTGGGTCCGTGGGAACCAGAAGAACAGGTTCTCGTTTAGACGTTGGTCTCAGAAAGGCTTAGTCAAGGTCAATACGAAGCATCTATTCAGATCTCCATGTCGTGCCCTCATACCGACATTTCGACAAATCGGCCTCAAGCACCCAATCGTCGTATCTCCAGGGGATTCTACCCTTGCTACGGTTTCATGCTCCGACAGCGGTCGTTCACCTATCCTCGTATGTGGTGCCTGGTAGGGCTGAATGCTCACCGACAATTATTAAATGATCCATCCGCCCTTTCATCTGTGATAATCCAGCTCAGTAAGGGCTTCTTGCAAGGCCATTGACTTTCAAGACAAGGAAGACTTCCGTGTCCTCTCTGGGAAATCGGTAACAGCCCTCAGCCCAGTACCGTGGACGGTATAGCAAGTTATTTCGTCCACTTGGAGGCTCTGCGTTGGCTCGGATATGCCCGAATACTTTGCCTGATTCAGCAGCCAAGGACGAAGCTTGGACAGATCGTCTCGGACGCCTGAAGGATCTTCGTCTCCCGGCCACGGAACGAATTTCTCAGCCCTATGCTTGGGATCAAAGGTACACGGCTCTCTCTGCACTGCACGATTCTCGGATCCAGTGAAGGGACCCCCCCCTGCTATATGTTACAAAAAGTCTTGCCAGCTCCAAAGCTTTCATCTCAGCTAGGGCGCCTTGAAGCATGCCACGGTCTAACATATATAGCGAGAGGTGTACGAGTACGGGTGTGACAAGTTACGGCAACGACAAAGATGGTGGCAACAAGTATTAGATGCACAACTTGCCGCTTGCGTAAGATCAAGGTACGTTAAGATTTAGCGTTGTCCTTGCTTGTATGTGCTTGACTGTCCAATATATCTGACCATCCATAATTTGCACAGTGCGATGGACAGGCTCCCGTGTGTGGTCAATGTCGGAAGAGTAATCGACCATGTTCGGGACCACCCCCCAAGTACAGATTCGTAAAGAATCGCCAGAATCCAGAGCCGCAGCCGATGTCATCACTGCATTTCTCGGCTTCTTTACCTAGAAAGGAGAATCAAGATGCCTCGAACGGTAGCCGAACCGCGACATCCAGCACCACCTCCGTGGCGCCAGACCACACGCAATTTTTGGCCTGGCCTTACATTGACGGTCGGATCTCCTCCAAACACGCCACTATAATTGCAGCAGACCTCGTCCATCGCATTCACGTTGAGCTGCAGGACGGGACCGAATCAGCCTTCGCCCGACTTCTGCAGAGCTTGCCACTGGTCATCGAGAACAGTCCGGCTCTGGCGGCAGCCTTAGAATGCGTGCTAGATACTCAAGCGCTGTTGTCTCCAGTCCCGTATCATCAAGGCAACATCGACTTGAAACTGTACGGCAAGGCTCTTAGGTCTTTGCGGGTAGCATTCGAAGATCCAAAGCATCGCTTTGAGAAAACGACGCTTGCAGCCATGATCGTCATGCAGAGAATCGAGGTATACCATCCTTGACACACTCCCTCTTTTGCCTCGTTCACTAGATAGCTAATTATGCATCTAGGCACTGGGAAACTTCCATGGTGGCAGCCCTCACTTAGGTCCTAGTTATTCCGCATTTCACGTTCGTGGTATCGGCAAAATGTTGTCCTGCATCGGACCTTTCCCACCCGAAGACGATGTGCTGTTCCACGCATTAGCAAACCACGCGTTCCCAATCCTTCTCGAAAACGTCGCCAATGGCGAAAAATGCTTCCTGAACAGTCCGGAGTGGACGTCGATCTTTACACAACGACAGAAGGCTTCCGGCATCGAACGATTACTCTATCAGATCCTTGTAGTCATGGTATCTTTTCCAGATCTGTTGATAACATTCCGAAACCAAGATAGTAAGCTCATAAGCGACCCAATTGTGGAAGAACAGGCATATACCACCTCGAATCGGCTGCGAATAATTGGCAGACACCTCGATACTCTCTTAAGGTATCCTTGCGAGGGGTCAGCGATGGCAGTCTCCTCTCTCAGACCTACATGCGACATTTCAACCATTCGCAACATTGATCTGCTGCATGTTGTCATCATGCACGCTATTGGATGCATAGTAGTCAACAACATGCTGGCCGGCATGTCCTCTTCTCCAGCAGAAATCGCCGACTTTACATGGAGAAATGTGTGTCTCAGCAAGCGTCTGTGGAAGCTCCAGAAATCGGCAAAGCATGTCAATATCTATCCTACCGCATTGATGTTATCGTTCGAGAGTGCAAAATTTCAGGAAACGAAAGACTGGATCGTACAGACGATGAACGAACTGCAGAATCGCACCATCGAAAATGGGTCGCGACTTTGGACAGAAGAGGACCTTACATGCCGATGTTTGATGTTCACCGGTCGGAAGGAATTTGTGCTGGAAGAAAGAGTGTTAAACCCAATGGATTCGCTATGACTATGATTGATGCAATACAATTATTTTATCAAGAAGCATCCCGCGATACTCGAGGGCTGAGTGATCGACTAGTTCTGTTCAAGTACTTCGCTGCGACAAGCCCGGGTGGGAGCAAAGCGGACATCCCCTATCAGTCCCTATGTCCTCCACTCCAACATCATCTAGCAACTTAACAGTTGGGATCATTCATTTTCACAGTCGATTACTATTTCACATGTGCATTGAAGTCATCTCCAGATGATCCAGAGGGCTGCATTGCCCTAGAGAGACACTGACAGTCCAAGCAATGGTCGAAACGCGGCCAGCTTGCAAGACAAGGTCTGGATGCGTGGAATGCAAGAGAAGAAAAGTCAAAGTCAGTCGCTACTGTTGCGAATTGTAGTAAAATCACATTTGCTAATCTGATGCTGCCCCTGAAGTGTGACGAAGCAAAACCAATATGTGCCCGCTGCAGGTCTCGCTCAGACCTATGCCTATACGAATTCAGACTCTCCTGGACTCAAGGCCGACCGTTCAAAAAGCGCCGAAGACGATCTCAATACCAACCTTCCAAAAGATTACTTGGTCCTACGCAGCATGAATATATGCCGGACACTGCCACCCATGCTACGTCCGGACTATCGCAACACAACATGCCCGGAGCCACATCTGATGGCCTGCATGTTCATGGAGGGAATATCGATGTTGAAGCTCCGGACTTCCAGATCTCTTCAGCTTGGCCTCCAGTAATCGAGGTTCTGACCTCCATACCAAGGTCATCTAAGCTGTCGAAAACTGAGGATGATTTGAATACAGAACACTGTATGCTTTCCAGGGGAGATTTGTACACGGCACCACACAACCACTTCACAACGAGCCCACCACAATGTCTCGCTGGACCGAATACACTCCTGTCATCCGAAAGCCGCTTCTTCATGCACCATTATTGCAGTCAGACAGCGCCCGTCATTTTCCCAATGTCAGGAGACTCTAATCCACTTCGAGGCGGACTGCTTCAAGTTGCTTTTGGCACCCCGCATCTCCTATATGCATTACTCGCGTCCGGTGCCAGACATTATGCTCGGCTACGTGGCTTTGTCGACGAATTCACCTCAATGTCTGTTGCAACGTTTACCCATGCCGCTCTGAAGGGCCTTCGTCTGGCAATGAACGATCCCAGCCAAATGCACAAGAAAGAGACTGTCGGTACTGCCCTTGCTCTCTGCACATCTGATGTGATCTCTGGCAATTTGGATACATGGAGAATACATTTGCTGGGAATACATAAGCTTCTTCTTTCTGCGCTTGAACACGACAAGGAAATGGATCGCGATATCGACTCAACTTGGCACTTCCTCATCAAATGGTTCGAGACACTTGATATGTTTGCGGGAATTTCGGGCCTTCGTACAAGTACTGTGCGCCACGGCCAGTATCGTTCCGCAAGGCGAGCTGCCTACATTGACGAGTTTGTTGGATGTTCTTTGGAGCTGATGCCTCTCCTGGCCAAGATTGGACGCTTGGCTCGAAAGCAGACAAAACATATCGAACGCGTCTATGGGACCGACGATGCGGAGCGAGAGAATAGTCATAATGGCCTTGCGGACGACATTCAAAGCACGGAGAAACAGATATACAGTTTATTAGATCGCAAGGTTCGCCCTTCCTTTGCGCAGAATCCGCTCAATATGACATTGGCCAAAGACATGGAGAATACCCATCAAGCATTTATTTATGCTTCGTTACTACACCTTTATCGAAGGGTGGAACAGTTACCTAAGAACCATATCAAGCCGGCACATGCAACCTATCAAATTGTCGGCGCACTGCAGAGGATTCGTCCAGACTCTGTGGCCAACATCCTCGTACTCTGGCCAGTTTTTACCGCCGGTTGTGAAACTGATGACCCAAGCCAGAGACGAATTCTCCAAGAGAGAATGCAGAGCATGGCGGCTTTCGGAATGGGCAATGTGAATAGTGCTCTTCAAGCCATGACTAAATATTGGGATGCCGGAGGAAGCGAGAGGTGGGATGTTTTCCTGGACCGCCACGGTCATGATATTGTGCTGTTTTGACAATTTCATTAGACATGACTTCCCGGGATAACGGACTGAAAGCGTTTCCAGTCTATGTCTTCTTCCATACGAACCTCGAGACCACTGTCTTTCTCCTCATTGGAACATTCGGGTGCGATCTCTACTCCACCTCGCACCGAAATAGCCAAAGCGGTATGGTCAAGTACGGCAGTGGCCCCACTCTGATAGGAGCCCTCCATACTAGATCTCTTGTCCTGTTGACTCTATTACGATCGCAACATACGCACAGGTCTACAACATATAACTGACCTTCCACCTCGCACTCGACACTGGTCTCGTCCTGCCTCCGCTATCAATGTCATCCACTGATTGGTGTCACCCAGTCAAACACCATGACCACTTCAGTAAGAAAGCCCGCTTCGCCCACTGTAGGTAAATCGGCGGATGAACCCATTGACGCCCTCATTGTCGGTATGGGGCCGTCAGGTATGTCTTCTCGCGTATTCGCCTACCTGCGTCAACTCGACCCTGACTCTGCAGCATGACAGGCATGGTATGTCTTCGCAATCTCCTGAGAAACGACCCTCCACTTGCTGTGGTCGCAGTCGAGCGTCAAGATATCCCCGGTGGCATCTGGACCGGTCATATCCCGGCCTATTCAACTCTCCAGGACTTGAAGATTGAGTACGAAGTTCACGGAGTCAAATTTCCCGAAGAAGAACCCGCACGACGCGCTCCGAGAGATCAGGTCGCTGCATTCTGCGATGCATATGTCACCGAGTTCAAGCTTCGCCAACGTGTTTTGTGGCAGCACGAAGTCACCTCGGTCGAGATGATCAAGCCAATGCTTCATAAGGCTACCATTGGCCCGGTGACAGGAGTGGAGGGTGCCACCAGGACCATTTTCACGAGAAGTGTTCTTGTGTGCAGGTTTGTACAATGCGATATTCCTTTTCACCTTGATGTCACGATGTGTGAATCGGTATCTATATTAATGGCTTGGCCTTGACTCATTCTGTTTGGTGTACCAGTGGTCATAACGTTCACGAGTACGTCCCTCGATTTCCTGGCCAGGAGACGGCAACGTTCCCCATCAAACACAACAACGAGATTCGGGATCCGAGTGACCTCCCTGCATCAGATATCGTCGTCGTCGGTGCGGGTCCTTCTGCGATGGATATCGTGCAAGAGGCATGTCTCACACAAAAAGCGACAAACGTTCACGTCGTGGCACGAGTTGCGCATTGGTACGTCATTTTTCCCTCTCGTCGTGCCTAGCTTGATCTTCGAGCCAAAGAAGGATCCTGACTTGTGAACCGGAGTGTACATTGACATTTTACTGTTCCCAGGGGTGCCCCCGACATGTGGTGGCCATGGATGTGGAAGCACGGATGGTCCGAACTGCACGTCCTCCGAGTCTTGTACAGACTCTTGCCCATTTTCGTGGTCGACACGTTTCTCTACTGCGTCACGTTGATTTGGGCCATTCTCCATGGTGTTCCAGAATGGTCTCCCCCGTTTGGTACGTTCCCGTCACTCCAAAGTGGTTGGCGATTGATTCATCATGAAGAGAAAATCACTGACTATTCCACTCGCACTGTATCAAATTCAACAGACGACGCACCATCGAGCAAAGTTGGATACATTCTACGCACGCACCTCGTCGCCCCTTACCGAGCAGGTCGGTTTCACATCCACAACGACACGACCGTGAAATCCATCTCGGGGAATACACTCGAGTTGTCCGACGGAACGATGCTGACACCGACCCTCGTCGTCGCCGCGACGGGATGGTCGACCGACACGTCGTTCCTCCCCGGCGGCACGGGCCCGGGAGACTACGACTCGTTGGCCGTGGCGGACATCGATCGGCCCATGTACCTCCGCTTCTACGACCAGCGGCACCCGGGCATCTTTTACGTTTCCGTGTCCAACGGCTTCATGACGTACACGGAGAACGCGTCTTTCTTGAGCCAGGCCGTCGAGCGGATCCTGAGGGGTGAGTGGACGCCTCCGCCACCAGCGGGGATGAGGAAGAATTGTCGCGAGGTCGTGTTGCACCACGTCGGTCTTCCGGGTTTGTTGCAGACGGACCTCGAACGCGCCGGGTTTCGGAACCTGAGGACCAAGGATGTGAGGTAGGAATAGACAACAATACCAACATCAAACCACACCCACTGGACTCAGTTGACTCGGTGTGCGTTGTTGGGGAACAATTGTTCCATCACGAATGGACAGGGAACGACGACGATAGGAAAATGGAAAGAGGCCAGCGACGTGAGAAAGCTACACTGTCATGATACACTTTGTGGTTTTCTCCCAAGGACGCTCATCATTCTTGAATGCAAAGATATAATAGCGCGTCGGGATTAGAAAGAGAAAAATTGATATGGGTAGAAAGTCATTTAACGAGCTATGAGAAAACCAATTCTAGCAACACAACAAGAAAGACCTTGCAAGAACGATGCCTCGCCTCTAGTAGGAGAGTCGTTTTCGAAGGCAGTCATAGAAGGCAGTCATAATCTTTAGTTCTTCACGCCTCTTCTTCCCCATCCTCGTAGTAAACATCTCTCAGACGGCTTTCTTCTCACATCCATCCGATACAAAAATTCACTCTTTTCCTCGCACGTGCGAATTCAATCACACACCGGTTCATCTTGTGTCCGAATATTCTTCTTCAGTCAACACAAACTCAACACACTTCCGGGTTCCCGCTCAAGGATCCAAAATCTCGACCAGCTCAGGTTTGATCACGACCATTGTTTTGTCGGCCTCAATTGCACCTGCCTCGGACTCGATCACAACAACACTTGACTCTTTCTCGGTTTCGACAACAATGGGAATGGTGGTGGCCTGCTGCTCGTCGTCAACGTCGTGTTCGGCATCTGCCTCGTTGCCGACGTTTGCCTGGTCTCCATCAACGACGAGACCAGATGGTGAAACTTGAGCGTCAGTATTCACGCCCGAGGCCAAAGTCAGTTCGGTCGTAGTCTTGGGCTGCTCCTCTGACAAACTGTTCTCGATAGCGTTCTGGTGAAAGGGCTGCCCCGGTACAGTGTCGCTGCTCAAATCAAGAACAGGCGGTGAGCTAGACTTTGTTTTCTCCTTCCCTGGTTGTGACTCCTTAGACAGGTTTGTTGTTGGTTGTTCAACTGCCACTGCTGTAGCATCTTGAGCTGGAGTGCTGACCAAAGCTTCGGTCACGTTCTGATCCTCAAGAATCAGTTCTGGAGTTGTGACGTCAAATTGGAAGTTGTGGGGAGTTCCCGTGTACAGCGGCATATTGAGCAAGTCTTCATAAGAGCTGGCGTGCGGGTTGAGTGGGATATGATTGTCAATCATGTTCTCAGGATGGGCCGTGGTCGTTGCAGCAGCTGGTGCAATTGGTGCCGCCATTGCAGACTGAGTCCATGGATTGATGCTTTGTCGTGGGCCAATCCATGGATTGTACGCGTATGTTTGCTGCATCGGGTAAGCAGAGTGGCCCGCAGGCATGGGAAAGGTTTGGTAGTACCCGGGGGCATTTTGATGGTGGAAAGCGCCAGGCACATTGCCGTACCGGTAGGTTGGATAGTAGTATGTCGTTGGGTACGATGGGTCCTGCTTCATCGCAATGGCGGCAAGTTCGTTATTCTCCTCAGTGGATGGCTGCACAGGCGGTAATTCTTGAAGGACGTCATCGTTGGTATTTGGCTCCTCTTTGACAGTCTGCTCCTGCTTGATATGAGTTTCACCGTTGCTGTTGTTGAACGTCTCTAAGATTTCCGGATCCTTCTTGATGAGAGGTGCGGTGGTTACGCTTGAGCCGTTATCCGTCGTCGGTTCAGCCTTGATGGTTGGAAGATGCGGATGAGGCCAGAAGGAGTTTGTGTATTGTTGACCAGGCATGACCGAAGATACCCATGGGTTGCTACCGTGCTGGTGGCCAATCTTTGGTCTTTTGTGTGCCTGTCCGGAGGCTCGCACACTGTGTTTGTCTGTTCCCAGCCGCTCAGTCTCCTCTTCCAATAGAGCTCTCTTGCCTTTTGCAGCCTTCTCTTTCGCAGCCTTGGCTTCGTTGTCCTTCTTGGGTTTGGGCGGTTTGGCCTCTTTTGACATCCCTTCAAATTGTGTTCTCATCCGACTATAGCGCATTCGTGCGGCGTGGCCATTGGAGATGTCGAGACTTTCAGCCACCAGATTCCAGTCAATTGATCTGAGGTCGAGCTGTTTGAGGATAGAGTAAAGGAATATTGGTGTCTGGCCATCTAGGGCAAAGTTCTTCGTCCGCCGCATAGAAGCCATGTTGCAGAAGAAGTAGCTGGACAGATCGGCAATGGTACTCGCAGACAAATTTTGGCTGTACGATATGGGAGCAGTAGATGTGTGAGAGATGAAAAGTAATTGCACAAGATGCCTTGGAAACGAATTTATTCGTGCTCCTGTGTTGTGCCTTTGTGCTAGTCACCTGTAACGGGCTCTCGCTGAATCTTGTATCTTGCTTTGTTGATGGCCGCATAGCTTGATAAACAACAATCGTGTTTTGACACAACAGCTCAATCCAAGCAAACGGTGGATTGAACCAAAAAGGTCAACATCAACGAACAAGGGAACAAGGACAATTTTATAGTTTATTGTCAAACCGCAGGGCACCACTCATCATGTAGTCCTGCTCTTCTGGTTGCTCCCCGAGCATGACATGCTCCCTGCCGCCTCGTGAGGTCCACCAAGCCACGCAGGTTGCAGCGCGATCTACATCCATTTCACCATCACTCAAAGCCGCCCACAAACACTGTTGGCATTGTTGTTTTTGTGATGGATTTTTCACTTTCTGTAAAAGCTCGGCTGTCAAAGGAAGCCACTCTTCCAATAGCGGAACAGGTAATGAACTCAGACAGTCAATGATTGCTAGAAGAAGATTGGCTCTTTCAGATAAGGGTTGTTGGCTCTCAAGAGATAGGTCGGGATTGGGCGGCAGCAGATCTTCGGAGGCTTGTTCCATACGTTCTCTCAATAGGTCAAGAATAATCGCTTGCATCAACGGCATGGATACTGCAATGGGAGAAGGTGGTGCTGCCAATCGTACAATAGATTTGATGGCGAGTCTGAACTGTCGAGCTGTCAATGGCATCGGAAAGCTCTGGAGCAATGTCTCCACGTAGAAGGGAACATTCTTTGTTGCCACTTCCCCATTTTGAGGTGCCGCTAGAATGGCAAGCATGACACTATGGGCTGCTTCGAGGATTTCTCCCAACCGTGGGTCACCACGAGGATCAACATATGGCGCTGCCGCGTTGAATAACAGCTCCTGGCTCATCCTTGATGAAACAGTAAGTGTAAAGTGCTCCGCAGTATTGAGGAAGAAGAGATCGCGCATTCTGTCAAGGGGATGAGCAGGAATTCGTCCCAGTTCCGCGGGTCGGATTGTCTCCAAAAGGTTTTCTGATTGTGGTTGATATCGACTCAAGACATCGATAGCCGTGAAATTGACAAAAGTATACTGAGAAGAGGAGACCAGTCCAAACCGATGGGCGATGAAATATGTGTCTCGTAGAATGTGTAATGTCTGCATGGCCAGTCCTGGGGCAATATTGTCTGCACCCAATATAGGGTCGCAGAGAAGACGTCCAAGGACAGATCGCAGAGTGATGACGGCTGCAAACATCGTGTCTCGGAGTAATTGAAGAAGGGCCGGCAATGTTGCGCTAATGGTTTCCTGATCCAGGTACAGTGCTTCTTCTCTGGTGTCGATTTCTGACAACTTGTTCTGCCTCCAAGCTGTTGCCAATGTCCGTGCGAAGTCTCCAATTCTGTTCGTACAATGGACTATCAGCATCCGATCATGGACATTGTCGATACAATGAGCAGTCAAGCGCGAGAGCGACCCCAGCGCTGTTAAAAGACTCCGTTTCTTGATTTCCGCCAGCTTTTTGAACGAAATCGAGGCCGACGGCCAATTGAACTTCTGGGGTGAAGATTGGCGAATGTCATTGTCGATTGCTCCGACCCAATACCCATGCTCAAGACCCTCTTTTGAAAAATACGTTGCGTCAATCAGTAAAGGTAGTAGAAGATCATACTGAAGTTGCGACTGATGGAAATCGGAAAGGATGGGAAACGTGTGGTTCACCACAAAAATGACGCTCAATTCGCAATTCACTTCTGCATCTTTCTGTTGAAGAGCAAGATTTGTAGCCGTTACCAAAGCTGCCTCCAGCTTGTTCCGCAGGTCTGGCCGGAGCTCTTCAAATTGTCTCGATTGGAATGCGAGCAGTATGCCACCCAGCAGCAGTGTGTGTCTCCATCGCGGTGACCGTTCATCTGCGCCTTTAACGACTGCCTTTACCCAGTCTTCCACAGACAAATGACTTCGAAGTCGTTCTCGAGCAGGATCCTGTTTGTCTTCAATCAACCTCAGCAGCGCCGTATAGAAGACGGAGAATATCTGGCGAGATGGGCTAATCTCGATAGGTTGGGGAAAGAGAGCATCGTGTGACAGGAGATGCGACGTCAGCAGGGTGATATTGAGAGGGTTGGATAACCTGGACAGGAGGTTCGTAGCAGTTGGTAATAGTCTGGTCAAATGTCAGAACAGGTTTGTATCGCCTCGGGATGATTACCTGAGAGCATCTTCGGTATATTCGGACGTTTGCAACGACCGTAACAAGGTCGCCAGCGACCTATCCATTGTACTGGCACACCAGAGATGAGAGGGTGACTGACTACGGAGTAGAAGCCTACGAGTTACAGATTCAATATTGCTGCTTTGTGGACAACAACGATGATATGTTTCAACCGAGGTTCAGCCTTGCTACGTCTGAGCCAATCATGTTCTGCGAGGCTCCGGCCTTGGTCACTCTATCTACAACTCAACATCACAACTCTTGAGGATGGTGTCATTTCATCCATCATTGTTCTATAGTATTCGATATTCTGGATTCTGTTTCTGTATCCTCATTTGAGCTGCAAGTATTACAGTTGCCAGATTACAGAGAGGCCTTACAGTAAGTGTCACACCTTCCGCCAGCGCGACGGAACCAGAAATGGACGAAGCTTCATCATCCCTTCCTAAACAATGACCACACACTTGTATATGGTGTCGCCAGATGCATTGGCTATTGGCGTGTGACAAATGCTTCTTTGAGTCCTCCGCCACCGAAAACGCAGAGTTATTGGCACTAACTACCAGGATGATCGTGATCTATTTTCTTGTGCCTACTAAAACCCCTCCCTCGACGATATTTGAGCCTTTTCCTTCATGTGGACTCTCTCGTACCAAAGAATCAAACTTTTGAGGTTCAATAATCGGCCCCCAGATCTACTCCCAACAGGCATCTCTCTCAACAATCTCTGCATTAACGTCATGAACATGAAGCCTGTCTTTCGTGTTTTACAGCGGCTCTGGGCCAAAACAAAACCAAGCGCAGAGAGGAAAGAGAAAAGCTCGCAGTCAATACCAGAAGGCTTCTCCTTCCTAGCCAACAAAAGAGTTTCGCCTGACAACTGAAGACAATTGATCAAGATGGCGGACAACGAGCTTCGACGCAGTTCGGATCGGACTCTCCTCAATGCTCCGGCCTGTGGCGGTTTCGACGGACAGTCCCCACCTTATGAACAGAAGGAGACCGACCGTCGACAACATAACGACGAGGAGCAATGCACGCCTGGGAACCATCCTCTTCCTGTCGGTCTCCTCCACCCGTCTCTGCGACCCGTGTGGAAACAAGTGACCAAGAAATGGCTATGCACAATCATTATCATCATGTGCTTCATCTTGAGCGTCCTGTCCCTATACTGGGCAGTGCTCTTCCATGCAGGCAAGAATCTCACGGCCATCACAGTAGCCGTGGTCGACTTTGACAGTGCTATAGCTCCTTATGAGTCGACCACGCCTCTCGTCGGACCCTTTATCGAACGACTGGCTCGTACTCAAACATTCAGAAACGGCTCACTAGGGTACATCATCCAGCCTCCATCACAGTACAACAATGATCCCCTTGCTGTTCGCCAGGCAGTATACGAAGAGCACATCTGGGCTGCAATTATCGTCAATGCCAATGCAACTAGTCTTCTCCAGCAAGCGGTTGCAGTGGGAAATGAATCCTACGACCCTCTTGGCGCAGGCCACATCATCGTCAACTCCGCCCGAGACCAGAACACATATTCCGACTACATCATGCCTGTACTCTCTCAGTTTCGAATCTCTGCAACATCGATATTTGCCGAACAATGGATTCCCAGCGTCCTCAGCAACTCCAGTCTCTCCTCGGCAACCTATTCGCGCTGTCCGCAGGCGCTGAATCCGGCCGTTGGCTTTTCCACAGTCGATCTACGTCCCTTCTATCCGTACCAAATTACGCCGACCATTACGATCGGCTTGATCTATCTCATCATCATGGCCCTTTTCAGCTTCTCCTTCTTCCTACCGGTTTACGCGGAATTTCTGATCTCTCGAGGCCACCCGCCCATTCATTTTTGGCAACTGATATTGATCCGCTTATTCGCCACGACGTGTGCCTACTTCTTTATGTCTCTTTGCTACTCCCTTGTGAGCTTGGCTTTCCAAATCCCATTCTCTGACACGTCACCACACGTCAGTACGGAAACGGCCATCAACCACAATGCATACGGCAAAGGCACGTTTGTGGTGTATTGGATGTTGAATTGGGTCGGTATGTACGCTTTAGGTCTGGCGAGTGAGAATGTGACTATGGTTGTTGGTCAACCCTGGACAGCATTGTAGGTTCACCTTCTTTTACTGTTCTAGTTCTTTCTCGCGATGTTACACCCCTTTCTTCCCGCAGACTGCGTTACGATGCCACCAACTAACAAATGTAACAAACACAGTTGGCTGATATTCTGGGTAATATCCAACGTCGCAACATCCATCTACACCATCTCTCTGGCGCCCAGCTTCTTCCGCTTCGGCTACGCCTGGCCTCTCTATCACATTGTCAAAGCCACTCGGACCCTCCTGTTTGACACACACAGTCACATCGGCCTCAACTTTGGTGTGTTGTTCGCATGGTGCGCCGTCAATACAATCTTGTACCCGTTCTGCTGTGTCTTTATGCGATGGAAGTCTGACAAGAAACTCGCACGCAAAGTACCACAAAAGACGATCAAGTATCTTATTGATGGTTAGCCTGGGGTTAGGAGGGCCAGACATGAAGGTTTGGGTTGTACAAAAACCGGCGCTGGTCATGGTATAGGGAATGCTACATTTGATTTTGAGAGACCAGAAAAGTTATACACTGCAATGATATAGAAGGTGGGTGATTGATTGTATAGATGATATAATGATGATAATATGAATAACATGTACTACTACCATATAGCATAGGTAGAATAATCCATGTTCCTCACTATGAGTTTCTTTGAGTGCGGTACATTTCAGTCACTTCTTGATACTATTCTCCAAGACACATGACTTGAAACAAGTGAAGATTGAAATCCAATACACCATTGCCCAGGAAGGATGACATTAAGAGATGCAGGTCATGATGCATGTCTCACGTGGACGACGATCTTGTCTAGTTCTTTTCATGTCTGGCGTTTGCATTTCGTCTAGCCATCTACACTCAAACGACCCAACGGAAACCCAGTCATCATGAAAAGGGCTGGTGCTACTTTGTCGTAGGTTTTGGGGCGAGTCAACAACATTCGAGTAGACGCAAATTGTAAACACACAATCGTAAGTACCCCAGAAGTACTCCTAGGAGCACTTCTACAAACAGCAGTCTGCGGCACCGCACAGAAAAACAGTACTTGGTAATTCCATTCTGCATGTCCTAACTCTCTGCATGATGATGATTCATAGTCGAAAAGCACCATCCTTTTCCTTTTTTTGCCTCTTATGCCAGGTTCGGATTTTGGGTATCTCGGATGGATTTTTGGTTTATACCTCGGACCCAAAAGGTTTTGTACCGCAAGAAACCCCGAGCTCAACAAAGACAAAAAGTCGAGAAGATTCATGCGTAAGTACTCGTAGGTTTCTTTCTCGGAGGGATGTAATCATAACGGAGTAGGCAACAGGGACCAGTGAACGAGTGTTCAGGCGGACCAGGCTCAAAAACCCAAAACCACTGAGTTCAAAATTAATCAAGTAGTATGCAGCGTGTGAGAGTACTCCTCTACAAAGGAAGAAGGCACCAGTACCGAGTTTGAGGCAAGATTGTCCGTGCTACTACAATACATATAAACTTCAAGCCTACAAACAGGATTGGACCCTTGAAGGGTATGAAGGCCTGATGATGTGCAAGTCACTGTCAAATCGAGGCTTTGGAGAAGCAGAAAAAAGCACAGATGGGGGTCAAAGAACACACCAACATGCCAAAGAACAGACTCGGATGGATAGAACAGACAGTCTGATTGAAAGATTCGTGCAGAGACCCCCCCCCCCCCAAAAAACACAAGAGACACAGACCTACTAGACACAGACAGAAACAAAAACGTCTCGGGAGGATCTTTCACAGGCACTGGTTCGAGACGTACCCGAGATCTCGACATCGAGATAGATGTCGACACAAGTGAAGGGAGAGCACAGCTGGGGAAAGGATGTGCAGTGCTGTTGCAGTGCCAAAGAAAGAAACGTCAAAAGGGAAAATCATACTCGTGCGAGACCCAAGGGTAGACACAGTCCATGTTCTGAAGTTGAGTGACATGACTTTCACTCCCCGTGACCCGTGATGTGACCCGTGACCTCTTGACACTGAAAGGTCTCCCTCCTTCACCCTTCACACGGGAGGTGCCTAGGGGAGGGTGGCCAAAACGTAGACGGACCTTTTGGGAGGGAGGAAAATCAAGGTCAAAGACACGGGCAGCACGGTGGCGACAGCCAACTGACAGTGGTGTCTGCGGTCCCTTCCCGTCCCTCTCATACTCATGGTTGACTTGACGCACCCGCCCTGCGAGAAGGCAGAGTCTGGTCAGAGCATGATCGTACCAAGATACAGTAGAAGGGTGACGGAAAGAGGCAGGAGAGTGATCCATGCCATTCGAAAAGCGTGGGCATGCCAAAGACCCTGTTAATGATGCTCCTCGTCCCTTGAATTTCACAGCGAGATCAGAAGTCGCGACAAGACAACAACAAGAAAAAAACAACTCACTGGCAAATCTCGATCTCAGACCACAAGCTCGTGACTCGTTTGGGTAGATTGTGAGTTTACTGCCGATGGCCAGAATCGGTGGCAAGAAGAGACGAGGTGAAGAACCAATTTCTCATCTCGGAAAGCAAGGAAAGTCTCCAGAAAGCCTCCAAATGAGGGTCGGAAGGGATACCAGCAGAAGAATCGTCAAGTCCGTGAGGTAGGCAGTGCACTCCTTTTTGCCACCCTCAAAAACGGAACGGGACTGACGATGAGGTCGATCAGCCCACGAGTATAATTCACTCACCTCACTGTACAAGTAAACACAAACGAGTCCACTGTCGTTGCGCGAAACTTACGCGATGGCTCGAGCACAGACTTGCGAAGGAAGGAGTCTTCGCTGATCAGAGCGCACAGAGTGCAATCTCCCCAGACGGACGGCGACAGCGAGCACAGACACTGTCGACAGTCAAAACGGTCAAAGCCGAGAAGGGTTTTTTTGGGGTTGTTGACGTCGACAGGGGCCTGCTGAAGGAGGGTCAGATCTTGACAGTGGTCAGTGAGTGAGTTGTCGGCGGGCCATGGTCTGAGAGCCCAGAGTGTGTCCCTGACTAGCACGGGAGGGCAGACATCGACGGCGACAGCGACACAGACACCGACACTGAAAGCCGAATGACTTGATTGACTCAGGTACGGGATCGAAGGGGTGTGAAGGGGGGCATGGCAAGACCCCTGAAAGCTGTCCCGTCGCCTTCAGAAGCAGGCACACAGACTCTCTCTCCCACACATACTTTAGAGAACCCAGAGTGCGCGCGCTCCCGCCGACAGAGCAAAAGTCCTCTCTCCACCATATCTGAGTCGTGTCGAACTGGCAGTGCCTTCAGAGCCTTCAAATTGGCAAAGACTGTGTTCCTGCATAAAGCACCACACCACCAAGAATGTCAATGATCCCGTCCGACCCAATCCGAGTATAGACTTGGAGCTAGACCTGTTAAGAATCATCCTCTGGAAAACGGGCAACTGCTCTGCCCCGGCCGAGACTGGCCGAATCCTGATGGACGCCAGATGCCAAGGTCAGCGGAAGCGAGCACCGTCGAGATGAGGCATGAACTGCCGGCATAGGCGAGGCAAGGAAGGCCACGCTGCTGGAGGGGTGGAAGACGCGGACAAGTGCTGCTAAGGTACGATGATGAAGGCGATGATGCAGGCAGAGAGGCAACTCGAAGAGACCGTGCAGCTGAATGGGCCACTAAGGCACACACGTACAATAGTGGTCTGCGTGTGTCAATGACAGCTGTGCGCTCGCCCAGCGAAGAAAAAGCATCCACCACCGCGTCCTGTCGACATTACGCATAAACGACATGATGGCGATTTTGTCCTCGTAACAGAGTTTCGTCGTCTGCTGGAGTCAAAAAGAGAAGCGACGATCAGATAGGGAAGTCAAGTGTGGACAGGCGCCCTCTTTCGACATCTTTTTGGTCCACAGCATCAGCCTAATGGACCCTAGTCGACCTGGGGAGGGGGGTGGGTGTGCGAAAAAGAACAAGAAAGAGGACGGGCGTTATCTTGCAGGCCTGTTCAAAGTCTGGGTAGCTGTCAAAAAATGATGCAGGTTCTAAGTCTGACTTGCATCTTGACAGCACCAGCGGCGTCCCCTCTTCTTACCGCAGTCCCCTCCCGGACCCCGCCGCAGCTTTTCTCGATGTGAGCGAGACTCGAGTCCATGATGCACCATGGTGGAGGGGGCTGTTGAGCCCTTTTGCGCTGTGCATGACGCCTGGGGAGGACCCGTTGAATGCAATGCATGTACAGCGTGGCTAGATCCAAGGACATTTTTCCGTGGTGCCGCTCAATGATGTCGTTGCGTGGGTGTCCGTTCTACTCGTACCAGAGACCCTAGGGCAAGACCCTAGACCGGGATTAAAAATGAACAAGGAACAGGGAGGAGAGAGGAGGGAGCAGCATATCCGAGTTCAAGGTGTCATACGGAAGACGGATGAGGAGATGGAGGGGGTGGATTGGATGGGAAAGAAGAGGCTGGGCTTAGGGTGATGGAGGGATGGATGGAGGGTGCGAGGGAGGGAGGGAGGGAAGGGAAGGGCGCAACACTGTGACGCCTGAATGGTCATGCTTTCTCGACCCACGACGACGATCCGAATCTTCATCATCTTGTGCCTGCAAACTGTTCGAGTTTGCCCCCAGTCGTCAAGAATTCGGCCGGCATGGGACTTTGCAGGTACTATGCAAGATGCAAGTGTCTCCAAGCAAGTTCTCTGGATTCAGTACCCCTGTCTGGCGGTCGCTGCCCTTTCTGTCGTTCGTTGGCCCTTGTCATCGATAAGCGAGAGGCGAGTGGTGCCCAGGGAGCCCGCAATTGTCAGCTGCAGGTGCAGGGGTTTTGAGAGGCCACTTAACCTGCTTCTGGTAACCTCAGACTGACTTCGTTACCTCATGCGAATACTGCTCTGCCCATCCCATCATGTTCCGTTCTTGTCCTGAAGCTCATCGAAGCGAGATGGGTGGTGTGAGCAGCGCATATGCCTGGGCAACACGTCGCTTGTAGCTCCTACGCACTCTGTGGAATAGTTTACCTGTCGTACTAGAGTAAATGCGTACACATCATCAACGAAGCCATCGCTTGGACCATGTAACGGTTTCTACGTCTATCCGGCAATACTTGCATCAAATGTACAAGTACTCGTACTCGTTGTAGTGAACAGAACCAAAGCTTCGAGTAGTGCCACCCAGGCGCGCAAAGTCATGATGAGCAAGTAAGTCTCTGAGCTTTTTCTTCTCTCTCGCCTGCAGCAGTGCAAAAGTCTCTGAATGTGATGATGTAACTGTTCTTGTGTATTGTACAAAGTCGATTTCCAATGCTAGACTGACTTGACTGATCTGCCTCAATCCTAAAATCCATTTCCACTGTCCCAAAGTATCTTGCTGCTGAGAAAGCTATGCAGACACTCATGAAAAATCCCTCGATACGTGAAAAAAGCATAATTCATCACACAAAATTTCTCTTCCTTGCTTGAGAAAATCAATATACTGTGAGTCATGTAAGTCTCCTGTATGGTGGTTGTACATAGTGGCCCATGACCCCTCTGATTTTGAAGTAAAATATCCCATCCCGCTTCCTTGTTGCGTTGTAGTAGTATATCTCATGCATAATCGTGAAAAAATGATCAGAAAAGTGAATATCCCATCCCATCATGAACATCTAAGGAGTCTTGTTTTTAGCGGTTTAAAATCCTTGTAGTCGCCGTTTGCCCCTTTCCCTCGTGAATCGAAAAATGTTGCTGTTTTCATGCACGGCTTTGCAGGGTCTTCGCCCTCTCGCGCTTGAGTTTAAGTGCTGGGAGCTGTCGGCGACGAGCATTGATGAACCAATTGCTGATCTAAGGAGTTTGTCAGTATATAGATTCGTAGATCGATAGTAGTGCAAGAGTACTCACCTGACTGATGGTCAAACCAGTGCGTTGGATAAAGACCTGCTTCTGTTCATCACTTGGGTAAGGATGATCCAGATGGTCCTGCAGCCACAGGCGAAGAATGTCTGTGATGGGCTTGGGGAGATTGCCACGGCGTCTTCGGCCACCGGCGTGAGAAGGATAGCCCATCATAGGGTAGGACAAAAGCTGGCCGTACTTGACATGGTATGGCGAAGTGTCCACCGAGCGGTAACCACCAGCATATTCAATTGGGCTTCGATACTGATCATAGGGTTGCCCATATCTGTTAAAGTCCACTGATTGATATGATCGGTCCATGGCCATGTATGGGTTGTATCGAGGGGTAGAATGGACTTCGGGAGTCCTCCATCGCTGGTATGTGTCGGGGCTCTCATGGGCTTGTCGAGGGATTGAATAGGCCGATGGGTAAACGCTCTCCTGGGTGTCGGAGGGAATCATGGGCTGGGCCATGCCGAACTGTGCTGGAACTGTTGGGCCCGCGCTCATTGGAACAGGGTCGGTGTAAGTCGAAGACGTCGACCACGGCGAGCTGTACTCTGCTGGTGTTCTGGCAGGAGTTTGTAATTGAAGAGATGGTGGGAGTCCGTTCATCTGAATGTGACTCGAGTTGTCTGCTGGGTAGGCCAATGGGCTGGAATGTGGTTGAGCCGGTGCTGGAACTGCGGCGACACTCATGCCGGTGGTCGGTTGTGAGCTGAGATATGATACTGCCATGGGCCGTGACGACGGCACTTCTTGGGCGTTGGACTCGAGAGTGTTCCCGCGCGGAGGAGGGATGACCTGATCATCAATGTCAGCAACGAGCATTGTCTCGTCGTCGTCGGGACAACCTACTTCTCGAATAGATGGGAGCTGCTGCTCAGGCTGAGGTATTTCGAGCCTTGGTTGAGAAGGCACTGGTTGGTTGTGAGAAGGATAAGGTCTGGCAGAACTTTGGCTGTAGTGGTCCATGTTTTGAAGGAATGACTTTGATGGAAGACGTGACAGTGAATATGATGGTTGAGCTTGATGAATTGGGATCCAGAGAAGGGCAGAGTCGAGGATAGATATTCACTTGAGATACAAGCGGGTCTGCACGTCCCAGGTCTGTTCACAGTCGTTGCGCAACGTCTGTCCGCGAATCAGTCCGACTATGTGGAGCAAGAGCTCTGTGCACCTGTCGGCCTGCAGGAGGTCTAAAGTCTAGGAGTCTTTGAGGGAGGTTGACAGTGCATTGACAGTACGCAAAACACAAAAACAAAGACAAAGCAGGAGCCCAAGATAGTATGGAGCCTTGATATCGCGTCAGTCAAAAAAGATCGAGACACTGATGGGTAGCCCGAACCTGGCATTGCAGGACCAATACGTCGACACTTCATACCATTCCAAATCCGACCGTGTTCGCCAGCGCAAGGTATATGAAAGAGGCAAAGACGGAGTCGTGTGGAGCAGATATGCACAAAATTCACATATACTAGCCCTACCTCTACTGCGCGCTCTGTAGGCGTTCGAGTAGGTCGAGTCGTGTTATGGGCTGGCTTGTGGTGGTGGCGTGGTCCCCACCAGATTCCAGGCTATCCGCCAACCGTGTTATACCACTTTTGCGTTTTACTGAAGATAGTCAGGGACCATTCGAACATGTCTCTGTTTGGGTGGTGTGGGCCCTAGACTCCTCATTCTGGAGTAGCCTCGATGGAGATGTGGAATACTGACGCTGTGCCTCCATTTGGCCTTGCTGGCGCTGTCCCCGTTTGGCTCCCCCTGCCACCTTGGATCGGGCAAGTTCGAAAAGACAGACAGCGGCTGCCAGTTTCAAGGAGCATTGACTGGTCTTTGCTTACGGCAGAAGAACAGCCCAGCAAATTACCGCAGACAGGCACGGACAGCAATAGGGGCGCAAAGATGCGCGCACCTCGCGATGCAAAGGTCTGGCGACGCGATGCGATACAAGACGATTTGTGCCGTATCAATAATGACGGTTGCGCCTCCAACGGCAGAGCATCCCGCTACTATCCAACCTATAGACCAAATTCGGCAGCACAAGGGTTGATCACAATCTTTTCAGGATCTCTTCGGATGTGGCTAGTGACCGTGGCTGCATCATCGTTCAGGGACCGCTGAAATCATCCTACAGTAGATGCTGCACCTGCAGCGCCTCGCCTCGTAGCTTTGCTGCGAAAACGAGTCTCGACTGCCCTTTCGAGTCTCGGGACTTGTCCCAGATGGCTCTGCCGACAACGTTTTGAGACTGGAGCGCGATGCAGCCATCTCAATGCAGCACTGTCCGAGCCCACCGCACCCAAAATCGGTGCGGCCGGCCAAAGGCCACCCTGGGCCTCCTGCAAGAGCCAACCTAACACAGTCAAGCCCTTGAAAGTGTTAACCTGGGGACCTGTGGCCGCTGCCGCCAATCCACAGTCGCCTGATGGCGTTATGCGGCGACCAGGCCTGGGCCGTAATCTAGTTTTGCAGAGGACGCCACACCCGATGGGTTGGGGTTAGATCGGGCGATGCAAGCTATCAGCAGGGACAGCTGGGCAACGCAGCCCATAGTTCTCTCGGGAAGGCCTTCTCCATGTCTAAAGGAATGGTGACTTGGCATAACGCGTGAATTGTAGTGCGATACCACACTCCTCATCGCGAACGATGCATTTGTACGAGGCGTTCTGCCATCCGTTTAGCTTGATATGCAGGAGCTCGAATAGTTTCTGCCACCACACCGAGATCTGTTCGAGTCTGCTGGGAGGTTGCCGGGCCGTTCGTCCTTGATCAGCGCAATCCAGGGACATGATTTGATAGCCCAATGTGGACAGCGACCTGCCGAGGTTGGATCGTCACTGAGGGCTGAAGGACGTACAAGCCCCCTCCAGGGTATATCCGATCTCATCAGGACTTGGCACCATTGTCCCTGGTTGCGCACCCTGCCTCTAATCTTGTACGATACGGACATCTGTACCCCAGGATCTCGACTTGTCATGTTCAGGCCATCTTCACGTAATTCGGGCCTCTTTTCAATGCCTGGCCCTGTACTAGACCACACTCTTGTAGCTGATGATGAGATTGTTGACCAAAGGTGGGACGGTAAGCAGGACTCCAACATTACTTCATGTGCGCTTTTTGACGAGGATTAGTATGAGTCTGCAAACCAGTCGACTCTTCTTGCCACCTGCTGCATCCTCCGAGCACTACTCAGCACCGAGCAAACCTGACGGCATACGTGCATTTGCTACTTCTGGTGGATTGGCCTTTTCTCTCTCTGTTGGGAAAGGCTCGGATTGTCTAGGACCGAAGGAGCTAATGTAGACAGCCACAAAGGAACGTGTTCAGATGGTATGTAATTGCTGTACATGGTGGGCCGAGACTGAGCCAGAGGTTGGTGAGCAAGGATGTTCGGATGGCATCCGAAGAAAAATTACGGTGGTTTGAGTGGCTCCGTCGAACCCGCCTTGCAGCTTTGTCCCGCCTTCAGGTGAACCTTGTTCAAGAGAGGCGATGGTCCTCGGCTTTACATTGGGGCATATGTATGTGATCACAGGGGCCGTAGCTCACCCAGTTGCATTCTCTCTTTCTCAGCACATTCCAAGACTAACAAGGCGGGGGAAAGGCCTTCCGCCCGCTTCGCCTCTCTGCACGAGACATTGCTCTGGTTGGCCCACCAGTTCCTAAGAAATGGAATCTTGGGGAGGGATGATGTTTCAATGAATCATTACGTCCAAAAGACTTTTCGAAATCGTTATGCCCTCTCCTCGGGCCCCTTTTGCTTGCTTACTTTATCCTTGCGGTAAGAGAGCTAAAGCCAGAGCCAGATTCTGCAAAAGGCTGAACAAGAATATCAAATCCGCCTCACGCATTACTGCAAGCTATTGAGGGTCTGCCTACGCAACCTGTGGACTAGCATTGCAGGAAGAGCGAGAAAAAGACCTGCTTACCTGGTGGTGGGCAACGAGAAGAATAGTGTGAACTGGACCGAGCCCACAGCGCTTAGCGGGCCGTTCGGCTGCGGATGGCATTGGCCGAGGCGAAAAGTTCCCAGTGTAAAATCTTCGCTCGAGACCTACAAGAGCTTCGAAGTGGACGCAATATACGCGATTCAAATAAAGTTATCCGCTAAACTTATATAGGCTGGGGTTACCCGCTATACTCAATACAACAACTACTACGATTGGTCAAGGTCGCCGTCTTACCCGCCGGACCTTGGCATCCGCTATGAACCTTGATGATAGGCAAGTTCAAATGTCCCTGATGAATAATTCCCAGACCCTGAATTATTTTCTACTGTATCTTGAATTCAGTTCCATAATTTCATAGGCAGTTCCCTACGGCCCCAGACGGTCCGCTAATCGCGCAATACAAGGTAGAGGTCCACGGCCTAATGCATATCAATCTCAAGCTCGTTAATGACCTAATTGAATCCGGGTTTTGGTCAGCCCAGCCCACATTTCACGTACTGCGGCGCAGAAAGTGCCCAGCCCTTTTGGAAGCCCTAACATCTCAGCTGATGGGATGAGTCTCCGCACCCTCGATACTTCCATACCCCTCTGGTTCTACGTAAGGACCGGCCACTTCCGGGCTTTGAATTGGAGGGTCGAACTGGAGGGTTGAGAGACTCTGCCACAGTGACATACGATAGCAGCACATATCTGCCGTTCACAATCAAGGAGTGACGCCTTTCGCGACTCCTCCAATATCGGGCTTTTTACGACAATTCCGATCACCAATTATGAGAAGGGGGCTTTTGGCTTCTACGTTATGCTGTCGAGCCAAATAGGCGCGTCTCCCGCAATAGGCCCAGCCCAGGTGGTAGTGGTATCGGGATCTGAATATGCGTACGGCCAAGTCCATCGCCGCGCCCTCATCTGGCTGGCCCTATCGCGGGCTCCGAGAAGAGAATCCTTGGGGGTTACGACTGCACTTCTTCACCACTACGCCTTTAGTGCAACCATTGCGCTGGGCCTGAATCGTTATCGATTCGGATGGAAGGTCTATATCTCGCCATCGACCAGACGTCGAGTGTCGAACATGGGTGTACCTTGCTGGGCCGTACATGACTTCAAGATTTGATTTTATAGCGTTCGACTATCAACCGAACCCCGACGATCTGGTTCGAACTTTTGCAATTTCGTTCAGGGTTTTTCCTCCGGGCTGCTCGGAAGCGACAATGCGACGAGACTTTGACTTTGCCATCATCGCTTATCGTCCTGGAATGAGCCTGTGAGGTCTTCGCTTCCCCGCAACCAAGACTCTTAGTCTCGACGTACGCACTTTGGCGATATATTAGCAGATTTACTGCGAAGTTGTAAAAATAGGCAGTGATCAACACGAAGGGACAGAAGAAACAGGATATTTTCAGCTTGAACTTTCGTGAATCATGAAGCCACAGACGTGAAACTTTCATGAAATATTCGGGCGACGAGACTTCCCGCCTCTGGGAGGCGGCACAGCCCCCCGTAACCGTCGTAGACGACACATCCTGGCCATTTGCTCAAAGCAGATAGTGAGGCCGTCACTCGTTCTCAACCTTTTCGATGAGTTGATAAAAGGCAATCTCACTTTTATGTCAAGGGTCAGCAACTCTATCGAAAGCGATCTTGAAAGGGTGTTTCTAAATGTTCAATCCTTGACATAAATGATAGCAGGGGAGTGTCGAGACAGGGAAATAACCACTAGTCATCGATACTCGAAGCTAGCTGAATGCCAGCACTATACGGAGTAGTGTCGTCGTAGGAACAGTCGTGGAGGGGTAAGAATTCTCCCATCTTGACCGTCTTGCGACAATGAGGGCACTACCGAACAGGGGGGACATATTGGGCCGGTCGCACTAATCCCGATTGACGCCGAACATCACCAGTATTCTACCCTCTCCCCATGGTCGCGTCTCGCGTCATCCTCCACCAGCCTTCAAGTTTCATCATGTCATGCCAGATTTCCAATATTCGCCTCGATCGAGTCCGACCTGTCTTCAACGTGGAAGACCTGTATTACAGCACAGCTAATGTCGGCTATTGTGAGGGGGAAGCATTTAGTCGAATTTAAGCGAAGCACTACCATTTTGGATCAAATATGCCGTGAAGCTGCAGGCGATATGCACCTAAGCAATTAGCCAGAGAGCTTTCGGATTTCCACCTTTCTGCGAATGATCTGGCCAGATCCCTCAGCTTTGTATTTTCATTTGCATGGGTATCCGTAAAAGGATGAAATATTTAGAACAAGCTGGGCTGAAGGTGGCTCCTTTTTTGAGGTGAAATTTTACCTAAGCAAACTCCTACTGTACATGCTCGTACATTGCTTCTACTGTACTGTACCATAGCAACGCGACCGTACTCGAAATCGTCCGCCGCCACCGTCTCTTGGCTTGGCCACCACCGGCCCGCGCAAACGTTTGTGCAGAAATGCCAGCTTCAAGGTTTGACGGTGCTGTTTGCTGCATTCAACCTGCACTGCGGCACCAGGGAAAGGAATTCCTGGCGAAGGATGAATGCAGGTTTCACGATAGTATCGAAAGACTATGCATCATTCCATCACTTCTCCCTAAGCGAATCCGATTTTTCCTTCATCGCATTCTGAAGAGGGAAACATCGGCATGCAGCAGGCATGCCCGAACGAGAAAACTATTGTAACTACTGCACCTCCTAGCGTCCCACACCAGCTGCAGGCCGAGAGATGAAGACCGTACGACGTGGCCATTTTCGAACTCACTGCATCGCCTCCCCTGCGCACAATGGCAACCCTGCCGTTGCCAGACAACCTAGGATGATGGCCATACAGACACCTACCTGGATGTAGTAACTCATACAGTCCACCAAAAAATCTTTCATCTCGGGGCCATAGTTTATGCGTCCCGGTGTTCAGCCTTGCGCCGGCGATATCATCGGGGAAACCTCACATCTTCGGACAATTATGCGCCCAAACTAATCACTCTGTCTATATGACAACGTCCTTGGTCACTGGACTACAAGCTTCACCAGGCGAATGAGCAGCCGGCTCTCACAGGTAGGCATGGCTAATGACCGCGAGATCAGCAGTATTATAACAGGGCCGCCTACCCCATTCGTACCTCTGACCGACCTCAAGCCAATGTCAACAACCCTCGTGCCGGCAGCTTGGAGATGAAGTTGTTTGCGAAGCCGAAAGTGAGGAGTACAGTTGTAACGTTCCCCTCAAATACAGAATAAAGAAGGAGAGGGTTCCTTTGATGTTCCGGTTGTACTTCCTCCAAACCTTTTCGTAAGAGTGCGCTAGGTTGATCTTTCTCCAGCTTTGCCAGTGTGCAGGCGTGTGTTGTTTTGTCATATCACTATCATAGAGAATCCCGCCGTCGAGAGTCTTGTACAGACGCTCCTTCCAGCCTCCCCCGATTGAACGCCCAGAAAGCACCAGAATCATTATGTCCGTAGCGGCAAAGCCCAACTGGTGGAAAGCCAGCACCTGCTACCAAATATGGCCGGCTTCATACAAAGACAGTAACGGCGACGGCATGGGGGACATCCCCGGCATAATCAGCACACTTCCTTACCTGAAAGATCTAGGCGTTGAGACTGTTTGGCTATCCCCCATGTACGACTCACCACAAAAGGACATGGGTTACGACATTTCCAATTACGAAGACATCTACCCTCCCTACGGCACCATGTCGGACATGGACAACCTGATCAAGTCCTGCCACGACCTGGATATGAAACTGATCCTCGACCTGGTCGTGAATCACACGAGTGACCTGCACGCATGGTTCATCGAGTCGCGCAAAGACAAAACCAACCCCAAGGCGGACTGGTACATTTGGCGCGATCCCAAGATCGTCGACGGCGAACGTCGCCCTCCCAACAACTGGGCATCGATATTCGGTGGCAGCGCGTGGGAGTACGTGCCCGAACGCGACCAGTACTACCTCCACCTGTTCGTCACGGAGCAGCCCGACCTCAACTGGGAGAACGAGGAGACGCGGGCGGCCATTTACGAGTCTGCCATCAAATTCTGGCTGGACAAGGGCATCGATGGGTTCCGCGTCGACACGGCGAACCTCTACTCCAAGGACACGAGCTACCCGGACGCACCGGTCGTGATCCCCAACGAGTACCACCAGCCCGCGTTTCAGTACTACCTCAACGGGCCCCGCATGCACGAGTTCCTCCAGGAACAGCGCGAGCGCGTGCTAGACAAGTACGGCGACATTCTCATGGTCGGCGAACTCCCCAGCACGGGCTTCGAGGAGGTCATGAGCTACATCTCGGCCGCGCGGAGGGAGTACAGTTGCGTCTTCGACTTTGACGTGGTCCTCCTGGGCACGCACAAGGACGCGGGGGGCAAGAAGCACCACTCCCACCGACACACGCTGCCGCAGTTCAAGGACGCCATCCGCAAAGTCCAAGACATGCTCCGGGGGACGGACGCGTGGACGACGGTGTTTTTGGAGAACCACGACCAGGGTCGGAGTCTTTCGAGGTTTGCCACCGACTCCCCCCAATTCCGCGAACGGGCGGCCAAGATGCTCGCCATCCTCATGTGTACCTTGTCCGGCACCATGTTCTTGTACCAGGGTCAGGAGATCGGCATGTACAATTACCCTCTGCACTGGGGCGTCGAGGAGCTGCGCGACGTCGACAGCATCAACGCCTACAATGAGGTCATGCACCACCACAACGGCGACCCCCTGTGGTTGAAAAAGGCGCTCAAGGGGCTCCAGCTCGTCGGGAGGGACAATGCCAGGTTGCCGGTCCAGTGGGACGCGAGTGCCAATGCAGGATTCACCACAGGCAAACCCTGGATCCGCGTCCACGACGACTATGAGAGTGTCAACGTCAAAGCCCAGTCGGACGACGAAGGGAGCGTGTTGAGCTTTTGGAAGAGGATGATCAAGTTGCGCAAGGATCACGCCGAGACCATGATCTTCAGTCGAGAGTTCGAAATCTGGGACAAGTGGGATCAGGACGTCTTCACCTTCACAAAAACCCACCCGGACCGTGGCGGGGAGACGCTGCTGGTCTTTCTGAACTTCTCCGACGAGGAACAGCCGTTGCATTATCCTACCGCTCTTGCGAGCGCACGCCAGGAGCTGCTCGTGAGTAGCGCCGACAACGTGGGACAGTACCTGAGTCCCTGGGAAGGGAGGGTGTATCTTTACAAGGAGACCGTGCTCAATGGCGCATGAGACCAAACCGATGTTGTCGGGCGACGTGAGAAAAGCCGCCTCGAATCTTGAGGCATGTTGTGCGGTCGTCTCTTTCCCCCTGAACAAAGCGAGTAACATAGAGTAGAGCATACAGCGTAGATTTATAGCAGAGTGTCAGCGTATGTTTGTATTCATTAATCTATATCTATATTAGACATGGTATGCAAGAGTATTTGCTCAAAAGTTGAGATGAATCTCTTTTTGAAACCCACGTCGAGATGTGCTTCCTTACGATGCAGTGGTGAAGATGCCACCAACAATGTATCAATGCTGATTTTGTCAGAGGTGCACTTGAACACATGGCAATCGTTACGGAGGATTGTTGTACCCAGCGCTGTCGTAAGGGGCGGTACTCCCTGATCTTGATTATCGTACAATTAACCTGCGAATACGTCCCTTCAAGAGGCGTCTTCTGTCAAGAACATGGCGCAAAATGCAGCAAAGGGGGGCTTCCATCGATGACCAAATCTCGGATCCTCTAGGAACAGATCTCTCCTGCGTAGACTTCAGTCGATTCGGTGGTATTGAGATTGATTCGTACGTAGAACGCTCAATATTGTCAGATCCAGGCGGGTTGGGTTCATGTTTTCTTATATCTGGGGTTGTATATCTGGTCATCGGTTCCAGTTGGTTCGCCTGTTGGGGAAGGCTCGTTGACCAAAGGTTTATGTTGTGTTTCCGACCCGTCTTCCCAGAACTCTAGATCTTCTTCGCCTTCGTTTCCGACCAGCGCACCAGGACGAATGCCCAATTTCCCCTTCTTCAGCAATTGGGTAAAGTCCTCACCCGCTTCCAATTTTTCTTTCAGGATGTCTTCTAATGTCTTGCTGGTGTCGAGAAAGACTTTGAGATGATCTGCGATGACATGGCGGGATTTGCAGGAAGGGCAAGTGACCAACACAGTGCCGTGATGGTAACCTTGCTTGGTGATGCGATGCGTCGAACGGTGGAGGCAAGGCTTACAGGTGAAGCTTAGATGATATGCCGGTGCATCTTCTGAGGGCTGTGTCTGAGGCTGCCCTCCCGGAATGCTGAGAGAAGAGTTGCGTCGTTTGAGGGCCGCAGATGGATAACGAGTATTCAGAGGTGGTCGAAATGAGAATGAGGGTCTGGACAGTGAAGACTGTAGGCGATGATGTTGTCTGAGAGGATTGGTAATGTTGCGGCTGGCTATCAGCCGACGGGCTGTCGAGTAGATTGGCTGCATTGTATTTGACTCGTAAGGTCTCAAGTAGCAAGGACAAGCGTTGAAGTTGTGGTATTCTCTTTTTATTGAAATTGTTTTGAGAACTGCGAAGCGCAGTCGCATTTGCAGGTGTAGCCTTGCGCAGCCTTGTCGGGTGAAATGACGCAGAGTCTTGGCAATTCGAGGCCCCGAAAGACTTTCGGGGAATCACATCGCAATATCGCAGGTGCGCCGAACCTCATCCCAAGGCTCTCACTGCAATGGGCTCTCCATTTCTCACCTTGCCTTCACTTCTGTTCCTTCTGGTGACAATGATTTCGACGACTCCTCCAAATTGCCCCGCCTCCTAAGATCCTCCTCCATCCAAACTTCTTTCCTCACGCCGTGATCGTTGTCTTCCGACCCGGATTTCCCCACGCTGTTTCTTCCACAGAGCCTCAACACCAGTCTTGTGCGGGCAAGGCATCATTGCCACGATGTTGGCCAGAGGAAGAGCAGGAAAGATAAGGGCACCTAGGCGTGTATGTTTTGCAGCCATTCCTCTCTGCAACCCCTATTCTAGGTAGCCTGCTGCGGCGAACGGCAGCACTGTCATTGCGACAAGGTCTTGTCGACGCCGCATCCCCCACATTTTAGGGTCGTTATGCCGAGTTGGCCCCTGTGGAATGAAACTCATTCTCAGCCTTGCCTCCAGTCGTGAGAGGAACAGTTGCTAACTCGGTTACCTCTCACAGGGCCTGAATCCAACCGATGTCGACTTCGAAGCCACTTGGAACATGATCGCCACGTCATTTAACCAGATCTTCGGCAAAAGTGCTTCCGGTCTTTCCTTCGAAGAGATATTTCGACAATGCTACAAATTAGTTCTTAAGAAGAAGGCAGATTTGCTGTATGAGCGTGTGATAAAATTGGAGCAGGTCTGGCTGAGGGAGAATGTTAGGACCAAAATTCTGTTGCTAGTCACACCATCGATCACTGTCGGCCTTGCCGACCAGACGGCGGTGGCTGATTCTAACGAGCGAAGAATTGCAGGGGAACGTTTTGCTCGAGCCCTTAAGGACGCCTTCAACCACCATGCATTGTCAATGAGCATGATCACGGATGTGATGATGTACATGGACAAGTACATGAGCCAGGATGGAGGGAAACCATCGATCTATGCTGCAGGCATGTCTACCTTCCGGCTTGAAATCCTCAAGACTCCTTTCGGAGAAGATGCGGCCTTGGACACCCTGTCTCTTCTAGAAAATGTCGTGCTCGACATGATACGAATGGAACGCAAAGGCGAAGTCATCGACCGCTCTCTAGTTCGGCAGTGTTGTTACATGTTAGAAGGCTTATATGAGTCTTCCAACGAAGATGAAACTACGAAACTATACCTCACTTCTTTTGAGCCCAAGTTCCTCGAGGCGAGTAGACAATTTTACAAGTCGGAAGGTCAGACACTTCTTGCCGAGGCGGACGCGAGCACATTTTGCACACATGCCAGAAGAAGGTTGTCAGAAGAAGAGGAAAGATGCAAACAGACCATTTCGCAGGTCACGGAACAGAAGATCAAGTCCGTCGTTGAACAGGAACTGATTCAGGCGCACATGCGAGAAGTCATCAACATGGAAGGGACTGGTGTCAAGAATATGCTGGACAACGACAAGATTCAGGACCTAGCCAACGTATATGATCTTATCTCCAGGGTCGACCAGAGAAAAGGCGCATTACGAGAAGCACTTCAAAAACGAGTCATTGAACAAGGCACGGAAATTAACAAGGCAGCAAATGTCATTAGTGAAGCACAGCCTGCGCCAAAGCCTCTTCAAAGACCTGCCGAGGGTAAGGCCCCAGCGGAGAAGTCTTTGAGCCAGCAAACTCAAGCCGCAATCAATTGGGTAGAGCAAGTTTTGGAGCTGAGAAACAAATACGACCGAATTTGGGTTCAGGCATTCAATAAGGATGTAGTGATGGAGAAGGCGCTCGAGGTATCATTTCAAGATTTTATCAACTCCAACGATCAGAGCCCGGAGCATTTGTCACTCTTTCTGGACGAGTATCTCAAGAGAGGCGGAAAGGATAAAACTGATGGCGAGGTCGATGCTATTCTTGACCACGGTATACTACTACTTCAATACCTCGCAAACAAAGATATCTTTGAGAGATATTACAAGAGACACATGGCCAAGCGATTACTGATGAAGAAGTCGGTCAGCCGAGAAATGGAGCGATTAATGCTTTCCAAGATGAAGATGAAGATTGGCAATCAGTTCACACAAAAGCTGGAGGCCCTCATCCGCGATACAGAGTTGTCCGACAATCTCAGTGCTCAGTACAAGACTCATGTCAACGCACTTGGAGACCCGGATCCCAAGCGGGTGGAATTGGATTGTCGAGTATTGACTTCCACGACATGGCCTTTTGAGACCATTAGAAAAGATGATGATGACGATTCGAGAAAACGACCCACAATCAAATGGCCATCAACTGTAGATCAAGTCCGACAACGTTTTGAGCAATTCTACCTTGACAAGCATACCGGCCGGCGATTGGAATGGGTGCCAAACCTTGGAGATGCTGATCTACGGGCCACGTTTACCAACAATGGCAAAACTCGGCGATATGAGCTGAATGTGTCGACGTACGGTATGATTATTCTGATGCTTTTCAACGACCTGCCTCCAGGAGAATACCTTACCTGCGAGCAAATTCAAGCTGAAACAAACATCCCTCAAGCTGACCTCGTACGAAATTTGCAATCACTGTCTTTGGTAGCGAAATGGAGAGTCCTCAAGAAGGATCCGCCACACAAAGAGGTGAAGCCCAGCGACAAATTTTCATTCAACGAAGGCTTTTCGAGTCAATACCTGAAAATCAAAGTCAGCGTAGTTTCTGGTGGAGGAAATCGGGTTGAGAATAGTGAAGAACGTCGAGCCACCCAGAAGAAGACCGATGAAGAGCGAGGGCACGTTATCGATGCGGCAGTTGTTCGCATCATGAAGTCGAGAAAGACTCTTTCTCATTCACAATTGATGACGGAGACACTAGCACAATTGTCGTCACGATTTAAACCTGACGTGAATATGATCAAGAAGAGGATTGAGTCATTGATCGACCGAGAATTTTTGGAAAGAGGCAGCGATCCAGCTCAACCTTCGTACGTTTACATGGCTTGAAGGAGGATCTTGGTATGGCGATAAGAGGTCTGGTAAGGTTTCAATTATGACGATTCAAATGAGCATGTGAGTTACAAGGCATCATAAAGAGCATTCATTAGCGTGGCGCAAGGACTAGGAGCCTGAAGCATTTATTACTTTTGAATTCAATTTGAAAGATGGTCATGATGAGGTCAAATACGCTATTGTAGGAACGAATAATCAGAACATGGTCTTCTTGATAGATGCTCTTGACTAGTATGTATGGAGTAATGCATCCCGTACGCTTCATATGGCAAGGCTGTGGCTTTCCGCTCTGGTGCCAAGACAGGGGAAACGCCTCCTTTTGAACGCGTCGGTGTTGCCTCACTTTTGATATCTAGGCAATACCACCCAGACACCAGTAGCACCCACAGCAAAGGAACCTGAATTATTCGGTACCCATAAGCCTGAAACGCACTTTGATTATACCTGAGGCGATTTCTTGACGACACCGGGCCATACCAATCATTCGTTTCTACGAGTTTTTGTTTCGACACCACTGGCCGAGACAACGTCGTCACTTCATCACCTTCCTCCGACAAGACTTTTAATCACTCTTGGAACCAATTCGGAGCAGGGAGGCACCTCACTTTCGAAACCCTTTGGGAGGAGGCCGACGGCCTGGCCGAATAAATCGCAAAGATGGATCTCGACATATCCGACATTCTAGCCGACGTGTCGAGACCGTCTGGTGGAATTTCGGGGTCGACAAATTCAATCTCGCACAGCGCCACCGACACGGATACTTTTGTCGACCATCAGTTGCTGGTGAGGGCTTGGACCTCTGAGAGGTGCGCTCCGGATTTGTTACCTTACCCGGAAGACCTGATGGGTCGGGTGATGAGTCGGGTACAGAACCAAATCATCCGTATCGAAGACATGGCATCAGGGATGGGAGACGGCGGTTTTTCTTCCGCGGCGAACTTTGGCGACCAGAAAGGAAGCACCCAAAACTCAAACCTCATCTTGAGCATTTTACAAACCGACCTCGGACGCACACAATTCTTGGTTCGAAGTCTTTTGAGAATCCGACTGAGCAAATTGACAAAACATGCGATGCACTACCTGAGACTCACCGAGGACCGGAAAAGTTTGTATCTGAGTTCTGCGGAAACACAATTTGTCAGGAATCATCAAGCGTTACTGGCCGAATTTTACGACTCGAGTTTTCTGTCGGCTTTCCCGACCAGCTTGAAACGACTGGACGACGTTAGCGGTGGAGCCAACATGGTTGAAGGTCCAGACTTGGGGAGTGCGGTGGTGGTTAGGTGTCTCGTCGAATTCTGGAGGAATGATGATGATATTGAGAACGGAGACGACAGTAATGCAACGACGACGACGACGACCGCCGCAAGTGTAGAATTGAGTATGAGAAGAGGTGAAATTTGGATCGTTAGATGGAGGGATGTCAAGGCAGGTGTCGAAAGGGGTGAAATTGAATTGTTGTAATAAAGAATTACCTAGATTTTTTTTTCGAGATCCAGCACCCAAAAACCTTGACCATCTCACTCAAGGTATGTTGTATCTGTATGCATTGAAAGGAAGAAGAAGGTGATGACGCAATGTATAACCAACAAATCAATATACCCGGGTATATGTATGTACCTAGATATCAACCAGTTCGGACTTCATGCCTTCATGTCTTGTTGTTTCTTTTCCAGAGCCTCTTCCAATTTATCCTGTTCGTCCCTTTTCAACAACCATTTCAACTCTTTGATTTGGTTTCGATCAAGATATTCCACCATACCTTGAGCAGTGAGAAAATCATGGTCCGAATATTCGAACCCAGGTACGACGGTTTCCGAAATCAACAAACCTTGTTGACTTTGATCACCTCCACCCTCACCACCACCATCACCGTGTCCGGCGGTAGTGTCGGTGTCGGGCAACAAGAAACTGGCCTTGAATTTCCCACCGTCGACGATCCATTGCAACCTTTCGCCTCGTTCCAGGTCGTGACCCACGACGAACGTCTCGACCGGAACCCTGCCGTCTTGGTCTCGCTCGTCGACGTGCAAAAGGACGTACCTCCCGCGTCCTCGGTGGAGGGTGTGAACCGTCCTCCCGCGGTTACGGTGGAAGTGACCCACCGGGCTGGTAGGGCCGACCAGATAAAAAATGGTGGTGCTTGCGCTGCGAGTTGTAGAGGCGTCTCTGGCGGTGGCGTTGGTGAGGTAGGGTAGGCCCAAAAAGGGGTTTGGGACCAAGAGTCCGTCACGGTCCGTTTCTGCAAAGAATCCACCTTCGATGTGAGCCTGGAGGGACAAGGCGGAGATTGTACGTTCGACCCCCTCCGGGTTTTTGGGTGGTGGGTTCGAAAGCAAGAGACGAGCGTAGTCGGTGTCGGACGAAGGGATGATTGACATTTTCCGTCGCTTTTCTCCAGAAGAGGGTACAAGGATTTACGTGAAAGGAGAATGACCAAGACGCTCAGATGGGCTGATTCTGGTGTGGTTTATGCCCGTACGGTACTTTTAGGCAGGTAGTACTGTAGTATAGCGTCGTATGGGGAGGGTGGCCTCGCTTGGTGGATTTCGCGAGAACTTGCAGGTTCAAAGTTCGAGACCTCCTGTTTTTATGTCAATGTCAATGTCAAGGTCAATATATGTCGGCGGTACTCTGTAGATACTACCTACCTTGGGTAGCTAGGTAGGTACGCCAGTGATGGTGAAGATGGATGGGTGGATAGGTAGGTTTTACTTACAGGTACTGTCTAAACCAAAAGGTCTTTTTGTTCCGACCGAGCTGTGTGTGTGTGTGTGTGTGTGTGTGTGTGTGTGTGTGTGTGTGTGTGTGTGTGT